TATCTCGATTTGTAGTAGATACCTCATCCGGAATCTCGACTAGGTTCATACGCATCGAAGCTCTTAGTCTAAGTTCCTCAGTAAAACTCTTTCTCTCATCGCCTTCGACCGTCGAGCCTTAGCTCCAGTCGTCCTTCACTCTCGTCGTTCCGCCGGAAGGCGTTTCCGTCTGGTCCTTCGGCCTAGCCAGCCTTTGGAGCCGTGACGAAGGGTACACGTTCTTACAACGTGAGACCAAGGCTATCCTCCTACGTCCTTCTCTCCTCTCTCTCGGTATCCGACCCTGACATCGTCGAACTTCTTGTCGGAGTAGAATGCGTGTGGCTGGTTGTAGCAGCCGTAGGGAGGGGTCGAAGGAGTTCGGAGATCGTCGTCTGAATCCGTGGTTGAAGAGAGGGGGCCGCGCTTTCGAGGAAGGCGGCGATGGAGGAGCCTGTTATTCTGTTACGACTTCGGGCAACGAGGACTTATCGTTGCCAACAGTCGTTCTGAAGTTCTGGAGTTCTGGAGTTCTGGATCGAAGTTCTGGTTCTGGAATCAAGTTTAAGAGGCCTGTCGCTATCGCAGACAAAGAGGATCGAGTTGAGAGCGATAGAAGTTCTGAGGGATTCGGAAAAGGTTCTCGATAACAGGCTGAGGAATATCTACTACAGGGAGACAGTATTTATAGTAGAGCTAGCGGGTTATCAAGAGGTTCGGAAGAGAGTGAAAGAAGGTATGAAAGCGACAAGTAAGGAGTATCGATGAGTACGGAATACGAGAGGGACGGATGTACGAAAGGTTCGGAGATGCGAGAGAATCGAAGAAGCGAAGATCACGGGACTACGGAAGGAACGGAAGTACGGAGGAAACGGGAGTTCGGAGGGTTCGGGGAAATAGAGCGTAGAGAAGGAAACAAGGGAAGTAAGATGGAGGAAATAGGGGAGTTCGTAACAGGGGCGATATTCCTAGGAAGTGGAGGAATATCGAGTGGGTCCGGTCGATATTCCTGGCAAGTGGAGGAATATCGAGGGCGAGGAAAAGGGCCCGAAACCCGTATAACTGGCCTCCGAGCGAAAACGGGGCAGTTATACGGGTGCCGTGTTATCCGGACAGACAGTTAGGGCCGTTCGGGCGACGACGGCGTCGTTGTAACACGGCCATGTTACGGGAAGTATATTATTAGGCCCGTTGCCAGACACCCCGACTCCCAAGCTCAATGCACTCGGAGAACATACAAATGAAGGTGTTTCAATTGGGCGCTCGACGCTCTAATCACATCGAATAAGTGCTCCCCTCCGCAGTGTAATAACTATCGCTTGCCCTTGGTTCACTAATTCTTGAACAGAGGCGCGAGGTTTCTGAGAACGATCGACCCTATCGACTACCGATATCCACGTTCGACATCTATACCCTTGGATACCCATACCTATCCTTCCTATCCAAGCCACAAGCATTCATCCAAAAGGACGAAGAAAAATGAAACATCCAATAACATACATGTGACATACTACAGCCCGATTTTAGTCTTCAGTCTCATAGTACAACTATTCTACAGTCGTACAAAATCCTCTACCGACGCGCCTGCCCACCTCCGCATACACAACCTCCTCCAACTCGTAACCCCCTCCAATCGCCGAATCGTCCAAACCTCCAACCGCCCAACCTACGCCACATCCCCATCATCACTCTCCCACTCACTAACACCCAAATCCCTCACACTCCCAACAGCAACAAGCAACGGATGATTCTGATCAAACATACTCAAGACCCGTCCCACCTCTTCAAGCGCATAATCCTCAACCTCCTCCATCATCGCCATATCCTCCCGCTCATACGGCTCCAAACTCAACGCTCCAGCCCCTGCTCCTCCACCACCGCCGCTCATCAGTCGATTCGAGCGCATCTTCCGTCGATCGGCCATCGATTGGAGTTGTCGTTTCGTAGCTTCGATGAGCGCATTTTGGTAGTCGGCGGGGAGGGACGTCGGTCCACCGAGTACGAGCAGGGAGTCGTGGAAACATTTGTAGAGTGATCCGAGGAAGGACGAGTCGTGTTCGGTGGAGATGCAGTGGATGATTTGGTGGAACGACGCGGAGACCATTTGGGATGTTAGCGTGTTGCTATTTTTGCCGCACGAAATGAGCATCGGGATTAACCTGGCGCTCGTCGTTAGCGTCGTCGATTAGCCTGAAAGAAGGCGAAGAGACGTACATGGCACATGCCTCCCGAACGCCATCGTGGAAGTAAAACTTCAAAGCCGGTAGCGTAATCTCCAACGTCTGCGAGAGGTACGGCGCGTACTTCTCGGCCAGCGTCGAGCAATAAATGACCAGCGTCTCGAACGCCTGGCATTTATCCTCGATTGACGACGTGCGGATGCCCAACGTCTGACCGTCCATCTCGATCACCTCCCAGCCCTCCCGTTCTTCCATATTTTCGACGTCTTCATCTGCGAAGGGAAATGGTTAGCTCGCGCAGGGAGGGATTTGTCGAACGAAACAATGATGTCAGGAACGAACGAAACCACCACGCCTCACCACACCTCACACTCCGAAACCACCACGAAGAACAAAAGAAAACCACGCACCATACACAGAAATATCAGCCTTCGCACTCGCAGCATTAAGCAACGAAGGCATTACCACTGGAAGATACGGCTCAAACTCCTGTCCCATCGCTTGACAAATCTTCGCCCACGTCGCGATGAGGTAGTGTGTGAGTTGGGTATCGTTCGGGTCGTGCGGTGACTCTGTGGGCCCGAGACGTGTGGGAGACGACGGATGGACCATAGAACGACGAGATGGGATTCGAGGAGGGATTCGATGGGAAATGGTGGTCAAGAGTCGGTCGGTGACGTTCGCCGGAGTGGACGAGGAAAGGAAGGTACCATAGAATGCCGAAACGGAAGTTGGCGGATAATCGAGGACGAAGAGAAGAGGATAGCAGTCAGCTCTCCGTCCCTCCCCAAAGAAATGAAAATCACGGACTTTGTATCCGAATCAGCAGCTCAATCAACGTATTCGAATCAGGCCTGAAGACCTCCTTCCCAACAGCGATAGCTATAAAATAAATAGCATATCAGCATTCAATCCTGGCTCGTTTACGGACTATCCTCCTCTCTTAAAGGACCATCGCCGACGTCGAACATCGCCATCGACGAACCAAAAGCCCAAAGCGAGGGACGCCGAGGACGACTGGACGACGAGGGAGGCACAACCGAACGCGTCTTCGAACGACGTAGCGCAACGCCAGCGTCCAGCCCGAAATCCAACCCCACACCCGAACCAGCGCCTCATCGACGCCCACCCGAGGGCACGCACGCGGGAAAAGAAGAACATAGACTCACCAATCAATCCAGCACACTCCATCGCCTTAATCCTCAAATTCTTATACTCGGCCCCATCCGCGTTCTGCAGTACGCTAAGTAGGAGAGGCATAATCGTCGGATAATGCTGTTGGAATTAAGGGCATCAGCATAGAGGTTTGAATTGAAAAAGGAAGGGAACGTCGCGATTCCAGTGCGGACAGAAAAGGGGGAGAAATGTAGTCACAACTCGAAGCATTGAAGGGTAATCGCAGTTCTACTTGACACTCGATTCCGTCGAAGAACGAGTGAAAGAGCAGGTTTGAAGAAAGAGAAACGAAAGAGTGGAACCAAAGAAAACACTAGAGAAATTCGCCCAGCACCTTACCGGCGAACGAACAGGCGAAACGTGAATGAATGGTGAAGCGAGGGTTGAAAGGTGAATGAATGGTAAGGCGAAGGGAGGAAACCAAGCAACGAAACTTGGGAAGCCACACTCAACAACCGCACAGAAACCAAAACCCCCAAAAGCCAAACAAACCCACAACGCACCTTCGCAAACGTAACCTCACTAGCATCAGCAACCATAGCCAACGTCGTAATCGCCTGCTCCTGTACATATCTCCTTCCCATCCCACCACTCCCATCCCCACCTCCACTGCCACCTCCACCGCCTTGACCCGGATTCAACAACTTCAATAACCGTTCGACGATGGGGTCCATGTAGGGTAGAAGTGTATCACGCTCAACGCCCTCGCAAAAGTTGATGAGCGCCGCTGCGGCGTGTGAGTGGACTCTAGATTGGATGGAGAAGGGGATTAGTGGATGCGCGGAGTGGACGTAGGGAAAGCGAAGTAAAGGTTGAAGAGACGTGACGAAACAAGGAAATGGACATGGATGTGAACGTGTGGGGAACGAACAGTGAACGCGATGAGGTGATCAAACATAAGCGTAACGAAAGTGTGAAACGAAGAATCATTACGACGAACGAGAGGAAGAGTAGACCAGTCAGTCACCAAGAGGGGTCAACGAAAGGCAAGGAACTAACGAAAGAACGAAGGAAGTCCACAGACGAAATAGGGACCACAACAAAAACGATAGGTACGCACCGTGGTTCAGGATCCTCCAACGCACCAATCAACGCAGGGAACAACTGCGGATGGTACTGCTCTTGTATGATCTCCTACACCCCCCAAACCCATGAAAACCAAAACCCACGCCCACGAGAAAAGAAAGAAACCACGCGAAAGAGAAGAAGAACGCGACATATATCAGCCTCCAACCTTCGTCGAGCACACCCAAAAGAACAACGACGTACCTCCAAATCCGTACACAGCTGCCCTCTAAACCATCCCCATCCCATCAGCCTCTATGCAGCCAACCACGAAATCGCGAAAAAAGAAAACGACGTACGTGCACTGACAAGCAGCATACCTCACCCTCGGATGCGAATCCCTGAACATCGGCACCACCATCCTACAACACATCCACCCCAAGAAGGTCAACGTCAGTATTGTCTTTCAAACGCGAGTAAAAGGAGAAGGGACTTGCTCGACGATTTTTCCAAGTTCGTTTTGCATGACCTGTAGGAATCGACGACCATGACGAAATGTGGGAAGGGTCATGACGAAATGGTAGGTAGAGCAGAGATGCCATGTCGGTGGATGTGGATTCGGTGGACGGTGAGCCGGGGGATGGTGAGTCGGTGGATGGTGAGTCGGTGGATGGTGAGCCGATGGACGACGGGTCAGTCGATAGCGAGTAGGCAGTCCCAAGCACAACATCAGAAACCGACCACCCAACGGCGAACCCATCCCCGACGAAAGAACCATGTCGGGATCGTGTAGGTGGGTACACCATGTAAGTAGACCGTCCATCCGCCGTCAACGACGAAGTGAAGCACGTCCAGTCACCAATCGCACGACGAGGGCCGACGGTAGAACCACCAACGAAGGTGACGACGGATAGCGCCAACCACGGGCGACAACGACGACGACGAGGGATAGCGAAACCACAAACGACAACGACGACGGTGACGACGGAAAGAAACACAACCAACGACGCACAGAAAAACGAGAACCAAAAGCACGAAGCTCAATCAGCACAACCCGCAAAAATCCAACTGAAGTGGTAAACGCACCTTCCCAGTCCCCTCACTGATAGCAGCAATCGCCATCAACCCCGCATGCCTTACTCTCCAATCGTACGCGGCGAGCATCGAGGGGATCGTCTGTCACCCCGAGCACAACCCCAACCACCACACCGAACGCAGCGGTGACATCGAACGCAACGACCACGCCGAATGCAACCACCACACAGAACATCGCGACCATACCGAACGTAACCACAACACCGAACACGCGACAGTCATACGGAACACACAACGGGTAGGGACGTCGATGCAGGAACGCCAAAGGGGAGAGGAAGGATGCGTGGGGTGCGGTGCCGGTATCGTTCGTTGAAAGTCGTCGTCCGTCCACGAGTGTCGCCAACGGGAAGAAGTGGCACGTCGTCCGTGAGCAGTCGTCAGTCGTCGGCCATGCCCCGTCGTCGTCCAATCGAAGTCGTCGTCGTTGATATCGTCGCCCAATCGAAATCGTCGTCGCATCCAAGTCGTCACCCAACCCAAGCAATCGCCAAATCCAGAATCATCGTCGCAACGCATCATCGTCCAATCGAAACACCCCAGATACCAATACCAAGAAAGAAAAAGCAGCGGTACCAAGGAAACAATAAGCGCCCACTCGTGATTCCGTCATCATCGAAAATGACTCACCTTGAACGCAGGAGGGAGGACCGCCTTCCCGCCTAGTGCGCACGCCAACCGATCGAGCGACTGTTCATACAGGGCCGGTATCGAATCCGCATCCGAGGAGGTCGAAGGCTAGAAGTTGACACGTCGCACGATCAGTATTCAGTATACCGCCACCCCCATCCCACAAAAATAAAAAAGGGTTACTCACATCCTCCTGCAACCAAACACTCAACTCCTCATCTTCATCAAACTCCCCCATTCCCTCAAGACACGCCCGAACAATCACATCCACCCACCCCTCCGTCTTCCTAACCATACTCGGTTTGGCCTCTGACAAACTAACCATGAACTCCAACGCCGCAAGCCTCAACCCCGCCCTCTCATCCTCCTCCTCATCGTTCCCTCCCTCCCCTCCATCCTCTTCTCCATCCCCATCTCCATCACCCGAGGTCGCAGGCGGGAACACAAACGCCCCACCTCCTCCATTGTTGCCCGCACGACCATTGCCCGTGGGGAACGGCCGCGACACCGTAGGCGTAGGCCCGCTATCCACAGCAGGCAAGATCAGCGATGGGAGGAAAGAGAGCAACGCCGGGAGGTGCGGCCCAAACAGCGCAGCATGGGTCGAGCAAAGTGGTGTGAGCGCCGTCAAAAAGGTCGATAGATGGTGATAATTTGATTTGAGCGAGGGGTTGACGGAGGCGCCGAGCGGAGGCGACGACAGCGACTGCGAGAGCTGGTGGATGGTGTCGAGGATCGGGTAGAGCAACGAGAGCGCTTGCGCGAGCTGTCTCGAATCCGCAGCCGAAAGATACGCAACAGACGCTAACAGCGCCGCATACCGCACCTATCCCATCCTCAATTACTCCTCTTCGCCACCCAAATCAACGAAAATAGACGACTCACCTCGATACTATCATTATCCAACAACCCCTTATGAAAAACCTGCAACACCGCATCCGTCTGGAGGTCCATAACAAGATTCGGACACCCCGCCCAAACCCTATACGCACTCTCCCTCAACCCCGCGCCCCCACTCCCACCCGCACCCCCAGGCTCCCTCGCCATCGCAAACGTCTGCGCCTGCAGCGCATGCCACGGCCTCCCCCGCGCCATCCCCTGCTTCGCCACATCGCATATCGTGTCCACCGTCTTCCTCCTCACACTCGGCGATCCTTCGTGCGAGAGCGAGTAGAGGAGGAGCCGCTCGAGCGTCGTGAGGGTGTTCGAGGAGAGGTGGTCGTAGAGCGTTAGTCGGGGACCCGCGGGTGCGAGAGGCGCCTGTGCTGTCGCTGGTGGTGGTCGGAAGAGGAACCGGCGGAGGAGGACGAGGGAGAACGACCTCATCTACATACCACGAACCCCATTTAATTCAGTTAATTCTTTACCAATGGAGGTAGACTCACGATATCGGTATCAGCAGCAATCGCAAACTGCGTCAATGCCAATATATACAGCTCAGGGCTATGAGCCAATCGGTCATTGACAGCCTTCTCGGCGCTAAAAAAAAAACCTTCAGTATCCCCCTCCAACCACACGATAATTACAACAATACGCACTTGGACCGAATCTCATTATCGCCCAACACAAGATTCGAAAGAATCTGCGTGAGTTCAGCTGTAATTTCAGGAGGGACGACAGCGTCCATAATGTGGTTCGGATGAAGTGGTGGTCGTGGTGGCCCTGATGTGAAGCAGCGACCTTGATAAAGATGAGCGAAAAGCAAGCCTGAGAGTCTCCACCATCAACACACTTCGAAGCCCCTTCCAACCCGGACTATCGGCGCGACGATAATCAGCTCGGCTATCCCCGCGACGTTCCCATGCCCCTATCTCACGGGCGCTAGAGTTTTGTTGGGGGCAGGCGAAGGATAGCTGTGCGCGTGAGTTCGATTGGGAAGGGCGTCGTAACGAGTCTCTCATGCTCGGCTCTTCCATATTCAACTCCCTGTATACGATATTCATAGGTTTCTTCCATATTACCCTTGTCCGTGGAATTCACACTCAGGCTTCAGCCTCACACTCGAAAACTTGTACTCTGTACGCCTTCTCACCTGCTGTGATCATCTTCCGTATTCCAGGCCCCCTCGATAAACGAACCCAGGTTCGTTCAACGACGAAGCCCGAATCGCCCACGGATGACTTTGACTCTCGTCACCGTTCTCTATCTGGAGGAGTATGCCAGTATGCCCTGGGGGATGAGGGTGGTAGAGCAGGAAGAGATCATATTTTCTATATAGACGTGACTATACGCACTTACTTCCTACTGTACATCCATCGCACATCCTCCCATCCCACGCCTTGGTACACGGCGGAAATCGGAGGACCGCGGTAGAATGGAATCATAGCGCCCGAGATAAGCGCCCTTCTTCGTATCACCGACAACTGCTATTACTAGATTTTAGACTAGTAGATAACGCAGAATCTACTCGCCAGATCGCCAAAAGCTATACCATTCACCCGATACCAGGTGCAACCCGAACTAGAGCGCCCAATACTTATCAGAACCAAGAATCCCCAACGTCAAATTAACTATTCCTCTTCCCAAAGACAAGAACGCCACTTGGAGACCTCATATCTAATCTATCAAGGTCGACATTGCCCTCTATCTGATACACCAACCTCGACATTTTGATAACAGATAACAAATGCCGCTCGGTTCGTCTATTACCTTGTATTTGCTCTTCCCGCAGGCGCTAACCTTGGCCTTTGACGACTTCAAGCGTTGTAACTTTACCGCAATACGTCGTCATCCCGCTAACCCTCCATCACCCACCTCTAACCACATCGTAATCCACCCCACTCTTCAGAGCGTCCAGGTACAGATCTAGACGCCACCCACTCCAAGTCCCAATCTCCACTCGGCCATTCCACCCCTGCTAGCTATCTTATCTTATCACCTCTCCCTCCGTTATCACCTCATCCGAAAGAAGCGGCTTGTACGTTACACAACGCACAGCGACCTGAGCGACACATCCTGCTGATCACCCCACTCTATCCGTAGAGATCGCGTAAAGTACAGCGCCCGTGTCTGCCACTCGACTTGAATATTGCATCATGATCGACGCCGCTGCACATGCAGCGTTTTCCAAACACAGTCTAAGTACGAGATAGTAGGTAAGTCTGATCTTCAGCGCTTCGGCGTCCAGCGCCGGCAGAATTGAGAACTACCCCCCTCACGCGAATGAACACCGACCAAGCGTATCACGCCACAACAGCCCCTCGACGAACCTAAATCCCAAAATTCGAACCCAAATCACTGAGAATAACATTCCAACATCCCCAACAAAGCGCATGTATGCATCTCATTCCGTCAGGTAAACTACAATCAAACTAAACGCTGACCCGTTTTCAAGCTCTTATCTCTCGGGAGTGGCGACTGTCCCTTGGAGCCACAGTCAAGACGCCGTCACTGACATATGCCAATAAAGGCTCCTGGAATGACGAACCTTTCGCAAGTTGCAACCAGACCTTTCCAAGGTACTTCACTGACACGAACGCTCTTGTCATTCTTGAGAGTTTACGTTGCGCGTCCTACAGACAAACTGCATGATATGAGTACCAGAATGGGCAAGGAGAAAAGGCATAAAAGGCTACCTGTTTATACGTTCTAAACTCCAGGGAAGTATTACTAACCTCTCGAGCTATCGACTTCAGCTTTTCTGCCCCATCGAGTCATCCAGAATGCGTTTCACCGCTCTCCTCACGGGCGTACTAGCCAGCGTAGCCTCATTCTCTTCCGCGCAGTACGTCTACAATCCACCATCGTCTTTGCTACACCCTCCCTTAGACTTTGACTTAACACTACTGACACTCGATACCTTTGACCTAACACTACGATACCCTAATACTACACCATAGACGCATCCCCGCCCGCCGAACCTGCGGCTCCGAGCTCACCGACGCCCAAGTCGCCCAAGCCGAGCAAATCTTCGCCCAAACCGCGAACGCGACCATCCAAACCGACGTCGGCATCCTCGCCTACACTCCCCGTGTCATCAACGTCTACTGGCACATAATCAGGTCCGGAACCGCTGTCTCGCAGGGCAACATTCCGTACGTCCTTTCCTCGCTTCCCATCGCACCTGCGCACAAGGGACTAAGTATTTCTCGTTCACACTGTGCTATTACTCGTACCGTGACCATGCATCTCATAATCAGCGCATCGCAAATCACCAATCAAATCAACGTCCTCAACAGCGCCTTCGCTAGCAGCGATCTCTCATTCACCCTCGCCGGAACAACCGTCACAACCAACTCCAACTGGTTCAACAACGTAGCCCCTGGAACCGCCCAACAGACCGCAATGAAGACCGCGCTCCGAGTCGGGGGCGCTAATACGCTCAACATCTACTCAGTCGGGTACGCATCCGAGTCGTATCTCGTTTCTTACCAGGGAGTTGTGTGTACTGAAGGACATGTTTTGATTCGATGTTAGGTTCACTAACTCTGGTTTATTGGGATATGCTACCTTCCCATGGAACTACGCTTCGAACCCAACCGACGACGGCGTCGGTGAGTACTTCTTTCATTTTCCACCCTACTCCCTAACCATCCAACCTCCAGTAATCCTCTTCTCATCCGTCCCAGGCGGCACCGCTTCTCCCTACAACCTAGGGCAGGTCAGTCCACCAACCTTCCATCATCTACTAGTATAGACGTCCGAGTCCATTTACCCCAACACCTCGCAGACCGCAACTCACGAAGTCGGACACTGGACCGGCCTCTACCACACCTTCCAAGGCGGCTGCAGTGGATCCGGAGACCTCGTAGCCGACACCCCTCCCGAGTCCTCCCCCGCCTACGGATGCCCCACAGGCCGCGACACCTGCCCCGGTGGCGGCGTTGATCCTATCCGTAAGTTCACCGCCTTCACCGTGGCGTTTATCAATGAATTCTATACTGATGACAATTCTCGTGGATGTCCCCATTTCAGACAACTTCATGGACTACACCAACGACGCGTGCATGACCCACTTCACCGCCGGCCAAACTACCCGTCTTCGTACCCAGATCGCTACCTTCCGCGGAATCGCACTTTGATTTTTGGGCAGCTCAGGGGTGTACACTAAGAAAGCGGTTCGCAATCCTCAAAACCTTCTATTTCTTTCGTCTCATCGTCTTTCTCCAAACCCATACGTAACTATTAAAATTAAATACAGTCCAAACAATTCGAACCTTCTTTCTATACGCCTATCTCTATTGAAAATGTCTTCAAATCTCCATCCGTTTATCACTCCTCTCCGCATCATACCCTCCTCCAGCCCTCGAGTAACTCGATCAACACTCCTCCTCCACAAGCGATTCACTCCTCACCGGACTAGAACTAAACGCAATAGGCTGCGACAACCTCGTCGACTTCTCCCCATACACCCCAACACTCTTTCCGCGCTCTGTCCAAGATCGACCCGTCGTAACCCAGAAAATAATCATCTGCGGTGAAAGCGCCTTTATTACCCAAAATTCGTCAACCTCCAATCCCAATCTCACGAGGAACTTTGAAAAGTATAACTCACCGCGAAACTCGTATACAGCGAGTTGAACACGATAGAGGCACCAAGCAAATCTACAGCCTGAGCCGCAGTTCCCAGCACATTAACCGCATCGAGGACAGCCGAGACCAGGCTGAACACAGTCAACGGAACCGCCGACTCGATAAGGATCGCAACCACTCGTGTGTACAGCTTCATATCGCGGTTCGGCAGAACCTTCGAAAGGTCTCTCTGCGCGCGCAGGAGTCTGATCGAGAGAAGCGACGTGAGGATGATGTTGAGGAGGACGGTTAAGAGGGAGATCGTGAGGTAGATTCGCGCGTCCGCTGCGACTGAGAGCTGTTGCGTCGGGATGGTGGTTGTGTAGTAGATTGCTATCCCTAAACGATTCGCTTCGGTTGTGAGCTGAAATCCACGCGTATTCCTGGTAAGACGTACCAATATATGCGAGGTACATCATCCCCGGTACAATCGTCACCCACCAAAAGTCCTGCCAGATGATATAACATCGATACAGCTATCCAATGCAATCAGCCAACCTCAGCAACCCCAAAAGGAAAAGAACCCCACCAATAGACCATCGCCCAAAACAACATACGCATACGTGAACGCAGTTCCAGTGACGTACGGCCACTCCGATAGTATACCCTCCTGAGCGCTAATATACGACAGGCCCCCACTCGAATAATAAAGCCCTCGAAATTGGTTATAAAGCCCCAGGATAGTCGGGACGAGGGATAGAGCCAAAATCGTAAAGCTCATGACTATGTACGAAGCACGTCCCTTCTTCAGATCTTTCGGCGTTTCGAGGTAGGTTACCAGTCCATAGAGACACATAAAGAGTTGGATACCTGAAATAGAGCATCGTTTGCAAGCTGAGATTGACGACAACGACAAGAGAACGTACCACCCTCAAACATCGAGATTGCATTCCCTGCGTACACGCTGGCTGCATGCCTGAGTGCGACTTGGTCAACTGTGAGAGGCATTTCTCGTCGATGCTGGAGCTGCAATGAATGTATCGAAAATGTGCCATATATACGTCGCTAAATAAAAATCTCCAAACCACTAAACACACCTGCGGTATACTGAGGTGAGGTTAGATGCATACCACCCACGGCGAAAACAGCCGGCCGGGTAGACATGACCGGTATTCAGGCCCGGCGGTATGCAATTTGACCTCACTTTGCACAGCGCCCTCACTAACTGACTAACGAAGTTAGCCTCTGAGCTCAGCACAATGTACCTCTCAATGCGAACGTGCCTGAACACCCTCATTAATCTTGATCGAATAGGCGCGCCCGAGCTCGGGATGCAGTCGCGAGCATTGAAACCAGAAGCGTAAAAATGGGGCCCCATTGGGCACAGAATCACGGAAATGTAGCGATACCGGGCTGCAGGGATACTAATTAAGTAACGGAGCCAGTCAACAACTTCACTACTCTTTGTCTCACCCATCAAAATAGGTGTCAAGCGAGATTCGAACACCACGAATCCGAATGGGAGCGCCCAAACCTTGCCCAAACTCGTCTCCGCACAGTTTCTCCGGGGAGGTGATCCGGGCTCTACGGTCTCCGGGCTCTTCGTTTAGCGCGATAAGCGCCCATCGGCCAGAACCTAGATACCCCCAACGTTACAGCGCCAAACCCTGTCTCATATCGCAAACGAAAATCAAATCATATCGCCGGCAAGGGCGCATCCTCACTGAATGCCTGTGACAGGGTTTCGACTTGACGTAGCGAAGCTCCTTCGATACGTATTGCTTTCCGAGTCCCCCCGAGTCCGGGAGCGTCAAGACCAGTTCAAGTAGCGTCGGGTCCTAGGTTTCGCAGAAGTGAGTCATTTTTCGGATCTTGCGTGTGATCTGAGTCTCTGTGAAGTGACAATGTATACACTCTCACTGGGAAAACCATCCCATCCCCTTACGAGTTCATCCGACTTTACTAAATCCGATCTTTAAAGATACCAGTAGTGTCAAGGCAGTACGCTGCAGTTCGGCGTTCGAGTCATCTAACTGTCTAACTTGTAGCCCGTTATCTGCGGGCTTTGCTTCTATTTCGAGAGAATTCAATGATTGGAATTTAGTTATAAAGGTAGGGGAAAGCCGTGGGTAGTCTGTAGGACACCGATTCTCAAGATGTTTCCAGCGTCCCTCCTCTCATTTATTACCTTCCTCCTCCTCTTCTCCAACACTCTTTCTGCCCCTTCTAGGACAGGTGCCCATCACACACTGCCCACACGACCATGCCCAACCGCAGTCGACACTTCCAACCCGATAATCCCATTCCTCAATTACGGAAAAATACGCGCTGCAGCAGACGCAGCTCTAACTTTTCTCGATTCCAAAAAGATACCTCCTCACCGTGTGCCTCCTCGCGGTCCGCTCAAATGCGACAAGCTTCGAATTCGGAAGGAATGGCGCAAACTCACTCGAGCAGAGCAGAAGGCTTACATCCGAGCTGAGAAGTGCTTGATGACCACCCCGACTTTAGGTCTCACCGGCAACTCAAGCCATACGTTCTACGACGACTTGACAAACGTACGTACCCTCCCCTCTCTCGCACTTATATAACCGCTGACCGAAGAGATGATTTTAGTCTCATGCTCAAGGATTCCTACGATATCACGGTAACGCCAAATTCCTCCCTTGGCGCCGTTGGTTCGTTTGGCTTCATAGCGTCTCCCTGGAGCGTTTGTGCGGATACATTGGACCTATTCCGTAAGTAGCGGATTTTTTTACTGTGACAACCATCGCACACTGAGTCTGATTGGCAGGTACTGGGATTACACGCTCGACGCTGGCCCAGACGTCTACAACAGTCCGATCTTCTCCACCGATCCAGAGGTTGGCTTTGGCGACGGAGGCTCGGTACCGATCAACGAACTGGGTGGACGGGCTGGTGGCTACATCGTTGACAACGGTGCTTTCGCCAACTACAGGGTCAGTAATAGTTTATGTTACGTCGTGCAACGGTTCTTGACTATGACTCCCTGGACCATCCTGGATCTTCTAGCCCAATCTCCCAATGCCACATTATCTCGTTCGAAACTTCACCCCCGACGCTCAATACAACCCAGATGGTATCTTCGGCGTTGGCGTTAGCGATACTTTGTAAGTGACATTCACTCACAAAGTCTTTGGAGATGGCCTCAACTCTTCGCGCTCTATAGCAATCAAACGGCACGCGATCGTGTGATGTCTGCCGACCACTTCTGGGATTTCGAAGTCAAAATCGATGGACTTGACGAACCAGAGTGGCGAGGCGTGCACAATAGCATCCACTTCTTACTGGGCGGTGACGGTCAGAGCCTCAACTGGTCAGTATAGAAATATCCACGAAGTCGGGTTGTCCAACTTAACCACTTGGACATGTATGCAGGCTGGAAGGCACGCCATGGTACGGATCACAAGTCTTCAGCACCAATGAACCTATATTTGTGAGTTTGTGCGCATTTCTTGATCTTCCTGGCCTTTTCTCCAAACACCGTGTTAGTACCTCCATCACGCAAATGTCGACCACGTCTGGTGGGAATGGCAAAACAAAAACCCGAAATTCCAATATGACTTTAGCGGGCCACCTGGATCCACCGATGGTGTATGCGACATGCTCCCATTGAATGGTAAGCAGCGCCTATTTGGAACTGTTGGCCACTCGCAGCTGACCCTGCCATGTACGCCTAACGTAGACCTTGGGCCCGACGTCCCCATTGGATTGACGTTGAACACGGAGTGGTATCCCCAGTGCTACACTTACGAGGATTGATGAGACTCTGAGATTTGATCAGGTCTTTAGCTACAATGTGCCAACCCCTACTCACTAGATATTTTCAATGGAAATCGTCCCTCCATGGACCTAAAGATAAGGCAAAACACGGTTGAGGATGGCTGTATTTGTCCTTGATTGATCTGGAAGGTGTTGGCTTCGGCTCTCGGCGTTGAAATCTTCGCGCACGGGCGAGATCGGACTTGGTCTCCCCTATGGCTAGACTCAAACCAGAAGTATACCGTTCTTCAGTATCTCGTCATAAGAATGTACTGAACAATGCATCCTTAGGTTATTGAAAAGGCGCGAAATGGAGACCTTGAAAGTCTTCAGAAACTGCGACAGTCGATTACAGAGAAGAACTACGTCGTCTCGGCCTTGGAGGCAGCGCTAGTCCATATTGAAACCCCCCTCACTGTGCCGAATACAGCCCAGCCCGGGTTTCTGGACTCATTCCATCGCGTCGGCTATGCTCTTGAGGTCATTCTTTCATGCGTTGTCTACGGAGGTCGGAGCCCTGCAGTCAAACAATCGACGGTCGCCACAGTTCTGGGAAAGCTCGATCAGTTGTTCACGTCGAATCTGGTCTTCCTCGACTGCATGCTAGACCCACCAAAGAATCTACCCGCCGTCATGCTCCCTGGAGTGGCTGTCCGTCTTGCCTGCCGACTCATGTATGTGATTCTCATCGCCCATAAAGAACTTGCAGAAGCCATGTTTTCCTGCCCGACAGCAACCCAGCTCGCCCTACGACTCTGGTCGGTTTCCAAAAACCAAAACGGGGATGCATACCTGGACCTTCCTGCCATCGCCGGATCCCCCGATCCATCAACCATTATTCAACTTTATGTGCTGATAGAGAGCGGTAAAGCGGCGTTAATCGACGCCTTGTTATGCTCACGGAGCCATCGTCGCGCGTTTTCAACTGCATTCGTATCCCGGGTTCGCCAGATCGGCCTATATAGGGACAGTAACAATGGGTCGAATGTCTTCCCTATCCCTGGCACGGAGAATCACTGGCGCATGGTCAAAGATGTGGCTGTGGGGCTAGCCACCCATCCAACCATCTATCGCTCCCTGTCCCGTCTTGATTTCTTCAAAGTATGGGCCCGCACTCTCGTGACGGCAATAGGCGATAATACTTCACCTCAAGTCATCGACAGGACATGCGACATCATCGTTGCGGCTGAGATGTGCGGTGGTAACAAGTGGGCAGCGGTCAGGGATGTTGTACTCGAAGGGTTTCTCTGTGTGGCTCTCAGATCGCTCCTGGACATTGCTCGAACGGATGACAAAGGTCTGGTGGAGAGGGCTACATGGATCCCACAATATCTCAGCAAATACGCGTATTATCCTTCTTTCACTCCACTTCTTCATGGGCAAATCAGCAGTGTTGTCGGAGTCGAGGGTCAGCAGCGTCGCCTGGAGCGTTCGCCGATCGCCAGAGAACTTTATGCATTCATTGGTGCCGCTCACGAAGCCAATGAAAGTCGGTACGAACCTCCCGAGCGACATGTTGTGATCTGCGACAACTCGAGTGCGGTAAGCCCGGATAGACTATGCTATTTCACTTTGCTTTTGCTCACGCCGTGCTTCAGCCCCACTCGTGCCCGAATCCGACGAGCCTTGATCCGACGAAGGCAGGGAAAACCTGTGGGGGATGTCATTGGGTCAACTACTGCAGCGCGAAATGTCAGCAAGAAGACTGGACTCGACGGCATAGATGGGAATGCGCCGAGATGCGTCGAGAATACATTGGTATGATGTATCCCCATCGCGTTCTATCCCTCGCGACACTGAACTTCCTCTCCCAGCTGATAAACTGTCGGGTGCACGGTATTCGTACACCATGCGCTACTTTCAAACCCAATTTATCATGGCCTCTGTCTTGTTTTACGCTCAAGGTCAGCTCGACAACTTCCTCGTCTTGGACTACAGTCGTGGAGATCTATACCATGGTGCTGGGAGGAGGTACATGCCTGCCGAGACATACCAGGAGTATCGCCTCAAATCTAATTGCCCTGCCATCGAGGCTCGCGTTGATGGATTCGTGGCCGACGTTATTGGCCAGCCCTTCCAACACTATTCTACTCGAAGCGGGATTCGGACGCACCCACGATTCCGCGATCTCTTTGGTTATGAAGCTCGAGCGAATCGAAGGTGGAGAAGGTACCCAGGTCAAAGACCACTGGAGGTTGTGTGAAAGCGTGGCTCGCGTTGTGTAAGTTCTCAGCTTCCTCGTTGCTTTCTATTGCTTACCATGGTTTAAATAGAAACACCTTCGACGGTCTCTTCTCCCCGTTGTACTAAACGGACTATTAATCACATATATTTCCACTGGAACTTGTTTACGACCATGACTACTGAGTCTCAACTACTTGTTCATTCATCGTATGTATAGCATTGGGGGTACCACTCCGTCTTCAATGCCAACCCGATAGGAACATCGGGGCCGAGATCTGAAAAAGAGCGGGTCATTTCACGTTCCGAAGGGCATAAACTTACTAAAACTTACTGTTCAATGGAAGCATGTCGCAGATACTATCTACTGCACCAGGTCGTCCGCTGAAGTCGTATTGGAACTTTTCGTTTTTATTTTGCCATTCCCACCACACGTGGTCGACATTCCCGTGGTGCAGGTACTAGGTAAAGCTGTGTCAGCGTGGAGCGGGCAACCAGGAAAGTATATCGCACGAAGATGGGATCATTGGCACCAAAGACTTGAGATCCAAACCAGGGTGTACCCTGAAGCCTACGAGCGGGGTTAGCATGCATGATTTATCCACCAAGGAAGCGACGTACCAGTTGAAACTCTGACCGTCACCGCCAAGCAAGAAGTGAACGCTGTTGTGGATACTTCGAAATTGTGGCTCGTCCAGGCCGTCGATCATCGTCTCGAAGTCCCAGAAACTCTGAGCGCTCATAACACGCTCTCGAGCTGTCTTGTTGCTGTGAGGGGAGGAGTAGTCTTAGCTTATCCACGACATCGATAGACTTAGTTCACATACAAGGTATCACTAACACCCACTCCATAGCGGTTATCGGGATTGTACAGCGCATCAGGAGTGAAGTTTCGGACAAGGTAATGAGGGAGGGGGAGGTTTGGCTTGAAGGAGGCAAGTCAGATGACAGATACCGAATGAAACGAGAGAAACTGACCCTATAGTTCGGGAAAGCCCCGTTATCGACGATATACCCACCAGCGTTTCCGCCCAATTCGTTGATGGGTACTGAGCCACCATCTCCAAACCCGACTTCTGGATCAGTCGAGAAGACCGGCGCCTTATAAACATCTGGACCGGCGTCGAGGGTGTAATCCCAGTATCTGTCAAGAAACCATCAATGAGTTGAACCTTCATCAGTCCTCTTCGCGACTGAATGAATTACTCACGGAACAGGGCCAGTATATCCGCATAGCTTCTCCAGGGAGTAGCCATGCATCCATACAAACCAACGATGCCAGGGAAGGAACTTCGCTCCAGCATGATAGCGTACGAAGCCCTGAGCATGGGACTAGTACAATGTGTATGGTTATTATCGGCATAAACAGCGCTGAACAGCATTGCTCACGTTCGTCAAGTCGTCGTAGAAGGTGTGACTCGAGTTTCCAGTGAGTCCGAATGTTTTGGTCTTCATGAGGCATTTCTCAGCCTTGATGTACGCTTTCTGTTCCTTGCGGGTAAGCTTACGCCATTCCTTCCTCACCCTGATCCTGTCGCATCTTAGAGGATTTTGAGTGGCGGGCTTCCTAGCGCCATTTCTGCCCTCGAGGAAAGCGATAGCTGCGTCTGCGGCCTCGCCAAACCTGCGATAGTCCAAAAACGGGAGCAAAGGATTGGAGGTATCGACTCGGGCAGTGCAGGCGAGGGTTGAAGGGTACTCTGAGTTGGTGCCCGCTGGGAGGGCGTGCACCTGAGTCAAGGTGAAGACTGTAAGAGAGGCCAGTGATACGAGAGAGGCTAGAAGCATGGTGGTCAATCCAAGTCTTGTCAATTCAACCCAGCTCTCTTCGCGTTTTTATGCGGTTTCTCTGTGAGTAAAATGCTTCAAATAGCACAAGGTCTCAAGAACAGCGGATGTGCATATCTGAAGATACTCCGAGTTGAACATCCTAGCTCAGTTACAGAGTGTCCACACCATAGAGAACTGATCATATCTCCTCGATGCATGAGAGCTCCATGGCCATTAAAGGATTATCGCCCTCGCTCCGGGTGCACTCCGACTCGGGCGGGAACTTCGACTACCCAATGGCCATCAAGAAGGGCCCATTCGAAGTTGGAAACTGGGTTCTTCATGGATAACTTACTACCAGAAATGTTCAATCTTCACTTCTAGCACACGTACGTTGTTCCCGTTCAAGACATCCTCACACAAGTGAGACGTCTGGTCCCTTCACGAGACCACACGACATACTGCTTGAATAACACGCCACTTCCGAGGTATAGGCAGCATTTACTGGATATATTGAAACATACGCAACTCTTATCATTAAGACGATCAAGCAGACACGTCTGAGGGATAGCACTGAGCAAGCCAGAGTCCTGACGCGCGCAGGCCGACACTAAATACTGACGAACGCTCGGCCTATGTTTATTTTTAACAAATAAAAAGGGATACTACTATAAGATTTTTACAGATCTATCATCTATGCCTATTTCTGGTGGTCTATTATTGAAAACTAACATATACAGTCGCAGAACTGAAGGGGGGCGGGGAAAGCGTCTCTCGAAGGAGCGTGGGCAAAGCCCAACGTGCCGAAATCATTCGTTGATCCGAAGAGCACAGCGAGAATTTCGGGATCACAGACTTGCATTCGACGAAGTTGGTTGTCCTCGTCCGCTGCGCTCGCTTCACTTTTAACCTGCTCAAACCATATCCAAACTCTTCCCTTGTCGGCTGAACGTTTACCACCTGCCTATCAATGCGGATCGAGAGCATTTCTCAGGGGAGATGTCGCCAATGTCAGTGTCGCCTTGAAGCTGTGCTCGTTCTTGTCCTTCCACGAGTCTCAATACCTCTCCCAGTCTATCTCCCATGCCTAGTCTGTTGTTCGACCACAAAATCTATATAAATGCACCAGTTTCCCAACGGCAGTGCGAAGGTGAAGCGTGTCCAAGTAACGGCCCGCAGATTGTCCGTGTGTGCCCACCCGCTGGCTCACATGAACGAGCGCGCACGTAACGTTCTCGTACCTGGCTGGGCCAAATTTGCTACTGACCCCAGCAGAGTATACATAATACAGCAATGTATACAAAAATGTAAACCTCGGAAAGGTGTATCCATCCACCGTGCTTCGACTTTGATGGCGCAAACAAATACGGTGGGGGTACTATAAGAAGGTCGGGATGGACGATAGGCGTTGGAGAGGTCTTCCTGGTATCTCTTGACCCCACTACTAATCATCACTTCAAGATGTCTGACACGAAGGTCGAGCTTGGAAACAATGGCCAGCAGGCCCAGTCAGAGCCACCCCCACCTCCACCACCCGCGGTCCCAGGGAACCCGACGCCAGGGTTCGTCGTTATCTTTCTTCGTTCAGCACGATACTAATGGGCGCTTTTACATCAGAGGCATGTTTGCATTTGCTGGTACCCTCTTCCTGATGGCCCTCTACAACCTCAACGCCGGCGGAGTGACCGTTCCCAACGTCCTCGTTGGAATGCTCATTTTCGCAGGAGGCCTCACGTTGATGCTCGTCGCCCTCCTCGAGTACATTCGAGGTTACAGCCTCTTCGCTACCTGTAAGTTTTTCTCGCTGTGAGACAGCTAGTCTCCACACCTATCAAACCATTCGCTAACCTCTCGTTAACTCGTACAGGCTTTTTGACATTCAGCACTTTCTGGTTAAGCTATGGCGCTGTTCTCACCCCGTCCTTTGGCATTCTTGAAGCCTTCTCCGCCGACCCTTCCCAGATCGGACGTGCTATTGGCCTTTACCTCTTCGTCTACTGGATCACGATCACCATGCTCCTCATTGGTGTCATCGGCAAGAGCAAGCTCTTCACCATCCTGCTCTCCTTCGCTTCCTCAGGAGTCTTGCTCTTGGCCTGCGCACAATACACCGGGAAAAACGCGTACGTATCCCGATCGCCCATTCATTCCTACTTTCTCTCTTTACATCAAGCCACCCGGAGCTCGCACTTCCTTCTTTCAATTTATTCCTCGAAATTTCGGTGAATTTATGCTGATTTCAATTCAATCTGTTGTTATCCAGGTTGAACATCGTCGGAACTTCGTTCTTGTTAATCGTCGTGGCGATGGCCTACTACATTGGATTGGCTGGTCTGCTGATGTCGGAGCCCAATCCCGTGGTCAACCTCCCTATCTTTTGAGCAGGGCTGTTTCAAACTCGTTACGAAACGCTTTCACGTTCACGTCCGTTCATGTCATATCATCTCGCATGTACTGTAGTTCTCTTGCTGAAATTATCTGGCTTTCGAAACGAACCATAGACGCTCTTCACCTCCACCTCAACGCACCGAAATGCTCTCTCACTCGACCACAGCCTGCATCGTCTCAACCAATCGAAGGATACCTTGGTCAATCCCGGATAATCGAATTACCCTGGCACTTCGCACCTTCTTCGTGAACTTCCAATCTCGTCGGATGTCTACAGACATGGACTTGACGGATTGTGTACCTGAATACCTTCGTCTAGCTTGTCAATCAGCAGCGTCGTAGATCCATTTATCTCTTTTCTCTCACTCCATGGGGCGTTGATAGCCTACATTGAGGGAGAAAAACGCCCACCGAACACTTTTACGAGACTGTACCTGGCTCGAGCGCGACTACCAGGAAAAGAAAAGATAAAGCCACTTTATCCGAAAAGAAGCGTCGTCGATGAAGATACACGTGTATCCTCGCGACTGGTGGGGCTCTCTACTCCTCAAACTCTCCCTTCAAGGAAAAACTGCAAAGCTCGAGGAAAAGCCAAGCGGATGCCATCCCATTCAAATAACGGAACACAACTACCATGATTCGCCCGAACTCTCTCCTCGTCTCGGTGAATCAACAATACATTCGGAGCGGATGATAGTGCTTTAGTGAGTTCGTCGATCATTTCATGGGAGCCACGCGAGAGCGGGAAAACTCAAAGTAATTCAATCCAGGTGGCGATAGGCAGTTAAACCTGTGGTGCCCATATGTACGCTGTGATATCGTTAGTCTTCGTTCTAGACAGGGAACAAGACCAAGCCTGAAAGTAGTAACGTCGGCTCGACAATACAGCGACTGAGTTCTTGGGTATGTTCGAATTCACAGAGGTGTTGGGCGGATTTCCATGAATGGTAAAAATTCGCGGATGTCTTTATTTAATCAGACTTCGCCTTATACGCGATGGTGGTGTGCAAGTCCAATCTGAAAACCAGTTCCAAACCGTTGGTCACGGTGTGACAATAGAACATATTCCCTTGACTCCAAGTCACACTTCATGTAAGTACGGCATACATACACCATCTCTTGCACTTAGATGGCGCCCAACGCCCAACCGTCAAAATGGAACCTGATTTGGGTACAGTCATCAACGGCTCAATGAGACACGATCATGTGACGAGACAGCGATTTAGTGTTTTCACTCTCGTGCATTCAAATAGGGCTTTGGAAGCGAGTTTTTGGGTTCAATGTTACCGTTGAGTTGTTGCGAATTTAGTGGTGTAGATATTTATTCGCTACGACAGACAGCAATTGCAGAAAGACCACGAAAAAGCGAGTGTTTATCAAGATTTTGGCTTTGATCTGATGATGCGAAAATTCTTATGGGCATTTAACACATGTTGAGAGAGCTATGGGTAGGAAAAAGAATGTCATACAACACCCAAGGCATCGAGAAGAGTCAACATAATAATATAACTCAGTAGAAGGCATGTAGCTTCGGAAAAAGTTCAAAATACAATGACTCAGTTATCTTATCAAGATGCAGAAGGTTATTGGGAACTTCCGAACATGAGTTGGACATGAGGTTCACGCAGTTTAGCTCTTTGCATTAGTCCTTCACATCTTCATTCATTCCTATCCCATCTAATTCGTATCTGCTCCCCACCATGGTTGCGACTGCCAAGTCAGAATCTCTCAAAAACCGGGAGAATCGCGCCAAAGTGGATGACCTTCTAAATCGGGCAGCTGCTGCTTATCGCATCGAATTGGACAAAAAACCCGGAATACCACGCCGAGGGGCTCGTACTATAGCCAAGGATTTTGAAGAACTCTATTTCGTCGAGACGAATGGCAAATCACGTATCAAATTAAATCACAACACCATCATCGAGCGAGCAAAAGGGCGGAAAAGCCGGATTGATGCAGCCCAGATGCGAGAGTGGTTGCTCCCAGAGGAGATTGAGCTTGTGATCCAGCTCATCATCCGGGCTGCAGACCAGGGGTTTCCACTTACACATCGGAGGCTCAAGGAGGAAGTGGATCGCATTTTGAGGGCTCGCCTTGGGGAGGAATTTCCGGAGCAAGGGGTTGGAAAGAGATGGACCCAGCGCTTCATCGAAAAGCATCGTGATCGCATCAAAACCAGTTGGTCAACACCATTGGAGACCAAACGCGCGAAGGCTGTTAATCCCAACACTAACGAGGCGTGGTGGAAGTTGTTGGGCTCAACGTTGGAGGATTACAAGATGGAGACAGAGAATATTTACGCCGTTGATGAAGTTGGATGCCAACCATATGGTACAGAACGGGAGAGGGTGATTGGAGGAAACCGATCGGGGCCGCAGTATCAGCAACGTTCAGGAAACCGTGAAACGATTACGGTCCTAGTAGCCATCTGCGCTGATGGGTCGGGATTACCACCTGGAGTAATCTTCAAGGGAAAGGGGTACCAGGTGAAGTGGGCGCAAAATAATCCAGCTAATGCATCGTGAGTCAATTTATTTTTAATCATGCTTATTATTGATATATGATTATGATTAGGATTGGGTATTCAAAGAAGGGCTGGACGGACAATGAGATAGGTGCTGACTGGCTGAGGATTTTTAACGAGCAAACCAAGGCAAAAGCAAATGGGAAATGGCGTCTCCTTCTTGTGGATGGTCATAATTCCCATTATAGCCTTGAGTTTCTCAATCTCGCCAGAAATGAGCATATTCTCGTTCTCTGTTATCCCCCACACACGACACACATCTATCAAGGTCTTGACGTCGTTATCTTTGCTGTTCTCAAACGGCGGCTCAGCGAGGAAAGGGATAAATTCACGAGAACACATTCTGGTGAAATTACGAAGGAGAATTTTCTCGAAATCTACGGACAGGCCCATCTCGCAGCGCTCACCCCCGACAACATCAAAGCAGCGTTCCGCAAGACGGGAGTAGTCCCATTTGACCCATCGGTTGTCAAACCAAAGGACCTTGCTCCCAGTCAAACCCACTCTATGACATCTAACCTTCCGATCGCACCCCCGACGCCCGTGAGAGTGCTTGCAAAAATGTTGGGAGCACTGTCATTTGAAGACCAGAATTTGGATACAATTCCCGAAGACGATGAACCCCCGCCTTCACCATCAGATGCACAACAGTCACACCGTCGAAAGATTGTTGAGGAATCCGCCAAAGAATTAGCCAAGACAAATATTGGTTACCTCATCGGGCACTCACCTGCTTCTTCCTCATCCCCCATGTTCCAATTCCAATCCCAGAGTATTTCCGAGCTCTCTACAGACATCACATCTCTTCTCAACACCACACCATCCACCAAGAAAGAAACCGCACTCCTAGCTGCATTACGAGAAATTCATGCCGAGAACACTGCACTCAAAAGCCGTGTCGTTGAACTCCAAGCCTCGAACATTATTAACGAAACTTACTGCAACAAACTCCGGTTCCAACTAGCAGCCAAGGAGTCTAAATCAGCACGGAAGGGCAAGGGGAAATTACTGGGGGATGGACTGCCCCGGATGTTGTCGGGTGATCCATTTTACGAGCAGGTTGTTCAATTCACGGAGTGGCAGCGCCGCGAGGAAATTCTCAAGACCAAAAAGGGTGATGCCAAGACTTTGTGGAAGGCGGCAGTAGTGGAATGGGAGGCTGAGAAGGCCCGGGTGAAGCAGGAGAATGAGGAGAAGGATCGCGCGTACACACAGGCCGAGGAAAAGTGGAAGCGAGCACAAGCAGCAGCAAAAAGGTCCAAAAAGCCATTCAAACAACCAAAGCCCACTCAAGAACCGAAGATTCGGCTTCCAAAGAAGCCCACTCTCAAAGAATTCCAGGCGAGAATTGTCGGAGAGGTTGATGAGAATGCTGCTGAGGACCTGACAAACGATTTGGAGGCCGTTGTGGATAGCGACGACGACGAGGAGACTGATAGCAGCGACGATGAATAGATATCTCCGGATTTGATCGGCCGCTCTCGGCAAATGTCTCGTTCACTGATCGGAACACCCAAACCCGCCCACCATATTCTTTCAACCACCATGGCCTCCATACCATATGTATCCACTTCATTTCTGTGTATCTTGTGCAGCGAATGTATATCTATGTACTTGTCTAAAAATTACACCTCCGTACATAACTGTTATGGCGAATGAAATGGGTTGCACCAATTAGGTGTCTTACTCAGCCGTTGATGACTGTACCCATGACATCCCGTCTGATCCAGTTTGCGAATTCGGTACATGGCTTCACCATTTTACTCCTATGATTGAGGTACATCGGATTACGTTCAATCTCATACTTACACCTAGGCTTAGTACAGCTTGCTTGATACTGCCTTGCTTTCACGAACGGGACAGGTAACCCTGAGGGCCTCATTATCGGCGTCTATAGCTATGCCCTACTCTAGGCGACCGCATCCTTACTGCGATGTATCGCCTTATCTTTTGTGCTCTTCCTGATCATATCTCTACAGCAGAGCTCACATCCAGTCGTAATCCGTAATTAATAATTTGAGACGTACGGGGATCGCGTCATGGACAAGGACCACTAATGACTGGAAACGGCTGAGATAGGAGCAGCTCGTACTAGTACATTCACATAAAGGTATTGACACGAAGCTACAGTGAGATTAGAGAGCATATATTCAGCTACATCCGATGAAGAGTCACCCCATCAACGAGCTAAACTTCGGCACCTCAGCCAAGGCATAAGAGATATCTTTAAACCACTGCCCTGCCAATGCACTACACGAGTGGCGTCCCGTACAGTTACTGAGCAACTCCGCGTGTTGGTCGTCAAATTTCTCTTGCCCGGGAGGCTTTTTCTCCAGGATCAACTGATAAACCCCGCGAGTTGTTCGTCTGAAATGAGACATTGTCTGGGGGAAATACTTGGATGCGGCCGAAGTGCACGTGCGATGCATCGCTAATGAGCGTTCCAAGGGATAGCTCACCGCTGTCGGCTTGGTGAATAAAGCGTCGATGACGGGTCTGTACCCTTCGCGGTAGCGAAACTAGAATATTCTGCATCAGGACCAAAACGTCCGTTACGAAAAGGTAAGGCAATATACCCAGAGTAGCGCTATCTCATTGGACCTGCATACTTTATCCACCTCCGCCATGGTGTAAGCGATGGTGAAAGGGGCAGCCTCGTCCGCAATCTTGGGGTGATTAAACACCACCGCATACCGAAGAATACGGAGCGGCATCTCCTTGGCTCTATAGCTTTTTCGACCGTCAACCGTCCAGCGCGACTGCAAATGGGCCACTCGTACTCACAACAGAGCCGTACTACACGCGTCAACTGCAGCATCGATCAAGTACTTTTCGGCTGCCTCTGCCAGATCCACGACAGTTCGTATAGACAGGTCTACCACACTGGGACGTCGCTGGTTGTGGCAGAACTGCATCATGAGTCGGATAGTCTCCTCGCTCTCTGTCAGCTTGACTGGGTCCAAGGAGTCAGTGACCGAATCGCTGATCGGGAACCCATCGGTGTAGAGCTCAAGGTTCCTTTTATGAGCTCCAATCATGACATCGTCCCTTGAGGATAGAACGACGTCTACAGGGATAGCGCACCCGTCGACTAAACACGTCCCAATATCGATCAGTCGAGCGTCATCTTCCCAGCTTAGAGCCAATTTGCGTACCTGGACATTCAGGCATAGGTAATGTTTTCGGTGGAGGAGAAAGCAGGTGAGGTAGATGGCGGAATGGAAAAGACCAACAGAGATGAATCAATGACACTCCATCGATTACAGATTGTCAGTGCGCCGCTCAGGCTCGTGACCTGGCCGGTCCCATGACTTGGGCGCTACACTCTATATGGGCGCTAATCTCTATGCTCTATGAACGCCAATCGACGAATCATATCTTCCCGTTCACAGATCTCACACACTGTCTTCGCCCTCCTTCGGATGGTAAGCTCAAGCCCAAAATCTCTGAGACGCGCCGTGGTGTGTTGTATAGACGCCTCCGAGTTCAGTTCAATCCAATGGGCGTGCTTGCTTGGTTTAGAAATTCGAATGGGAAGCTTAGAAACTCGAATGCATGGTATAGGTAATGTGGGTCTTGAGGGCTGCGAAGGTCGCACACGAGGATATCCGAGATCGACGATGTAGTAGATAGACGATGCGTACCAGAATACAGATGAGAGATGAGAGATGATGTCGAAAGTAAGGGAGACGCGGCGCGCGAAAGGGGGCACGGCGGATGACTAAGCCGTGCGCCTCAAATCTACCTGTCTACGCTACGGCTATGGACAATACCTATCCACTACAGTAATACCCCACCGAATGAATTTGAATGGACAAATGAACGATTCACGAACAACGAGCTTCGAGTGAGACTCTGCGTGGATGACGTGCGGACGGATAATGCTACTGTAGCAACTTTCTTTGCGGAACGTCACGAACGGCTGGAGACGAGCCTAATACTACATCGTCCAACATACATAAATGCATAAGTAGTAAGCACCTTCTTTACTTGACACTTGTAACTCCATCCTTCGGCATTAGACTTTGCCTTCCATTGCCCCTGTCAATGTTCATCTTCTCCTCTCCTCTCGTCTCTCGGACGTCGGCTACTCAAGTACTCAAGTCACACCATATATATCATCCACGACGCGCATTTACATACAGTAGTCTACTCCAACTCCATTTATACATACTTACATTAAAGCCAATAGAAAGCGGGCCTGATCACATATTTGCAATGTATAGTTCAGAAGTAAAGCTTGGCGTCGGTGTATAGACGTCTCCGAATAGGCTTTAAATAAAAGTGTGAGGAGTAAAGTGCGAGCGCCGAGCACTCAGTCTCGCAGTTGTATGGGCAAGGGGTGTACCAGCCTCAGGCCTCAGGGGTACTACTAGTCCATGGAACGTATCCAGCCTCCTGAGGTTCCGATATACCAGTCGTAGTATAAGTACCGTTCGCACACGCACCACGGCAAACGAGCAAATGGGCAAATCAGTCGATACAACTTGAGTAGCCGACGTCCGAGAGACGAGACTCGGAAGATGCCAGGGGGAACGGAATGCGAAGTCTAATGATGAGAATGTACAGGTGTCGAATGACAGAAGGATTTGTTTATTTATATACGCATGTTGAACAAATCAGGACGTCGACGACGTGGTTGCCGGCGTTGTAAGTTTTAGTAGTCGCCGGGTTGTCCGCACTTCATCCACTACTCAAGAGTCTCACTCCACGCTCGCTCGTTCATTCAAAGTTCGCTCGTTCGTTCATTCGATGTTCATTCGGTTGGTCACTAGTAAGTAGTACTTACACACACACATTCGAGTTTCCCTAGGCAAGTGCGACCCGTTGAACCATTCGAGTTCTAAACCACTACATACACCTATTTGACTTTCTAAGCAACTTTACGCCCATTCGACCTTTCTAAGCTACTACTAGTCTACATTTCCAAGCAAGTATGTACACCCATTGGAGTCGTATTCAATATACTTATTCGGAGGCGTCTATAACTCCGCTATGACTTAAGTAGCTGACGTGGAGACTCGGAGAGTCGATTTCTCGACCGTGACAAGGGCAATTACTTAGGCGAAGTCCAATGCCGAAGAGTGACAGAAGAATTTGCTTACTTATGTGTTTATGTTGGACGATGTTGTTGCCGGCGTTGTAAGCACTAGTAGTCGCCGGGCTGTCCTCACTGCTTCATCCACTCAGAGTCTCATTCAAAGCTCGTTCGTTCGTTCGTTCAAAGTTCATTCGGTTGGCTACTAGTAGTACTTTCACCACGCATCCGAGTTCTAATCGAGCAAGAACACCAGCCATTCGGGTTCTAAGCAAGTATCAACACCCATTTGAGAATTAACTTCTAACCAAGCATGTACTATATACATCCATTAGAGTTGTATTCGGAGGCGAAGATGACAGGGGCAATGATTATGGAACGCAAAGTCCAACGCCGAACTAAGTACAACTTGAGCGACAGAAGAGCCTTTTGTTTATTTATATAAGTACGCATGTTGGACTATGTAAATGCCGGGGGGCAAGGTTGTACTAGTGTACTAGTTACCGAGCTGTCCGCACTTCATCCACTCACCGTTCGTTCTTTCGCTCGAAGTTCGTTCGTTTGTTCATTCGAGGTTCTTTGTTCATTCGGCGGGTTAGTACTTGCATCTTCTTTTCGAACTACACTTATTCGAGTTCCACGCTACTACTAAGTCGTCTACGTTTCTAAGCAAATATATATACACTCATCAGAGTTGTATTCAATGTACACACTCGGAGGCGTCTATCCACCGATATTTATAATTATGACTTGAGTAGCCGAGATCGAGACTCGAGAACTCGAGGCGAGAAGGGATGACAGGGGTAATCGAAGCTTTGATTTCACGGAAGGCGTCAGTAACGAAAAAATAACAGACATTACACTATGTAATTGCTCATTACTTTTGGTAATTGAAATTCGTACTTAGTCTAGTCCCGAGTGGTACTATACTTACATAGCTCCAAGTCGTACTATACTTGGCTCCAAGCAAGCTCCATGTTGTGTGCTGCACGACGGACGACGGAGACGTGCCTAAACTTAGCATGGAGACATGTCTAAACGACGATGGAGACCTGTTCAAGTCCTATCGACAGACTAAGTATTGAATATTGCGCATTTGTGGCTGCGATGCCTGGAAACGGACGCGATGACGGCGTTGGAACTTGGCGTCGTCGCATACCAACAACCCGGTGACGAGCCTGGGCTGCTCAACGACGACGTCGACGAGCCTAAAGTTGTTTCCCAACGACGATGATGACGGGCAGGACGCGGACGCGGGGAGGCAAGATCGCTCTGTAGTGACGGGTGACGGCGGAGAGTGCTGTGACCAAGAGCGAGGGGGGGCGCCTATCAGAATTCCATCTGTTACTTGGAATCGACGATGACGTTGGAGTCACGGTCACATCGCCCACCATCCAGCTTGCATGGCTCCAGTGCTTGAGTACTTACCAAGAGTCCAAGAAAAAAAAAAAAGAAGGACCGAGACGACTCTGAATAACGAACGAACGAACGAGAAAACAAAACGACACCTCCAAAACGGGCTAAATGACATCCTCCTAAAAAAGGACAAAGGCAATCAATTGCAAGTTGATGTGTGGACCCTCCAACCCGTCCCGTTTGATTTTGAATCCCAACCCTGACCCAATCACTGCTACGTAAGCCTGTTGGTGTACCTCCCCCACGGCACCGTTCCAGCCCTGTTCCTTGGCCAACGGCAATGGATTCTGGAAAGGGAAAGAGGGGATGATTCAGGTTCTGGAAAGGGAAAGAGGGGGAAACGGTGGCGGTGTCAGAGCTCTGGTGGGTGGGAAAAATCCCCCTCGTGCCCTTTACACATCGCACTGCTCTTGTTCTTCCTTTTCGTTTCGTTGTTGTCTTTCTGGTTGTCGTCGTCGTCTATCCGACAATCTAACCTATTACCCCCTTTTTTCTTCCCGCCCCCTGCTATCTAGCTCTATCCCTTCCTCGTTTTTTGCTTTTCGGTTTTCGTTTCGTTGTTATCCCTTTTCGCTTTCGTCTGCTGTTCTCAGGCCCGACCTTTTGGAGGAGAAGAGAAGACATATCAACGAGGGCGTATACCAGAGATAATCAACTCCCCCGCTCGCGCCCGACCGCAGACTATCCGACTTATCGTAGGAGGAGGACCCGACATACCAGGCGAAGGAGAAGTAGGAGGGAAACGACGAAGCATAACCGAGTATCACTCGCGAAGAGACACATACACACGCACTCACGGAGCCCAAGGCCTTGACGGTTTCTCTTTTGGGCGCAGGAGTACGAAGAAGAGGCGCGCATCGACACAGCGACGCCGGCACTAGGAGGAAAGTCGCTCCCTTTGTTTGTTGAAGGAATAGGCGGACCGGGTTAGGAGTGTTGGTTTGGACAAAGAGGAGGACAAAGGAGGTTTCCTTGAGTGTAACTCGACTCGACTCTTCAAATTCAATTCAACCTCGACACTCGGAGATACAGTAGTACAAAGACGACGATAATGGGCGGATGCGTATCGACAGTGGATCGGGCGGGCAAGGCTCGTTCGGACGAAATCGACAGGCAGATTGAGGAGGACAACAAGAGGTTTAAGAGGGAGTGTAAGATTCTGCTGCTAGGTGCGTTCTCTTCTTCCTCCCCGTCCCTCGCCTTCGTCCCTCTCTCTGGCTACCTCACCTCCGCCACCACACCCACACCCACATCCACACCCTTCGTGCGCCACCCAACGCCGACACTCGCACCCGACACTCGCACCTCACCCTTCCCATTCCCGCTGACACCTGTCCTGATACTGATACTGATATGCGCCCCCGCGCCCACAGGCTCAGGCGAATCCGGCAAATCGACCATCGTCAAACAAATGAAGATCATTCACAAGAACGGCTTCACCCCCGCCGAGCTGGCAGAGTACAGACCCGTCGTCTACAAGAACGTCCTCGAGTCTGCGCAGCATGTTGTCCTTTATATGATGAAAGCGGGGTTGGGTTGTGTTGAGTATTCGAATAGGGTGCGTGGAGATTTTTTTTTTCCCTTTGTGTTATCGTTCGGTTCCTTCCTTTGTTTCTGCTATCGCTTCTGCCGTTTTATTTTTGCTATCGATAATCGCTGGCCCGTTCGTCGGCTGTGGTTGGGACGTCGACGGCGCCGCCCACACCGCCTCGTTCGATGGCTTTCTATGGCGTTCTTGGCACCCCGGCCCTGGTCTTCCCACTCTTTTCATTTCCTTCCTCCTCTACGCGCCCACCCGTCCCTCTTCCCCACAACCCCAATTACTCACACCTGACACGCCATAACTGACACTCACCTCGCAAACTTGCAGGCCCTCGCCGATAAAATCCTCGAGTACCGCCTAGACGCACACGGAGACACGCCCTACTTTTCTCCCGAAATTGCAGAAGCGATTGACCAACTATGGAAAGACCCGATTATACCCAAGATTATGGACGAGCATTCGAGCAAGTTTTATTTGATGGATTCGGCGGGGTAGTGAGTGTCGTCTTCTTTCTCATTTCTCATTGTTTTCCTTTAGTCGTTCGTTTGCTTTTACGTTTTCTTTTTTCTTGATGTGTTTCTCGGTTGGGCTGGTTGGGGTTGGAGTCGGTGGGCTGGCCAAGTTAGGGGTCACTACGCTGGGCGAGTACGAGCATGAGGACCTGTTGCCTAAGTATGGCACTACACTGCCTTGACGCATACCCTTGCTTCCCCATATAGCCATCCCAGCACACCCTCCTCCCCCATCAGATACTGTCCACGGAAAGAATACGGTTACTGACTACCCATTTTTCTCGCGCTCTACAGCTTCTTCAGCGAAGTCTTACGGATAGGCGACCCCAATTATCTACCCAACGAAACGGATGTGTTGCGCGCTCGTCAAAAGTCGGTCGGCATTTCGGAGACGAGGTTTACGATGGGGCAGTTGTCGTACGTATCTCTTTTGGATTTTACATTACCGGTATCCTCTTCTAGACTTTATATTCCATTCGTCAAACGACGACAACAACCTTGATGCTAACCCCCTTTCCCTCCCCACAACAGAATACACATGTTCGACGTGGGCGGTCAACGTTCCGAACGCAAAAAGTGGATCCACTGTTTTGAGAGTGTGACGTCTATCATTTTTTGTACTGCGTTGAGCGAGTATGATCAGGTTTTGAGGGAGGAGAAGACACAGGTGCGTTGCTTTTAGTTGTTATGGGTTTGAAGGTCAAGGGGAGAGGGCTGACGGTGAACTCTTGTTATCGATTCACATCGCGACCTTTTTGAACGCACGCACACACCCAAACTCGAAACGACTCGAAACGCTCCCACCACCCACCCACCCACCCAACTGGAAATGAAACCCACTTCTGGCACTGAACAGAACCGAATGGCCGAATCGCTCATTCTGTTTGAATCGGTGATCAACTCGAGGTGGTTCCTCCGCACGTCTATCATCTTGTTCTTGAATAAGATTGATGTGTTTAAGAATAAGTTGCCCAAGGTGAGCTTCTTATCATTTCTCTACCCTCTCTATCGAGCCCGCTCGCCCCTCCCCCCTTCACCCCTCGTTACTGAACTTGCTCGCTAACGCTCACTCGTCGCGCAGGTCCCACTGGAACGCTACTTCCCTGAATACACGGGTGGACCGGACATCAACAAGGCTGCCAAGTACATTTTGTGGAAGTTTATGCAAGCGAATAGGGCTAGGTTGAGTGTTTATCCACAGTGCGTATTTCTCTTTTCTTTTTTTTAAAAATGCATCGGGCGTGTCTTCGTCGCACCATACATGTTTTCGTTGCACCGTATTGAATTGAATAACAATGAATGTCGGATACTAACGTCTGTTTTCTTTTCTACTTTGGCACAGTCTAACGCAAGCGACTGATACTACGAATATTCGACTGGTCTTTGCGGCTGTGAAGGAGACGATTTTGCAGAATGCGTTGAAGGATAGTGGGATTCTGTAATGCGTTAGGTAGGGATCGTGATACACCTACCATTTCCACGCAATCGACATACGGCATTCTATATCTACCATTTCGCGCGACTCGCTGACACCACCATCACCGCCACCGACTACACCGACACCATTACCATAACCACTTGCATCCTTGGCATCCCGCACAACTGCAACCTACTCCTTCGCATCCGGCACCTGTTTCAACGTACCAGTTTTTTTTTCACGGCCTATGAAGATCATCACCATCCATCATCCATCACCATCGTCATTTCAAGAATACGTGTACCATTTACTATCTGTCTTTTTTCTGCATTTTTTGGGCTATCCCTTCTGTCCTTTCCTATCGACCACACACAGCCGCTATCGACCACTCACCCCGCGCTAGCATTTACACCTGCGCTACAGGGAGCCACCAGATCGATGACGTGGTTGGTGGCCAGCTTTTCGACGGCATGAATGGCTTCGACGATGTGGGGTTCCGACGCGTCCTGGATGTCTTCATCCACCCACCTTTTTTATGTCCGTTTTTATGCCCCTGTTTATGACCCTCTCTTTTTTCGTTGAGTTTTTATAACTTCTTTTTCTGTGGGCGTCGTTTTGTCGTTGGCCTGCTCTAGGGAGCGTGGGGAGGAGGAGGGCAGGAGGAGCAGGAGGACAGGAGGAGCAGGAGGAAGGGAGGAGGAAGGAAGGGAGGAGGGTAGGACGGGAGGAGCAGGACAGGAGGGAAGGGAGTACGACAGCAAACCTTCGACCCACGACTCTTTTGGCACGCAAGATTTGGTGTGAGCCATATCTCGACGAGGTACCGACGACGCGTCCCTTCCGGCATCTGCATCACCCCGTGCTCTGCTCTTTCGGCACCAGGTCACCTCAGGATACAGCTCGCGTCGGGATACAGCGCACGTCAGGACACAGTCATCGACGCCGACAGCACAACCGTCACCAACATACGTGCCACATCGCGGACCCAAGCATACCGTCTCCTCAGCGCAACACCTTTTCGAACGTTCGAACCGTGTCCTCAGGCTTCAGAGTCGCCCGGGGGTTGTTGTTGTGCACGTTCGTTGTCGCGCTTCTGGTCGTGGGGGTTGGTTGGGCTTCTTGTCTTTGTCGTGGAGGACCGGGGTAGGCTAGGCGCGTTCCGGGTGTTGACGGTAGGATGGGGTCGAGGCATCCCGGGGGCTGGCGAGTCCGGGCCTCAGTCTGCCGTTCTTCCAAGGTCGGGCCAAACGTTGCTCGACGTTCGGCCATGCGTGCGTTCACCTTCGATCGTTTGGATGTCGGCAGCCCGCGTTCGACCTTTGTCTTTCGACCGTTCACCGACGATGCTCGGCTTTTGACTTCCCACGTTCGACCCTTGGCTCCCGGTATCAAGCTTGCGTTGAGGATGGTGTGTGGTCCTCCGCGTCTCCAACCAGCGACCGATGAACGACATTCCATGTTCCCGGCCGACGAAGGACGATCCATGGGTTTCCGCCCGCATCTTGCTTTCCTTCATTTTGGAAGACATTTGGGATTTGCTATTTTTATGCTTGCGTTTTCCTTATCGGTGTTTTCACGTTGACTTTGCGTGTTTCGCCTTTGTCTGGTTGGGTTTGACCTTTCTAGCGTGCGTCCCCGGCTCTTTGTGTTCGTTTTTGTTTTGGAAGTACATTACCCTCTCCTATGTTTTTTTTATGTTGCTTTTGGCGCTACTTTTGTTTTAATTTGGGCGTACGCTTTTCTTTTTCTCTTCTCGTGTGTGTGTTTTGGTCCTCGACGGAGGATCGGGCGCTTTCTTACAACTTGCTAACTGACGGCTGTTTTCGTCACGCGCTACTACTGACGGTTGTTTCGTCTGGTTCTTCTTTTACTATGGGTGGGCGGAAACCCTTTTCTTTTTTCTTTATCCTACGTATTTTTAGTTTTTTGAGTGTGTTTGATTCGTATATTACTACTGTTACCTATCCTCCCCCTTGTCGTTTTTTTTTTTTTTGTGTTTTTTTTTTTTCTGTCTCTGGCTCTATCTCTGTTTCCTATCTCTCTGTCCTATCCCTCATTCTTCCGAACTACTGTCTATCTCTCTCGTCTCTCGTCTCTATCTCGTCTCTCTCGCCTCGACTCGACTTTTCCTCATCTCTCATGTCTCATCTCGTCCCTCTCATCATTCTATACTCTTGTGTTAGGTCTACTTTTTTGGATTGTACAATATATATTTTTTTCTTTTTTCTCGTCGACATCTCTCAATCTTCGTGGTCAAGTTCTCCGAGGGTCTATCCTTAGTTAGTCTTAAGGAAACTACCTATATTCGTTTGTATGTGTTTGTCTTCTGACGGTCTTTGCATGGTGCCATTTTAGCTTCTCTCTTCACTTTCTTTCCTTGGTCGTTGGGACTCGGTTAGCGCTCGAAATGGGGAGTCATGATTGCTTGAATCACCTGTGAGGCTACGTTTTCGCCTTTCTATCTCCCAACGCCCTCATACAAGACGTATGTTTTCTCTTCCTGGGAGTGTAGTACAGGTCCCTGAGACCAGATCGAAGCGACATGGATGGTGGTTGTGGTGGGAGATCTTCGCCTCAATCCAGCAAAACATACGAGAACTCTGCCGGGCCCCCTCCTGGCCAATCGCCTCGCTTCCTTTTGTTTTCGAATTTCGATTGTATAATATAAAGCCTTTTCGGCACTCCCAGATGGATCCCCATAGTATATGCTATATCTTACTGCACAATCCGTGATGTGCAATCTCCATAGGTTGTCGGTGTAGGAATCTGTCTGGACTCGCACATATGAGCACAGGGTACTCCTTTGACCACCTACGCCGTCGGAATGATAAAATCGTAGTCGGTACGCTGAGGATCTGTGCGATGCGACACCATCGTCGGGCCTTTACGGTCTAATTGGCAGTGTGTTCCTTCTTAAGTTGTTTTCAATAACGGCCCGAGATCTATTGTTTGTGCCCTATATAAGGTGGATATCCGGAGTCTAGGACACCGTACATCCATGGTTATCAAAATCCCCTACTGTTCATCGTCCCTTCATGGTGTCGGAGCCGGTGTTTAATCATCATGATAAGAGCTCGACTTTCGATTTCTTTGAGTCGTCAGACGGTCGGAGCCGGCATCGTGAACGCTTTTAATGCGCACCTTCCACCTATCATTATATCTCGACGTTGCTACTCAATCTTCGTGGTCAAGTTCTCCGAGGGTCTATATAATCTTTGAGGTCTTTGAGGCGGCGGGAAGTTCTGTGGCTGTCAACTCACTCACTCTCTTCTCGCGGTGTCGGTCCCTCTGCAGAGTGAGGAGTCCTACGTAGTATGAAGTTTGGTGGAGAAGAGAAGGTGCACCGTCTTCCGCGGTGGACTCGCAGGGAATTCGAAGAGACTCGGATGTTTCGCAAAGAAGAGAAGGTGTGGTTGGGATGACGACTAGAAGCCCACCACTACCGTGACGAAGGGCGTGTGGGGATTGGAGCTTGTGCCGGGAGGAGGAGGGCAAGAATCAGAAAGGTGTCCGGGCTCGGGGGTTGCAAGTGTTCCTATTTCTCCGAGAATGTGGGTTAGGATGCAGGGTACTTACTACACCTGAATGGTTTTTGCTTACTATTCCTGCGCGTATGTAGAACGACCATCAGGGTCTGAATCGCAGATGGGGGAACTATAGTCTATAGAATATCGAGCCTGGGGTCAGGGGGACTCGGAGGGCAGACTCGGATGGAATCCTGGATGGACGATGGTGAGAGGAACTTTATTCGGGGAGGTTCGAAGTTTCGAAGGGTTCGAGGTTTCGAAATTCGAATTCGTAGGCGGTACTAGGGCGCCTGAATATATGTATGTTGGACGTCGAACATTGACTCATTGAAATCCATGACTCTCAGGGCTTGAGGCTCGACTTCGACTCACTCACCTTCCTGCACCCACCCACCTTCGACGCGGTCGCTTCAGCTGACTCGACGTGGACGCTTTTAAGTTGAAGGATAGCGATGGCCGACCATATAGTCTTGGGCGCTTTCAGAATCCAGTTTTCATTCGTCTTTTTATTGTCCTTTACCACGCTGGTGGTTTTGGGGGATGTGCCTGGCACTGCGGAGACGAGTGTAGAGGGGAAGGCGAGGATCGATAGGGAGGCGATTGTGAGGAGGTTTAATCCTGTCCGTCGGCACAGTTCGCCTCTGGGTCAGGGAGGGGAGGGAGAGGTTACGCCTTTGCAGATCGGTACGTCTTTCCTTGAATTTCTATCCTTCCTGTTCGTTGATTCGAATTGACTTTAACTGACTGGGCAATTTGGCCGGACAGGAAACGGCGATTTCGCGTTCAACACCGACATCACTTCATTACAAACTATCCATCCTTTCAATATCCTCTCTTCGTGGGGGTGGAAGGAGGATGCGTATCCGGTTGGGCGGACGAAGGAGGATATTGAGCAGTACCAAGGTGCGCACAAACCTCTCTATGTTCAGGCTACACTCCTCATCCGAACGTCTGATTTACTTGGGATTTGGATGGATGATTAGGCGCAACATGGCCCAACCAACATGGCATGCAAGTTCCATACGATTTTGGCGGTCCTCCTGATCTCGAGGCGTATTTGAGGGGCAGTCCTAATCGGGCTAATCTTGGGAGGATCGGGCTCGTCGTCCTCGACGGAGATGGGTCCAGCACCAGTCAAGATGGAGATGAACCTACTGCAAATGGAGACGTAAAGCCCATCGAGATCAGACCGGAAAACATCCACAACGCGACGCAGACTTTGGATTTATGGAGTGGGATTTTAACAAGCAGGTTCGAGTTGTTTGGGGAGGACGTTGTGGTTAGAGCTGCGGTGGATATGGGGAGCGATACGGTTGGGATTAGTGTCGAGTCGAAGCTGTTGTTACAGGGGTCCGGCAAAGGGAGGAAAAGGAGACTCGGTCTGTTCATTGACTTTCCGTGGAACGAAGGGCGGGAGAAGTTTGCTGCGCCTTTCGTTGGGTATTGGAACGAGACGGAGAAGCATATCACGAGTCTTTCGTTTGTGTCTGGGGGATCTAGTTCAGGGGAAGAGGATGAAGATGGTAAGGTTACAGGCGGTGGAGGAAGGAAGGTGGCGAGGATTACGCACCGGGAGTACCAGACTACTTCCTACGCTTACATCTCCGGCTCGTTCGACATAACGCGGGACTCGCCGTACAAGCATCGCTACACCATCCTCCCCTCCTCAGCGCGCTCAACGACACTCTCCCTCTCAGTCCACTTCTCGCCCAACGCCCTCCTCAACGCCTCTTCGATCCCTTCCTCCCAGCGTATCTTCACGTCTTCTCGCGATGGATGGAGGAAATACTGGGAGGAGTCGGGGTTCATCGACGTCTTGACTGGATCTACGGATCCGAGAGCGGAAGAATTGCAGAGGAGGATCATCTTGAGTCGGTACTTGATGCGTGTTAATGCGGCGGGCGAGACGCCTCCGCAGGAGAGTGGGTTGGTTAATAATGGTTGGGTGAGCCCCGTTTATTCCTCGCACCGCTGATAAATACGGGACGCTAATCTAAGGCGCTCTGGTCTAGTTTGGAAAGTTCCATATGGGTGCGTTTCGGTTGAGATTTAGCCTATTTGCTAGCGAAAAGCTAACCTTTGGCGCTTATTTCTGGAATCCTTTGGTGCAGAGATGTATTTCTGGCACAAGGCACATTGGGCCTTATGGAACAACTGGGATATTCTTAATCGTTCGTCGTCGGTTTATCATCGGTTTTTGGAGTCGTCGATCTGGAGGGCTAGGGAGCAGCAGGGTGCGGCCCCACATCCGTGACTTAATCTCGACATTGACCTCTATCTTTATTAGGATGGAAAACAGGCGCTAGGTGGCCAAAGATGACCGATCCTTCAGGTCGCTCCTCCCCTGGCGAGTTGAACAACCTCTTAATCTGGCAACAACCCCACCCGCTCGTTTTTGCTCAATACGAACTGCGTTCCGTTCAATCGCCATTGTCGGCGCTCACCACCGACGAGAGAACACGAAAGGAGCGCGAAGTATTGGAGAAGTGGAGGCCCGTGGTAAAAGAGACGGCAGATTGGATGGCCGAGTTTGCGTGGTTTAATGAGACGAAGGGGACGTACAACCTTGCTCCGCCTATCCACGTCGTTTCGGAGGATACGAATCCAAATCGGACGTATAACCCTGCTTTCGAGTTGGCGTATTGGAGGTTGGGTCTGGGTCTAGCGGAGGAGTGGTTTGAGCGACTTGGCGAGGAGGATGCATCTCGGTCGAGGTGGAGGGAGGTGAGGGAGAACCTGGCTCATCTCCCATTCGACAAGGAAAGAGGGCTGTACCAGATATATGAAGGGATTGAGAGTGATTTTTGGATGGATGAGAAGTATACGAGCGATCATCCGGCCCTGGTGGGGCTGTATGGGTGGTTACCACCGACTGACGGCTTGGACACTGTGATTGCGAGGAAAACAGCGGAAGAGGTGTGGAAGAGGTGGAATATAACCAATTGCTGGGGGTATGGTCTCACTATTCTTCTCATAATAGTTCTCGACTAATCAATTACACCTGTAGATGGGACTTTCCGATGCTGGCGATGTCAGCTGCGCGCCAGGGCAACCAGGCAAAAGCGGTCGAATGGTTACTTCATCCCTTGTTTGCGTTCGCTGACGCTGGGATGCCGATTGGAGGTGCGAGGGTTCCGACGCCTTATTTCCCGGGCTCTGGAGGGCTGCTTTATGCTGTGGCGATGATGGCTGAAGGCTGGGATGGATTTGAGTTGGACGAGGGTAGAGCAGTAGGGCGAGAGGGAATGGACTATAGGCAGGCGCCTGGGTTCCCCGAAGGGTGGGATGTGAGGACTGAGGGGATCGACCGTGCTTTGTAGTACGTAGATCGAACTTTTGATTCAGCTGTATGTGGTCGATGTTGTCACCCTGTACTTCCCCGCTCCCGCCTCATACGTTCTAAGTAGAGGTATGTTGCGGAGGTGACTGGTTCAGCTATGCCAAGCATCCTCATTCAGTGGCGCTACCTCTATCAACCCGACTCCGACTTCATTCACACATGTATCGACTGAATAGACTGATCTTTGAACGTCCTACCTACATACGTTGATCTCCACGAAGGGCCGAATAGATCCAATACTCCTCGAGTTCCGGACAGCCTCTGAATTCCATCCGAGTCCATCCTGAGCCTTTCATTTATCGGTGAAGCCAAACACCCGAATCTTACGGGTGGACACTACACCACCAATTTGGCCAGAGCCCACCGTGATGTCGGGGATTGATGTTGGCTAAGGTGGGACGGTGATGTCGGGCAGTCCTCACATGGATGTCCACCGGATATCATTGTCCGAATATCGCTGAGACATCAACTTGGGATCCTCAGGGCATCGGCAGATGGTCATTGGGACCTCGGTAGGGATGTTATCTGGTCATCGACGTAAGAAACTCGGCGCAGAGCTATGTGTGAGGTCCTGGAGGATAGGGTTCCATTGGGTCTGGTTGCATGTACAGTCTACGTAGAAAATAATACATCAGGCATGTCCGTCTACGTCCTCCATCTCATCATCGAGCTCAGGTTCGTCAACTGGGGGGTCGATGGCCATCTGTGTTGTAGCCGCAGCTTTTCTATTTTTCTCCCTTGTTGCTTGCGCTTTCCGCTGAGTTTCCGCTCGTTTTTCCGGACCAATGATGCGAAGTTTGGCGGCCGCGGACTTGCGATGAGCCTCACTATCAATACTGAATGGGGTTGGTTGGAGTAGTTCCCTTGGGAGGGTCTTGCGGATGAGATGTAGATTATGGAGAGAGTGAGTATTTAGAAAGTATCGAGGCTTCTGGGCGTGCACGATCGCAGGCTTCGGAATGGACGTTGAGATCCTTTCTTGCATGACATTCTTCGGGCCTTGTTCAGTGATAGAGCACCCGGCGGACACGCAGTCGTGTTGAGCATTGAAAGCAAACAATACATTCTGTAGTTGGCAAAATGAGTGACGTTCCCATTGACAGAATTAAGGCCCTTGTATTAGAACTTACTGAGGGTGCCATGGCTACTCGCTCGCCCGCTGACTCGAGGATGGGCATCTGCATTCGTTCATCTCGTGCTGACAATATCGTGAACCGGTCAATCACAACAAAAATGTTTCCATCGACAAGGGCTGCCCCTGTTCTGGCCAAAATCTTGAATATACGGCCGGAGTGGACCTCCTAAGAGTGGAATAATGAGCCAGATCGCAAGATAAGAAGCAAGGAAGATGCGTACCTCCCCCTGCTTGTAGAAGACCCAGAAGTCCACCTTGCACAGATCTTTCGATTGAGAGATCACATACTTGCAATGATCCAATGTTTCGTCGCCAGGCAGGCCGGTCACATCGAGGAGATTCAGGGAAGCGCTTGTACCAGGGTGGAGCTGCCTTCGTGCCTGGAGCTTTACAGTTCCTGCGGGACGCCGTCAAAAACATTGAAAAGAAGGGATTGAAACGTGCGCACCTCTCTCCAGCCGCTTCTCATCAGCCCATCCAAGTCGGCGCTGGATTTCGGCGTTCGTCGTAAACAAAAGACGGATCTCAACACCTGCCTGGACCCAATGACCCCTGTGCTTCCACCACCCGCTGCTTATGAGATGTTTGAATCGCTCCATTTTGCCCAACGTGGTTGCGATGTCCTTGCTAGGTGACAGGTGGTTGGAAAAGACGCTGCACATCCGGAAAATCGCATTCCAGCATTCGAAAACCTCTGTTGAGTAGAGGATTGCCGGACCGAAACGTCGAATGTCGTCGACCAGATGGGTCAGAACATGGAGTTTGACTTTAACCAGTATTCTTCCGGGGTCGAAGAGCGCCCAAACATCGAGAAGGTTGTCAATCAGAACTTGAAGATCACTCTAATTGACGCAGTGAGCCTTCTGTCGTTTGAATGGCCGGCGACGTACCAGATATTCTTCAATGTTGTCAATCTCGGCGATCCAGAGCATGGCCCCAAGCTCCCCTGAAGCTCTCCATAATTGGAATACGACGTCAGAGCAGAGATCGTGAAGGTGGAAGATGGCCAGCTGTTGCAACACCTTGAAGTGCTTTCCAATCAACGAATTCTTGTATTGTACCAAGTATTTAGCGCGCGGTGGAGCAGTGGTCAGGCCTGCGAGGATAGACGATTCAAGGCGAGTTGCAAAAATTGCCTCCTCTGCCTTGCTCCAACCCTTCGACGTCTCGTGCCAAACATACTTCTTGTTTCCAAGAAGCCATGTGTGCAGAATCTCGACAGGCGTGTCAGAATGGGGATTTATTCCTGTCGAAATGGAAGTCAGTAGATGAACCAGGCGAATAGACAAAGGATGTCCTGAGGACTAACCACGACAATTAAGTAGGCTGCTGTAGTGCACGCCAGGGCGTAAGTCTGTTGGAGGATCTTCGTATCTCCGTAAGTACATAACCACTAATTCGGGCTGAATAAAACCGTACCTTTGTTGTCAAAGCTGTCTTCGGGAAGCCACACGATTTCGTTCCAGAGCTCATGCTGTATATTTCGCTGAATGGCCTCTTTGAGCCGGATTCTGTCTTCACGGGACATCCTCTCATTGAGCCGAGGGTCTCGCGTTAGCCTGTCTCTCATTCGCTGCGCTTGGAGTTCCTGGGATTTGGAGAACATGAGCTCGATCCAATGTTGCGAGATCTTGTCCTTGACGCCGGATTGAGAAATGTTCGACTGAAGATCATCGCGTTTTCCATAGCAGGCAAGGCGAACCTGCGCTTTCACTGTATCAATTGTTTCCATGACCCGCCGGGGACGTCCAGGCTTGGGAGCGTTTATCAGAGCACGTCTCGATGGTAAGAGTAACGGCTGGAGTACCTTGAAAAGGGCGCAGTATCCTTCATCTGTTTCTTTCTCTTCATCGCGACCTCCTGTCGTATCCCGTCGACAATTACTGAGACCATTTCCCCCAATGTGGGAAGCGTGCTCGGACTGCTGCGGATTGTCCGCTGGGAGAAGGTGAGGGATGAGCTGGAACAAAATTTCTTCTTTGTTCTGACAATCGTAGGCCAAATGCCAGATATCCTCGTCGCTATGATCACGGTTAATGGCGATAGGTTAACTAGATATCATGTAAGCACTCACAAGTCTTTAACCAGCGCAACGAACTGTTCCGAGCTCGACGCAAACGAGGACGTGGAGCAGAAGCGTACAAAATATTCCTGCGAGAGAACTTTATGAGGAAGACTGAGGTTCTGGATATAGATGTTGGTATGCGGGTTGTATTGCTTGCTAACATTTCCAGAAACGTCGTCACTCCAAGGCATAACACGCATCCGATACATTGGACGACCACCAGCCTTTGTCCGTAATGGGTGGGGCGGGCCAATATCCTTCATCCAGGCCTGAGAGCCAATCGCTAATTTCAGATTGAATAAGTATAAGCAAGCCCGACCGTGATCAAATGGGATCTACACACCAGTGAAGCGCAATTTGTACTTTTGCTCGCCATCCAAATCCACAGCATTCCTGGTCAGCTCGGAAGCGGGGACATTCACCAGATCCGGATCCGCTATGGAAAATGCCTGTCCCTACAAATTCCATCAGTCACTGACCCACATAAACACGCCTTGGAAACTTGCCTCTTGGCTATATGAAAGGACGTAACATTCGGCGTGAACCGCACTCCGGATTGTCACCCACCGGATAGGCAGGACGAAGCTTCCATCACGACGCTCTGTGATTTCCTTGATATAGAAGTGCTTCCTCTCTTGCACACTCCCATCATACCACATTGGGCTCAATTCATCGACGGGGACCTCTTTGAGCCATTTCTCTGCTTGCCACATCTCAGATACCGGGAGGCTCCGATCGACTTCAGGGTATAACGAAAATTGGTTGCGAACCATTGGGTTGGCCCAGTCCTGCGACGTTGGGTGGGTCATCGAAACATAGAGGCGGTCATTCGAGTACTCACCAGCGCGATTAGCTTTGCAGGGTGGTTCATGTAGAAATGGTTCCCTTGAGAGGATGTGTGATGCTCAGGTGAGAACCCGATGGCCCCTTGGAGTTCGTTCTGCAGTTTTCGAAGACGAGAAAAGGTAGGTACATCTGGGGTGCCACATTCACGCATCACCCAAAGTATTGCCTTCATATGGTCATCTGAAAGGCGCAGGCGTGGAAGGTTATCCAGCATATCGAGCATGAACATCTGGCTCGCGAAACGATCAACATTTTCCGTGCGCAGACCAACGAGGTTGAGCTTGGACTCACCGTCTTTGATCCATACGGACTCCAACTCTCGTCGCAAACAGGTGGGTATCCAAGTGCGTCCATATCGTCGATATCGTCTGATTCTGCAACATTGTCTTCCAGTTCTGTCATTCTCGTCGTTAATAAGTGGAAGTCGCGGTAGAATTGTCAAACTCACCCAAACCCCGCAGCGCCTCCAGAGTTGCAGATAATCCGTCGGTGAAGTCTTCATTGTGATCTTCCTCGAATACATTGCTCACGCTGCTAATAAGGTCGTTTCGATAAATTGCAAGGTTGGCAAGCTTGGTGTAAAGCTGCTGTCGGCGCTCCTTCTCGCGATGCTCTGGATCCTCTCCAGCTAAGAAGGGTACCCGGGTTCCATTCTGATATACATGGCCTTCAGCAAATACCACACCTCCTAGCAGTGAAACATCTGCTTCATTGGCCACATTCCCGTCTGGTCTGACCATGGCGTTGTCCGCAAGGTAGTCGGTGATATCGTGCTGCAGAGTGGCAGGACTGGTGAGTGTTTGCTCTGACGCCGAGTTGTTTGGAGCTGCGCTGCTTGACTGCGACACTGACGCTTCTTCTAAGGCTTCAATATGTCCTTTACTCGAAAGATGACCAGCCTTCGATGTCTTAAGCATCCTTGCAACTCTGGATGCGTGTCGCCTGTTTGAACACACAAGGCAGATAATTTCTCTGTGCGTATCATCCGCCCACTCGAAGCCTGATAGATCGCAAAAAGTTTGGTGACGAGCCCTTTGCTTTTTATGAAAGAGGAACACACCGTCAGGAGGAGATTTGGAGGTCCTTACAGGGGCCATGTTTTCGTCTGCCCGGACTTGGGATCCGGAACTCAGCAGACACCTGAAGCAAGAAGAGCTTGCCGCACGTGACGGCGTTGCAACTCATCATCTCGCCTTGTCCTTCGCTTCGTTCTCTCTCTCACTTGCTCTCGTTTTCTCCTTTCATCTCACTTGTTTACGACGCCCCTTCCCATTCTTTCTGTCCCCTTTCCGTTACTTTATGCCTCTGTCCCTAAACGACCTACTTTACCAACCCACTCCGGAGCGCCCTGCTCCTTCACCCGTCACGTCCCCAAGCGCCAGCTCACGCATTGGTACATCCACCAGTCGCAGCTCTAGCCCTGACAGCGACAGCGAGCATGTGATGCCCCAAGTGGGCGGTAGTGGGACTGCAACCACTTCACGAAAACGTCCATACGAGGACTACACGACATTTGCAACTCAGGCTGCTCGCAATGTTCGCCTCAGGCCCGGCTCTGAGGGCGAAAAAGCTGTCGTTCAATTCGCAAAGGTATGAATAATAAATATCTCTCTTCTTTATTCATGGTCACCCAGTCTCACACGTCACGGCTGCAGCTGTCGAGTCCAGCCCAACGGATTGCTCTCTATGCTAACCTCCAGTCAATGTCAGAACATCTCCACACCATCAACCCAGCCGATGCAATGTACGAAATACCAAGCAAGCTAGTGGTTTGTGCTATCGTTTACTTCACGGCTAGCCCTACTCACCGCCCGTTCCTTCCATAGCACCGCATTGACCGCTCTGCATTCCTTACCCTTATTTCGCCAACGTGTTCAAGGTATCTGAAGCAGAGGGGGCCCCTCGGAATGATCTTGGTAAAATCGTCATCACAGTCGCACCTTTATGTTCCTAACAAGTCTTTTCAGGAGCATCTTGAGGCGCACCCGTCCTGGGGCCTCACCACTGCGATCAAAGAAGACAAAAGCAAGTATGACATTATTGTCAAAAAGATCCAGAAGGCCCTCACCAATCGGAGGAATGCGATCAAGTCGACTGTGCGCATGCCCCCATCCTCATTTTACGTCTCCTGTTTAGCTCATGTCGTCTCTTTCTAGCTCAAAGCCTCGCTGGAAATCATAGCACCCGAAGATCGCGCGACCAACGACAAAACTGGGAAGACGGATATTGTCCAACTCACCGACAACATTCTGTCGGGAGGTGATAGCTTGGTTGTGCGGCGACCCGCAGCCACACTGGCTATGCTTGCTCGTTTCGCATACTTGGTGAGTCTCGCCGCTCTTTCCTACGCACGAATTCAGGGCCAAAGACTCATTCTCCGCTCAGCGCGGACTCTACGTCGATTCCATTGAGAAACCCAAGGAGGAACCCGAACTGGTCAAGGACTTCTGGAAAGGCGTCGATATGAAGCTCCAGGAGGTTCGCGAGGTTAAAGAAACTGAGCAGCGGCTTTCAAGGTATGGTCCACATCCCGTACAGAGTTCGGCACGACTCACCATATCTGTTAAGCTACTTCGCCGGGGTCCTGGAGCTGGACTTCGCTCGATGGGGTGACATCGATCGCACAGGAATCAGCACAGCTACATTCGACCCTCTCGCAAACGATGACGCCGCCAACTAATTATCCTCAAGTAATCCACATCTCGACACGTCGCTCTCGTTACACTTTACCATACATCATTTAATTCTGCGCAACCAGTAATATAATTCCGTGCTTGTTTCTATTCAGTCTTGATCAGTAACCTAATGCACACCACCGTTGCCTACTACTCTTCGTGTAATTACCAAACTCTGAAGCCAATACGAGCAATTTGAGCTGAACACAGTCTCTGAAACCTGTCTGGGCAAGCAGCAATCAAGATTGGATCTCTCTATTTCAGATGTTCGTGAGGCAACTGGCGGTGACCTCAGAGACCTCAGCCAAACCCCCGTGAAATCTCTTGAAGGCCTTACTTTGACATCGCACTCAACGTACCCAGAAGGTCGCCCTGGATGCCCTTCCAAGCTCACTCCCGTTCTCTGTGGGAGCTCAGGATTGATATCCCCTGACATCAACTGTCTGGCGAGCTCAAAAAAATCGATGATTTTACATCACGCTAGCTCAAGGCGACGTCGGGAGACATTCGGGAGCGGACCTCCCGAGATCGTTTCGGGGATCTCTATCAGACGTCACCCCATATTGGTGGTGTAGGGGGAAAGTGCTGCCGAGTACCAGGCACCAGGCGTTGACGGTTTGACTGGCCACTGGGTCCAGAGTCATGGCTGGGCACTGAGATCCTCGCGCGAGACACACCGAGCGTTTACCTTCGTCTCTGGGTTTGATTCTGGGGAATGGAAACTGCACAAACCTGGCATTGCTCCCTATGCTGGGAACATCGTGAGAAGAGGCGATTTACGTGAACCCCTAAGCACACTCAGCACCCTCAGCCGAGCTGCAATTCAATACCCTTGTTCAATTTTTTCATGGTTCACGCTCCGCTCAATGACGATCCCTGGGGCTCAGACGTCGTTCCGCTCTTTCCCTCCTATTCACTCCACCCGTTATCCTCTCTAACTGTCCGCCTGCGCCGACGCATCCGTCTATGCTTCTAGGACAGCCATTCGTTTGAACACACCGCGCACGAGGTTGAAGTTCAGCGATTAGTGGCTGTTGGAGAAGATGTCACGGCTCGAACACGAGACGGATCCAGCAGTTCAGGCAGAGAAAGATCGACAGCTAATGCTATTCTCGCTGCTGGGTGTCTTTCTTGGGGTGAGTAGCGACTTTGGATACACGTGCGTGGAAGCTGAATTCTGGTTTGCTTGCCAGGTCTGGTTATATGGTGCGTAAATCCACATTCTCCATGGTGAAGCTTAAGTGACGTCGTCTCCTCAAATCCTAGGAATATACGTGGTCCTTTTCGCCAGGTCGGTTCAGATTAAACTTAAGAAAAAATCATCAGAGACACGCCCTGCATCGGTTGGTAATCGCTTCCTCACTATGAAACTGGGCTAACACGAAGGTACAGGTATTCTTCTACTCTAGTATCTTAATGTTCATAATTATCACCGTAAACACTGGTCAGCTGTCTCGAAGTTTCTTTCTTTCCGCTCGGTCTAACGACTTGACAGCTTTCGCCATTCGTCGTTATGCCCATGCTTTCACCACCTTCGCGTACACGACGAACGAAATCCCATTGATGTATCTCTTCGACTATACGTTATGGGACAATTCCGGCTGTGTCTTCATGCTCAACCTCCTGGTTTGGATGGCAGATGCTCTGGCGGTACGTTCCCTTGTTCAAGAAAGCCCCGTTACCCCTGACCACGCCGGTGTAGATCTACCGTTGCTACCTAATCTGGAACGACAGCCTGCTCGTCATTCTCTTTCCTTCCGCTCTGCTACTGGTTAGCATTAGTACGCCATCCGTTCTTATCCTACCCGCTTTCCACTCATTTTCCTTCAGTAATCAACAGCATTACCTTCTCTTGGTTCCTCGACATGACGTCCGTCGATTCGGATTTGGCTATGACCTTGCTTAAGTTGGTCTACCCCATCAATATCTCCCAGAACATCGTCACGACCTCCTTAATTGCCGTCCGAATCTACCTCCAGCATCGTCTTTCTCGCAAGGCGGGCTTGAACAACCTCGCTACAACATCCAGCGGCGTGCACTTGCTCACCGTGATGCGAATTGTGATTGAGAGCGCTATGCTCTTCACTGTTCAGCAGATCGTGATGATGATATTGCTCTATAGTGGGCATATGGCCGAGATGATATTCCATGGCACTACAGCACCGACGATAGGTGAGCATCTAGGTCGCCTTACGCCTATCTCGCGGACTGACTCTTGTATGACAGGTATCATTTTCCTCCTAATATCTGTCCGCTCCTATGAGGCCCAACGCGCCTCTCAGCGCCCATCTACCTGGGACGGGGAGGGAACTTCCTGGTCTCGAGAATGGAGCGTCGCCACACACAGATCGACCCAAACAGACATCCAGTTCGATCCAATCGGAACAGCGACATCCTCCACTCCGCGACAAAGAAAATCGAATGTCCAAGTCATAGCAATCTACGATGGGGAAGATGGCGAGAGAAGCGAGAGTGACATTGGGATCAGCGACAATGGTGATCACGGTGAATTGAAGCTGAGAACATTAGGTTCCGGTGTTTGACCCTTTGAATGAAATTCAACTCTTGTCGTATTCAATGTGAACATCCAACGCTTGAAAGATAAGGTTTCCAGGGACATGAGTGAATTGAGTGTACGTACATGCCTACACACCGAGCATTGAGACTGCTCCGACATAGGCGTCTGGATACCCGAATATAAAGAGGGATTTAAATGCCGTTCGTAAGCTCCAATGACGGCGAACATGACTTTACGACACTTTAGACGAGGTGGCGGTAATTTGGGGACGGATCGAATTCAGTCCGAATCGAGTAGATATTGAATGGATACGACATTGGAATCAGGCATCAGGTACATCCATTCCAGCTGTTGGAAGCATGTGCCGCTTTAGCTTGAATATCGGATGTATTCTGGACAAAGTCGCGGCATCGCAGAAGGGAAGGTCAAGAAACTGCCTTTCTTTAGGTGGAAGAATCGCACGTTACCCCAGTAGCACGTCAAGGACGCGGCGAAAACGAGCTTGCCAGGCCTGAGGGGCTCTTCACAAGTCTTCACAGGGCGCTTAAGGGTCTCCACACTAGTGGGTCCTAATTATTACGTGACCCAGGGTCCCATGCCGGAATAGCACTCACTGGGACGTGGGCATCCGAGCCCTATTCAATCGCCAGGTTTACAAAACTACGACTCGTTGTCAACACGCACCTTATCCATCCCCCACTTCTGACTCTCTCGTTCTCGGAAACTCTCCTCCAGCTGCTAGCGCGCTCCCTCCTCTCGCGCATCCGGACATTCCAGGCACCTGAACACCCCTCTGTCCGCGCTCGGCTCCGGAATGTCAAATTCGACGGTAGATCAGGATGTCGAGCTCCTACCCAGTCCACAGCAGATTAAGGAGCTGACGCTCGCGCTGGTGGGTTGCTTTATTGGAGTAAGTATCGCTTTGGAGGAGGATTATCGCTTTCCTGAACTGCCTCTCCGCGTAGATGTGTCTCTACGGTCTGTCATTCTCCTCGATGGAAGGGGATCCAATCTAACGCATCACAGGAGCCTACACAGTCCTGTTCGTCGTTTCTGTACGCATTAAACGAAAACAAAGAACCCCAAGCACGCGACCTGCTACAGTCAGTTGGCCCGTCTTTTGACGCCCTCGCTGGGTATATTTACTCGGAAAGGCAGATATTCTTCTATTCGAGCATATCGATGTTTATTTCAATAACACTCTTTGTCAGTGAGTCGTCCCTTCTGCGACCAGGTTTTCCTTTACTGACTATGCCCCGCAGTATTCACTATCCGACGTTACTCGCATGCACTCATTACCTACACCTTCACCACGGGCCAATTCCCAAAAACATACCTTCACGACTGGGGGCAATGGGACAACTGGATTGTGACCTTTTTTCTCGGCTTTGTAGTGTGGTTGGGTGATGGGCTAGCTGTATGTCTCCCTCGTTCCATCCTGTGATCGCTTCGCTGAAAGACACCTAGGTTTACCGCTGCTATCTCATCTGGGACAAGAACTTCATCGTCATTGCTATCCCTTCCGCCCTACTTCTGACCAGTATCAGTGAGCGCACCCTTCCCCGTCTTCAGACCTTGTCAAGCTCTATCTCACCCCGCCTCGAGTTTCTAACAGCGTCAACCTTGCCGCGTTTCTAAACCCCAGCCTGGTCCCCGAGAACGTCGTCCTGAACAACTTACGTATGGTCTACCCTGTTAACATCGCACAGACCACCCTTACCACATCTCTCATCACCTGGAAGATATACGCACAATACCGCATATCCAAGGAGGCTGGCCTCCATGACATGGGCAGTAAGGTTAATTCCCTGACCATTATTCGCGTCGTAGTCGAGAGTGCCATGATCTTCACCGTTCAGCAAATTATCTTGTGCGCCACGTTCTACGCAGGAAACCCCGCTGGGGCGATCTTTCACGGAACATTGGTCCCTAGTATTGGTTCGTCAATATCCCTAAATTTCCCTCTACTTCAACTCATCCATGTTTAGGGATTGTTTTCCTGCTCATCTCAAACCGATGCTACGAGGCCCAGATCGCCCTCGAGAACTCGTCGAACTGGGAGTTGGAAAGAATATCTGCCTTAAACTGGCCTGAAAGTTGGGGAATTCCGACCACCCTTCCCAACCCCGAACTTGGACCGAATCGAAGCCCGCCCCGCGACTCTGCTTCCGCTGGCGCAACTTTAACTTTTCGCCAACGACAAGCGGAGGACTTGAGGTTCGTTGGCATACCCACAGGGACCGACGAGTCGAAGAGTGACGTTGAGTTACACGACCTGGGGGAAGGGTCTTTGAAACTGAGGCGGTCCAGCTCATGATCTGGGCTGAGCACAGGTTCGCTTGGGGCTGGTGCGGGCGGAGGGATATCAATAGCATAGCTGTAGTATTAGATACGATAGCAATAGTCAGGGTAATTGGAGATAGATCGTGGACTAGGTCCGCGAAGCCTAAGTCTTGAAGCAGGCTGGATGGAAGGGCAGCGGAATGGAGACGGATTCGGAGAAGAAAGGCCTCCCCTGAAGTGAAGGCACGGGCCGGTGTTCAATACAGCCCACGGAATTTGGCAGAGAGGTCGGTTGGCTCCGCACGCCGGATAATGCTAAGCGAGGTTAAAGACGGTTCAAGCTTGTCATATATGTCACAGAGATCCTTCCACTCATCTTGGTCAATCCTCAAGTCAGCGGAATTCATTTGGTGGGGAGATTCCCAATGTAGACTCACCAGGGACATCAGGGTTTGCGGACATAGTGTCCTTCATTGCTTCAGCGAAGACTATGGCGAGACCGCTACAAGCGATGATAAATGAATATCATGAGTCCTGCAGCGAAAGAAACTCCGACTCACCCGACTAGGTGGGGTTCGATGTGGCTACGGGACGCGTGTATCAGATATACCAGCCGCCTCATGTTGTGGTGATAGAGAACCACATACCAGTGGAAGAACCAGGGTCCGGGATTATCGGTAACAAAGCGAATCGTAACCAGATCCGAGTCGCCGCCAATGTTGACGACGTCTCGCTTTACAGGATTCACGTAGTTATATGAAGTGTTACCCGCGCTGCGAATAACGCTGAATGCATGCTGAATACACATTAGTGTCGGTGTTTCTCCTGAGGGAACGAAGGGATACTCACGCCATGAAGATGGAAGGGGTGCTGGTAGGGAGTTAGTTTCAGACTCTGAGATGAGTTGAACGATAGGTCTTACGGGGCCACTTGCACTGATTCCAGCACTAGGGATCTCTACCTCAATGACTTGATTCCTTGGCAGGTAATAAATTGAGTTTTCTGGGAGAAGCTCGCCGGGGTTAGCGCCACTCATGATCTGAAGGAGCGTTGGTACTGAGGGACTCGAATACGCAGTGCCGTTGACGAAGAATCTTCCTCCCGAAAAGGTGAACCTAAGCGGGATTCTGACGTCGGCACCACCAGCCTCGGGGCGACCTGGCGCAGCCGGATCCCCTCCTGCGTAGGCGTGGAGCATCCATTCTTGGAGATCAACCAAGTTGCTGGGCAGTTCATCCTCCTGGGGGAGTTCAGTAGCTTCCGCATTTGCGTATCGAAGGATGGCCGAGTTGACCCCACCGGCTGTGGTATCAGTAAGTCCGTGGACCCCAGCATTAGGAATTGCTCTGATTCGGTAGACGTCGGGAGTTTGGTTGGCGTTCAGAATGACAGAGTACCTTTGACCTGAAAATGATGTCGGCACAAGTCAAGGAAAATAATGCGAGACATCTCACCAGTGAAAATTTGGATCCTATCGACCTCGAGTGGATCGGTCAGCTGCCCGTCAGCTTCAATAATTGTCAATTTATGCTTGTCGATGGAGAACTGGAAGTTGACGTCGCAAGCGAGAGAGACAATACGGAACCGATATTTTTTCCCTGCCTCAACATTGACGACTGCCAGGTCTACCTTCGGCCCTCCAGGAGTACGACCGATACCGTTGATCAAAGTTGAATCGGGGAAGAAAGGCCCACGAATGGAAGGCGCGGGAGTGTGATACCAGTCGGCGAGAGTGATGATCGTGTTGACTAGGGGTAGGAAAGGATCAGTTCTGCGTCTACCGGATAAGGCTTATACTAAAACCAACCATCGTCGACTGAATAGTGTAATGTGTAAGTAAATTACTGTGAAGAAAGAGCTAGGTCAACGTACCATCGTACTCGTTCTTATAAGGGTCGTCTGGATCATAAACGACCATAGGACCACGCAAGCCATCACAGTACTGCGTACCTGCGTTCCAGCCCATCAATGGGACGGGGATACATGATAAATGGGTGAGGCACGTACCGAAGTGAGAATGGTACCAAAAAGTCCCCGCGTGTCCAGCAGGACTGAAGCGATAGAGGAACGACCGCTCAGGGGAAATGGGGCACTGGTTGACGCCTTCTGCACCATCAGCCCAGTTGGTTCCCCTCTGGAAGAGCCCGTGCCAGTGCTGTTGGGAAAAGATTGATGCGTAAGTACGACCTGATCCCATTCGTACTGTGAAATTGAGTGCGGGACGTACCACGCTGGTGCTCCGAAGCATTGTGGGGTCCGTCAGCTCGTTGACGACGTTGATCGCGAATACATCGTCCTGGAAAATATCAGTCTTCGCCACGAAGGAAAAGTAAAAAGCCTATGCCTTCTCCCCAATAAGGACCGGTCCTGGGTGGACGCCATTGACTACGACGGCCCTGGAGGTGGAGTTCAGATTCGTATTCTTGAGGTGAGTTAGACTCAAAGAAAGACATACGATCGAGTAACGCCATCAGGGCTGACGTTCGCATTGCTGATCACCATCGTGTCCGAGGGACTGAGTATCATTTGCCCTCTAGCCACCGAGTTGTAGAGCACGATGGCAAGCTGAAGATACCCGAGCAAACGGCTCGTCATTGCGAATTTAGCGAGATAAAGTTGAGGAAACAATGTAAAATGAGAGCTGTCGAGTTGTTGAGAGTACGAGGTTGCATTCAAGGCCTTTTAAGCCTTTTCCTGAGAACGTAAAGCAGATGTTTACGCTCCCACTTCACAGCCCAAGTGCCGGGATACGCATGGTCATGAAGCCTACACCCGCAATTCAAAAGGTCGGCGGTATAACCACCAGTACGTTACAGAGCAAACGAGCGCTGAGAGGAGCTTCCTCCTTATGAAAAGGTTGTCCCAGACAAGCCAGCGCAGGTCACTCAGTCTCTTGAGCGCCTATCGACAGGTTACGTTTTATGGGCCGCCATCACAGTCACCAGCATCACCCGGCTACTTTCTTGTCCACAGAAGCGGAGTCCAAGATCAAGTGGGCGTCGTCAGGAATGCGGAAAGATGGATAACCAGTGCACGCTGGTGCCCACAGCCGGGATGTCTGTAGCCAGTATGCCGTTGATCGTTGGGAATATCGTGCCACAAGGGCTTCCGCAGAAGCGCCAACAGCGTCGGAGGGTCGAATTCCATCACAACCGCCATCTCCGTCCTAGTCGTACGATATTAGTGGGCAGACGCGTAACTAGACTGAGCGTTGGTTGGAGAATGTATGTCGGGAGGTGAGAACTCCCCGTACCGCACGACCGGACGTGTGTGCAGGTGAAACAAACTCTGAAGTACCCAGATATGGTAGATGGATCGTGTCGTAAATTGTGGACGAGCTGCTGGCCTTGGGAGGCAGGAATGGCGGTGATTCCAAGTGTTCGCGTAGTCCAGTCATCGAGTACTCAGTGGACCAAAATATTTCGCCGAAAGAAAGCCCAGGTCGAATGCAAATGCAAGCAACGGTTCTGGGAGAATGATGGCCGCTGCTTTGAGGCATGCGTGGGAATGTAAACTTTTTGAGCGGAGCCCCAATATCTTTCACGCCGTACGGGTCCGAGGCAACCTCAGGCGCTCGACTAAGCGCCTAAAGGTCTTGTAGAAGAAGTAGAGCGTGGTCATAGACGCCGCGTAAAGTACGAGACAGTCCGGGATTCCCAATTACCCTTCCAAACCCTGGGCTGGGATCTAGTCTAATCAAATAACACTCCATCGTTCCGTTCTTGGACACTCGTAGAGCTATGCCGAGTCAATGTCGCTCGTGGTACAGATCAATGCTGGCACCCGTTGTTCTCAATGAAGGGAGAAGAGATCGTTGTAGTCATTAATATAACATTGAATATGATAGTAATAAATAGAGTAATCGTGGATTCGGGAACCTGGTCAGCAAAGGAACTGATTGCGAAAGTATAGAACGGAAAAAAATCCCCCTCGAAGTGAAGGGATGAGGTCTACAATCCACGGAATTTAGCGGAGAGACCGGTCGGTTCTGCTCGCCTGACAATGCTAACCGACGTCAAAGACGGGTCGAGGTCATGGTGGATGTCGCAAAGGTCACGCCACTCAGCTTAGAGAATCGTCAAGTCAATAAGGTTCTTCCGACCGTGAAAGGCTCGATGTGGACTCACTAGGAATGTCAGGGTGGGCTGCCGCAGTGTCTTCCATTGCCTCAGCAAAGACGATAGCGAGGCCGCTAGAACGGAAAAAGGGAGTGAGTATCGGACGCTTTGTGCGATAAAGGGCTGCGACTGACCCGACGAGGTGAGGTTCAATGTGGCTACATGTTGAGTGCGGTTAGATGCCAGACTCCATACCTCAGTGACGAAACACCGCTTACCAGTGGAAGAACCAAGGCCCAGGATTGTCGGTGACGAAACGAATCGTGACCAAATCTGAATCGCCGCCCATGCTGACGACATCCCGCTTTACGGGATTAACATAGTTGTAGGAGCTGTTACCGGCGCTGCGAACGACACTGAATGCATGCTGGGTGTACGTTAGCGCCGAGGTTTCTCCTGAAAGAGCACGGAGGAACTCACGCCATGAAGATGGAAGGGGTGCTTGAAGGCGGTTAGTTGTCCGAAAAGAATGAGCATCGAAAATTAGTTCTTACAGGACCACTTCCACTGATTCCAGTGCTGGGAATCTCGACTTCGACGACTTGATTCCTTGGTAGATAGTAAACCGAGTTTTCGGGAAGAAGCTCCCCAGGATTTGCGCCGTTCATGATCTGAAGGAGGGTAGGCACCGAGGGACTGGTATAAGAAGTTCCGTTGACGAAAAATCTCCCTCCCGAGAAGGTGAACCTGAGAGGGATGGTGACATCTGCACCGCCAGCCTCTGGACGACCTGGTGCAGCCGGATCACCACCAGCATAGGCATGGAGCTGCGATTCGGACAAATCAATCATGTTGCTGGGTGCCTCAGTCGTGGGCTCGGCGACTGGAGCACCAGCATATCGGAGAATGGCCGAGTTGACTCCCCCGTCTACCGTCCCAGTAAGCCCGGCGACTCCGGCATTAGGAATCGCTCTGATTCGGTAGTTGTTGGGAGCTTGATTGGCGTGAAGGATAACAGAGTATCGCTGTCCTAAAGCAATGTCAGCAGACAGACAAAAAGAGCATGGAAGTTTAAGTCCTTACCAGTGAAGATTTGGATCCTATCGACCTCGAGAGGATCAGTGAGCTGTCCGTCGGCTTCGATAACGGTTAATTTGTGTCCGTCAATCGAGAATTGGAAGTTAACATCGCAAGCGAGAGAGACAATACGGAATCGGTATTTCTGTCCCTCTTGAACATTGACAACCGCCAGGTCTACAGGTGGCCCTCCAGGAGTGCGACCAAGACCATTGATCAAAGTCGCGTCAGGACGGAAAGCTCCTCGAATAGAAGGGGCGGGTGTGTGATACCAGTCGGCAAGAGTGATGATGGTGTTCACTGGGGGTAGAAGCGTCAGACTACACTCGTTCTATAGACCTTGTTGTAAAACCAACCATCGTCCACTGAAGATTGTAGGCGTTAGTCACTTTTGCGCAGGAAGCGTTGGACCAACGTACCATCGTACTCGTCCTTATAAGGGTCTTCTGGATCATAAACGACCATAGGACCACGCAAGCCATCGCAGTACTGCGTGCCTGTGATCCAGCGCATCAATTGGACGGGGATATCACCTTGAGTGGGTGAGGGACGTACCGAAATGAGAGTGGTACCAGAAAGTCCCCGCATGTCCAGCAGGGCTGAAGCGATAGAGGAACGACCGCTCAGGAGCGATGGGGCACTGATTGACGCCTTCTGCGCCATCAGCCCAGTTGGTTCCCCTCTGAAAGAGGCCATGCCAATGCTATTGGGACGGTCCCATGCGTAAGTCCCGCCACCTTCGTCCAAGTGGTAGAGGAAGATGAAACATACCACGCTGGTGCTACGAAGCATCGTAGGGTCCGTGAGTTCATTGACGACATTGATCGCGAAGTTATCATCCTGGAAAACAGAAGTAACCAGTCTCGAAGGAGAAGGGGAGAATTAGTACCTTCTGTCCAACGAGAACCGGTCCTGGGTGGACGCCATTGACGACTACAGCCCTGTGAGTTAAAGGAGAATTAGATCCATATATATTATCATCGCGGTATCGTAGTCTCAGAGGGAATACATACGATCGAGGAACACCGTCAGGGCTGACGTTCGCATTGCTGATTACCATCGTATCGGATGGATTAAGTACCGCCTGCCCCCTAGCCACAGACTGGTAGAGCGAAATAGCAAGCTGTAGATATGCGACTAAACGCGTGGACATCGCGGATGCAGAGAACGAGGGAAAACGTGGTGAGTGAAGCAACGAGGGTGAAAGTGAGAGGGAGTTCTGAAACAAGGGTCAAATGAAAGGTGTAGGTTTGCTGAAAGTCCAACCTGGCACTTGAGGCCTTTTAAAACGTTTCTGTAGCACGTAAGGTGAGGCTTTTTCATCGCATTCAGGGTCCAAGGAGCATCCGGTACACATGGACATGAAACCTAGCCTCATTGAAAGGGCGGGGGTGACGCTTTGGGTACGTTAGGAGGAAAGCGGGCGCTGGGGGGAACTTCCTCCATATGCAAGGGTTGTCTCGCAAGTCACTCAGATTGAAGGGCGCCCACCGACCAAATTACGTTGCCTTACTGCGCCATCACAGTCGCTGGTAGTATGCTCGGACGTCGTTGTACCCAAAATCTCCATCCCAAGATCAGAGACAACAGCATTACGCAAGATCAGAACTGCAAACCCCGGGCGACTAGAGAAATGGTGAGCTAATATGCTGTTGAGCGTTGGGAATTTCGTGTCACAGCGGGTCACGTACGTAGTGGTCTGAATCGCATTCCACCACACAGCCATCTTTCCCCTGGAGATTAAGTTGTTACAGGGTTTTCAAGTGAGAGAATCCAGTCTAGTATGCCCAGAACTGCGGATGAAACGATTTTTTTGTTGAAGAGGAATACCCCGTAGTGTCGTAAAGGTAGATTCCGACGAGCAGACAGAAGGTGCGAAGGGGCAGCCAGGACTTCCAAAGCAAACATGGCGGAGTTCGCCAAGGGATGTTGCCTTTGTATTGTGCAGACCTCGAGTCCAAGACGTAGAGTGACTGGTACAATGGCCGTTGCGAAAAAGGACCACGAAGTGTCGGGTTTGGTGAATCCCAAGCAATTTTAAGCGGAGCCTGAAAGTCACGCATGCGGCAGTACCAACGGTTGAGTTGGAAGGTTTTGGCTCCGGACTGCTTTACCCGTTCGGAGTTGACTAGCAACGTCCCACCCCTGGTGGTTAACCATGTCTAACAGCAACGGGGTACTCCCCCTGCGAATCTATAAGAGTATCCAGTACTTAACTGTGATGAAACAAGGGATGGTGAGGGGGTCAGGCACGACCTGTGAAACACGGTATCGATTCTACGATGGCCTTGGTATCCTGCGTTAGCGCCTGGGTTGACGTGAGCTTGTCAGACATTACTTTCCAATTCCATAGGTACTCTGGTAGTCATGGAACTCGTCCCAAGAACCCTCCGCAGTTCAATACTGTAGGTACTTACGGAGTTCCTTGCCGTTGCAGCCAGCGCTTGTTGGCCTTTCTTTGGGGTTCGTGTCAGTATCTGAGCCCCATGACACTGACTGAGGCCCTGTGACAGCCTGTGACGCACCGTCCTCAGCTATATTTCCTTTCTTGACCTTCTTCTAAACTCCTCCAGCACGGGAAATTATTAATTAACCATGACCGTTAAGCGCCCGTGCCTCGTTGGCGCACTTCTAATGTTAGATACGCCTGTGCGTATCGAGCCTAAATTGCAAATTAGTATAGTCGGTACCTGTCGCGGGGATCATGACAGACACTTTCATCATCTCAATTCGTAGGCCGCCCGCTCGGTCATGACAACCCGACCAATACAATAACTTGTGACTCTTTCATAGTGCTACTCACCCAAGGGTTCGTCTCCCTTCTCGTAGGAGCTTCTCGATCCTCCTGAGTCCTAACAACGAAGATATCGATCGACGCCCCCTCCCCCTCCCCGTCCTCGTATTATTCCCGCTAGCACTTCGACATCGCACGAATGTTTTCTCCACTTCGCGAGACAGAAGATGAAAATACAACCTGAGTCCCACAAAAATGGCACGCAACCGTAGTGAAACGAAAAAGATCTCCTAAAGCAACAAATATTATAGGGCCTGACCGGGAATTGAACCCGGGACCTCCTCGAAATTCGCAAATCAACGCCGAATAAGCGCCGAAAGCTCCCTAACAAGGAATCATACTACTAGACCATCAGGCCGACAGTTGTGAGATCCGCAAGGCCCGGCCCCTTCGAGTGGGTGTAAATATCGAACTTTGCACGGCGCGGTGCGAACGTTGGGAGACGAACAACGAAAGCAATGCCAAAAAAATGTGAAGGACAGCATGCGTGGATGGCCACTCGACAAGCTTTCAAAGGTTAAAACTCTTTGAAGCAACAGTCTTCCCAAATTCTAAACCTATTTCTACTGTCATGAATGTCAGTCGCAATGCAGTACGTACAGCCGTAAAGAGGTCATCGATCAGCAATTATGACTCCAAGAGTAAATCTCGGTTGAGGCAAGTACTTCCTCCAAACTTCGACGTCGGTTTCTGCGGCTTTTGGTATCTCCACCCACGCACCGAGAATACCAGACTGTCCACTGCTCCACACTGTACGGTTACCCACGCGCTCGCTCGTCTCTTCTCCTACCTGTTCGGGGAAATAGACAAACATGGTCCTTCTAGCACGCTTTGCGCCAGTTTTCCTCGCAAATGAGCTTGAGTGGGCAAGATCTTCGACCAACGACGTGCTCATATCCTTGCATGACAACAGGTCGTTCAAATGCGCCAATGCTTCCTAGTAGAATAATCAGCAGGTAACGTGGGTATATTTCGAGGCCAAAGTAAGGAGAACCGCTGACCTGATACGTCGACGGACGCCCAATGCAGTACCGACGTCCACTCCACGCGACTATATTCCTATTCCCAACTGGCTTACCCGGTACCAGCCACAAGTATCCGCGCAGGAACGGCGGCTCGATATCCTGGGGAACGATGAAGACTCCCACTTCCACGGCGCCCAGCACAGACCTCATCCAATCCTCAGGATCAACATCCGCCCAAATCCACTGCCCAGTCCGATTCTTCGAGGGGAGTCGCAAAACTACATTGTCCGGATCACCAGCTTTGGCGTTGTACCGCTTGAACACTCTGCTCGCCGATTCCTGGGCGCTCTGGTGTGCAGAACGATATGATCAAAAACGGTCATGAAATACGGAAACAAGTCACAGAATGAACTGTCATATAAGTCTATGCTTAAACCCAATAGCAAAAGAAACACCATGCCATACCTTGTACGTCCTCGGAAAAACTACTCGCGCATATCGATCTCCTCCATCAGTGTCCTTCCTCGCCACAAGAACCAGCTGGAGTGATTCAAGCGTCCTCGGCCCAGGCACCGCTCGCTTTTCGTCGTAAAAGACAGGTGTAGAATCCATTGGATGCTCTTGTATTGAAGCCATCGTCGGTTAGCCCCGCTGCCGTGGCCAGTGCTATGATGGTGACTAGGAGGACGCAAGAGATGGGAGATTATCGATAAGCGCCCATGGCTGCCTCACCGTCACGCGTCACGGCTGGTCCGTGCCAACTGGCATTGGTCAGCACTGCCCTTTCAACTTAAGACTTTTCCTAATCGACCCTATAAATTTTGAAGGCCAGCTTGATGGGGACACCGACTGAGGCGGAAACTTACACCGACACCCCGGACAAAAAAACCCACACAACACACACAACAAACACCAAAAAAAAAAAACTCGTACCAACCTACAACCTACAACTTACAACAAACCACACCACACTACTCCAACTGAACATAACAATACCAAAAAAAAACAACTAAAGCAAAAAGAGGGATATGTAACAGAAGCAAGAAGGAAAAAAGTAGCAAAGAGCACCTGACCTGGGACGAGTCACGACCAAACTTACCACCACCTCCATTCCTGAATCCACGCCCCAAAACCAAACCAACCGCCGCCTTCCGCACAGCCACGCCAACACAACCCGAACCAACATCAACCAGACCAACACCAACAACGACAAACAAACAAAAGCCTCCCAGCCTCCGACGTCCACGTCCAGGGAGCAGGACAACCAACTAGCGATGATCAATGACAATCCACGACGTTGTCTACGACTGACCGTACAGTAGTATACTTTTTTCGACGACGTTTGTTCTACAATCGGGTGGCTGGAAGTCGGGTAGCGGTGAAAACGGATTGGGTGGTTCTTTACGAGAAGAGATGAGGAAGTGGTTCACTAACGGCGCGAGAGGGGATGACGGCGGCGGTCGGGTGGATTCATCACGCAAGCGCGGCGAGGAACGCGACGAGAGGGGGCTCAACTGCAAGAGTAGACATCGGGATATTCGTCGTTGCCGCACGTTCGCACTTTCAGGGGAAAGACAAGAATGAAAAAGAGAGAGAGAAAAGCATAAGTAAAAATGAAAAGAAAAGAAACGAAAGAAAAACGGTTTGGTTTGGAAGGTAGAAAACAATTAATCGAGTAGGAGGGGACGGACTGGGGATAAAGAAAACCTCAATCGCTCCATCATCCCATCCTCGTCTCCTCCGTGCCTTGTCAATTAGGTAGGTGAGCGTTGATCGCACTAGGCGGTCGTCGATGGCAGAATGTAGGCGGAATGTCGATGGGTAATTGAGAGAAAGCGAGACCTCTGACTGTTCGAGACGAGGCGAGTTAGCATCGGACAGCGCCAACAGTGGACATAGAGACGCGAACTCACTCTACACCGGAGACACACTCACTCGGTCAGTCCAGCACCTATAACCTACAAGAAATCTTCCGCCCTAGCCCTTTTCTTCCCTCTCGCCTCCTCACCCGCAACACCCACTCCATCCAGTTGAGGAGTCGTCCCCTGACTTCCTCCACCCTGCGTTTGCGACTGCGGTTGGACCTGACCCTGCGCCTGATTCTCCTTATTCCCATTCGAAGCCGGCGTCGTCGATGCCTTCAACGAATTCTTATCAAAATAGTACTTGGGATCATTCGCCCTCCTTTCCTCCTACACATCATCAAAAAAAAAGGTATCAATCAGCACCAACCAGAATCAAATGAACACAAAAATGGAATGAATGCAAAAGATATAAATACGCACAGGAGAGAAATTAGCATCATTCCACTTCAACACAGTCGGCTTCTTAAACTCGGGGTTGGTCTGCTTGAGGGCAGGATTAGGTAGCGTCAAGGGAGGAGGCGTCGGTTTCGCCTGCCCAGGTCCCTGTCCTACCGACCCAGCTCGCACGAAATTAGGCGGGGGCGGCGTCATACCCGGTGGAAGAGGCATACCAGGCGGCGGAGGGACGCCTGGTGGGAGGAAGGGCGGTGCACCGGGCATACCTGGTGGAGGCATGAACGGCGGGACACCGGGAGGGAAGGGAGGTCGGACGCCTGGTGGAGGTGATACGCCGGGGGGAGGGACCACACCGGGTGGGGGCGGGAAGGGGGGTGCTTGGCCTGGTACAGGTGGAGGGAAGGGCGGTTGGAATCCTGGGGGCGGCATCCTGTAACGAAATCAGCTCAACGCTCAAAGACAAAGAGACGGACCGGCGTACCCTGGAGGGACAGCACCCGGGAACGGAGGGGGGAACGGCGGTGCGAACCCTGGGGGCGCAAAGCCAGGAGGCGGGACTCCCGGCGGTGGGGTGACACCCATACCCACCGGAGGCGTCACCCCAGGCGGGGGAACACTATACGCCTGCGCCGGGGCGCCATACACCGCCTGGCCGGGCACACCCGCCGCCGCCGCGCCCGCCGCATCCGTACTCGTGCTCGCATTCCCCATCAACGCTTTATGCGCCTCCAGCTGCGCGCGCAGCTCCTCCTCCGACAGCGGACGGTTCTCGATCTTGGCGCGCTTAGGTTGGGGCTGGGAGATGGACCCTGCGGTGAGCCCCAGTTCGATTTCTTTGCGCCGCTTGTAGTCTGCGACGTCGGGGGCGGGGATGCCTTCCATCCCGAAGATTTCGACTTCGTAGCCGTCGCGGCCTGGGAGGGCGTTTTCAATTCTTGGGAGGCTATCGTAGTTGAACGGTAAACGTGAGGGAACGAGGGTAAAAAGTTCAGGACGCACTTTTCGGGTTCGAGTTTATGAACTTGCTGAATATGCACAGCCAGTCCTCCAGCGGTGTTCAACCGCCTCGGACACATCCCACACTTGAAATGCTTCGCTTTCTGGTGCTGCATGAGGACTAGACGTACCGTATCCAGGGGTTAGCATCTCCATACACTCACAAAGGGGCCCAAGAAAGAACATGCACGATAACGACAACACAGATAAAGGAGAGAGAGAGAGAGTAAGAAAAAACTCAGAAAACCGACCTTTTTCATCCTCGAATTCACGTTCGCAGTACCAGCACCATGGGCGAATCAGCTGTTCCAAAGCAATTAGTATCTATTTCACAACGGACGATAAAAAGCGCTAAAAACTCACAGGCTTATTCTTCTTCTTCTTTGCCATCTTGTGGTCTTTCCAGTCAGTCGTCTAACCCTGCGAGTACAGAGAGTTCGGACTCTCAAGCTGTTTTTCGCTATTTCTTGTCAGTTAAAAGTTGTATTGTAGTCGGGTTGTCGATAAGTTGAATGAGCGGCGGGGGGAGAGGCAACGACGAGGGCGTGGTTGAAGCAAAAGCCGCGCGGCGACGACGACGACGGAACCCGACAACCTTGCTTGTTTGGGCTAGAAGCATTTGACAATTTGATGACTCATCATTGATTATCCCCGAATTTGGACATTCGTGGGTCGTGGGTTCGACCTTGCGCTCAAATATTCAATCGAGGAAGTGCGGGGAAAAGGCAGGTCGGAGGTCCATCAAAAGGTTACTAGCACTTCAACAAGGATTCCAACTCGACAATCAAATACATTGTCATTCCAAACTCAAGCACACATAACGATAGTTAATAAGTAACAACACGATAAATAACAACACGATGAATAACTAGTAGTACTCAAACGACTTCTCTGCGACTAACTCTTCCCTCTGTGACCAACTTTGACTATAGCAGCCTCCTACCACTGGCCCTCTGGTCAGCTATAGTATTATCTACAAACCCTCCCTGCGGAACTTGGCCGAAAAGCCGGTGGGTTCAGCGCGACGCACAACGGTTTGAATCGAGGTCGCCTCAGGCGGCAGGTCATCGTAAATCTCGCAAAGCTGGGCCCACTCGACTGTAATTGATGCCGAAGTTAGCTTCGGAAATTAGGACTTGAGTCAATGGGAGGGGGCGTACCAGGCGGGTTGTTAGCATCAACCGTGTTTGCCATGTCTTCAGCAAAGACGATCGCCAAGCCGCTGTGGAGGTGGGTTAGACTCTGGAGTATACAACGATGGATATGAAGGCTTACTTCATGAGATGGAATTCGATGTGGCAGTGGAAGAACCACGGGCCTGGGTTATCGGTGACGAATCGAATGGTGACTTCGTCTCCAGTAACACCAAGACTAACAACATCGCGCTTGACGGGGTTGACAAAGTTGTAGGTGCTGCTGCCTGCACTCCTGACGACGCTGAACGCATGCTACACAAATTTATCCGTCGTAAGCTCATGTACACTTGACCACCCATGAAAAAAAAGAAGAGAAAAGAGAACTTGACGTACACCGTGGAGATGGAAAGGATGAGGACCACCGAGGACACCAGCAGGAACAACAAGCTCAACGACTTGGTTCCTGGGCAACTCGTAGACGGATCCAGCAGGGAGCAAGTCATTCGCACTCTGCGCACCACTCATAATCTGCAAGAGCGTAGGAACACTCGGGCTCTCGTACGCAGTTCCGTTAATCGTGAATCGACCGCCGCTGAAGCCTAATTGGAATCGGAGGTTGACGTCTGCAGCACCCGGAGTGGGGATACCGGGAGCAGCGGGGTCGATGAGAGCATGGAGGTCGGCTTCGTTGAGTTGGGCGGGGTTGGGGTTGGCGGAGGTGGTTGGATCAGCGTTGGCAGCGCCGGCATAGCGAAGGATGGCCGAGTTGACACCGTTGGCGAAGGTACCAGCAAGTCCGTTTCGACCCTTGTTTGGTTGAGCACGGATCCAGTAGTTGTCCACTGGCTGGTTGGCGTCGAGAACGAAGGAGTACCTTTGACCTGATAAACCGTGAGCGTGCTTTCTCAACGGAAACACACTGAGTTCAACGCTTACCAGTGAAGATCTGGAGACGGTCAACAGTATGCGGCTCAGTGAGCTGACCATCGACTTCAATGATCGTCAACTCGTGTCCGTCAATGGAGAACTGCCAGTTGGGGTCGCAGGAGAGCGAGATCAAACGCATGCGGTACTTCTTGCCTTGCTCAACATTGACGATCGAAAGCTCAGCAGCTGGGCCGCCCACGTAGCGACCCTTGCCGTTGATGAGCGTAGCGTCGGGCTGAGCAGCACCCTGGATGGAGGGAGCGGGGATATGGTACCAATCGGCGAGAGTGATGATGGTGTTCTCGTCATCCTCGTCGTAGAGGGCAGCGTGTGGGTCATTGTCGTCGTAAATGACCATTGGACCACGGAGACCATCGCAGTATTGGGTGCCTAGTAAATTAGTTGGACATCAATCAGGACTCCAGTCAAGATGATCATAGTCGGGGGGTCGGGCTTACCAAAGTGGGAATGGTACCAGAAAGTACCGGCGTGACCAGCTGGAGTGAACTTGTAGAGGAAAGCATGCCCTGGAGAGATCGGGCACTGGTTGACACCATCTGCACCATCAGCCCAATTGGTCCCTCGTTGGAAGAGACCGTGCCAATGCTACAAGCAAACCAAAATCAGAACGTTGTCAGTGTTCTGGATCATGATGGATCAGTGTTTATTTCTGTAGAACTCACGATACTGGTAGGCCGAAGCATAGTGGGGTTGTCCAAGTCGTTAACGACGTTGAGCTCAAAGTTGTCGTTCTTTCCACCTCGAATAAGAGGTCCGTGAACTCCATTGACGAGGATACCACTGTTAAGTTGGTAAGTAATGGATAATCAACAGTGGGCTGAAGACATATACTTACGCTCGAGTGAAACCGTCGGGACTGACGTTCGCGTTGGTGAGGGTCATGGTATCGACAGAATTGACGATCTGAGCGTTGGCAACGCTGATCGCCAGAAGGGCGAACGAGAGGAGGTTCTTGAACATTGTTACTCTGTTCTCTGATACGACGAGGCTGTCAAGGAGAGTCTGTGGAGGAGAGAGGAGCAGAGGAGTGAAGATAGACGACGAGAGTAGTCTGAGGTTTCTTCGCCAACTTTCATACAGATTTTATACTTCTTTCGGTGCTGTAAAGCTTAGGCTAACGTACGACCAGGGACTCTGCATTCCGTTAAGCCAGGTGGTAAGAATCATTCCAAGAGTACACTGAGCGGTGCACTTGCTCCGTTGTGAGAGGCATATACGTGCATTACGGACCTCTCTGAAACAAGGTTTACGGCGTCGAAAACAAGGTCAAGAGAGAGATTGAGATACTAGATTCAAGAAGTGTACTCAGCAAGATAACAAATGAGCTCAGGCAACGTAACGCCTTAGGCGCTTGATGGGAAGCAGAGTACCGCAAACTGATGATACTGACGTTAAGTTCGTACATCCCGATGTCAGAGCGATGACGGAACCGTAGGAATGAGCGGCATATGTGCTTGGCTGACTGAGGATAACGGATGCGGTACGACCGAAAGTTGGTATGTAAGTTCTATCGGAATGTGGTTAAAATCTTAGCGTGCCTAAATTCATAGACCGGGTTCTCACTGGATAATTCTATTGAGAAACCCGGTATGAGAGGTTTCTCAATAAGAAGCCCGGTATGCGAGGGTTCCTCAAAGCCACCTGGCCGGCCGAAGCCTCGGGACATACGGGAAAGTCGGTGTGACGGCTGATGCATGATGACCGGAGTCGGTCCTCAAGGTAATAAGCGCCCAGCCCACAGATCTGGAGTCGTCATCCATTCATCGTGTCCCGCCCTGCGCAGTCTCCTGCTCGGGAGATACTTCAGCCTCTCGAGTGGCCACATGCTGATTCATTCGCAACCGCCCGACAGGTCCACCTCCTTGTGCACGACCTTCGAGTGCACCTGTCATCCTTGATGATTGGGTCTGCCTTTGGGATACCTGCAATCTGAATTACATTCCATCTATATTCTTCAAAACTAATTTTCGCTCTTACAAATCATTTTCATTTCCACTGGTGGAGAGGAAAGCTCTCTCCACGGGTTGAGGCTGTGCTTTAAACTGAATTGACGGTACAGAAATTGAGAGACAATTACTGTAAAGTGGTCAGAAGTATGACCATGGATGGCTCCGAGTCTCGATTCATGCTCGCAACATCCTCATAACGGATATTTAAGAGCAACCCGTATTGGGACTCTCCCCAAGTGAAGTTGTATCTACTAACGTCGAACGCCATCTCATTGCCTTTCGCATCTCTCGCGTACCTACCAGCCCCCGGATCACCCGGCCACTTTTCATTCTACGGGCCACCATTGATCAGTCACGGAAGAGCCGTCAGGGCCTGGTGATAAGGGCGCCGGTGAGCAAAAGTCGTTGGGACCCCAGGGTGCCCAGTAGACCCGGGTTTCTAGGCTCATACCGGGTTTCTCAATAGAATTATCCGTTCTCACTGTCCTCGTATACCCGGATTACAGATCAGAATTAACAATGATAATGGTGGCCCTTGGCGGTACGTATCCCCTCCTTAAATCACAATCGGAGGGCCTGGACATGGAAATTCGGAGTTTCACACATACGCGTAAGTGTGCCTTTATGAAGCCACCGCAGTTTTTTATTACGCGGGTATGAAGAACACCCAAGACATATTTACATACACCAACCACATCTGGTATGTCAGATCCTCAAACATGTAGTCGAGTCTTCGAGCCTGCATCGAAGCAAAGAAGTTGTCCACCAATCTCGTTATGGGGATACGCTGTACCCATCTGTATGAACATACGGCGGTGCAAGCGCTCAGAGAACCATGTGGAGTCCATATCGCGACATCTCTACATCAATTTGGCGAGGAACGATAATCATCTCTTTACGGAGTCTATACCGTGACTCGACCTAAAGGAGTCTGTCACTTTGAAGTTTAGACATGCCGCCTGAATTGTCCTTGACCGACTTTGTTAAGACTGCGGAGGCTGTTCACCGCATCCGACTCGGACGGCGCAAGAACTCTCAAGGACCGGAGGAGGTACCGAACGATTTGATGAGCTCCGCCCAGGTATCCCGTACTTTGCTACGTTATCCCTTGTCCCTGTGCGTACCTAAAAGGCACTGTCCCGCTCTGGTTGACTGATGCGAGGTTTCCCCGTCAACGTTAAGCTCCACAAACACGATTGTGCCTTTCAGTTATTGAAAAATTCTGAAGGAGTTGCAAAGCCCCTGCCAGCATCTTGCGAGTTCCCATCAGGATGGGAGCGTAACGGCGGAGAATAGTCCCCGCTCCCGAGAGATATGAGAATCGGAGGTTGATCTTCCCCAGGCCAGCCTCAACTGCTTTCAGCGGCGTTCAGGCAATGAAGGCTGCTGTTAGCCGGTTTCTATCGCTATAGGTAAATACTAAATACCCGATTCGAACATCGTAGAGAGTAGTCTCGTAGATAAAAACTTGATTGTTTCAAGATCGCTTATTCTAGCGGAGATGTCGGAATAATCATTTTCTCACATCCGTAATGCCGTTCGCTTAGCTGTTCCTTTCGCGCATCAGAACGAGAGAGAGGTAGGCATTATTGGCGCATGATTCCTAGACGGCGATGATTAACGAGTCAAAGAGGACTCCGCCGTTGGAAAGTCGTAGCGGAGTTGCCGATGGAAGAGTCGGGTAGAATCGGTGATGACTGTTCCAGCCTGGATGTCGAGATTCCGGCCTCGTTAGCTACGTGACGCGTCTGCTCGGAAACATAGTTTCCGACGCTGGCAAAAGGAGGTTTTCAACAAATCGATCGTCTTTGCCGCTCATGGTGTAACGACTGCGAGGAGATACGAGTGCTGTCACAGCGTACCACGTTGAGCACATACCCTACAATCTAAATCAAACGTTTCAAATACGAGATAACAGCATACATTGGCTTTGTATCCTCAGACCTGTCAAGGGCCGGCTTTACGAGACCGCCTATCAAGTACGAATGTTGTAAAACCTCATCTCTCTACAGTCTGGGCGGTTACCACGCTTACAGCACCCTCTTTTACCTGCCATGGAGTGGGATGTTACAAGGACTGAGTCAAAGCTATCCACACCCCTCGCACCCTTGTACTTCCAGACATCCCTGGAATCCTGAGTGAGCGTCGACTCCAGAACCCGATGTTCAAGGACCCACAAATCGTACTTCCCACATTTGCGAAAAAAGGCTCCCAGGAATGATGAACTTACATTGCATTTCTTTATATAGCCAACTTCTCCTTTGCAGGAGAGAACCGTTTCTTTTGATCCTTTGAGGACGGTAATCCTTCGAGTTGAAACGCCAGGGGCTAGGCGATGGGCGTCAAAATTTCCACGTGGGCCACGGACCAATTCCGATCAATCCCGGATCAGAAGTTGGCCCAATCATAGGGGGCGTTAGAAAGGAAAGGAACCCCTCGAGGCTCGAGATGCTCATATCGGTCGGTTACAGGTCCACAAAGGTGTACTTCGAGAGACTACTATAGGTTACAACAATGAATTGAACGTACAAGTACAGTTCCTTTTTACATGGCAGAAAGCTTACATCCACGAGACATACAGGACAGGCAACGGATATGGGGAAAGAAATGAATGTGTTGTAGTCTGACGACAGGGGTATTCGGCATTCAACTCGGGAAGCCAGCATTTTAAACGCGTTCAGCGGGAGTGCGACCACCCAATTCAGCAAAAAGGACATCGCGGCTAGGATTGGCGGCGTTCTTCGCAGCCTGCGCTTGCTCCTTCCTCTCCTGCTTGAAATGGTTCGAAAGCAAGAACGCGACATCTAAAAAAAAAAAAAACAAAAATAAAACCAAAGAAACAGGGGGATCAAATCAGTCAGTCAGCCTTCGGTCCATCCATCATATCGCAGAGAACGAAGTAAAAGTTAAAAGTATAACGTGAAGAAATACTCCACGCAGGCTTGGAGTCGAAGCGAGGAGATGGAGAGAGAAAGCAAGGGAAAGGGAACACAGGCGTACCTAAGCTTTGCTCAAAGTTCAACCTCGGATCACAGAAACTCTGGTACCTCAAGCCAAGCTCGTCCTCGCTCAGCTCCATGGATCCACCGGTACATTCGGTGACACTGAACCCCTCGTCGTTGAGTTCGCCGGTGAATTCGAGAGAGACGCCACCGAGACGAGAGTTGCAGGCGGTGTGAATGCGGAGACACGAGGTAAGCTCTTCGATGATAGACCCGAAGCTTCGGGTCTTGAGGCCGTTGGAGGAGGTGTGGGTACTGGAGGGAGGAAGAGACGTCGATCATAAACCAAGGTGGATGAGGGTGGATGAAAAGGAGTAGCAGGAGGGATATCGAGTAGGAGGAGGCGGCGAGGGGGTGTAATCAAAAAGGATGTTCGTTGGTACTGATCTCATCAGAAGAAGAGCGAAGAGTACTACTTACTTTCCATGCATGGGATCGCAGACCCAGACGACAGGGTGTCCAGATTCTTGAACTGCGGTGATATGTGAGGCGAGATGGGCATCGATCTAAAGTCAACGTCGAGGAAAGCATAGTCAGTGGCGCTGGCGTTGAGCGATCGAGGGGCATCACAGAACGTGGATGCAAATCCACAACGCTCGGGAGAATGGACATCAAACGCCATCAGAGACGACTATAGCTATCCCCAATACAGGAGCGTACCAAGGTGGTACGTGCTGGGTGGACGATGATGATAGTCCACGGAGAAGACCAGAACGCCATTCCGAACAGAACAAGCCACCAGAAAGACCTGATGAACGGACACGTACCTTCTTTGCGCCATATCGAGTGATCAACGTAACCCTTCCAGCCTCCTTGTCAGGGTTGACAACTGTAAAAATACAACCAGCCGTCAGCGATGGACAATGGAAGAGGAGGAGGGACAGTGCATACTGTCAAGCAAGCGAACCAACTCCTCGTTGGCCATGCTCGGTCCCACTTTAACACCGATTGGGTTGCGGATACCCCTGAAGTACTCGATGTGAGCATGGGTGAGTTGGCGAGTGCGATCGCCAATCCAGAGGAAATGAGCGCCAGTGTTGTAGAACTGTTTCTTGGGGGTGGGTTGCCCAGCTTGAGATCTGATGTTGGATTCGCGGTGGCGGATGGAGGAGGGAACGGAGAACTCGCGGGTCAAGGCTTCTTCGTATGGAAGCATCAGTCCTTCGTGACTGAAGTGGCATGTCAGTAACGGTGAACAGCGGGAACGGAGAGAGGTGGACGAGAGGAGAGCGAAGCACGCGGAGACGGAACAGGGCGAGGAAGAAAAACGAGGGAGGAAGAGTGATCAGGAATCCAACCAACGCCGGTATCCCCAGAGAACATTTGGAACGCGAATTTGAGAAGAGATGCAGGGAAGTTCTCGGCGGGGTGTGTTGCGTCAACGAGGCATAGAACGAAGGTATGCAGAGCTTCGAGACACTCTAAACCTCACAGTGTGGTGCTCTCCAATTAAACGAGACGGAGGTGGTTGTGGAAGAAAGGTAGAGAACACCGAAACGAGGGGAAGAAGATGAAGTTAGAACTTGCCTGGTGTAGAAGTCGACTTCGCCAAGTGTTCCTCGACCTCCACCTTGTTCGTAGGAGACACTGGAATCCATGCCGATGGTACGACTGAAGTCCAGGGCATCGGAAAGACCGTCGACGATCTTCTCAAACTCGGTTCTTTATGACGGAAGTGGAATACGGTTGGAATGGTTAGATGTAATCGGTAAAGAATTTCAGGAACGGACATACCTGAGAGAGGCAGAGCGTACGTGGTTCAAAGACCAATCGCGAGGGTGGTGGAGAGAGGCGAAACCTGAGTCGAGGAGACCACGAACGTAGTTCAGGGTCGTAGTAGAATGGAAGTAAGCGCTATAAAGCAAGAAACAGATGAATGACTTCGCGAATGTGCTGCAGTCGAGACCCCCTTGACACATACCTAAGAAGGCGCTCGGGATCGGGGGTACGGTCATTAGGGTCAAGACTTGAAGAGAGAAACGAAGTTTTAGACTTCAATTCGAGTGTTAAATAATGTGTCATACCCGTTCACGTTGTCACCTCTGTAGATGAAAAAACAAGGTGAATGAAATGGATGGGCGAGACCGAACATGAGGCATACCTGAAACTGAGGACCTCGCGTCCATCAATTTTTTCGGTGCTGCTGCTTCGGGGTTTCGCGTATTGTCCAGCAATACGGCCTACTCGTACCTATAAGATGGTCTCTGAGTTTCAAACAGATCGGATAGATGCAAGGATCAGCGGAGACTCACAACAGGAAGACGAGCGCCCCAGATGAGGATCAAGGAGAACGACAAGATCAAACCGATTTTCGAGGAGATATTCTCCTGCGAATCCAAACCGACCAGAGGAAAGCGGGTTCTTTAGTCGAGGACGATAAAAACAATAAATGAGTCAGTCTGACGTACATGGGTGCAAGCGTCGAAGCTCTCCGCGCAGTCGCCGGCGTGCAGCAGGAACGCCTCGTTTCGCTGGACAAGGCCGAGCTGATAGCGCAAGCGTTCGATCTGAGGTGTATAACGTTTCGAGAATTAGAAATGGATCGCGAAAACGAGTTTTAAAGGATGCGATTTGCGGAGATCCATGTAGCTTGTGGAACAGCCAGGCTCACCTCGGAAGGGGTTACCATTGGAGGTAGAGTAGAAATCTTGTTGAGAACTCTACGCACACGCGCCCAAGTCAAAGTGATTAGAAGTTCCACTGTATATTGACTACGAAGTAACGAACTTGTTCAGTTTCTGTTCGTCGGGGTAGGCGACATCCTGTGGCAGCGGAAGCAAATTGATCATGTTTTGATCAGAAATGCTGCGGCAATTATGTGGTTCGACATACCTGAGCGATGGGCTTGGACCTCCAAGACGATGGTGACCACTGATTCGACATTGTAAAAGCAGCGAATATAGAATTTGTGATACAGTTGGAGCAAAGAACCCTGGAATCCTCGGTGTTGGTGGAAGGTTGGTAATGAACCCTGTAATCGCAGTCCTTCCTATTTAAGGCCCTTCGGCAATTCCCGTATGGGCTGCGTCCGGCCAGAAAACGCCTTGAGCTGGCGCTTATTTTTGTGTCAGCTCCACTTCAGGCGGGCTTAACTGCTGCACCAAGGCCTATTTCAAACAAGGTCTATTCCGATATAGACCAGGTCTAGTCTCGATACATCGCCTGACTCGACTAGCATTGCCGCGGAACGCGAATTGGGAGAGCGACGCCGCGATGCACTGACTTGGCAACGCAGATGCCCCGAGTGATCCTCGACGGGAATCTGGCTTTAGACTTTGTCGAAGCGTCGCGAAAGAGGTTGAATCTGGCTCCTGGATATCCCTAAAGGACGGCCTATATCCGGGTGGCCATATCGACTCGCTTTTTTACATCAACGCTGGTGCTTCCCCGAAGCCCTGCATGGATATATAATCTGCGCGGATTTCCTAGAGTCTCTCTCATTCGCCGTCAACCCCACACAACCATGTCTCTTACCCGCGTCGTATTGGTTCTCGTTCAGGCATTTTGCAACGGACTTGCATGTACACCTCCTAACCCAACTTCGCCCAAACAACGGTATCACACTGAGGAGATGTACATTCTCCAAATAGCGCCTCTCATTTTCAAGGTTTGTTTTCCCCCCTGGATTTCTGTTGTCCTTACTTACACCGGTCTCTCAGTGTCACCAAATAATCTGCTGGGGCTGCGCACTGTTTGAAGTGCTGCACTACCTCGCGGCCTTCTTCCAATTACCAACCGTCCTCCCCGCGGCGTCTTCACTGGTCTGCCTAGCACCACAGGCCAACATCCGGTTAACGCCTATGTTCATCATCGGCGTGCTATCCGTCGTTCTAGGATGCTACATCCGTCTCGACTGTTTCAAAACCCTCGGCAACATGTTTACCTTCGACCTCACCGTCCACCCAGAACATCGCCTCGTCACCAACCGCTTCTACTCGTACGTCCGCCACCCAGCGTACACCGGATCCATGATGTTGGTCATCGGCTTGGCGTTCTCGCATCTCACTAGGGGAAGCTGGTTGACAGAGTGTGGCCCCTTGAGGAATAGGGCCGCGGCGATTGTGGTTTGGGCGGTGTGGTGGTTGTGGACGTTCTGTGTGGGGATCAGCAGGGCTGACGCTGAGGACAAGCAGATGAGGAAGCTATTCGAGGATGAGTGGACGGCGTATGCACAGGCGGTGCCCTGGTGGTTCTTCCCTGGACTGGTCTGAACGAGGTGAGTTTGTGTCGTCTGCCCTCGAGGTGCTTCTCGTATTGATTTGATTGATAGATACCTCGAGGTTCTCGCTTTTTCTCATCTTGACTCGCTCATCTCTAGACGACCGCCTCGCTCCTCAGTGGATCGTGGCGATATATCTGTCGACTAATCATCTGCAACGCTACTTGAAAACCGATTCTTGACCTGTGGTCTCATCACGATCTCATTTACGTCTTTTCTACTTATATTTCTGTTGGTACCTCTTCTTTTTTGAACGTCGTCTATCTATCCATCCATCCATTCTCTCCCAGCGGTTTACATAGACATCTTCGTATTGGTCATGGCATTTCCTGGACTGGAATCCCTACGTATTCATGTATGTAACTCACGACACCCGAACGAACGAATCGCATTCAGACCTCAATATAGACTATCCATTGTTGCTACCCACTACCGAATTACCTTTGCTTGAAAACCTCGCGAAGCTTGATATCCGCATCAGTTGGTTAGGAATTACGAGGTTATTGGACAAGTTATTGGAGTGAGTCATTGCGAACTTTGAACGAGTGTCCCTTTGAATACGCTTGCTTCGGTGTTAGGAAAACTCCCCGAGGGTTTCAGTTAGGCTCGTCCTTGCCGGTTGTCATCGATGTCATCGATGACATCTCCGAATCTTGGATGGGGTAGGGGCCTTGTTCACGTTTCAATGTAGGCTACGTGTAAACTTGGACATGGTTTCGTGAATGGAAGTTCGATCTCCTTATACGACATGGTGCTACCCTGAAGTTCAACGTTCAGGGGTCTAGGCCCCAAACTCAGTTTGGTCGAGCTTTATTCCTGATCGATAACTTTAGAAAGTAACAACAACATACAACTTGGATCAAGAAACGGAAAGGAAGGGAACGAATAAAACGATGACGAAGGCTCACTACGAAGCTGTGGCGACTTTATGAACGCGAATATTCACCCCTGCTTAGGAACGGCCGTGGCACCAGGACGGCTTGTAGTCGAAACCGCATCACAATGGGGAACCATCGTCGCAGGGTCAGGTCCGTGCTGGACCGGGTTGCACCCAGGTAACTTCTCCAAATCTAAAGAAGTAACAGTAACGCATCAGCTCCAACCCTTCAAGTTACCCGACAGGCATTCTAGCTGAAATCCAAAAGCGCTGCCAGTAGCAGATACTCAATAACTAGTACTCACATTCGCCTTCGGTAACTTCATCAACCATCACGGGCACCTTGCAGCTGTTCATCTCCTCGTCAGAGATCTGGACTAGCTCAGGGCAGGAATCTGGGAGTCCGAGGATAGAAGCCCCGCATTTGTCCATGGCGCGTTGGAGGGAGTCGCCTTCCCATCCGAAAACGTAGTCGCCGTGGTGTCCGTAGCCCGTGCTATATTTGGAGCATTGTGTATTCAAATTCAGTGAGGTTCAGCACGAGACGAGACAAGAATAATACGCACGGGTCGCCCATGCTCAGCACGAATGGCTGGCTTCCGTCTTCAGGCCAGAGATGGGTGAACTGTGCCGTATCCCACACAGTCTCGTAGAAGAGCATGGGAATCCGGACGGGGTGAGAAGGCGGACACTCTCCTCGATGCAAGAAAATCCCTCGATCGGGATTGACTTTTCCGTCCATCCACGCTACATGACTCTATCGACCCAGGAGATTTCAAACACATCAAATCACCATCATCAGTACATCCTACGAAGCCTCCTATTCTTCAAGTGGTTAAGAAACACACCTTGTGGTCAGGTGAATCCAAATTAACTCCATCCCAACAGCTCGGGAAGAAGATGTTGGCGCGGATGCCATAGGGGCAGGGTTTGTTCGGCAGTTCGACTGTATCGTATGGACCTGCACCAGGTGCCCACGAGTTCGAAAGGTCAAAGAAACCGGGGGTATCCCAGCATCTGAACGAGGAGGACCAGGCTTGAGGACTTTCAGGATCAATCTTGGGACCGATTTCGGATTTACGGAGCATGGGATTGCCGGTAATCATCCTGAAGCCCTAGGTACGTAGATCAGTGGGAAAGTGATCATGAGTTACTGTGAGTCGTAAAAGGGAGAGACTTCGTACAGGTCTGAAAGCGACGGTGGGACGCAGGTCGGGCGGTTGGATGTAGTACACTGTCATACCGCCATCCGGACTTCCTGTAACATGGTTTGGAATTTGAGGCACCTGAAGACAAATTGTCAGCTCTCAGCAGCTAATGCACCGAACTATCATAAAACCCCAGCCTTACTCTGATGAAACTACCATTCGGGTGCTTGAAGTACAAAACTGCAGTCCAGTAATTCGATTTGTCTTCTTTGAATTTACACGTGGTGCAGGTGGCGAGGTTTGGTAGATCGAGCGATGGGTCCATCGTCAAGTTGAACGCATTCTGTTTGGGTAGTGGGATAATAAGTGAGCCGCGACACAAATGTAAGGTAAAAGGGGAGAAGACGTACTCCGCCGACGATTTGGTGAACGTGGGGCGACACTTGACCTGGAGTAACGAGCCTGTTATCAGTCGTATCAATGGGTCGCCGAGATTAGGATTAGCAGATATCGAGTGTAGGGCATGGGACGTACGGATCGAATCGCTCAGTTACAAGCTGCGCACATGGAAAGCGGATTAGAGCGTTAGATCGAGCGGTGAAGAGCGTTACCGCGGCCAGAGATGCTAGCCACTTCATTCTCGCAGTCTGAGGTCAAAACACAGTGGGAGACCTCTGCCTTCGAATCGATGAAGCAGGAGAGGAGACATTATGAACCACTGCCAATGGTAGAAAGGAATACCCGCGTTTCGAAATTCGCGCGGAAGCCGTACCTTTGGGGCGTCGAAGCTGAGGAAACATAACGACTGGGCGGTGATCAATACCAAGAACTTGGTTGTGACCAACAGAAAAAGGGACGCTCGATGCTAGGGGTTTATGGTGGAGCGGCGAATTGCCGCATGGAAGAAGTCGTGCCTGGGAGTTTGACCTACTTATAGCCCTGGACAATGTCTTCGAGAAGTGACGTTTTGAATGGCGACGCTGTTAAATCAATTGGAGGGGGACCACGGGGCTTCTGGGGCGAAGCGCGAGGTGCAGAGCGTGCCAGCCAATAGGATCACATAGCGTTCTTTGGGATGAAAGGTTCTACATAGCGACATTGAATAGGGATCAAAGTATCTAGTATAGAGCCCTGGATATTATTTTGAACAAATCTCCTCGGAAAAGACTTGAAAGAAAAGCAATAGGGTGACGCCCGTTGATTGATCTCAAAAACAAAAACAAAAACCAATGTGACGGGCCTGACCGGGAATTGAACCCGGGACCTCCTCGAAACTTAGCGCGGAACGCTCCCTAACAAGGAATCATACTACTAGACCATCAGGCCGTTATAATCTGTCCCTGCGATGGCCAACCCCGCTCGACGATTCATGAGGTTCCATGAAATAGTCAATGACCTTGGTCTCGCACCTGGAAAGAAGTGCACATCAGGTTTAGACTCGTAACCAGTCAGAGAACGAAGATTTTTGGTGTGGATGAGAGAATCCTCGATTCACCATGCAATGAGCCCCCGCTCGTAGTTCCCTGTCGAGACTACGCCCGCTTGGGCATCTTCAAATTCTACGTACTCGTAAGGACACACAAACCCTCCACTAAACCATGGAGGAGTTACCCCGAAACGTCAACCAACCCCGATCCTCACATGAATCAAACTTCGCAAAGTACTTGTCAAACACCCTGAATGGACCCAGCTGCTTCTCCCAGTCTTCCTCAGCTAGATCCCAAATCCCATGACGGCCAGTCCAACTATCTCGGAACTTCAACAACGTTCTCCAAAGATCCAGTTTCTGTGGCGGTACACCATCGTCGCTATCACGCTTAGGAGCATAGGATAACCACCAGTATTTTTCCCTCGCAAGCTTTGAAGATGAACCAGTGGACCAATTGCGGCGCAGGACATCGGAACAGTACCACACCAAGCACCACAAGAAGGACTCGAAGTCATGATACCACATACGATTCACTCGTCCTCTCGTCGGGGAACATAGAAGGTCGATCGCCATGAAAGGCTTGGTCCCCGTCCGTTCGAAGCCCGCCTTGTTGGGTGAATAATCGCCTGGGGTCATGATCGCAGCCAAATCAAAGTCGTTCAAGACGGCTTGGAGGGTACCATCCGGACAACGACGCTGCATCAGGTTCGACGGACTGATGTCGCCATGCGCGATACCGATTTGCCAGAGAAGAAAATGACCTAATGAAAAGGGACTTGGCTCGATGGGTAAACTATTAGGCAGAAAACCCGTACTCACAGCGAATGAGTTGCGAGATCGCACGAGCGTACTCCTCCGGTGGGAGGTCGTTGGTCGGAACCAACCATTCAGCAGCGATTCCAGTCGGCACCAAGCAGTCATCCAAAGGTAGCTTCATAAGTTCGCGAATATGCCTCGTCGAGAAGGAGCCGAACTCGGCGTAGGCTTTGACGCAGGGGAGGTGGTCGACGACATGCTCCTTGTACGCACCGAGGTGCACCGCCCGCCTCTTGGCGGTCTCGAGGATGTACTCTTCGCTCTCTTGCTTCTCCGCACGCCACAAAAACTTGCCAAATATCTTGTTCTCGTGCACAGTGGATGCTAGGTCTCCTGGGTCGATGCGTGAATTCGCCATCCCACAGGGGCGCAACTGACCACCGACTGAACGTCGCCCTGTCAGCCCCCACCGCGTACGCGTGTCGTCTCCAAGCGTGTGCGGGATCGCCTTCCCATCGACTTCAACATCCAGCTTGAACCCTCCAATCCCCCGCATCCGATTATCAAAGCGCTGGAAAACAAGGATCGTCGCGACGAAGAGAGGAAGCTGACGGACGATGTCGATGGGTCGGGTTCGGATACATCCTTGTGGATCATACCACTGGATGGACAGTTGATTATCTACGAAACAGTCAGATTTGGAAGGAAGACTAAAGAATTTTGGCATCTACCTATCAAGAGGACGACGATAGCATGCGTGCGGTCCCATCTCGCTCGCATCATCTCGAGTGCATACAAGCCTGACTGAGCATGAGGGGATGCAGTGGGATGGGGAGAGTCCGAATCCGAGTTGTAGTCAGTTCTGACCCTCTTCCACGATTCGAAGTCACTGTCAGAGTCTTCTTCTGAACGCCCTTTCCGTCTCCGGCTGTCACAAGATATCCCTGACACCTGGTCAGCGGATGACGATGGGACGGAGGGAGGAGCATGCGGGGTCGAGTCCACCGCATCTAAGGGTCAAAACGGAAATCGATCAGTTCAATGCGACCCGGTGCAGATCAAGAGACTTGTACCCACCACATTCAATCGCGAATTGATAGTTTCGATCCACAAGAAGCCTAAGATCGTCCTCCGACACCACATTCTCCTTCCTAACCTCCCAACAATCCACAACATCACGCCAAAGCGTTCTCCGTCCATCCGATCCCCATTCAACGCGCTCTCCAGGTTTCATGAAAGGAGTCTCAACCCAATCCTCCCACCGTCCGCCTTCTCGCTCAGGGAAGATTGGCTCCAGCGCGCTCAAGGGCAACCGGACGAGGTCAGGCTTCCGTTTAGGCATGTAGTCATAAACGTCGTAGATAGGATGGCACTTCAGAATCGCGGGGTTGTTCACGAGGACGACAGTTTCCTCGTCGTCGAGGGTGTGTTGAAAACCCGCAATGTCCTTCCCTCGACCATGCTCGAGGATCAAGTTGAGAGCACGAGCCAAATGGGCGCAACTCTCCTTTTGATCGGGAGTCTTCAACCTGAAAAAGCGAAGGATACTAGTCAATCTCATAGAGATAGGAGAGCAAATCTAAGCCAGTCAACATACGCTTCATAAATCCTTTCTTTCACCCCGCTAGACGCCTCGTCATTGCAAAGCCCAGCAGCACGAGTCAGAAACGCATCAAACGCCCTCGCCGCATCAAACTGCCCATCTCCTTCACCACCCGCACGCATCCTCCTCAAAAACGCAGTTAACATATCCCCCAAACCAACATAGCACGCGTCTTTCAGATCCTGCTTGAGGAGACCAACCACAAACTCGGCGGTTCTCGTTCTATTCAAATAGACAGACAGTAATCAACGTTCTGAGCTCGCTGAAGAAGAATAAACGACACGAACCTCCCATCCCATAGATACGTAGTAGAATCTACATCTGACCCCGAAGCATCGTTTGAGGAGCGCGAGCTGCACGTCGGTCGTTCGACGGGTTGATTCTGTGGGATAGAACTCCCTGTCCGAGTCTCCGCCATCATCGAGGTGTTGGTGGTGGTCACGGTCGGGGAACAGCAGCGGGCGCTTTCGACCTTCGCCGCGGCAGCGGGGGAAAGGGTCAGACTGATTCAGATGCTCCCCGCTCCACGTGCTACGTCCCCTGGGCACTCCTCCTCTCTCGATCGGTAAGTGCGCGGTGGTCGCCATTCTCGCGCCGCCGGAGGTATGTCGAGTAGAAAATGCAGCGTCAAGCTTCAAGTCTCGTAAAACCAACAAAACAGAACTGAACGAAACGGTAAAACCAAGGGGGTATCTTCTCTATATACATACACCATATACACGGTAAAAAACAAAAAAAAAAAAAAAGGAATCACCTCAAAGTCGAACACATTGAACATTGAACATTGGAAATCGGACAACACGCGACGCCAGAGAACCAGAAAGAAATCAGGGACGTTAAGCGATAGTCCGACATGGACCAAGGCAAGGCAACAGGGAGGCCAAACGACAGCACCATCGGAGGACAAAACCTGCCCAAACGAAACAACAAAAACAACCACTCGGAAATAAGTTATAACACCCTCGTTCCAACCCAAATAGCACTGTAAGAAAAAAAAAGAGAAACATTGAAAAATAGCAGCAGTAAAGCAGTAAAATGTGTAACGTGAGTAAAATATGCAACAAGCGCCGAAAGTAAAGGAAAACGCGGTGAAAAAGTAATAAGTAGTAATCAGCAGCCAGTAGTCGCCAGACGAAACAGAAAGAAGGAAGGTCGTAGTATTAGTAGTGCGTCTGGTGCAAGGTCCAGGAGTTTGTCCTAACCCAAGAGAAGAAAGTAAAACGATCCGGTGTGGGTGTCGGCTGGTCGTCGTCCGAGTCGTCGGTGCACGTCCCTGCACGTCGGTTCGTCGGTGGAAGCATACAGGGGTCGTAAAACGAGAAGGGGTATATAATATAGCGCGATGCGTAGCGAGGGTGGGTGTGGGCGTGGACGGCCTTGGGGCGGGCGATAGCATAGCATTATCCATCGAGGGCCGCCCTGCGTGGCGGGGGGAGGCGATAGAGGTTGCGTCCGTATAGAAGTTCGTCATGTCAATGTTGGTACTCGACACGGAAAAATCCAGCGCCAATAGCCCAACAAACACAGTCGCTCAATAATACGTCTTCTGCATCTGCTTAAACTTGCGCGTGCAAGACGACTTTCTGTTATCTGTATTCCTCGCGTGTTAGCTTCACTTCTCCCAAGTTTCAGCCGAAAGGAGAGAACGAGCAAAGTTACAACTGAAAGAAGAGGAGATCCAAAGTTACGACGGAAAGAAAAGTCCGAAATAGAAAGAACAGTAACAAAAATAGAACAAAAACAAGACAAGAAAAAGACCAGGAAAAAAGACTCACTAAACGACCGCCCTTTATCACACCAACACTTGCCCTGCTCCCAAACCTGACCACCGGGACAATGTCTGAATCCGTCATGTCTGTACCTATTTCCCAAAAGACAGATTTGCTGTCGTCAGCGAACTGCAAACCACTCCTACGAACCACGGGTCGGGGGAGGAACCCCGCCGTCGACGTCCACCGCGAGGACGTAACCTCGACGTCCACCGCGAGAATCACAACACCGCCGTTCCAACAGAGAACAGCCAAGGCAAGGGAAAAGCAAGTAAAAACTCACCCGATATCATAAAAATAATGTATACTCTCTTTAGGCGCAAAGAGTGAGACACCGATAGAGTGGACAGGCGCGTCGCCCCAGCGCTACAGAAAGGAAGGAACGAGGGGACGAAAGGAAGGAACAAGGAAGGAAGAGAAAGGTAGTCGTCAGTGAGAGGTCCTTGGAGGCTTGAAAAGCGAGAAGAAAGCTGGAGGATGGAAGTATCCAGAAGTCGAGAAGGAAGAAGGAACGAAAGCAAGATGGGGACGAGAACAATGCAAAGGACGAAACCGCGAACGAACACAACACCACCCGCCAACCGCCAACCTCCACCGAACGAACGAATGAAAACGAAACGCGAAAAGCAAACGAAACTAAAAAAAAACAAACAAGCAAAACGACCAAAAAAGACGGATACACACCTCATAATAAAACCCTCCCTTCTTCTCCAACCACTCAAAATACGCAGAATAAGCTTCACCCCTCCAGAAATCCATATCCGCGATCTCAAAGTTGCTCCAGACTGTTTGTTGTGGGCGGTCGAGGGAATTCGTAGACGGAAACGAACGAGAGAAACCAGAGATTCGTAGACCGAAATGAACGACAGCAAACGAGAATGCGATACCCGAACAGTGGAGACGGGAGAATCAGTTCACAGATAAGACCTCATTCATCCCAAAAGGAAAAGGAAAGGAAAAGGAAAAGAAAAGGGAAAAAGGCATGCACGCACAATGACACATATTATAATCCTCCCCTCCATTATCAGAGATAAACTCCATCGCGTTGTCCGGGTGCACGTATTGTGGGTTTTCCTTCATGAATTCTGCAAAACCAAAGAGAGAGGGGGAAAAGGATGTTTTGTTAGTACATATTTCGCGTTGGGGGATTCATTCGTGACGGCGCGTTGGGGTATCCGTTCCTGACGGCGCTGCGGGGTATTCATTCGTGACGGAGCGGTGGGGTATCCGTTTTTAGACGGCGCGTCGAGGGGCGAGGCCTCTCGGACGGAAAGTCGAACTGTGTCGACAACGCCCGCCTTCCTCCAGGGCCTCCCTCGCCAAACGTCATATCCAGCCCCGTCCCCAAGGGTGTCGTTACCTCCCAACCACATCTTGACCGTCCACTTCCAATAACCAACCGCATCTCGACCACCCACGCTTCCATCCACATCTCAACAGCCCGAGCGCCATCCACATCTCAACAGCCCGAGCGCCATCCACATCTCAACAGCCCGAGCTCCGACCACATCTCAAAAGCCCGAGCTCCGACCACATCTCCACCATCCACACTTCGACCCCTCAACCCCCTGGGCGGCACCACGATTCACGAAGATCACCATCGGCTACCCCTCCAGCTATCCGCCCCTCACCACCACCTCACATTGTAGCCCATCCCCTCGCGGTTCAACCCCCGCAGTCCAACCCCCCGCACCCCAACCCCTCGCAGCCGAAACCCCCAAGACACCGAACGAAGACAAGAGAAAAGGCTAAAAAACTCACCCTTCGTAGCATCCCACAACGTAGGAACAGTCTCCACCCATTCCAGTAGTGAAATCGTGAATCCTGTAGGTCGGGGTCGTCGGATTCCCATTCGCGAGGGTTTGATTGGATGGACAGTCGCGTTGGAGTTTGATTGGATGGACAATCCCGTTGGAGTTTGGTTGGTTGGGCAGTCGCGTTCGAGTTTGGTTGGTTGGGCAGTCCCGTTGGAGTTTGGTTGGTTGGGCAGTCAGTCGCGTTGGAGTTGGAGTTGGACGGGTTTCATCGTCGAGGTCCCAAAGCAGGGGAAAACAAGGAATTGGGAGTTCGAGGTAGGCGTACGTGCGGATTCACGGGTCGTAGGTTGATTTTGATTTTTGAATTCGTTGGATGCGCCCATCGGTCAGTCCCAGTCCGACAACCAAAAGATGCCAAGTGATGGATCGGATTGGAGGCATTTCCGAAGAGGGTGGAGCGAGGAGAGATGCGAAGATCACGAGCGCGATAGGATTAGGAAGGTCGTCGAAAAGATGGCAGTGGTGCGCCAAGAAGTCGCGTTAGTTGTTGGTTTGTTGGTGGTGAGGCGTTGGTAGACACGACGCCGATCCACATCCGTAACAAGCACGATATCCGTAACGAAGATGGTAGGTATCCGGAACGAAGATGTCATGTTTGTTATGTTTCATCGGGGAGGATTGGCCGCGTGTCGATACACAGGACGTTGGCATTTGGTAAGGCGGGGGCAATGAGCGTTACAGGCCATGGCGGGTGTAGGCGCGTATCGTGTATGTCGTGGGCGTATATCGAAGGTGTAGGCGCGTTTCATCGATATGTGTCGTAGGCGCGTATAGAGGCGTTCAGTGGGCGTCCAGTGGATTTGCGATAAGGAAAATATGAAGAAAAACAATAACGAACAAAGTCAGCTTCATCCACCCCACCCAAAACTAACCACGAAGAGAAGCGACGCACCGTAAACTTTCTTATTAACCTCCATATACGTGAACGGGTCGTAATTTAGATCGCAGAAATAGTCGACATCAGGTCTGTCGTGCAAAGCGTGCGTCAATCACCCTAGAGTGGAATGGATGGACGGTGGTACGTACTCGATTCTGTAGGAGAGAGGCCCAAAGCACAGGTGGGTTAGCGGTTCGTATAGAGGCTAAGCGTGTCGGTTTAGACAACTAGGACGCATGCGTACCTCCAATAGTAGCGATACGGTAGCATTAGTTCGTGTCTGTAGAAAAACTGCGCGTCGCGGGAGAGTCAGCTCAAGCCTTCCCAACCAGCTTGGACAACACATACTCCCGAGTTGAATCTGCACATGTTGCGGTATCTTCACAAGACGCGTGTACATCGTTAGCTCGAGCTGGCGTGTTGGAGGTGAGGATGGGGGGTGTCTTACGGGACGCTATCTGTAGTATAAGAACAAGGGGCAAGGGGTGTGAGGCGTCAGGTTGAGTGAGGAGTGGTTAAGGAAGGAAGGAAGGAAAGAGACGCACCACCATAAATAATCATCTCCTCGACCATCTTCTTCCTCCCCGCAGCCGCCTTCTCCTCGTCAATCCAATCCGGCTGGTTCCACACATCGGGTGGTATAACCCCAAAATGCACCGGACTCTTAATCAACACACTGACTCTCCTACCAACGCCAATCTATAAGACAAACCCAAGCCAGAAATCCCAGAAGCCAGATAAACGCACCTCTTAAACTCCTCCGTAAACGGTTCATCATTAAGAAACACCCAAGGGTACCCATAGTTATCATTAAACCTATCCTCCACCTGCCTCACACTCGAAATCACACCCTCGATCTCCCTATTCCGACAGAGCATCACGAAGGTCGCGTTGGCCCGGTGGTGCGAGGGCACACCCCTCAACGACTCCTGCGCTCTTTCAATCGTAAGCTGCATGCTTTTATGGCGTTTGTGGCTGTATTTCGGGACGGTCATGATGAACGTTATCGCGGGCTTTCATTTGGCGTTCATTTCCACAGGGGAGGACGGGGCGGGGAGGAGCGGTGGGATGGGGTGGGGATGAGCTTGAGTTGAGTCGAGTCGTCTAGGAGGGGTGCATAGAGCAAGGAGGAGGACTTACCACGATGATTGAAACGAAGAGGATGATGTTCCGCCATAGTGTCCGGCTTTTGAGGAGGTGGGTGAGGGTAGGTTTGAGCGACGACGACCAGCGTTCTCGGTGGTGCGTATGTCGGAGCATTTGCTAGCTAGCTATCTCGTCGCGGTCCTAGCGAAATCGTATCCGTAACCCGCGTTTGCGTCGTGTTTCGTTGACCCGTAAAGACCTCGGATGCGAAAAGAGGCCCTGGAGTACGTCTTGAAGCTCGTAAAGCCTTGCGTTTCAATGAAACCCGTACGCCTTCAAGAAAGTCGAAATGAACCTCGCAAGGTTTCGTCGTGAATCGCCCAAGCAGAAACGAGAAAGAAAAAACGCGGTCCAACAACGTAAAGGACGAGAAAAAAAAGGCTTGGAAAACCGTGCGGGTGTTTTGCCAGCGAGTAAGAAAATGTGGATGTCCGATAACGCCTTGGGGGTGTTTGTGTGGGTGACACTGCTTTTTCCGCAGCTCCTCCGTGATCGGGGGCAACGTTGATCAAGCGTTGATCGAGAGACTAGGGACTGCATCGAAGAAATTGGACGGCGTGTGTGCCACATGTATAGAAACCGTGTCACGGTACCCGGTACCCTCAGGTGACCAGGTATCGCCTCAAATCGACGGTCTTTTCGACGATTTAGGAAGTGGGAGGTCTTTTCATGAGAAGTGGTCCAAGCTCGAGCGGATTTGGCAGGCGGTTTGGCGCCGAGCGATGCCGGCGTCCATTTCGGGCAGCGAAGTGCCCGTTTTGGACGTTTTTGATGCGGAGCTTGAATTCGAACATTTGAACTTCACATCTCTCCCTTGCTCTTGATGGCGTTCAGTGCGTCTGTACATGAATTTCACGATTTATTAAATAAGACACAGATAGATTGTATCTGTACTAGTAACTTAGCAATGGGCTCCCATCCCATGTGTAGGAGCAATAATCAACCACCCAGGGTTCCATTGGCCAGAATTTCGGGTTGAACTGGGAAGAGACTGGATTGGAGGAGGGTAAAGGTTGATAGGGGCTCGTTTACTAAATTAATCAGATCAGCCGTTTCTCGCTTCGGTGGTGTTCGGTGGGTATCAGGGTGGTAGATTGACAGCGGGAACCATGCCAAGGGCTCCCATTATACGGTATAATGCTACTGTGTACCGGTACCCCACCGAAAAAGCGAGGGTACCCGGGGGTACCCCGGCTAGTGGGCAGTATGTCTTATATCCTATGTACTTAGTTTGCACGAATGTAAGTTACCAGTTCATCAGCTCCGGCCCACTGAGATCGAGCCTCAGTAGCCCGAGCAATCAAACTCAGAGAAGAGAATAAACGCGAAGAGAGAGAGAAACACGGCTACTCAAGGAAACGAGAATGTAGGGCCCGATAATGAAAAAAGAAAACGACGACCCGTAAGGTCGTAACTTGTTGCGCTAAAAAAACAAGGGAGTCAGAGACTTGCCGCTAGTTACATAGTACGGAACACCAAGGAAAACACCAAAATGATCAGGAAAACGAACAAAGATCAAGCCTCGACCACGAGCGTAGCCGAACGGAGATCATCCTTCGACTACCTCTCCAAATGTAGCATCCAACCACCTCTGCAACCTCTCACACCCAACGTCCTCTCCCTCCGGACACAACCACGACACGCACTGCCTAATCGCCCTCCCCTTGACCAAACAATCGTAATACTCCGCGTCCTTTTCCTTCACAAACACTTCATAGACTTCGCGGAGGAGGGCTGATTCTTCTGCGGAGGCCATCCACCACATACATTGAGTACCAAAACGTGGATCGAGGTGCCCTTCAAAACGCAGCCACTCGGGGTATTCCGCAGCCAGAACGCCAGGTTGGAGAGAATGATGCTCCCAATCCGGTATTTCCTTTACACTCCCGGAGGAGGGATCCAAGTAGACTTTAAGCACGTGCAGGTCGTCGTGCTTAAGCACCATTCGATGAAGGTGCTGGTCCGCAGGCAGTTGGGCGTAGAGGGATTTGATAAGATTGGTGAGTCGGTTGATTGTAATGCGACTTTGGGCATAGGCCTCGGCACTCTCAGTCGATTTCTTGAGCTTGAGCTCGAGGGAAGCAAATGCGTCGATGTGGGAGTCGAAGGTGGTGAATGTGTGTGAAAAATCACGTAGTGATCTTTGGAAAGAAAACGACCAGACCCGGGATTGAACCGAGGACCGTCCCAACACTAGGTGGATGCTCTAACCACTGAGCTATCCGGTCTAGTTCAACGTAGTGTGATACAGGTATTGAGCATATGCAAGAGATTGCATGTGAGCTCGGCGTATGCTAGAGATAGCATGTGAGCCGTATACCTGGTAGAGATAGCAATCGGATTACTGATCTCAACAATGTGGTGCTGGGGGAGAGGTACGGAAGAGAGAATCTGGGAGTAACGTCTGCCTCGCCCAAAGTGTTGTCACTGGTGGGCTCGCAGGGAAGTAAAGACCCATACACCCCTTGCGGAACTCCGATCCTAAACAACTTAATCATTTGCTCTGCATATGAGGTCGCCGCTTGTTTCTGCAGATACAAATCACGCTTCCGTTAGCCCACCCAAACGAATCTGGATGCGCCCGAGCGCTCGGAATAGATGGTCTTGCTCACCTTTGCCTCGAAACTGAGACTCCCATAACAGTTCAACGTCCGTTCCCCTTGCGTTTTCGTTTTCACGATGAGGGGTACGTAGTCGGTCAGGCCTAGGTCTGAAGTGACGACCTCTGGGATAGCGAGATCGGGACAGTGGTTCTTGAGGAACCCGAGTATCGCGATTTCGGCGCGGAACTTGCGCGTGAGCCAATCATAGTGGTCCTCTTCGTTGGTAGAGGAGGCTTCGTTGAATGGGGGGAGTGGAAATTGGAGGATGAAGATACGCCCGTCTTCTAGCGTTATCTCGCTCGTCTATATCATACATCAATACCCCATCTAAATAAGGGGAAAACATGAAATGTGACCTACGTGAGTCAAAGCTGAGTCTGTCAACAATCTCATTTTGACGACGCTTGATCCAAGGAGTTCTTTGACTTTTTCGAGCGCGCAATTCTCGAGGGATAGCTCCGGGACTTTGAGGTTTGGTTCGTCTGAACCAGCGATTGGGGAGCCATTGCCGCGCCCTAGTGAGGTGGCTTGGTCACAGTACCACACACCATAGTCACTTGGATAGGGCGCGCCGGGGATGCATTCCCCTTGTGCATTCCAGTAGTTCTGGAGATTCATCGTTCGTTGGGTTCCAGTAGGTCAACAAGGTTCTCGTGACGAATGGCGTTAGAAATACGACTAGTGATTTTACAGATCCCAAGAAAAGGGCCAAAGGAAGGGTCGGCGAAGATGTTAGAGTTGTATCAGAGGGAAGAAAGGTTCTTGAATCGGAGTTGGGTGGGGGAAGATAAGAATGTGTACTGGTCTTTAACTCATTCTCAACGATCAAGGTAGCACACGGGTGGTTATCTTTACTCCCATTGGAACCTTCTAATGTTTCCAATCAGATTCTACATATACACGGATGACGACGTGATCACCGCTCGAAGCCGTGAACCTTGAGCGCATCTTGGTGCACCCACCTGCACCCACTCTTAGCCGTAATAGCGCCCGTGCTTCTGTGGTTCTCGGTGAAATGATGGGGCCTAGATATCTGTCAATAGTGATATCTCTTTGCACTGACCAGATGTATCTTTACTTGAGGATAAGGCGAGCATAGTCTCTGACTAGAGGGGACTAGTGGGGCTCCGTTTGCTCCTTTGCTGAGGAATGGCTAGTGCTAATAGTAGGGAGCGCTCGATGGGCCGGCGTCGGCGGACGCGATGCCGACTCGGATTTGTCGGTCGAGTGCCTGCAATATCTCAATGATTAAGACAGGATTTGCGATTCTCATGTAAGAAAAAGAGTCTCTGAATGAGAATGGAGAGGTGTCTACCAAGGAAGAGCGCCGATTACCTCAGCTTGTAGAGGCTATGGTCGTCCATAGCTGTGGGCTTTGAAGGGCAGTACAGCAACTTACCTGTCACTCGATGGGCGAATTCCTTTGCACATGTGGGCGGTCATTTCTCCGGAGGCTGTTTCCTGAACAGCGCCGACAGGGAGAAGTAAAGGCCCATGAAGTCAACCTTTCTCTAATAGAGGGTATAAAAGCATAGCGAACCCATCCAGTATCTTCCCAGCTCGGTCTCACTCACATTTCCTCACAAACTTGCTGGTCGAGTTTCGTCGCATTGAACTAATCCTACAGACTTTGTGTCATCGCTAGAGCTTTATATCTCGAATTTACAATGGTTAACTGCTATACCCTCGCCTTCGCTGCTAGCTCTTTGCTCTCATCCGTGGGACCTTCTCTGGTCGTTCAAGCTGCTCCTGTACAGGGTTCCTCCGATGCTGACACGCTCCTTGGGCGTGCACCCGTTGCTAACGGGGTTGCCAATATGATGTAAGTATGGTAATCGACCTTGCGTCTGTCGTCATCCTTCGCTTCTTCCGCGCTCGTTGGAGACTTATTATTGATTACTGACATCACGTTACTCACTCCCAGCATCCCTTCTACGCTCCACCAACGAGATAATGTGCCCAGCAGAGGTAGGGTCTACAGATGCCCTGGACGCGGGAAAAGGTGTAGGCTCGTTCCTGAACCGGGGAGAGAGCATATCGAGGGAGGGATGTACGTGAATGTTTCCAGCCCTGCCTGCCACGCCAATACAAACCAATACTGATTCTCCCCGACATTTCCATTGCGATGCAGCGCTGACCATACCAGGCGTGCGCTAAGCCCCACCTCTGACCTCGAAATCCTCGAACGGTTTATTTCCAACCTCGAGGAACGCAGTCTGGAGCTCGAAGAAAGGATTACAGAGCGCGATAGTCTGGAGCTGGAGGGACGGGCGGGCAGGTGCTCAGTGTGCGGTGACTGGATGCCTGAAACCCGTGGAACATTGCATGTCTGCCCTGGGAGTCCCGGTGACTCAAAAGAGGAGCCGCGGGTGAAACGATGCTCAGTGTGCAATAAGTGGCTCCGTACAGGCGGTGGTGTGCACAAGTGCCCGGGGGGCGGAGGACGAGGGAAGAAGGGGAATTGAAGGGTCTTTGACAGCTGGTAGTGCGAAATCTACAGTATTAATACTTTGCTGTACAGAGGAATTCCTGGACTGAATGCCATCAACTACGGCCTATTAGGCGGCAGTACAATTAACATAAGCGGGAGCGTTCCGGAAGGAGTCGCGCCTTCGCGCGCGTGTGACCACGTACCATACCAGAGGAGCTAATAGCCGGCACTATCAGCTTGAAATGCGGCGCTTCCACACTCCAGTAAAATTGTTCCGTGTTAAGAGACCGTTTTTAAGCCGTAAGTCGAAGCTGTGCTTTGCCAACCGCGCGGTCCGTGCCTGGCTTCTCTCTGCATATCCCACCCATATGTTACCGTGTCGCATGTATATCCCTGGCGATACTTGCAGTAGTCGAACGGAAATCCAGTGTCTCAGTGACAAGCCGAGCCGTCAGTAAACTCCTACTTACCAGGCTTTGGAACGCTGTCTGTGAGTCGTCGGGCGAAACTGGGGAAAAACCTTCAATTAAAATGATCATTTGTAAAATAACAAGCATACAATCCTACTCAGCGCGATCTCGCAGAGCTACGCCTAAGATAGAGTTCGGAGATGGAACCCACGCTCTCCAGAGCGCTACATCCGTCTTCGCAGTTCGGGGCATCTCTTGCCATATCGACGTATGGAAAGGCGCGCCAGCATCTTCCGACAGGAACGAAAAAAATACGACTTCTCGTCCAAGTTCCCCCAGACCCGAAGGAATCCTGCCGAAAGGAACACCGAGTTCATACCAAAGATGTTTGTCTCGGAGGAGATCGTCGAGCAACGTGATCGCTTCCTGTCAGTCCGTTAAGCACAAAGCGAAGGGTAAGCAGGAAGCGACTCCATGGGTGACTGACCTCGTAAGATGGAGGACGCCTGATCAGGGCTGAGCCAGGACTCCCATCACGGTCATAGACCCTTTTCACGGCGGACCAAGAGACTGTACCCTTTCCAAACGTTCCGAGCGCCAGCCAACAATGGCCCGCAAGGAACCTGTTGTCGTCCAGAAGGAGAGCGCGCTCCCTCCCCGCTTGGAACACTCCGACCTCCTTAGCGGAGCGGGCGAGAACGCTCCAACTGCCAGGGGTGATATCCGCCCAGATCCATTCATCGTCCTTGTTTTTGGAGGGGATGCGGAGGATCACTTTGTCAAGTGGGATGTTGTCCCCGACCATGTAGTGGCTGAAGGAAGAGAGGGCTGCCCTCTGAGCGTCCTATTACGCACCCCGCATCAGTTCAGAATGTATCGGTGAGCTATTAGTAGATCGGTATGAGTACCTCATATGTGCTGGGAAATGGCACAAGGGCGTAGCGATCTTCGCCGTTGTCCTTATCTGTCGCGACTAGAACGAGCTGGAGGAAACCGGGATTGTCAGATGGCCCTGCCACGGCTTTTCCTGGTTCTGCATGGAGGTTATCGCTAGTGTTCGACGACATGAGGGGAGAGTGAAAAGACTACATGACCTATGCCCTAGAAGATGGCTGTAAGAAGACGACCGCACAGACCACCGTGAGTGCACTCCGGTCTGCCAGAAGACGTCGAAGGTCTTGAAGGTCTCGCTCATGGATGCCGCTTTCTGATCCGTCAGGCCGTTTCGAGCTCCGCCCAAAGCCTGTGCGGAGGATCGAGTCGCTGGCAGCGCAACTTTTGGCCTTCCCCTTCCACACATCTCCAGCGACGGGCATTCTATGTGTGCGCACTTCGGTCTCTCTCGGGCGATACATTCTGGCTATACACCGCGGCTGTCGACGTATTCAGTTGCCTTCTTGTCTAGTCCGTCAGGCGGTCCTTGGGCTTCTGAAGCAAGGCGAACAAGAGTCGACCAGCTGGTGCACCCATCGTGAAACGGGTTACGGGAAGCATCGCCCGAGATCGCCCTAGCTGCTTTTAGGACCAATCATGAGTCCGGCTACTCAAGTACTCATCCAAGCGCTTTCTTCAACTTGCAAGCCCATCATCACGCGAGTGATTTTTCAATATTGATATCGGAGACATTGATTTTGGAACCGGGGTGGCGCGCTGAAGACGTAAGTAAGTAATGGCATCTTGACAGGGAAACAAAAGAATTCATGGTGATATTTTCAGGCTTTTCCTGTTCTGGTAGGCGAACATGACAATGAGCAGGCTCATATGTCTGATGTACCAACCGGTCAATGAGTCCATCTCCACCGCCGTTACGGAGGTGGACCCACAAGATTTTTTTCAGATATAACCCTTGCATCTTTGGGTATAGGCATGTCGTCGAGCAAGGCTCATTGTGCCCTCGAATCGGAACTCCGCGCTCTCTAGACGAACCATGACTATCGCCACGGCTCAAAGCCATACTACAGTCACCTCCTCGGACGGGACTGCAATCTACGCTACCGCCGTCGGAAACCCCGAACTCCCCTCTATCGTGTTCATCCATGGGTTCGCTCTGAGCGCCAAGGTCTTTGAGCGTCTCTTCAGTGACTCGAGATTGCTCCAGCGCTTTTACCTCGTGAGTCGTCTGGTGTTTTTTTGTGAAGAATGTAGCATCCCCAAGTTCTCACCTGGTTAAACTTATGTCATTATCTGCGACCGTGATTCATCAGGTCGCCTTCGATGTGCGAGGTCATGGACGGAGTGGGAAACCGCTGTCCCCGGAAAGCTATGAACAACGTCTGTTTGCGGATGACTTTAAAGCTGTTTTGGACCATTTTGGGTTGAAGAAACCGATCGTTGTGGGTTGGAGTCTTGGAGGTATGTCAGTCCTGGTGGATTTTGACTCTTCACCAGCCCTAATCGATAATCATTAATGGCACTATCCAGGGCTCGTCATCGCCGACATTTTCGCTCACCTACCTAGGGAAATGGTGTCCGCCGTCGTCTACCTCAACTCACTACCCTGGGGCGGTCCCGCGATCCCTCGCGTCGCCACCCCCGAGATCCTCGCCATCCTTCCTCAGGTAATCGGTGCCACCGGAGACATCGACGTCGCCACTACCTTTGCAGCACGAGTCCACTTCATCGAGATGTGTTTCAACGAGCCTGCCGAGGACATCCCGATCAGCATCAAGTGGGAGTGGCTGGGTATGGGTGTTACGCAGCCCCCCGCGGTCGCTGGTATGGCTGTCGGTCGGACGCAGGATGAGAGTGGGCTGGTTGAGGCGGGCAGGGCGGGGTTGCCTGTGCTTCTTGTTTATGGAACGAGGGATAGGTTGCTTGATGGGTCGGCTGTGGAGAGTTTGCTTAGAGAGAACTTTATGGCCCTTGAGGTGCACAAGATTGAGGGTGGGAGTCACTCGCCCTTTGCGGATGAGGGGTATGAGGAGACGGTTGTGGCGCTTGAGAAGTATGCGAGTAAGATTTTTGCAAAATCGTCATGTTAGCTGTATACTCTAAATACGTTTTCCTTAACTAAGCCCCTATCGGCTCACTTCCATGAGCGGGCTCTCGTCAAGCCCTCGTTCCTCGATGTCTCTGAGCGCGTTGTGACTTGTGGTACGCGCACGCGTTGCGCAGGAATTTCCTCGCCTGAAGCTCATTGTAAGGCGTGGTTGTTGGTGGTTGTGTTGCCTGCTTCGAGTTGGAAGGCGCGGTTGATCAGGCCAGGGGCTACCAGAGAGCCTCATAAGGCGAGAGAGTTATAAATAGAGAAGCGATGGAGAAGAAAAGACTGTCGTCCACGCTAGACAATCAAAAATATGTGACACGAGAGGAGTCGCCGCATATAAGGAGCCTTGACAAACACGGGAGCTTGAATAGATTAAAGTATCGTGCTGAAAGGACTAACTACATAAAATGGGGGTTGAACACTTATACATCTAGACTACCTACCTATGTAAGCTAAAACTAACTAGGTACGAGAAGGAGAAGGGAAATGAGAAGTTGGCATACCTAAAGACATAGGTAAACAGAGGGAAGGCATAGATAAACAAAGACATACGGGAGACTTGGGAGGCGCCAAGTCGAGCGGCGCCTTACACTCTCTGGGCTGCAGACCTCACACTTCTAAGCCCCTATCTTCCCCTCATGGCTGTACTTTTAGAAATCAAATCGCACCTGACTGGACGATACCTTTGCGATTGATATCGTCAATGAACTCAATGATCCGACCATGCTTCGTAGCCCCAGTATCGCATTAATATGCCTCTATCCCCTTCTGTTGCTCCGATCGTACTTACTTACGAGCGACTCCACAGAACTGGCACGGTCTCTTCGAGAACTTGAAGGGAACTTATAGTAACTGGGCTGATCATTGATGGCGCGGGAGGGGTCAACCAGTCTCCTATCATCGCTCCTTCCTCGAGTCTCCTGAGAAGGCTGAGAATGCGTTTGCTGAGTACCATGTTATCCCTGCTGGACATACTGGGACGTTTTGGCACCATTCGTTCGCACTTTGGTACTAATTCTCTTCCGACGCGCTTCTAGATACGTATGATGCCCTAGGGTTGTTGATATGTTCTTGATTACAGGTAAGTACGCAGTAGGTATTGTGATGGAATGTGTGGTCCGATCATGATGGTCATTTACGACGCCCAGGAACCGTACCCGGACGAGTATGATGGTACATCGCTCTTTTCCTATCTTCAATACTGAAGTTACTCTCGCCCATCTCGTCGGTACTGCCAATCCTCCGGACGCCGATCTTCGATTTTGGACGTTGGACGACGTTGGACGACTTGCGACATGAAGACCCGTGGAGGCGCCTCTGCGACATCCATAACCACCCTTGACCGCTCTTTGACTACGGTCGAGCTCCTTGTGAGGAGGTCCGAGTTCTTGAATGGGCAGTACAGTAGGGGATGAATTGCCTTCGGTGACTGCAGGGTTCGGAATGGTCTTCCCCTTTCAATTTCCTTTTATCCCTTTGTATGTTCTTCTTAATTCGCTCCTTCTATAGTGCGACTCTCACGTTCTTTAGTGGTTTGTGCGATCTTCTATCAAGGGCACCTTAGTACTTACCTGTTACAGCCGATTTTGCATTTCTCACCTTTCCTTGAATACCGAACCTTTCCATTCGTAAGTTTACAGTCGTTTGCGTAGCTATAAAGCTTGCTTGCATACTTGCGCGACTCGTCTTCTACTAGTATGCTCGTTGGGATTCGTTCCAAATCACTGCAAGAAGTGCCATCAGATCGACGCTCGGCAACGCGCGCGGCGCGTTTTTTCGTCGCGTCTAATTGAAGCCTGTCGACAACGACGACTACAACCTCCTCTTTTCAACACCCTCATTGACTCACTTGACCATGTCTCCGCCCGCAATCTAACCAGCGCGTGTACCAAGTGACTACCATTCCACGTTCGCCGCCGCAAGTCAGAGCGAGTGAGTTCCGAGTCATGTTTGTTTCCCTTTGAACTTGAGCCTGGGAGAGTGTGTGACACGAGGCACGGGAGGGCGTTAATGAGTACGTAGTGCGCTGCGCGTGGATTTTTGATTACCGCGTTTTTTTTCCTTTGTTCTGTCATCTTATAAAAATGGTTGGAATCTAACTTTCTTTTCATCCTCATCTGCGTACGCTGGCGACTAGGCAGACCGGGGGACAGACAGCGAGACAGAGAAGAGACAGGAGACCATGGCTCGCCAATCCAACACAAATGCGACATCCACGACGACGACGCCCCACCGCAACGTTATCGCCGTCGTCGAGATTAACTCGTCGCCTGAACCTGAAGATATCACCCCTCTCGCCGGACCTTCCTCGACGCCCGCGAGACCCCGCCCTCGACCGCGTGCCGTCGCTCGTAAAGCCCAACCTCAACCTCAACACCAACAATCTCAGAGCCAGAACAAAGGAAAAGGAAAAGCGATAGCGCGGACGCCGTCTATCATCGAATTGAGCGATTCGTCGGAGGAGGATGATGAGGTAGAAGAGATTGTTGGTTTCACCGCTACTACAAGAGCGACTACGACGACTACAAGAACGACTACGACTACGAGTACGACAGCGACGAGACGAATAACGCGTTCGACCTCACGACAACCGCCTCCTCCGCCTTCCACGCCAACCGCGAGAGATAAAGGAAAGGGGAAAGGCAAAGCGCGCGCACCATCCGTGCGCTCTAACGCGCTTTCGCCTGTCCTGTCGAATACCCCAGTTGCAGCAGGAGGATCATCGCAGCCTCAGCAGCCCCAGCCGCTGTTCTTGCCTACCAGTAGCGATGAGGAGAACGTCCCTCCCCTTCTTCCTCCTGCTTCTTCAACCCCGGGCGCTTCAACGACGACGACGACGGGTGCGAGACGCGGTTCGGTGGTTGGACGCACGGCTTCGGTTGAGGAAGTCGGGTCGGGGCGACGTGTTGCGCCGCTTCCGCGTCGTGCGTCTGGGAGGGTTCAGCCCGCCCCAGCTCCTGCTCAACCGCAACCTCAACCTCAAGTGCACCAACAACAGCAGGGACAACCTCCTCAAGCCCAGCCCGACGAGATAGTCCCGAAGGCTACCCGCAATGGCGATGACGATGAAGACGGGGATGGGGAGGAGCTCTGGCACGACGCGCTCACGTCTCCTATTTTGCAGCCGCAGGTTCTGGGTGGGGATGAGGGACCGCGGGATGAGGATTTGTATGGCGAGGATGGGGAGGATGAGGTGGTTATTATCGAGGAGGAACCCATGGAGCGGCGCCGAGGACGAGGACAGGCTGGGCTCCCAGAGGGCCAAGCTAATGTTGATCAAAATCGACTTCAGCCTCCACACAACGCCGCCGAACCCGTCGAACTGCAGCAACCCGATGCCGCACGCCAGCAGCCCAACGTCGAACCTCAACCTCAACCGCAACCTCAACCTCCGCCTCAACCTGAACCTCTGCCTCAGGCCGAAGAAGAAGACCCCCTCACACACGCACACCTCTCCATCCTCGAACTCATACCCGACATCGAGCCCGACTACCTCTATGCTCTAATAACGGAGCATATGCCGACGTATGGACGCGGAGGTGTGGTGGAGTACGTGGTGAACTGGTTGTTTGAGAATCCTGGGTATCCGAGGGTTGAGAGGGGGGCTGGGGGGAGTGGGTCGAAGGCTGAGGGATCGAAAGGGAAGGGGAAGGCAAGGGATGGAGGGGGAGAAGGATCAGAGAAAGCCAAAGGAAAGCGCCGAGCTGATACCGGAGAGGGCGTCGAAGGCGGAAGTCCGGGAAAACGACGCCGACTCACCCACCACCACCGCCACCACCACCATCACCACCACCTCGACGAAGACGAAGCGGATGTGGGTGTAGACGACCCGGAAGGGTTTCTTAACCCTTCTCGACCTTTTCCTTCGGGCAGGGACTATGCGGATTTGGCTATCCAAGCGCTTCAGAACGACTTCCCGTTTATCCCGGTTCCGTATTTGAGGAGGGTGTTGTTTGAGGGTGGGGGTGGAGGGGATGGTACTAATCGAGCGGGTGGTGCTAGTCGAGCTGGAGACTTTGTGGATGGAGGAGGACGGGAGGTTGGGGATGGAAGCCAGGAGCCGATAGACGTCGATATGGACGTCGACATGGAACGCAACACCGAGAACGCGAATGGGAATGGGAGCACAGGAGGCTACGCCAAAGCTTTCACCTTCCTCACGCTTCAGGAATCGAGGATCGTAGCGGCGGGAGGACACGAGCTTGTGAATGAGTCTGGGGGGTTGCCGTATGTGCGAAAGACTATTCCTTCCGACCCTGCGAAGCCTGTAGGATCGGGAGGAGGCGGAGGAGGAGGCAGAGGCGGTAGTGCTGGTGGTAGTGGTGGTGGTGGTGGTAGTGGGAGTAAAGCGAAAGCGAAGAGTAAAGGGAAAGGAAAGAAGAGGGCGTTGGAGGACGACGTGTTCGAGCGGGAGAGGGCGTTTGTTGAGCGGTGGAAAGCTGCTTTTGAGCGTCGTGGTAGCCGTGGTGGACCAGGAAACGGGGGTAACGGCGCTGCGGGAGGAAGCGGCCCTGGTCAAGGAGGCAGACGAGGTCACGGTGATGGCGATGACGATGATGAACAAGAGGAAGCAGAGGAATTCAACGAACAAGCATTCCTCGCGTCCCTCGAGAACGACCATCTGCCCTCTGAGCAGAACCCGGATGACCCTTCGTTGGTCGAGTGTCAGTGCTGTTTTGGGATGTTTTTGTTTGAGGTTATGACGCAGTGTCCTGAAGGTGCGTACTAGAGTTTTTGGTGTTGTTTTTTAGTTGCTTCTGCGCTTGGTCACGTCGCACGTTGACATTCTTTCGTGTGTGCGTTCGTGCGCTTGTGCGTTGGTTCGTTGGTTCGTTCGTGGCTTGACGAATCGTGGCTTGATGAATCATGGCTTGATGAATCATGGCTTGATGAATCATGGCTTGATGAATCATGGCTTGACGAAAACTGCTATCTATTTCACTCGCTACACTGGTATCCTCCTTGTACTGACGAACGTTGACAGGACACCTCTTTTGTCGAGGGTGTTTATACAACCATACGAAGACGGTGGTTGGAGGGGGGAGGGTGGATGTACTCTGTATGTCGAGTACGGCTGCTGCACCACCACCACCACCTCCCCCTGCTCCCGCTCCCGCTCCTACATCCAACCCCACCTCCGCCTCGACCAACGTCGAACCAGGTCCCTCCACCTCCACCGCCCCCGCTCCCCTTCCTCAACCCCAACCCCAGCCCCAACCCCAACCAACAGGCCCATGCGCCCTCCCCTTCCCCACCACCGAACTCTCTCGCCTCCTCCCACCCTCTCTCTTCCGTTTATACGAAAAGCTAAAGTTTAGAAAAGAGGTTGAGAGTGCGAAGATTGATGGATTGGAGGAGTGTCCTTTTTGTGATTGGGTTGTTGTTATTGATGTGGGGGTTGAGGAGGAGAGGGTTTTGAGGTGAGTTTGAAAAGTTTTTTTGAAGGGAGGGGTTTTCTTTGAGTTTCGAGTTTCGAGTTTCGGGTTGGGGGTTCTGGGGTTCCGTTGTGCGCGTTTTTGTCTGTCGTTTTTCGTTGTTCGACGTATACTTTGTCTTTGTGGTGTTGATCAAGTTTACTGACGTCCCGCTTTTTTTGCGGTATAGGTGCGGGAATAAAGATTGTGGAGTGGTTAGTTGTCGGCAGTGTAAGAAGAAGGAGCATTTGCCGAAGAGTTGTCAAGGTGGGTTTTTTGTTTGGGGGTTTCTTTCGGTCTTCCACTCGTCCTTCGCGCATTTTTCCGTTTGCTCTTCCTCGTCCTTATATTCCCATCTCACGAACTTACATCCCCCGTCTCACAAACTCCCATCCCTCGTCTCACGAACTCACCATTTTTCGTTCCCTTTCTCAACTCGTTTTTTCCTTGAACAGAAGCAGAAGCGGATAAGCATATCGATAAGAGGGTTATGATTGAGGAAGCTATGAGTGCGTATTATCTATCGTTTTTTTGGGGATCTCGAAGGGGTACTGATTGTTGGATGGGGCGTTTGTGTAGCTCAAGCGTTGATGAGGGTGTGTCCGAAGTGCAAGAAAGGTATGTTGCGTCGGGAGATTCGTTGTTGGGGGGTGGCGATTCGTTCGTTTAGGCGTGGTGAATCGCTCGTTTCATTCGACGATTTGCTCCCAGGCATCGCTGTTTGCGTTCGAAATGGAGGCTGACACGCACTATTTTCTAGCGTTTATCAAGGAGGATGGGTGCAACAAGATGACTTGTCCGCATTGTCGGACGATGTCGTGTTATGTGTGTAGGCAGGTTGTTACAGGTTATGATCACTTTCATAACCAGGTGCGTCGTTCTCTCTATTACTGTCCGGGGTGTAAGCTGATGAATGCATCGGTATCGCAGCAGCAACCCGGGATGCCGGTTGGCAGTTCCTCGCGGAAGCCCAAGTGCCCGCTCTGGGATTCCGTCGCGCATCGGCATAGTGAAGAAGTATGTCTCGGGTTTTCTCACCTTTTACCGACTACCTAGCTAACGCGTGGTATCTAGGTCAAGAAAGCGTACGAGGAAGCCCTCGCCAAACTCAAGGAGTCGAACCCCGATGTCGAGATTGGGAAAGATATCAAGGTGGACCTGCCCGAGGCGCCACCACCGCCTGTACCGGGACAGCACCCAGCGGGCTACATCGATCCCTACGCTCTAGCGCGCGGTCAGCATCCTCACGCGTTCGGTGGTGTGCACTGGGGCGGTGGTCGTCATCTAGGCCAAGGCATGAACCACCACCTCAACCCCAACCACCCCAACCACCAACACCACCTGAATTTCGCCAACGTAATGAACCAGTACATGTTGAACCGGTACATCCCGCCACTGCAGCCCCCAGCGCCGGTTATACCACCGAATATCGACCCGGCGCCGTTGAGGCTTGAGAGGGAGAGGTTGAGGGAGCGGTTGAGGGAGAGGAGGGTTCGGCTTAGGAGGGAGGAGAGGTATTTGGTTACTGCGGAGAGGAGGGAGGAGGAGGCGAGGGAGGTGTTGAGGGCGAGGGAGGGTGCTGCGGGGATGGCGAGTGCGAGAGCCGCGAGGACGAGGACGGGGGCGGGGGCGGGGGGTATAGGAGCGGGTGTTGGTGTCAGCGCCGCCGACGCCCGCGCGATCGAGGAAGCGAGGAACCTCGTGCGACATCGGGCGGTTGAGCGTGCTGCGCGTATGGTGCAGGTTGAGAATTTGAGGAGGGAGGTTGGGGAGGGTGAGCGGGAGGTTGAGGGTGTTGAGCGGATGCTTGCTAGGAGGGAGGAGGAGGCTGAGCGGTGGAGGGCGGAGAGGAGAAGGGAGGAGGAGGGACAGGTGCAGAGGATGAGGGAGGCGGAGAGGGAGGCGGAGAGGGAGTTGGAGAGGGAGGTGCAGAGGTGGAGGGAGGCGGAGGTGCGGAGGCGGCAAGAGAGGGAGGTGGAGGTTCAACGTGAGAGGCAGAGGCAGAGGAGGGAACGGCAGCGTGAGAGGGGCAGGGCGATGGAAGCTGAGCTGGGGAGGGAGAGGGAGGTGTTGGAGCGGAGGTTGGTGGAGAGGGAGCGGGAGCGGGAGATGCAGCGGGAGGGGGAGAGGCTTTTGCGGGTTTTGGCGGAGGAGGAGAGGGAGAGGCGGGGGAACGCTGGTGCTGGTACCGGTGCGGGTGGTGCGAAGAGGAAGAGGCGTGGTTGAGCGTTGAATTGTGGAGCGCTCGTCGTCGCTGAACGACGATCTCATCGATTCTCTTTGTTTCTTGGTTGATTTTTGCGATACATGCAGCGTACATACCCCATTTCTTATGCTTGTTTTATAACTCGCCGTGTGGTGCTAATTATATCTGTACATTTTAGCTTCTCTTTCTGTCTTTTATGCGGTTTTTCTAATGGTAAAATATTTGGGGGCGTCATACATAGGGCTTTGTGTATGCGCCGTATTATTGGGTCGTTTGAGCCTCAGGCGATCCCGCACACGCTTGGAGACGACACACGTACGCGGCGGGGGCTGACAGGGCGACGTTCAGTCGGTGGTCAGCTGCGCCCCTGTGGAGGGGGGATTCGCGCGGCGATCCAGGAGACATAGCATCCACTCTGCACGAGAACAAGATATTCGGCAAGTTTTTGTGGCGTGTGGAGAAGCAGAAGAGCGAGGAGTACATCTTCGAGACTGCCAGGAGGAGGGCAGTGCGGCACCTCGGTGCGTACAAGGAGTATGTCGTCGACCACCTCCCTTGCGTCAAAGCCTATGTCGAGTTCTACGCCTTCCCGGACGAGGCATATTCGCGAGTTTATGAAGCTACCTTTGGATGGCTGCTTGGTGCCCCGACTGGAATCGCTGCTGAATGGTTGGCTCCGATCAACGACCTCCCACCAGAGGAGTACCCTCGTGCACTCTGGCAACTCATTCGCTGTGAGTACGGGTTTTCAGCCTAGTGTACCCATCGAGCTAAGTCCCCAGTGTTCATTAGGTCATTTTCTTCTCTGGCAAATTGGTATCGCGCATGGCGACATCAGTCCGTCGAACCTGATGCAGCGTCGTTGTCCGGATGTGTCTCCCATCTTGACCCACTTCAAATACGACGACGACACAGCTCGCTTTGACCATTGATTATGGCCCCAAACCCGATCCAAGAACCTCAACTAAGAGGAATTCCCGACTTCTATGACGAAAGGAAAACGGGACCTGGACCGCAATCACCTGAATTCCTCCAACTCGTTCTCCTAGCGGGCGAGTCCGCTGATAAGGAAGATCGATACGCACGAATTGCATTTCCAGCGTCTTACAAGGTATTTTTCTGTATTCAAGTCTAACGTCGCAGCTGATCACGACAGTTTACATCTCTTCCACATGACAGGAGGCCCAGGAATCGGCCGCGAGAGTGTTCAAGCGCTACTCATTCCACGCAGCGGATCCAGAGAATCTTGTGCTACGCCTCCCCTCGAAGAACCGAAACGGGGAGTCGGTTTGGGCGGATATTGATATGAATTATTGGACAAGGTCTGCGCTAGGCGCTGTGGAAGTTGGTGTTTTCGTCGTTCCTCGACGATCTAAATGGGGATTGGCATACCAGGAACTGCGCCAGTGAATAGATTGTGTACTATTAGCCTGTAAGGCCACTATCCATCGTGGTATCGGCGCAGGAGTCAGCGATTTATGGCACTCCGGTTTCTGTGCTTATCATTAATATCCATTACTTCGGTCAATCGTCAGATAAATCTAACTTTTATGTACATTTTCCAGGTGCCAGTCCAAGGTCATTGACTTTTTCATGGCAGCCTCACGAATCGTCGAGAGCGGGGTTGGCCATCGCAAGGCAACACTCTAACGGGCTGAGTCTCTGTTCATTAGGTCACTTTCTCCTCTGGCAAATCGGTATCGCGCATGGCGACATCAGTCCGTTTAGTGGAGGGATTACTATGTATCCTTCCGAGTACGTAGAATTTGAAGATGCGACTTTCTTTGCAAAGCCGTCGGGTTTTGGTGAATCAACGCAAAAACTCCTTTTCTTATTAAATTTACATTCCAATTACGTTCGTATATGTTTGTTCGTCTCGAGCACGGGCGCCTATTAAGAGCAGATCAGAGCGGGTGTTTAGGTAAAGGAACGAGGAACGAAGAGTGATATCCCCCTGGAAGCGATTCTTGAGAACCAAGTTCATTATCGGTTTGGGCCACGCTACATCCGGGTGATGCTTATCCCGTTAAAAGGTGAAGAGTTCAAGGGATGCCAATCGACTATCACGTCATGATTGGTTCTCCCGATCTTCTTCTCCCATACCATCGCCGTCCGGCGTCTATCTTGCGATAGTTGGGGAGTGAGTGCCTCAAGTTTAGTACTCAGCGAGAAAGAGAGTGATGTTTGAGCTCCCGGTATAGAGAGAGTGAAAGAGGGCCACAGTGAGTCGAAGAATATTCCATTCAAGCCGGTGTGTACAACGAGCTGACGGGCGCTTAAATGGCGCTGGGAGAAGACACCCTGAGAGTCCAGTATGACAAGGAACCTGACGCCAACAAATGGGAAGCATAACGCAAGAAGCTGAAGTGATAGATATCTCTTTTCAATTTTCGAATGCAATATCCGCCCCCCTCTCCTCCAGGCCTTTAGCACCTTTTTCACAGCTCTCGCTTATGGTTTGCGGGCTACCCTTGGCGTCTGCATTTGACAACGAAGGCGAGTTGTTCTCCCGAGCTTGTGGACTCTGGAACGGTATAAAAAGACTCAACTCCTCACTGCAAATTCCTCAGGTTGGTCTATCTCCAGCGACACAGTCCCACCAAATCTTCTCATATCACAATGCGTTCCTTTGCTCCACTCTTCTTCTTCGTCCTTGCCGCCTCGGCAACTCCCTCCCCAAACGCTATCGACCTCGCAGTCAAGTCCACGAGCAACACCACCCCCATCCAACCCGGAGCGTTCAACTCCTCCGCTCCATCCATCGCAGCCGTCACCTGCACCGGCTTCGTCGCCTTCAACAGCGCCGACGCCTTCGTCCTAGGCGACTACCTCGCCTCCCAGCCCGATACCGCCATCTCCGGCATCCCGCGGTTCTCCACGCACACCATGGCCTACGGGAACGCGCGATTCTGCGTGCCCAATACCACCGGCTCTGTACTGAATGTCCGGTTTAACAGTATTGGGAATGGGATTTTGGCCATTGCTGGCAGGTGTTGCACTGCCGCGACGTGCTTGGGTGGGACTGAGACTATTGTTGCGGTCGGGGAGAGCGCTGCGAGGATCCCGTTGAGGTTGAGGGGGTATAGCGAGTCGTGCTGAAGGCGTACTGATGAGTCCTTGGTGGGTCAGTATCGTTGTGTTTTGTGAGAGAAGGGATATCGAATGTTGACGATTGGGCCCAGGTATTCAATGGACAAAGTTCAATCCAAGTCGCACTGGGGCCGATCATCGACGGTCGCACGATTTTGGGACTTGTAGTCTTGTACTTAGCGCTTGTATTTTACTCTGAAAATCCTGTAGTATACCATTCATCGTGTCTTTGAGTCTAGTCTCCCTTGGATCGTAACGTTAACGCCTTGTGCATTATGGTCATGGTAGTCGGGCTCTACAATGATCTTTGCTAGCCGCCCACCGTGACGATAATGGGCGTAAAGATTCACGCTTCCGTGCTGTCAGCCAGCGTACGCCAGGTCGAATTTTTGGCCTTCGGGAGCTCATACATAAATGTAGTCGCCGGGGATCGAACTCGCGATCCCTATGTATATACGCTCCAACGCCAACACATTGCACCCGAAGAGTGAAAAAAAGGCTTTGCACAATAGGGACAAACCGAGGACACGGAGTCTATAAGGCCACGGATTCGATTCCGAACGGTGGCAACCCACCTCGAGGTACGAATTGAAATTCCAATTAGTATTTTGTATGGCTGTTCTAGAGAACAAAGAAAGACAGATACTGGAAGGCAGAAAAGAAAGTAATCCAGCCTGCACTCCGGCGTTGTGTTCCAGGCCAGCGAGATGAGCAACACCACGTACCAGTTCGACCACGACTCCCCGAAATCTCAGAACGCCAAAACCCAAACCCGAAGCAAGGAAAACCAAAAACACACAGAATTCAAGAATTGTTGATGACAACTACAAACAGCTGGTGTAACACTACAAGAGAAACCGGGGCGGGAGAAGATGGGTATGTGGGAGTTTGAAGAGGGGTTTGTTTGGAGAGAAAGACTCTATCTAGATAGAGCTTTAGGGCCGAGGTTTCTCGAGAATAAAGGGTTATAGAAACTGTGTACGTAGCAATCAATGTTCCGTGTTCCACAGAGGACGGGGGGTGGCGCGTCCGAGAAGGTAAAGGGAGGGGAGAAGAGAAGAGAGTAATCGGCCTGGCCCAGAAAGAGTGGGGTATGGCTAGGCCGAAGAGGTATACACATCCACCATATTATCATCGTCGTTTATCATCCAAATCTCCAGCACCACCAACATCCAGCTCTCCTCACGAAAAGGGTAGCTTAGATGAGGAATCCAGCACCGACAACACCAGCAACAACAGCCGCAAAGTATCCGACTTTGCTAACGCCAACAGCGCCCGCAGCACCCAACAACCCAGTCTCGTCCTCGCCCGCACCAATAGTCTGGACCACGACAGTCGTGCTGGCGCGGCTAGCCGAGGAGAAGCTGCGGGTCATGCGGGTGGAGGTCGAGTCGTCGTCATCACCTTGGAGGGCGGCGCCGGGGGAGGTCTGGGTGCCGCCAGGGGGTGCCGGAGCGGGGGTGGGCGAGGCGTCGTCGGGGGTATCCGCGGATTCTTCTGTGGGGGTAGTGGAGGGGGTGTCAGAGGCCGAGGAATCACCGGAGGAAGAGGAACTCGTAGGGGCGCTGCCTGCACTCGAGGAGCCGCTGGCGGAGGGCGACGCGGCCGGGGGAGGAGCTATGTAGAGCGTCGCATCGACTCGCTCAGCTCGAGGTACGAGCGAGTAGGGAGGAAGTAGGACGTACCGTTAGCGCAGGTGTTCCTGAGGGTGATCTGGGAACCTTGACGATCTGGCATCGGGCAGTCCGAGTAGACGCAGTTGATGGCGTCGTTCAAGAAGGTGTCGGTTGCGCAGGCGCAGCTCTCGTCACCGCTGAAGGGTTCGTTGGTTGGTTAGGCGCCGAAAAAGGAATACACGTAGCAGAGGAGAGACGTACGCGGAGCATCCGACAGCGACGGCGGCGTCGTCCGTGCAGACAATTGCGCACTCGGGGAGGCTGCTGAATTGGGCTTGGACAAGGCCAAAGGTGGCAAAGGTAGCGGCGAGGACGAAGATGGACTTCATTGTGTCTTGTGTATAGTTCGGTCGTAGTTAGGTGAGTTGGAACGTCGGGGTATGTCGAGTGTCAGGGATATAGAGCTTGTTTACTACAGTTCAATTCGTCAGTTCTCCTCTTCCAACATCCACGACCCAAAACAAACCAAAGACTCACCAAAAAGCACGAGGAGAGGTATTCGAATCCGGTTCAAAGAGAGCGTGTAGAAATTTCCAAGGGAGTGTGGGGTCGCTGACAAGCGCGTGGTTGGTTCAATCCAAAAAGCAAAGTATACAGAAATGTAAGAAGGGTTTTTTTCAACGAGATAGCATCCAAAGGGACGTGCTACGTTGTCGAAGAATCGATGTGAGGTGTTGAGGTGGTGGTTGGAGAATGAAATTTGGGTAACCCGATGAATTTGATGGGGGCTCTAAATGCAGTCGCGCGGCGGGGGGCGGTTGCCATGGGTCATCAGATCAAACATCAGTCTGGGGTCAGTTCCGTTGGCGCGGAGAAGGCGGGAGCGGATGCTCAGTAGTGCCTGTACGGAGGCGAATAGCACTCCCTCTTCATCTCGTCGTTGGGCTTGAACGTGGGCTGAAGGAAGGTAGAAGGTGAGGATAACCTCCAGGCTCCCAGCGAGAGCAGGGAAGGGCGAAGGAGGAGCTCACACTCACCGACTCACCCGGATCCAACGTCCATCATGTTAATTGAATCGCCTAGCATCGTGGAACAAGGGCCTGGATCGATGAACAAACCCTGTGTTCTGGACGAACAGAGAGAATACGTACAATACATATTGCCAGTATTTCGAAATCACGCTCGAGCAAGAGTTTGTGCGGTAAAAATAACGGTAAGCTATACGGCAAGGATGTCTAAACATACAGTACAATTGAACTACGGAGATCAAGGGGATCAAGTGTAACAAGCTAAACATAGCACTACGACATCAGTACATAGGACATGGAATCGGACTACGGGGATCAAGGGAAGAACTTAGAAACCAATAATGAAAGCATAAAGATATTGAACAGCGCACTAGCAAACCCGAACCAACCAACCACGAACTCACAAAACACCGTCGAGTCAGGCCCCACCAACACCCATATGCACCATCCTCGTCGTCCTATACCCAAGGTAACAATACAGCCGTCTGGCAGGCTCGTAATCCCAAAACGTAGGCGGGATGGAGCGGCCTCTGGATCCATACCTCTCACCCCCTCTCTCCGAGTCCATTATGTCTGAATCTTCACGGAGCTTCGTGGTCTTCGTCATGTCTTCGCTGAGCTTTGCGGATGCACCGATACGCCCGGGGTGGCGGCTGCGTCGCGGTAGCAAGAGCAACTCCGCCTCCTCACTCTCATCCATCGGCTCTCCTTTCACATCCGTCACCTCCAATGGAGTCGATAGCAATGCCGACGTCGGTGTCGGCGCTGACGTCGAGGTTGGCTGGTCCCAACAGTTACTTTGATATTCTGTCGATGCCGAGGGTAAAGTCGCAGCCTCAGGAGTACCAGTACGAGTCGGATCGGGATCGATATCCCGCACAGGCCCCCACAGACCCTTCACCTCCTCATAATACCTCCCCATCCACGCGTCGATAGGTACAATCCACCCATCTCCATCTCCACATCCATCCTCGTCACAAGGCAAGTACACCACACCCTCGTCCTCACATCCTTCCTCTCCTTCACACCAATGTCCATGTTCACCCAACCGACGTCCATATCCACCCCTTTCCCCATCATCCCCTTTCATTGAACCCCCCACACACTCCCAAACACCATCCCGCCCCACACACTCCCAAACAACATCCCGCCCCACCAAATCCCACACCATCCGCCCAAAACACCTCCACACGAAGTAGCGAGCGCGGAGGTGGCGTTTGAGGCGGGTGAGGGTTGGGAGGGAATGGAGTTCTGTGAGTCGTAGAGGGAGTGATGACCGGTCCCGGTCGGTTGCACGTAGTGGGAGTGAACGGGGTTCTGTGGGTTTTAGTGCGAGTGAGGGGTGTTCTGTGAGTCTTAGTGGGAGCGAAGACGCGTCGAATAGACATAGTGAAAAGGAATGCGGGTCGGCTAGACTTGGTGAGAAGGAAAGCGGTTCTATTCGGCTTAACGGCGTCAGATTCTGCATAAACGGAGGTGTGGCTGGAGTGGGAAGGCGGCAGGGGGTGGGTTCATGAACCAATGACCAGCTAGAACAACGGGGGTATGACGATGGTTTACGAGGAGGCGAGTCAGTGTGGAACTTGGAGAACGCAGGATACCGCTGCCACTGGTCGGAGTCGTTCTTCAGGAACGCCTTGTCCAGCAGCGGCGGCGGCGACGGGGGTGGTGTGGTAAGAGGTGAACCATCCAGATCCGCATCAAGGTCGGGCGTAGTCAAAGCATGCAACGCAAGTCTCGAGAGCCTCCCTCTATGCATCAGGGGCGGTCGGTTCGGCGAAGGCTGGACGATCTACATAGAAGATGGATGGACGGGCGTCCCAGATCAGATTGAGACAAAGGCCCCACGTTGCATGCGGTGGGTGGTGGATGAAGACGTACAGCGTAATACCGAGGATCCAGCCCAAGCAACTCGACGACTTTATCGAGGTCGAGCGATCCATCGTCGGAGAGTTGGACGTCTCGCCAGAACGTCCCGCATCTTCTTCGACATGTCGTGGTGGACTGGGACTGGGGGTGGTATTCCACTCTAACGAAGCTAGACCAGGTGCAATGAGCACTCTATTTAGTTACACAAAGGGAATATACAATAGGACGTACCCATCTCTCACACTTGAATTCTCGCATACGCATGAACATCCCCTACTGTTCTCCCGATCGAGACAAGTACCATGCCCGGAATCGCGAGAACATGTACGATGCCCGTGCCCGAACTTCATACACATCCCCTCCCGCACCCTCCTCTCCGCAACCCCATCCCACGGCGTCCGCCGCCAGATCGACGGACTGTCATCCCACTCCCTTTTTACAGCTTCAAGGACAGAGAGGATTTGTACGAGGGAGGAGAGGAGGGAGAAGGTGAGGTGCGAGAGGAGGCGTAGGGAGGTGTAGTACGCTAGGAGGATGGACTCGAACATCCCTTGTTTGCACGGCTGGGGTTGGGACTTGGAGGAGCGGTTGTGGGGAGCGATGGGTCTGTGAGAAGTGAGGTCGCGTTAGATGGCCGACGGATAGCCGGAAAGCTGAATTAGTTTTTTGATAGGCAACACAGATACGAACAAGCAGATGGGCAGCGATAGCGTTGTGGGACGATCCACTGTGGAAAGAGGGGGAACCCGAAATCAATAAGAGTCCTCCCGGCGGGTCGACGCGTTAATTATAAGTACTTAGCGCCTGCACCGTAATAGGGAAGGGAAGCAAGTCAGTCAGTTAGTATCCTTGGCAACACAAAGTAATAGTCCTCAACCTCGCCATCTATGGCCCTCTTACTGCATAACCTCGCCGTCTATAAGCCAAAAATAGTCACAACAGCAGCGCCTCCACCCAAGATCCCACCGGAGGCAAACTTGAAACCTTAATCGCGAGTCAAGTCGAGGGGAAACAAAAGAGACTTGGTTGATGGTGGTAACTTGTATGTACGAATCGTAATGGAAGATGTCGCGGAAGAGAAGAGGAGATGTCGATGGCAACAAGTAGGTACCTAGGCCGAGTTGCGATAACAGCAAAGAGTCCCCGCGGCAAGTTCGATGACAGGCTCGCAATTGTTTTCGAGATTAGCGCCCGCAACGGGTGGAGAGGGATTACGTTTCGTGACCAATCCTTCCAGGGGTTGAGTCATGTTGAGGTCTGGCGTGAGATGGCGGATGTGGCACACCCAGCTCTCTACTGTGATATCGTAAGGAGCCGACCAGAGAGAGAAGCCAGTTGATTCGGAATCGTACATAGAGCCTCTCGCCATGTCCCCGCCCTTCAAAGACCCAGTTGGGACAGCGGACTTGAAACCCCAGAAATTTGTCGCTTTATTAGCTTGAAGAGTAGACGTGTGGGATGGGTTCTCGTCCTGCGTAAAGTGATATAGCTGTTTTAGTCAGTATACGAGTCATGAGAAGCGAGAGGGGCCTAGAAACGGGAGATGAGGAAAGACAATAAAGGTGATGATGGAAGTTGACAAGACAGGCACCGCGCGAACGCGTCCCCGCGCCGCCTAATTTGGTTGTGTTTGTCAAGGGCTTCTGCCGTTTTCGATCGGGCGCTTCAATTTGGTCTTGCAAGTTGCTTCGGCTCATTCGACTATTGCTTATGTACCAAATGACGGTGCATCTCACCAAATAGTCTAGCTGGAACTAACCCTGGACCCGTAGAAGAACCAATGTTTCAGCGAATTATTACTAGGCGCCTACGGCTATGAAGCTCGATATCACCGTGCTCGGAGTCGCTATGGCTCCCGATTTCAAGTCCGCTAAGTACACGGTGAGGAGAAAATTCCAACTCGAGCTCAAATTTTCTAACCGTCACTTCACCGTCTCCACTCCCAAAGTTGAAGTCACTCCCTCGAAGGAGCTAGCTGACTTTGTCCATGCTTGTCAATGCCTTCTCCAGGCCGGATTGCCGAGTTCGATCCTCAGCGGAAGCGAAATGGTTTGTCAGGTTGACCACAGTCATCGTGAGTCGTGACGTGACGATGAGTTTTATTCCTCTTGCTTCTCCAAGGTCAACTTCAATCGAGTCTCTGCTCTCTGGACCGCGGAAGCCAAGATCTCTAGGTGAGCGCTCATACCCAATGTCAACGTGTCCTTTCATCAAGACTAATTGATTTATCTACTATTCAAGCGCCAGCACTTCATCCCAAAAGCCCTTGTTTTCTCCGACATTTAGACTCAAATTCAAAACTCCATCTTGTCCTTGCTCTTCTGGTAGCTTCTGGAGACACTTGAAGACGCCTTGGCTAGCGTATCATCGTCAACGACACAGCGGGACCGGGACTGCCATTGACTCCACTCTTGATGGCAAATCGCCTATTGGATTGGCGAGTGAAGAATTGATTTGGCGAACTCGGAAGTACGGAGGGTTTATCATAGGAAGAATCGAGCAAGACCCGGGCCCGCGAACTTCGAAGCTCAAAGACCGACCTCTTCATTTGTCGTTTCATTCTGTCGATTTTCGTGAGTCAGGTCGATTTTGTTCTTCCATTATTCACCAGTAACTGACACCGGATATCCTTGACTGACTTGGCCTTTGTCCTCAGAACTGAAACTCACCTGGCGCCGGAGGAACGTTCTAGTGCAAAGGATACTCCGTGCCTATACACTTTGCTAGGCTTGGCCGACAACTGTCAGTTCTTCCGTTGATTGGAAGGCTGGAGCGCCCGCGAGGTCGTTGAGCACGAAGAGTGCCGTAGACAAGCTTGGCAGAAGAGAACGAGGGGAAGAAGCGTTTTCGCGCACAGCCCAGGGTATACTCGTATTACGCCCTGGAATATCAGCGTCATCCACCATTCATTATCGGCGTCGGATATCAAGCAGTATCGGCGTCACACAACTACACAACAGTCAGACCCAAGACCAACAAATACTTGGCTAACAGAAGAGAAGTGACGAGAAGGCAGGCGAAGGATGGCGGATAAAGGTTTAGTCGAAACGAAGGCTATCGCGTCTTTGTGCGACCAATTGGAACAGGTAAGCGCAAAGTGTTCTTTTTCTTTTGCTACGGGTTGGTGTTGGTCTTTGAGGGTTTGGATTCTCCGAGCTTGGCGTATAGCCCTGCACCACTTCCTCATGGCCGTCGTGCCTTATCCTTTCCATCGATAGAAACCTAATCGCGACCATCATTCATTCGTTCATTCACTCGTCTATCCATTCTTGCTGCATTACTCATTCAATCCTGGTTCACCGGTTCTCTGATAATCATTCACCTATTCTCTGATTTCATTCACCGATTCTAGCATTTTTTACTGATGCACTGCCGATTTCTCCATTCCTCGGAACATCCAGGCTCTATCACTATCACCTCAATCCCAGCTCCCGCCCGAAATTCTGGCAGAAATCTTCATCCACACTCTTCCTCAGGCTAGCGACTCCGGATGGGAGTGCTACTGGGATCGAGAAGATGCATCTCCGGCTGACGATATCGATATATCGAGTGGTGCTGCATCTCCGTCCAACGACGTATCGAGTTTGGCATCTGGGAGCTTATCGTTTGGATCTACTGCTTTCGGAGATTTGGAAGGTGCGAACGCGACTGGAAGAGGGGCTGGAGGACGGGAAGGGCGAGGATCTTTTTCCGTCGCTGACAGCTTGGGTGCCTCACCTTCTTACCGCCCACGAGCGAGCGGATTCTTCTCCTCCTCGAACCCTCCAGAAACTGGCGAAGGCCTGCCAAGCGTCTCAAGAACCAGTACCCTGTTGGCGATAACACACGTATCGACGTCATGGCGCAACATTGCGATTCGTACACCAGAGCTGTGGAACAGGATGTGTTTCGAGTATACGTATTTCGACTCGGCGTCCTCAGTGCCTTCCGACCTCCATGCTCACGCTTACGCTTCGGCGTTTCCTGTGTACCCTGAAAACCCTTTTCGTGTGGTTGGTGCTGCAGGGTCCAACAATGGTGTAAGGGGGAGGGAAAGACCCGAGAGTGATCGCGAGGTTGATCCTCGATCCAATCTGCTCCGTCTGTGGATGGAGCGCTCGCACCCTCTGCCCATCCACCTAGCCCTCACGCCCCGCTACGCCCTCCTACCATCCACGCCACTCCACCCATCCACGCTCGCCGTCCTCACTGCTCATTCCAACCGCATTCGGACGCTGGCTATCGATGCGCCTGTGAAGACTGTGCTGCAGCCTCTGTTCTCGCCGTTTGCTGGTGAGGAGGTGGCGTTTGGTGCTCTGGAGGGGCTGAGCATCAAGGCGAACTTGGTGGATTCGGTGTCCGTCGCCCAGCCTATTCGGGGGTTTGAGGCGTGCCCCATGCTTCGACGCGTGTCTTTGGATCTGGCACCTGCGCAGCCTGGTGTACTCGCCATCGATTGGGGGAAGATTACGCATCTGGATATGCTCAACGCCCGAGCGCCTGTGAACCGTGGAAGGTGGATTCACCTCGTCCGAGCGTGCCCGAAACTCGTAGTGGGCAGGTTCTGGGTGACGTCCCAGTCTGACTATATGCATCTTGCTCCTCCCCCGTCATCGACCTTTCTTACGGATGGCAATGCGACGTTGAGCACCCCGTTTGCGATGGACGATCTCGTGGAACTGGTGATTGAATACCGAGGCTCGGATAGTCTCTCCTCGTTGTTTCATAACCTCAGCTTTGGGAAGCTCAGGAATTTGGAAGTACGATGTGAGCCAGGCGAAAGATTCTTCCATGATCGTATGAATTTAGGGAGCTGGAATAAGCTGGTTGGGAGGTTTGGAAGAGGGCTGAGGAGGCTGGTTCTGACTGGCTTGGGGTGCTCGGTGGATAACTTGCTGCTGTTTCTGAGGACCTTGGATGCGTTGGAGGAGCTCAAGTTGGATATTCCGAATCTGGAGGATGACAGGCTCGTCGGTGCCTTCTGCGTGCGGCGGGCACAGACGCCTGGATCCTCGGAGAGCCCTCTCCTACCTCACCTTCGACGGCTGTGGTTCAGGGTGAACCGTTTCGACTCGGACTCGTCGCGTGTGTATCGAGATGTGGTACAGACGAGGGTTGCTTTGGCAGAGGGGAGAGACGGAGTTGGGTGTTTCTATCTGATTTTGCATTTTGATCGAGCCAAGTGGTATGGACGTTCGATTGATTTGGTTGATCATCTCGGTTTGGACGATGATGCATATGGTTATTTACGCGCGCATGTTGTTATTCGACACGTATCTGCGTACGAAAGACTCTAGTTGTATTGCTAGTGTATGCATTTATGGAGCATGGAATAGGCACGTTTAGCCCATAAGCGAGCTGAACTTGGGAACCATCTCCAGAGCGGATCTAACGTTATTGTGCCAGGTATTTGCACGCTCCCTGCATTTGCCACAAGCTTGAAGCTCTTGTTCGTATTCGTCCGCAAAGTTAGCTTGTCCGGGTAGTCGATTATCGACGATCGCCCTGCAGAGTTCATTGTTCCCCCGTGGAATCTTGCTCAACGTTTTCGGAAAATACTCTCCTGCTCCCGTTGTGCAGACATGCTCAATCCCCACGTTGAACTTCCCCGTTCGGATATAGGATATCATGGCCGGACAAACAGTTGCGGCGCGAATCACACCCTCATATCCTTCCCTGTAACGGAACTGGTCGAAAAGGAGATGAGCGGAATTGACCAGGTAAAAGTGACATCGAGACATGACTCACCCAGAGGGCTGTCAACTGGCTTCTCGGCGAGCCGGCTGCTTCATCAACTCTGCTCACCGGCAGGTGAATAGTAAGAGGAGCAGCTACGTCCGCGATGTGTGGGTGGTTGTACTTGGCTGCATAGGCCAAGATTTCAATGGGTGTCTCCTCAGCCCTGTATCTGTATTTCATCACTAAATCATTTCCCAGCTTCCATCAGTCGCAGGGAGTGTAACCCACCGTAACGCGGTGCTACACGCGATGATCCCAATTTCCGCGATGTACTTCTCAGCCGCCTCCGCCAGTTTCAAGAGTCGATCAGTGGACAGCCCGGTGACGTTCGGGTATTTGTGCTTATGACAGAAGTGCATCAGCAGCTTCAGGGTCTCGCCATCTTCGGTGAGCTCGACTAGGCCCTCTGAGTCTGACACCGAGTCGCTGGTGGGGAATCCATCGGTGTAGAGCTCGAGATTGCTCTTGTGCGCGCCGATCCTAACTCCGTCGCTTGACAAGAGTGTGAGATCGATGGGGAGGGAACAGCCTTTCACTGACATCGTCCAGCATCATCGTTTCAGCCATTTGGCCAAGATACAACTCAATTCCTACACGTACCAGGACATTCAGCCATGGTTTGAAAAAGGATTGTTGGAATATCGGTTTCTGCGAGACTTGGATGGGTGAAGGCTATAGAAAAGCGGTGGATCGATAACTCTACATCGATTAGCCTCGTGTATACGTGACTCAGAACCCGTGCCGCAGTACATCATACATTAAGCGCCCGTGGGCAGCGTGTCAAACAACGGCGATTACCATCCGCACTGCGACGCGATATGTATGTGTGTTGGGGTGCCACGCATCCGCAGCGCTCTCCTTCCGCTCCGGAATTCAATCTTCGCAGCCCTTTTCGCTGCGAATGATCACGATATTCAGCAAAGATTTGAGCATCGACGTGTTTCGACGATGGGATACCCTCAGAGCATATTCCTCCGAAATATGCAGTATCAATGGACTCCAGCAGTCGGATCTTTACATCACCAACTAATGTAAGTATTCTCTGAACTTCCCAATCCCTTCCATACGTCGAGCGATTCTTCTTTCCCATTCTCTAACTTGGTCCAGACAGACACCGCATCCGGAGATGTCGCTTAGGTTTTGGCTGTAGTAATCTCCTGGGAGCTTATCTCTCACCAAGAGTTGGATGGTCGCACCGGCTGTGCGAGGAAGATTGGATAGAGTCTGGGTGAAATAGGAATCGCGTCCAGGGCAGGAGTGTTTCTTTCTCTTTGCGTTGATGTATGGCTCAGGCGCCGTCACCGCCAATTCTGCGACCTCACGCCATGCTCGTTCATAACAATGCTAGGAAGACGGAACATATTCAGTATCCGGGTGGAGGAACATCTATCCTACTCACCCAAGCAAGGTGCAGCCGCTGATTTTCTCTGATGATGCACTCCACATCGGCTATGGGCATTGTGACGGTTTCAGGAGCGGCTGTATCCGCGAGGTCGAGATAACCGTGCTTTACCGCGTAACAAAGCACCGCCAGGGGACTCTCGCTCCAGCGAATTCTGGATAACACCATGAGTGAGCGCCCCCACCATGATGAAGTATCGAAATCTGACGCACTTGGCCTGCAACCTACAAATCTCGAGTACATGAAAGACGAGGTACTTCTCCGCTGCCTCAGCTAACTCCAGGACCTTTTCCAGTCGTTCACTACTCAGATCGGGCGTGTCATATTTTCTTTTGTGCATCATTTGGAAGAGCCATTGCAGCGTTGATCCTTTCTCTGTGAGTGGCACGGGCTCGCCATCGTCAACGACCATGTCACTCGCAGGGAAAGAATCGGCGTAGGTCTCGAGGTGCGACGTATGAAAGCCAAGGTCCACTCCATCGATCGATCTGAAAGTAATATCCACTGGAATGTCGCATCCGTTCACTAGGTATCAATCGTTCGTCATCCGCAGGGATATCTTCAAGGCCTGTATCGCACACTTACGGGGACAACCGATATCTTTCCCTCCACTTGCTTCTTGCTCGATGGACATTGTGGACGATCGATAGATTTGAGAGACGCGTAATAGAAATGCCACGCTTTGTGGGTTTCTTTCCTTTTCAGTCGACCCCGTGATCTTCCTGCAAGAGGCGCGCGTGGGGTTCCATGAAGCGCCCATCTTCTGCCCATCTTCTGCTTGTACTTATTTGTCCCTACGGCACGTCGGCATCGATGCGAGAGGCCAGGACCCAGAGAGCGAAAAAGTAGTGAGGACAGGTGAGGCCGGCACTTACGTGATCTATTCTCGCTGGGACTCTATCGCTCGTACGCCAGTATTGTTTAGCTATCCTCTCTAAATCCTCCAGTAAGTAATATCTCGGTGAGGTTTGAGCATCAATTGCACCGCTTTCATTGGGTCGCATGGTTGCCGGTCAGCAGCATGAGAACTGATCCTATCCCGGAGCCGAGAGGTGACCGTCGCTTCTTGGGGCGCATACACAAGACTTCTTCCATTGGGAAGCCAATTGACTCGTGGAAGGTGTGGAGACACGAGTGCGGATGGTTCACGTGGGGCCCCCAGCTTCTTCGACAAACATCACAATTAAGTACGACGATTTTCAGTCCTTTTCTGTGCATTAGAGGTCTGCTGACGTGCCTGCGCAGAAGGAAGGTCCCATTTCAGACCTTCCAACTGCCTTCTCCCTTGAAGAAGCACCCTCCGGCCCGCCACTTGCCGGATAATATCGTCGTTGGCCCGAGGTTTAGTCGACTGCGTGTAGAACTGCAGGGAATCGATTGAATAAGTGTCGTCAACTGTAGCAAGAAATCTCCTATTGGACAACTTATGAAGTTTCATACGGTTGCTAGAGCTTTCATGAACATCTAGGAAGTGGGAAGAGTCGCTGTCCAAGCCCAGGGGCTGCACAGTTTAAGCGAGTCCCAACTTCCAAGTTACACGGGGCTACTTTCAATTGTTGTTCATGGTTAAACCTGTTGTGGCTGCCGTCCTAATAGTGTGTGTATCCCGCTGGCACTTGAAGTATCACAGCACATGAATATATTCTCGCTCTCGAGTCTCATGCGAAAACTCTTGAAAGAGTGAGAAGCCAGTCTCATTCATGAGAGGGAAACCACCCAAGTATACCAGAGAGCTCACCTGAGGTTAGCGGGAGATCGGAACATTTAGTCCGCCAATCCCAATCACAAATGCCATGCAGCTTCAGAAGTCTTCAGTCACCACGTTTTCGAGCGTCCTTCTCCCTCGTGGCTAAATTGATTGTCATCGCCGCTTTTGGCCCTCGAATGTGGGGTCTTCAGTATACCAAAGGCGGTATTGCCTCCTTGGCACCCACGCTCAATGGTTCTTTTGCGAGACCAAAAGGGATTGCTGAGTGGAGATATAAAACGTGAGATGTCAGAAAATCTTGATTTGATCATGGGATTCCCCAGTTTGTCACGATTCGCTTGTTCCGGTTCACGCTTGGCACTTGGTTAGAGCCTAAGTTAACGCGATGAACATCCATCTCTGGCCTTGTCAAGTGAAAGTCAAGGCTTTCATTAGGGTGATTCGGATGCGCCCAGGTAAGCAAAGAGATCATAGCCATAGGTGTCTTTTCACCTATGGCCACAGAGGACGTCGAAAGACGAGGTTTGTAGCTACGACGAGCTATGTACTATGTGTAACCTCGGAAAGAAGGATCCACCTCCATTTACGCCAAGATCTTGTACGGAATTATACAGCGCCAATTTGGCCCACGGTTCCCGTTGGGAATATCTTGTACACTTCGTAAAATGATTGTCACCATAACCCTGGATGGGATATCCACAGCGGACGAATCACGGATGTTTGAATCAGGAAAACGAGTTCCGGGGAAGCCCAAAGAAGATCTAACGGCGATGCAAAACACATTAAGCTGGTGGGTATTAATAGACGAACTTTATTCAGATCTGGTACTCCCCGTCAATCTTCGACTTCAGACCATCAGCCATGAAGTGGGGAACCCTTCTCTCCCTTGCGGTCGTCGCACCCTTTGCCAACGCTCTTCTGCGCTTCCCTTGCTCCCAGCTCGTGACCGAGCGTCTCGACCCGTAAGCCTATTTTTAGTTACGCGTCGTTGTGCGCGCTGCTCACCGTATATCCAGCTTGGTCACTCCTGGTGAAGTCTCCCCTCACGTTCACCAAATTATTGGAGGAGTAAGTCTGCGACACCTGCTCGTCTCACATGAACTGCGGTCTCACTCTCAACCACCCTTAGAATGCCTTCAATATCACCATGGACCACAACAACGACCTCGGTCGTCTCTCCACTTGCACAACCTGTCGTTTCAAGGAGAACAGGTCTAACTACTGGACCGCTGTCCTCTACTTCAGGGCACGCAACGGCTCGTACATTCGGGTATGTCCCGTCGCACCTTGTGGTGAAACCGTCATCTTAAACCGAGTCGCGTAGGTCCCCCAAATTGCCAACCAGTTCACTGGAAACCCCAATGGCGGTATGACCGTCTACTACATCCAGCCCATTGGTAGCAACGAGAAGGTTACCGCTTTCCCCAAGGTATGTGGATGGATCTCTGGTAGCTTTGTTATCGGCTCTAACAAGAATATGACCGTATAGGGATTCCGTATGATCGTCGGTAACCCGATGGTCCGTGCCCGATCCAACAACGAGGCCCTCAACCGTGCTATCACCTTCCGATGCTTCGGTGCCAACTTCCAGAGCAACCCCGCCTACCCTCACCCTGGAACTGGTGATGACACTGTCGAGCTCCCCAACCGTGCCTGCGCTGGTGGTATTCGTTCTAACATCTTCTTCCCATCGTAAGTCCCCTTCCTACTTGTTCTAAGAGCATTGGTCCCTTACATTCAATGTAGCTGCTGGAATGGACGGGACATCGATCCTCCGGACCACGCTTCGCACATGGCTTTCCCCACTGGTAGCATCGGTCGTGACGGTCACTTCTTCCACGTTGGAACTTGCCCATCCTCACACCCGATCCGTATGCCCTTGATCTTGCTCGAGATCGTCTGGGACACCCGTCAATTCAACTCGCAATGGCCCACCGATGGATCTCAGCCCTTCGTCCTCTCATACGGTGACCCCACTGGCTACGGACAGCACGCTGACTACGTCTTCGGCTGGCAAGATGACTCCCTCCAGCGCGCTATGGATTCCTGCACGGATATCGGTGGTGCCCCTGAGAGCTGCCGTGTCCTCCAGAGGAACAGCGATGCCGAAATGAACCAGTGCACTCTCCCCACCGTCGTCAACGAGCGTGTCGAAGGAGGTATGACCTAGCATTTTCTCTTCCCGCTATACCACCACTAACTGTTCTCCCTCCTCCTCTAGTCTACCTCGACGAACTCCCCGGATGCAACCCCATCCAACGCGGCCCTCAATCTGCTACCATGGTCCCGAACTGCCGTGCCATCTCTACCACTGGCATTGGCGGCCCCGTTGTCACCAACCCTCCCGTTGTCACTCAACCCCCCGTCGTCCAACCTCCTCCTCCCGTCACCAACCCCGGAGCTCCTCTCCAGACCCGCTTCGGTCAATGTGGTGGCCAGGGATGGACTGGCCCTACCCAATGCCAGCCTCCCTACGCTTGCCAGGTCTCCAACCAATGGTACTCTCAGTGCCTCTAAGCGACTGAGAGGGCCTAAGGTCGGTGCGCGCATAGAGCTCGGTCGGTCATTCGCCGGATGGTTGCGAAAATCGCATATGTAGCACTTTAGAACATTGTTTTGTCAGCTTTCTTCATACCTCTTTGGAATCACAATTTCTCTTTCTCTCTTCTCAAACGAGGGTGTCTGAGAGACGCGTGGGACCACTCTGCTCGAGTAAATGCCGAACGTCTGAGTAGGTTGTTCTGCGGTGGTTGAACTTCACATCGCCTTCAAGTTGGGGCGCCAAAACCTCATGTTGAGAGTCTGGTGGAACGCAGGCCACCGGCGCTCCAAGCACGCAGACTTACGTCCTAATAGCCTCGTTGTTTCCTACTCAAGCTAATACATAGCATTTTGCAGCTGGATAGGTGAGGAACACTTGAATGAGCGTCAGACAGCACCCATGCAGCTTATTTGGTCCTGTTTGCCAAAGGCCTCCAATTCCCTTCGGGAGGCTTCGGGCGCTTGGCCCTCCTCCAGTTCAACCTTTTTCCGCACGAGCGTCGAGCAGCGTTGGCGTGAAGATTTTTGTGAATGGTATGTGTGCCAAGCGCGTTCCCTCTTGCCTTCATCTTAATTCACTGAACCCTCAATAGGCGATTTTCTGAATAGTATTGCCCAGTGTACTTGGGCCCCTGACAGAGTTGGCCTCGGTCGAGGGTTTTTAACCTGTGGGCCACAGGCGACTTTTGGGCGGCTTAGGTTTTGCGATCGACCCTTGATACGGACGTTCATTATATCTGAGAATACGCTGCTAGTTGAGGAGAACCTACTGAAAAGACCCCCGTCGATGGCTTCCCGACCTCCCTTTCCTTCCCAACTCTGGCCTCGTACTATATTCGTTCTTCGGATGCGCTGGAGACTGTTATACAGCTCTGAGTTCCAGCTGGATACAACTGGATACAACCTGTGGCTTTATGCTATGCAACTGCGATTACTCTTGCTGATATGACTGGTTTTACTTTGATTCGGTATGTTGCTCGCACTGATTTTGATCCATGTTGACCAAACTTCGATTTCCAGATTCCCTTGTCCGCACGCAGAGCCTCTGCTAGCCCTACCATCTAGACCTCCGCACATATAAGTCTCGATGAAAGTCGTCACCATTCCGCCCTTTCATCGCAGTCCGAATTCTCCCCAGCCGACATAGCGCCACGTCACTCGGAGAAATGCTCATTCCTCAATTGCCTTGGCTTGACTTGTAGAGCCCCGAGACCATCCGCCCGTGGACGGTAGATGCCCTTTCTCGAAAATTCGTCTTCGGCTTGTGACTTGTCCTTGTCTGACTATTCTTGGAATACGTCATGAAAAAGTGGGATGGTATATATGATGGCCAGCACGATGACCGTGATATTCCCCTCCCCCGCCGTGGAATGTCTGTTCTGAAAGCCCATCCTGAGGACAACGTATTCCGCATCTATTCACTCAGAGTAGCCTTTGCTTTGATTGTCGATCCTCATACTATTCACGGACCTCCCCGCGATTCTCGCAGCTCTTCCTCAGGTACGCCACTCTCTTAATTGCTCGAAGTCCTTCTGAAAATGAACAGTTCTCTTTCGTACAGGCACAGACGCACATACGCGGGCCCGACTCTCGCTCTTGCATATACTCGCGCGCCTCCCTCGACACACGCGAGCAAATCTTCAGATGAACGCGCTCTGAACAACTATATCGAGCTCTGCATCTGGGACCTTCACCATATCGAACGTGCATCTCCCCTGCCCTCCATATCGAAGTGCTCGCTTGGATCTATATCTCGCCATCTGGTCTGGAATCTGCATCTCGCGATGGTAGTCTGAATCGAGTGGACTGCTTCTTGTCTGAAGATTTTCGGATGATTCGTCGCGATTATGTCTCTCACTTTTAGGATAATATCTTGAACATTTCAACCGGGGAAGGGCCAATGAGGAGGGTAGAGGTCTCGTCACGGAGAGAGAGCACATGGGCACCACTCGAAACTGACATTCCTGGGCACCTTCTATCCAACTTCCATCTATTCACCTCTTCGCTGGGAGACGGGGACATCCGCACGCGTATGTATGATGTGCGCACTGTACTTTAACTGTTGTGGGACTGCGGCGTGGTGCTGCGAAAGTGCAAAGAGGTCAGTTGATCATTTAGGTTTTACTGTCTCCATCTATTTTGCCGAGCCCGACTTCCAACACTGATACGTCTATTTTTAGAACACCAACTTCCTCGGGTCCAGCCCAACTCCTTCGAGGGACATCCGACCTCAATATATGCCTCGGCTGTCGTTTCGCAGCTGAAGACCGCGTAATATGGGTGCGTTAGTCTTCGGCGTGGCCTTTGCTATCGTAACTCGAATTATGAGGGGCGTTTATCGCGACTGTTCACGCGCGCTGACTGGCTATCCATTTTGGGCGCTGCTTCGAGTCTTCGATGGTTAGAGTTTCTAGTGGACCCAAACCCCACGCGACGAGTAATGGCCATGTTTGGGACTGCGTGGCACCGAATATACTCTCACATCTCCGATCCCTGATTCGTCTACGAAGATGCAGATGCATGTCCTCGATGTGGGTCAGTTGAGATTCACGATGGATGATGGCATAGGTTTACCCCAGATTCAAATCTCTCACTTTGTACTGGCAGATAGGTCAGTCCTCTGCACTCCTCCATGCCGGTTGAACCATGGAAATATGAATCCCCTAACATTTTCTCTCCTCTCAGGCCTGTACGTACCACGTACGATTCACTCCCTATCCATTCTGGAAAACAATTTACGCATACGCGCTCTATCGATCGCCGTTCACCGAGAATACAGCACCTCTACCTCCCCTCGAGCGTCCGGATAGCCAAGATCATTCGAAGGCCTGGTCTTTTCTGCTGAAATTGTATTTATAGGGACCTCGCCTAGTCCTTCCTCCTTCTTCATCCCTCGTTATCTACCACTCCCCTCCTGGTCTAGGTATTTGGAACCCTCGACATGAAGTGGGCAGCATTGTTGTCGTTGGCGTCTGCCGCGCCTCTGGCGCATGCGCTCCTGCGATTCGGATGTAGTCAGTTGGTGACTGAACGGTTGGACCCGTGCGTACTCCGTTATATCTCTCACTGTTATTTTTTCATTCTGATGGTGGTGGTGGTGGTGTAAAGGCTGGTTACTCCCGGACAGGTCTCCCCCCACGTCCACCAGATTATTGGTGGTGTATGGCCATTCCTCCATCTTCATCCCTTACGCTTGTAAACTGACGAGAATGGTACAGAACGCGTTCAATATCACCATGGACCACAACAACGACCTTGGTCGTCTCTCCACCTGTACCACCTGTAAATTCAAGGAAAACAGGTCCAACTACTGGACTGCCGTGCTTTACTTCAAGGCCCGCAATGGATCGTTCATTCGCGTCAGTTTCTCTTTGGCGTTGCTGTTAATGGGAGCTGATGAAACTGGGGATTTTCGCTAGGTTCCTCAAATGCCCAACCAGTTCACTGGTAACTATAACGGTGGTGTCACCGTCTACTACATCCAACCCATCGGTTCCAACCAACGGGTTACTGCCTTCCCCAAGGTGGGTTCCTCTTCCTAGAGTGGAGTTTTCCAGTAACTGAACAATTCTTTCGTACTAGGGCTTCCGTATGATCGTCGGTGACCCCATGTCCCGTGCTAGGAGGACTTCGGGCACCAACGACATCGACGCACGTGCTATCACTTTCCGTTGCTTCGGCGCTAACTGGCAAAGTGACCCCGCCTACCCTCACCCCGGTACTGGTAACCGTGACACTGTTGCCCTCCCGTCCGGTCAATGCGCTGGTGGTATCCGATCCAACATCTTCTTCCCATCGTGAGTTGATTCTCCATCTATGAATTCGTTGGAATGAAAGGGTTAACATCCTTTAAAGGTGCTGGAATGGGAGGGATATCGATCCTCCGGACCACGCCTCCCACATGGCATTCCCCACTGGCAACATCGGTCGTGACGGTCTCTTCTTCCATGTTGGTTCTTGCCCCTCGTCTCACCCCACTCGCATGCCACTCCTCTTCCTCGAAATCGTCTGGGACACCCGTCAATTCAATTCCCAATGGCCCACTGACGGTAGCCAGCCCTTCGTTCTCTCCAACGGTGACCCCACTGGCTACGGACAACACGCTGACTACGTCTTCGGCTGGCAAGATGACGCTCTCCAGCGTGCTATGGATCAGTGTACTGACATCGGTGGTCAACCCGAGAGCTGCCGTGCTTTGACCAGGAACTCTGATGCCGAGATGAACCAGTGCACTCTCCCCACCGTCGTCAACGAGCGTGTTGAAGGAGGTACGCCTTCCTCTCTTCTCCACCCTTACTGAAGACGGACCCGCTACATAGATTCTACCTCAACGAGCTCCCTGGCTGCAACCCCATCCAGAACGGCCCCAACCCCGCTACTATGGTCAGGGACTGCCGTGCCCTCTCGACCACTGGCGTTGGAGGCCCTGTCGTCACCAATCCCCCGGTTGTCACCAACCCACCCGTCGTCCAACCTCCTCCCCCTGTCACCAACCCTGGTGCGCCTCTTCAAACCCGATACGGCCAGTGCGGTGGTCAAGGGTGGACTGGACCTACCCAGTGCCAGCCCCCGTATGCTTGCCAGGTTTCGAACCAGTGGTACTCTCAGTGCATTTAAACGCGTTGAGAGCCTGGTGCGCGTGGTTGGTTTGGTCTCGTTCATCGGTTAAGGCTAGAATGCGCTCAGTTTTGTTCTTCTAATTTTTGTTTTCTTTGCTTTTGCTTGTATTGTGATATATCGTGTATTACTCTGAAGGAATGAAACCTTTCTCTTTGCTCTTAGGCTGCCGTGCCAGCGATCTCATGGCCCTCGTGCCATTCATGTTCATGCGACGCGGTTAAAAAGTGAATTTATGCCTCGCTTCACCTTCCAAAGTAATGAGCGCTACTATTCCCCATAGCTCAGAGGTTCTCATGTTGCCCGCGGCTATGAAGGCTCTTAATCCAAACTTCGGAAGGTTGTCATGTCTACTTCTTTCAAACGCCATTGGGTCTTTATTAGTACGTACGGGCATGTGAGAACACCATATCTTAATGCCCTGGGTGAGTGCTGAACCTTCTCCTAATAGGTCATAAAGCCCTCATAAGGCTCAATGGACGACAATGAAGGGCTCAAGAGGTTCATTTGGAAGCGAGGAAAGGAAGCGGAGGATCGGATGAAGGTAGGCCTTGGGTCTTGATCCGTTTTGTATCTTTCCCCAACATAGTCTTGGTCCTTCAAACATCGCCTTGGCCTTTCTTCCACTCACATTTCCGGCCGAAATACGCGGTTTTCAGGTCGTTGTCATAGGTTATGGGGTGAAATCGATCCATTGCGACGGTCTCTTGCACATTTCCTGTCTCGCGTTACCCTCAGGGTCGATCCTCCGACGGCAGAGAAGAAGTTCTAATTCAGGTATCTTCATTGTCGTTCAAAGTGATTTTCATTCATCTACGGACCCCACTGGTCATCTAGATGCATCCCAGATAATTCTGAATGTCTTCAATACCGATAAGGAGATCGAGTTGGCCCCGTCGCGATCTACGGATCTCTTCTGGTCGTGGTCCAAGATTCAATCTCGAGATGCGCCTTGTCATATCGAGAAACGTATCTCTCAGATTATTTGGAGATTAAGCTACGCATGTGGGAGGTTAGTTACTTCGTAAAACATCCTTCACTCTGCTAGCCCTGGAAGTTCACATTTTCCGGCTCTGCGCCATAGAGCTGCTCCTGAGTCTGTCATGACCCGAGTGCTATTTTAAGAACAGCCTGATACGTGGACCACGTCGTCCCGGAAATTAGTTTCCAAAATTGCTTAACTTCAGATAAACGCTGAGAGTTCTTTCACAGCGTGGCTCCAAACTTCGCTTACACGGACGAATTGCGGATGGACAGCCTCACGAATTGTATCTGGAGGAATGTGCTAGAAATCACGTTCGGTAAAACCATTATATCCAGCCCAAAGTTATTTAAAGCCCTACGTTGAGGTCGCAGGTCCCTCAGGTCGACAAGGAGCCTCTCTCTCGACTACAACGAGCCTCGCAGCAGCGATGAAGTGGGCCTCTCTCCTCTCTTTGACGGCAGTCGCGCCGTTGGCGCATGCGCTCCTCCGATTCCCGTGTGCTCAGCTCGTGACGGAGCGTCTTGACCCGTATGCCTTTTCCACCTGTATATGTGTATGCCCCTGACCTCAGCTATTTAGTCTCGTCACCCCTGGTCAAGTCTCGCCTCACGTTCACCAAGTCGTCGGAGGAGTACGTCCAAGAGATGCCTTAAAATTGCTACCAGCCAACCCTAAGATCCGTCTAGAATGCCTTCAACATCTCCATGCCGCATGACAATGACCTCGGGCGTCTTTCAACTTGCACCTCGTGCCGATTCAAAGAGAACAGGTCAAACTATTGGACTGCTGCGCTGTACTTCAGGGCCAGGAACGGATCCTTTATTCGAGTAGGTCTCAACTCACATCCATCTTTCGAATGAAACACGACTGACCATTATGATATAGGTACCTCAAATGCCCAACCAGTTCACTGGTAACTACAACGGCGGTGTTACTGTCTACTACATCCAGCCCATCGGCAGCAACGAGAGAGTCACTGCTTTCCCCAAGGTACGCATGTTTCTCATGTAACGGCCTTCGGTACAGCAAACTAACTGGGCCACAGGGATTCCGCATGATTGTCGGTGACCCCATGTCGAGAGCCCGAAGGACTTCAGGCACCAATGACATTGACGCTCGTGCTATCACCTTCCGATGCTTCGGCGCCAACTTCCAAAGCGATCCCGCTTATCCTCATCCCGGAACTGGTAGCCGTGATACTGTAGCCCTCCCTTCGGGCCAGTGCGCAGGTGGTATTCGCTCCAACATCTTCTTCCCCTCGTAAGCCTTCTTGCACTTCTTAGAAACGTGGCTCTGATCTGACGGTTACGCTAGGTGCTGGAATGGCAGGGATATCGATCCTCCCGACCACAACGTCAGTATTCATAACCCCACGTTCATCAATTTTCGAGCTAACCTACCTCCTTCCAGTCTCACATGGCTTATCCTACTGGTAACATTGGTCGCGATGGTCTCTTCTTCCACGTCGGTTCCTGCCCATCCTCTCACCCCAGGCGTATGCCTCTCCTTTTCCTCGAAATCGTTTGGGATACTCGTCAATTCAACTCCCAATGGCCCACCGATGGTAGCCAACCGTTCGTTCTTTCTAACGGAGATCCCACCGGTTATGGACAACACGCCGACTACGTCTTTGGATGGCAAGACGACTCTCTCCAGCGCGCTATGGACCAGTGCACCGACATTGGTGGACAGCCAGAAAGCTGCCGCGCGCTCACTAGGAACAGCGACGCTGAGATGAACCAATGCACCCTTCCAACTGTGGTTAACGAACGCGTTGAAGGAGGTGAGTTAATTGACATCACAATTTTCTTTCTGCAGCATCTGACATTTCCTTTAGTGTACCTTAACGAGCTTCCAGGATGCAACCCCATCCAAGCTGGACCTCAACCTGCCACCATGGTACGGGATTGCCGAGCTATCTCGACCACTGGTGTCGGAGGCCCCGTCGTCACCAATCCTCCCGTTGTTACCAACCCTCCCGTCGTCCAGCCTCCTCCTCCTGTTACCAACCCCGGCGCGCCTCTCCAAACCCGATATGGACAGTGCGGCGGGCAAGGATGGACGGGCCCTACTCAATGCCAGCCTCCTTACTCCTGCCAGGTTTCGAACCAGTGGTATTCTCAATGCATCTAAGCGGAGAACTCCAACGGAAAAGGTGGTAATATGGCACGGCGCTTATTGGCTTTTGGTGGATTTGGTGCGCTGTAGAGACTTGATCATTTCCTATACACATTCATTCTGTTGTTTTCTGTTGGTTTATATGAATACGTTTCCTTGTTCCTCTTTATGAACTCAGTCCTCCGTTAGTTTGCAAACGGGCGCTGTACTTAGCAACGAACTTGCATGAACAGTCTCCACTCCGAGTCGATGGTCCACATTTGCGACTAGGATCTCCCAAAACACTCCCTGAGGTAATAAGTTCGCAGCCCTCGGTAATCTGAGCGGATTTCTCCTTTTCAATGTTCTGATAGTATGACGTGTAGACTAATAATAATACCCGCCAAAGAATCATAATCATAGTTATGAGGTTTCACACTCACTTGACATACATAGGTTCGCGGACGACCGGATGACGGTGTCTGCTGGTGTCCGTTCCGTTGACACCGATCATTTCTACAGTATTCTTGGCCCCTGGCTAGAGATTGACGCTCACTGAGGCTGCGCCATGCTGCCTTACTCATAATTAAGGGAAGCTTGTGAGATCACTCGCGTTTTCTAGTTTCATGTTTGTAGTTCGTGAGATTTATTGGCCACGTATTGCACCGTTCTCGGGGTGGCTACGCCTATGTCCGCTGAACAAAGGTCTCTTGCGACGCTTAAAACACACACTCTCTATATACGCAATTTACTCTAGAATCTACCAATACATCTCAACGCATCTCTAGATCATCGCCGAGGAGGGCCAATATCAACTTAGGAATCTGTAAACACGGTGCCGATCTGGCGCTGAATCTCTCATCTCCAGATACAACTTCGTAGATGGATCTACGACATGGTAAGAGTCGCCACGAGGGCGGGCGAGCGATTTATATACCATCTCTCTTAGCCTTTGAATCATTTGACCACTAGAGATCGTATTTTACCGACCATTGAACACGAGTCGAAACCTATTCAATACAACGTCCACCCAATATGCAACGTGAGAACTTTACCATCATGCGTCACACAAGAAAGTCGGCGGAGGGTACTTGTAGCCCACGGATCCCAATGGGGCCAGCGGCGACCAGATCTGCAAGAGATGGAAGACTATGAGTGTATTGCACTTCATTCAAGAACGGGCTAATCGCGGAAAGACACCCTATGGCATATACGTTAACAGTGTACTCGGAATTCGTCGGGGAGTTTAGATGATTTTAGAGGGGGAATTTCCTATAAATAACGAAGTAGGACGGAAATGAAGACACAACCTCCCAAGGTAACCCACCATTTCGAAAATGAAGTGGGCTGCACTACTCTCTTTGGCGGTCGTCGCACCGCTGGCCAACGCCCTTCTCCGATTTCCGTGCGCCCAGCTGGTGACAGAACGTCTTGACCCGTGCGTTCACACACTCGGCCGCTTAAAACGTAGCTCTGACCATCGAGCAGCCTTGTCACACCGGGACAAGTCTCGCCCCATGTCCACCAAGTTGTTGGAGGAGTAGGTCCCATGCCTTCACTGAGATGCTTGGCCCCCGAATTAACTGGTGTCTATAGAATGCATTCAACATTTCCATGCCCCATGACAACGACCTTGGAAGGCTTTCAACTTGCACCTCTTGTCGCTTCAAGGAGAACAGGTCTAACTACTGGACTGCTGTCCTCTACTTCAAAGCAAGAAATGGATCGTTCATAAGAGTACGTTACATGAGGCGTTCATGACATCCAGCCTACTGACAACAGAACAGGTTCCTCAAATGCCTAACCAATTCACAGGAACCTATAATGGCGGCGCGACTATATATTACATCCAACCTATCGGTTCTAACCAACGTGTCACCGCCTTCCCCAAGGTAAGCTTCCTTCGTGGTGCCGATATTTCTGAAATAAAACAATTCTTCTGCAACAGGGTTTCCGTATGATCGTCGGCGACCCATTCTCCCGAGCCCGAAAGACTTCGGGTACCAACGACATCGACGCCCGTGCGATTACCTTCCGCTGCTTCGGTCCCAACTTCCAGAGCGACCCCAGCTTCATCCACCCTGGCACTGGTAATCGCGATACCGTCGCACTCCCTACTGGACGATGCGAAGGTGGCATTCGTTCCAACATCTTCTTCCCATCGTGAGTCGTCTCTGGTCTGCTAACGGCACACATCAGGATCTGACAATTCTTCCAGATGCTGGAATGGGAGGGACATCGATCCTCCGGACCACTCTTCCCACATGGCATTCCCCACTGGAACGATTGGGCGTGACGGCCTTTTCTTCCACGTTGGCTCCTGTCCTTCATCCCATCCCACGCGCATGCCACTTCTCTTCATTGAGATTGTTTGGGATACCCGTCAATTCAACTCTCAATGGCCCACAGATGGCAGTCAGCCCTTCGTTCTTTCCAACGGTGATCCGACTGGCTATGGTCAACATGGCGATTACGTCTTTGGATGGCAAGACGATTCCCTTCAACGCGCCATGGACCAGTGCACAGATATTGGTGGACAGCCTGAAAGCTGCCGTGTGCTTACCAGGAATAGCGACGCTGAGATGGACCGATGTACTCTTCCCACCGTCGTCAACGAGCGTGTTGAAGGAGGTACGCTCTCCTCTCCTCACTATTCCCCACTTGATCTCTGACCCATTCTTCGTCCACTACTTACTTAGTATACCTCAACGAACTCCCTGGCTGCAACCCCCTCCAGAATGGCCCCAACCCCGCTACCATGGTCAGGGACTGCCGCGCCCTCTCGACCACTGGTGTCGGAGGCCCTGTCGTCACCAATCCTCCTGTTGTCACGAACCCTCCAGTCGTTCAACCACCTCCTCCTGTCACCAACCCTGGAGCGCCTCTCCAGACTCGATATGGCCAGTGCGGTGGTCAAGGGTGGACTGGACCTACCCAGTGCCAGCCCCCGTATGCTTGCCAGGTTTCGAACCAGTGGTACTCTCAGTGTATCTGAGCTCAGAAGGGGTCAAGGGATCTTCTTTTGGTTTGGTTCTATCGCTTCCAGGAATACTCCTCAAAGTTACATTTCTTTTTCCCTTTTGTTTTCTTCTATCCTCTGTACTTCAATTTTCTCGCCTCTGAAATGAATATACATCCGTTCCGGTATCCTCTCACAAATTATACCGTCAGCAATAACCTTTAGTATGCCTCATAACCACGACAAAACACTTGGCTCTCCGCTCGTAAGGTGATTCAGCCCAGATGACAGAGTGCGGAGGACCGGATAGTAGTATCGACTTCGCGGCTGATCCGCCTCCGATCATTTCTTGAGCACTCTTGGGCTACCCAACCAGTTCTTGGCCTCTTCTTTATGGGCGATATGATCATTATCCCACTTGTTCCACGTCTTATGTCTTCCGAAAACGATTCCTGCACCCAGATTTCAGGTTAAGTATCCACTGTGGCGTCGTATCTCTTCCGCGCTGCAACATCGAAGGACTTCTCGCCTCCGTTGAGGATGCCGAAGCATGTCCTCGACTGCAAATCCTCGCTGTCTTCCCCAATCTGACCGAATCAGTAGACACTACCGCTGCATGTTCTTAATTGAAAGAGGTATATCGAGGCTCAAGCCGTGTGCAATCTAAGAAGTGATTTTCGAAGATGTCCTCCCCCGATGGAACCAGTCTGTATCGAGTTGCATCTCGTAGATTGTCCCAAATCTTGGTAAATACCTCCTCGAAGGTTTTCCATCATTCGAGCTTCATGTTGCCCACTATGCCGATTCACGGACTCCCCTCATATCGTCGAATAGTACTCGTTCTATGATTAGCACAGTGAAAATTGTGAGAAATGGTTCCCTTACGAGTCTTGGCGGATAATTCTGTCCATTTTGGGGAAATCGTCCACCGATCTGAGAAGGATGGAAGTTCACAAGCATATCGCACACCACGGACGAATAGCGGATAGATGCTTCAGATATTTTGGGACTACTAGCAGTGGAAAAGACTTTAAGCCCAGGACAGGTATTTAAAGAGTACCAGAAATCTCTGCTAGGAATCTCCAGGTCAACATACTATCCGAGAGTTGTCCCCTTTGATCCTGTCATGATGTGGGCTTCGTTCCTCTCTCTGGCGGCCGTCGTGCCATTGGCACACGCGCTTCTTCGATTCCCATGCGCCCAGCTTGTTACCGAACGGCTTGACCCGTACGTCTCTCTCCCCCATCTCATTAACATTTGGACTTGGTTCGAGTGTTCAATGACCATCTCTTTTAATACAGGTTGGTTACACCAGGTCAAGTCTCTCCCCACGTCCATCAAGTCGTCGGAGGGGTAGGTGAATGCTCACATATGGCAGATGCCGGAGTACTAACCGCAGGACGGCATGTTAGAATGCGTTTAACATTTCAATGCCTCATGATAACGACCTCGGACGGCTTTCAACTTGTACCTCTTGCCGTTTCAAGGAGAACAGGTCGAATTACTGGACGGCTGCACTCTACTTCAGGGCTAGGAACGGGTCGTACATGAGAGTATGTTCAGTGCAGAGCATCTATAAGGTTTTGAGTCCTAATATCTGTCGATAAAGGTGCCACAGATGCCCAATCAATTCACCGGAAACTACAACGGTGGTGTGACGGTTTATTACATCCAACCAATTGGCAGCAACGAGAAGGTGACGGCTTTCCCCAAGGTCGGTATCGACACCTCTCATCGAATTTGCTCCCACTCACCTCGCTCCTCAGGGCTTCCGTATGATTGTTGGTGACCCTATGTCCCGCGCTAGGAGGACTTCGGGTACCAACGATATCGATGCTCGAGCCATCACTTTCCGCTGCTTCGGCGCCAACTTCCAAAGTGACCCCAATTACATCCACCCTGGTACTGGCAACCGTGACACTGTCGCGCTCCCCTCTGGCCAATGTGCTGGTGGTATCCGATCCAACATCTTCTTCCCCTCGTGGGTACTTCTCCTTGGTCGACTCTTGTATAACGGTCTCACCCAAAATCACAGGTGCTGGAATACTCGAGATATCGATCCCCCCGACCACAGTGTAAGCCCACGAGTCAGTCATACAGGTACTCGCTTGCTGAAGCACTGCTTGGTAGGCTCACATGGCTTATCCTACTGGTAACATTGGTCGCGATGGTCTCTTCTTCCACGTCGGTTCTTGCCCTTCCTCTCATCCCAGGCGTATGCCTCTCCTGTTCCTCGAAATTGTTTGGGATACTCGTCAATTCAATTCCCAGTGGCCCACGGACGGCAGTCAGCCATTCGTTCTTTCCAACGGAGATCCTACCGGTTACGGACAGCACGCCGACTACGTCTTTGGATGGCAAGACGACTCTCTCCAGCGCGCCATGGACCAATGCACGGATATCGGTGGACAACCCGAGAGCTGCCGCGCTTTGACCAGGAACTCCGACGCCGAGATGAACCAGTGCACCTTGAAGACCGTCGTCAACGAGCGTGTTGAAGGAGGTGAGCTTGAGACACGTACCTTTGCCATCATCGGGTATCTGACGTATTCGTTCAGTGTATCTCAACGAGCTCCCTGGATGCAATCCAATTCAGAATGGCCCTAACCCTGCCACCATGGTCCGGGACTGCCGCGCCCTCTCGACCACTGGCGTCGGAGGCCCCGTCGTCACCAATCCTCCCGTTGTTACCAACCCTCCCGTCGTTCAGCCTCCTCCTCCCGTCACCCAGCCCGGAGGCCCTCTCCAGACCCGATACGGCCAATGCGGCGGCCAGGGTTGGACGGGACCCACTCAATGCCAACCTCCGTACGCATGCCAAGTGTCCAACCAATGGTACTCTCAGTGTGTCTAAAGGGGGATCGTTATCAACCCCAGGTCTGGTGAACGGTTAAAGGTCTTACGCGCGTCTCAGCAGAAATTTCCTTTTTCATATCGTTTTTTTTTTATCTTGTACGATCGGTGAATGCTATGCTTCTCGTTGTATCTGGGAAAACGTGTTGAATCGTTTAACACATCCACAATGGAGAGGGTAAGAGCTAGGGACGTACTGGAAACTTTCACAGCTTTGGTGTCAATCGCATATGTCGCTCAGGATTCAGGAAAAATCCGATGCGCGTTGGACGAGGCTGGAAGAGACACGTTTGGTGTGCCGGTCGGGCACTCGGTGGGTTGTGAGGCTAGTCGTCAGGTCATGTGGATTATCTCGGGTGGTCTGAGTAGTAGTAGCCACCAGTCCAGAGTCGTATCCTTTGTCAACAAGTCGGAGACAGGCGAGATGTTTGGATTCTACAGCCGATCCCAGAGGTCAGAGTCACATTTCACGCGTTTCAAACTGGACGTTTGCCTGGAGAAGAGCAAGGAGAACACCCATAGCATTGCTTTGCGCCATTGTCTCCGTGGTGCTGGTGTCGAGACGCGGACGCGAACCCCACGGATGTCGATGACGGGAGACGGCGGAAGACATCAGAATCCGAGCCAGCAGAACAAACAAAACTTTGGCTTGTTTGTCCTTGATTGCCAACGGCTTTTCGTTGGGCGCCAACGGCCGAGTGCTATGTAACTCCCTCAAGGTGAACTGCATACAAGCTCCGGGCAAGGTTGGTTCATTCACTTCGCGTGAACCACCCAGCGAGAGGGTGGCTTGCAATGCAATGAGGTAAACCATTAGGTCCCGAGTGAGACTCGAACCCTCGAACCCGTGCATCCCCTTCGGGACTATTGATAAGCGCCCATCGAAGTCTCCATCCGTGATAATGTCCAGAGACAGGAATCATGCGTGAGTTTTCGTCATTTCCAATTGTCAATGCACAGTAACTGAGTAAGTGTCTGAGTCAACTCCCCAAGAATCCCGGCATCAGCGCTCACCAAGTCGTCTATCTATACCCTGCCGCCGCGGCAGACTGCAGCGGAGACAGTCTAGAGCAGAAGGTTTACGTGAAAGGTCAGTAGTATCTGAAATAGCCCTACGTCTTCTTCCTATCTTTAAATGTCGCCAGTTTCAACGAATCTCTGAAACACCCCGTTCACTATACAACCATGACACGCCCAGCGCTTCGTATCGCGATAGTAGGAGGGGGACCAGGCGGTCTCACTCTAGCTTCCATCCTCCACCACACATCCCACCTTCCCTCCTCTCCCCTCCGCGCCGCCTCCATCTCCATCACTGTATTCGAAATGGACGCGTCCAGCACATCTCGCCAGAGCCAGGGAGGCATGCTCGACATCCACCGCGCCTCTGGCCAGCGCGCGCTCGAGCGCGCGGGCCTCCTCGACGTTTTCAAGACACACATGCGAGTAGACGCGACTGAGTTCTTGTTGCGCGGGAAGGATGGGAAGGTGTGGTTGCGTCATACCGAGGAACCGGATGGAAAGGGTGATGACTCGGAAGGCCAACCCGAACCTGAACGACCAGAGATAGACCGGATCGTGCTGCGCTCTATCCTCCTCGATTCCCTCCCTCCCGATATGATCCAATGGGGAAAGAAACTCGTATCCCTCACCACCACATCTGACCCATCCACCGCCTCGTCCACTACCAAGTTCAAACTCGGTTTCTCAGACGGAACATCCGCAGGCGACTTCGACATTATCGTCGGGGCAGACGGTACCTGGTCCAAAGTCCGCCACCTAACCGATACCACCCTCCGCGGCTCAAACAAAGTCGACAACAAACCACCCTTCTCAGGTGTCATCTGCGTCGAAGGATGCATTCAAAACCTGTCCGTTCGGTACCCCGAACTCGCCGAATTCGCTGGAAAAGGCAGCTGCCACAGCATCGGCGAAAAGTTGATGCTGGCTTCTCAGTTGAACGGGGACGGGTCGTTGAGGACCTATGTCATGTTTGAAGGGCCGGAGGATTGGAATTTCCCCCGACCTCGCGATGCCGATGTGAAGACGAAGGTCAGGAAGTTCGTTGACGAATATATTCCCTTAGCCGAGTGGAATGTAGCAGCCAGGAACGTTATCCTACTCACCGACATCGACCCGGTGGTTCGCCCTCTGTACGGGTACCCTCCAGGACACCGCTGGACAAGTCCTGTAAATGGGTGAGTAGCCTCTACGGAAAATCATCCATGGTGCCAGTGTTAGTAGTACTCACAGCCCTGTCGCAGGATCGTCCTCCTCGGAGATGCAGCCCACGTCATGACCCCCTTCGCCGGAGTAGGGGTGAACCTCGCACTACACGACGCACTCGATCTTGCTTCCGCAATCGAAGGGATCGCCGAAAGGATCACCGAGGAACCTGCGGACAATCAAGGCGTTGTATCCAAGGCGATCGAGGAGTGCCTGGCGAAATACGAGTCAGCCATGTTCGAGAGAGCGTCGCAGAACGCTGACAAGACGATCAAGAACCGAGGTTTGTTCTTGGGCGAGGGAGGGGTGCAGCCTGTCTCCGAGGCTATGGGAGCCATATTGAGCGTTGATCCAGAAGGGAACCGAATAGATTAGTATCCCATGCGTGTGTACGAGCCCTAGTTTCATTGACACGATTATTGGAGCAAATAAACATGGATCAGGCGCTGCCAAAGCATATCCATATGACGAACGAAGGCCACTTTACGCCTCCCTCGCCTTGATAAACTCCTCCGAAAAAGGGTAACAGGCGTATAATGCGCCTTCCCATCACCCTCATTCAACGCTAAGTTCCTTTCCAGTCTGAACGGGAGGTCGGGCTACAAAAACACCACACCCCCACACGCGGTTCCAAACTCATCAGCGCCCATTCAAAACAACCAGTGACTACCAAGAAGAAAAGGACTAGAAAGGACTCACATTCGCAATAAACTTTTGCCCAAACGCAAACAAATCACCCTTCTGCTCCGAAACCCGAAGCCCCTTCTCCCTCTTATACCCAGATCGAAGGGCAAGGAATTCCGAGAGGAAAGCAAATAAAATAACTCAGTATGTGCTGGTAGAGTACAATGTGCCAGAGGTCTAAAGTGAAAGTGTGACGAATGCATGAAAATAAAGGTATGTGCGAAGAAATCGAAAACAATGATGCAACAGGCAGGCTGGATGACAAAAGGCTGGACGAGAGATTACTGTTTTTTGCCTTTCTTCCTCGACTTGCTGGTTTGGTGGTCCGCATTCTTTGTGGTATAGCCGTGTTGCTCGAGATACGTCTGGTATCGAATGAATCTAGGGTCTATCTGCTGGAAATCAGTCGCCAGTTTCTGTGCCAAAAGCATTAGAAAGAGACACGGATCTGGAGGTAGCCGTCACGTACCCTAACCATCTCCACATACCTCGTCTTCACCTCTGCTTGTACCCTCTTCGTCTCTCCCACCATCTCCTTCTCTCGAAGACCGAATCCACCACCAACGGGAATCCAAGAGAAATCTTTCCTCGTCTCGAACATTCTCCATTGCTCATAAAAGTCGGAAGCATAGTCCTTCGTCGGCTCGTGCGGGAAGGACAGATCACCGGGACACCATGGTTGAGAAACATCGCCGAGTTTGGGAAGCTTCCGTCCGCCCAAGCGTGCCTCGTCCATCGCGATGCATTGGAAGAGGTTACCCATTCGCAACAGAATTTCCTTATCACAGTGTCAGCGTCAGATATATCCTCGGCGCGGTACCCATGGCGTACCTTCCCAGTCGTGTTATCCGGCAGCTGCCCGAAAGCGATGAGATAGTCGGTGATGTCGTCTGGGTCGATAGTGCCCCAACCCCGTGACTTCTGCGTTTGGTAATTTACTGGGTCGAACCGCAAAAATGGGTGCGTCAGTTTGGAGGATGGATCTTGGACCCGACTTGGCGAGAAACGTTCGGATTGGGACGTCGCAGACCGAGGTTTACTGAAAGCGTTAGCCAGCGTCAACTGTTTCCACAGAAGCGATGCACCACGCCATGCCAAAGTAGCGCCCTTGAATACCAAACGCAGAGACAGAGATACGAAGACGATGATAACACCAAGCCATAGGAAGGGATCCCAGAGAGCAACGAACGTGGGTTCGGGTGGACCTTCCTCTGTTGGCTCTTCTCGTTTGAATGCTCCGAGGGCGAGGTCGTAGTCGTAACCAGCTCGTCGCTAGAGAAAGGTTAGATGAGCATTCGCCGATTAAGCACAAAACCCACTTGGTCATCGTTTAGAGTCTAAACAGCTATTCAGCCCAACTTCCTCACAGTCATCCCAGAAAAAACCATACCTCGAAGGCCTCTTGCACCTTTGCAAACCGCTGGTGTGCAGCTTCTGGGTTATCAGGGTTTTTGTCCGGGTGGTGCTCTAGCGCTTTCTTTCTGTATGCTTTCTGGCGCGTTGGGTGAGCCAAAAGTCGGAATTCGGAGCGCCACGGTAAGAGTTACCTTGAGGTCCTCAGCCGACACGTCGTTGTCAACGCCCAAGACTTGGTACAGATTCATGCCCTTGAACGCCGCCTGGGTGCTGTCTTGTTCCGAGTTCCTAGAGAACTGAAATCCCCATAACCAGGCCGCACAAATCGCGGTTTCCGTCAGTGCTGCTTCCCATAACAGGCTCAAAACCGGCCCTGCGAATGCTTCTTCAGGGCCTGCCATTTGGGCAACGCTTCCAGGGTAGAGTACGTTCCAAAGGTCGTCTACGGAGTCGTTATGTCGTCTTCAGATGCTTAAACTGGGTCCAGCCCATGAACGCGGTCGCTGTGTTCGCTGTCGTGGTGGTAGTTTGTGGAGAAGGGACAATTTGCCCTTGTTGATGGATTGATCGCGGTAGGCTAGGGGCCAAATACCCTAAATTAGACGGCGCTTTCGAAAAATCGGCAGTGACTTCATGAGGGGCGATATACGGTATAGACTAAATTCAATAGAGGTTTCATGTCGAATGTGTGAAGGGATAAATTTTTGGGAAAAGGGAAAAAAAAAAACAACCTCGTGCATGTTTCATGGGCCTGACCGGGAATTGAACCCGGGACCTCCTCGAAATTCGCAAGCCTACGCGGTTAGCGCCTGCTGCTCCCTAACAAGGAATCATACTACTAGACCATCAGGCCGACCCTTCTCCATGGATTCCGTCCTTTACAGCTTGTTAGAAAATGGGAGATGCAAAGGACCCGAGTGAAGAGGGAAGGGAAGACCCCCCGATGAGCATCTGCAACGGGCGTGACGTCTGAATGGACCTGATCGACGGCCGTGTTCTCTTTCCTTATCGAGATCTTCCTGGGTTGGAGGAAATAGGAAAGGGTGTGTCCTCGTTTCGTCTGCAAGGAGGAGAACTTCCCGGGGGGGCTGGACGAACAGAGGCTGAGTCTTTCGAAGGAAATCGCGGTCTCGTGACCGCAGAATATGTTGGCGCAAAATGCCAAAGGAGGCGCGTTTACCACTTCTCTCGTCTTCAAAGTGACGAAGAGTGTTTGAGAGATGAGTATATAGTGTTCCTGGTGTCTATGTGAGGCATGGAGCGTCTGTGACCCAGAGGTCTCCAGGGGACTGTCAGTGGCCACTCACCTTTCGAATCATAACTCCACCACACAACATCCCTAAACCTTTCACGGCCAACTCACTTTCATTGCGTCCACAAAAACCATTAATAATTATACACACTGCTCAGTAAAAAAAATGCCTTTATCTCTTTGACAGTGAAATATTTTTTCATCAGTAAGTACTTACTCAGCTGTATCGAAAACCTTTATCTCTTAGAGATCAAAACGTACGCCACACCAATCGCACATCACAACGGACAACAGACAACGGACAACGGACAATGGTCCAACCCCCAAACGCGTGCGGCCCGCCTACCAAATCGGGAACTTTAACCACAACTTTGCTGATCTCTTAAATACCTCCCGGACGCTTTGACTCGTTCACTCGTTCTCTCACTTTGACCACGACCTTCCCCCGGTGCCCACCCATATAAAGACCTCCCATACCTGTTCCTCCCTCTCAGAGCGCAGTCCGTTTTGATTGGAAAACAACATGGTGAACACCCCGAAGACTCCAGCCAGAAACAAGTTCGGCGTCGACCCGCGCGACAAGTCCGCATTGCACGAATTGCTCTTAAAGACCTATGCCACAGCTCCTCCGCACGTCGAACGTGAAGTCGAAGACTTCCTCATCGAAGCTGGCTTCCTCAGACCGAGAATCAAAACGCCCAGTCCAAAGGTACGCGTTTTCAAGTTTTCCAAAGGATCTCGGGAGGCGAGTGAGGCTAACTTCGATGATCGGGTTCTACTACAGAAACCGAAAGGGAGTCTGATGATTAGTCCGTTCAAACTACGACACGCGGCACAAGAGTCGCCTGCCAAATCTAGCACCTCGACCACTTCCGAAGCTTCCTCCTCGTCTACAACTCCAACTCCATCGAAGACCAAGTCAACCAATCTCTTCAAAAACTTCGTTTTACCGAAACGAAGGAAGACTACTACTGACTCTGCACCTCGCGCTCCAAAATCCCCTGGCACGGCAACCAAACCCGTCCGCGCTTACACCATCCCAGTTTCGCCTCGATCCCGAGTGGTAGGAGCAGCAAGAAGGCGAAGCCACACCGCGGTACCAACCACCAAACCTGGGTCGTATGGACTTGGAGTCCTGGTTGCTTCTCCGAGGCGTACTACCAGGGGTCCAGTAAAGTTTTCCGAGGTCTTAACCGTGTCTCCTAAGCCTCGCAGCCCACTCAGGATGTCCAAGACGGAGAACAAGGCTAATGAGGAGGAGAAGGAGAGAAAACACCAAGAATCGCTCGCCGCTTTCAAAATCTACACCCCACCTCCTCCCATCGCAGCTCGCGCTCACCCTCAGCCAGCAATCCAACCCCCTGGAGAACTCTCCCCTCTCCCAAGAACCAAGGTTGCACTCAACACCGAGGGAGCCACCGAGCTAAAAGACCAAGGCACCCTCAAACCCCTCCCATCCCGAAACAACTCCTCCAAAAAAGACGAAAATTCAATCACCAACAAAGCCTCCAAATACCTCAAACGCACGACACTCGTCTTATCCATCCTCGTCCTTATCCTCGTCGCCCTAGTCGTTGGCGTATTCTTCGTACTCGTCATCCTCGTGCTCAGTATCGTTGTGGGATTTATTCTGGCTATTGTGAGACTACCGCAGATTATAGGCGCGTCCCAGGGCGAGAGTCCTAGGGCTGATGGTGAAACCATGGGTGAGGAGTGGACCCTCGTTGGAGGTGATGATAAGCATGAACTGTATTGGTTCGAGGAGGTGTGTGATATTCTTGATACGATGTCGTCAGGCGAGGATGGACAGGTTGATGGCTGTGAGGAGGAGGACGAGGACGAGGAATTCTTCGACCCCGAGTTCGAGCCCACACAACTTACGAGTTGAGAGGTGATCGACGCGCTCTTCGTTGATCCATCAATTGCCTATCACTCGCGTCATCGGACGCGAAAGACGAGTCTTCGTTTCGCATTGACTTCGTTCTTTTGAAGTCTTTTTCCTGCTTTTCATCTACGTTTATGTTGTATTATATCTTCCTGCGGATCTACTTCCATTTCATTTATATATGCTATTACTAAGTCTACGCAGATTTATCTACATGCACTCTACTGACTGACACAGCACTAAATCCATTCACGTCTCATTACCATGCTTTCCAGTTCTCTAACGCACCTTTATGTATCTCTAAGCCCTATCATATGCCAATGACAAGCGATTAACCATGCACATGAATAATGACAAGTATCGAACCCTCTGGAGAGTGCGTTGAAGCTTGAAGCGCAATAATCTCACAAGTCCAGTCAGCTGCTATATCTAACCCCTCCATCCGCATGCAAAAAGAGATAAATCCGATTGATAGGTTTCATTAAGCACGCGCAATAGGGCTACGTAACATATACAGGATCTGAACAGGTACTAGCGATACAGATAGCTATAAGAGCGGGAGTATCAAATGGTATATACACAAACACGAGACAAGACGATGAGAGATCAATTCCGCTACACAGAGATAATACTAATAGAGATGGAGGTACAGTAATGGTATCAAACCGATTCGAGGTATCATGGGTATCCAATCCAAGAGAGAGAGAGAGAGAGAACAGGCACCGACTCCAAAACGGCACTCACACCACGAACACCACTCACGACGAATCAGTAGCCGCAGCATCATCACCCTCCGTAACAGTAACCGTAACCGTAACAGTCACATCCTCCGCCTCCGTACTCGTCGCCAAATAACTCTCCGGCACACTCACCACCTGCGGGTCCAACGGGCTCGGGGTCGCGACCACCGCAATCTCCGTCATACTAGGATCAAGCGCATCATACGCCGGGCAGAGGTCGTCCCAATCCTGCGGCGTGGGGTTGAGCGCGGGGGTGCCGACGGGGTCCTCAGCGAGCACGATGGCGAGCCCGAGGTCGAGGTGCCAGTCGATGTGGCAGTGGAGGATCCACGGCCCGCTGTTGTCGGTGAAGAACCGGATCGTGGTGTTGGACCCTACGTCGCCCGTGCTCACCACGTCGCGCTTGACAGGGTTGACGTAGTTGTAGGGCGTGTCGATGCCGGCTGATTTGACGACGCTGAAGGAATGCTATAGTCGTAAGCGTAATGAGAGAGTGGTCAGTACGACAGGACGAAGGAAAAGGACGAGGCTGAAGACGCACCCCGTGCAAATGGAAAGGATGAGGACTCGAAATCACACCTCCCGGAATCGAAATCTCAACGCTCGCGTTGGGAGGAAGGGTATACACCGAACCCGCGGGTAACAAATCCTGCGCCGCAACAGCCCCACTCATAACCTGCAACAGCACGGGCACAGTCGGGGGGTTGAACGTCTCGTTGTTAACATAAAACCTCCACGCGTCCACATTAAAGTCCAAATTCAACAAGAGGTTGACGTCGGCGCCGCCGGGGAAGGGCTGTCCTGGGACGGGCGTGGTGTCGAGGGGAACGAGGAGCGTCTCGTCGAGGAGGACGGGGGCGTCGGGCGCGGAGGTGGTCGGGTCTGCGATGGGTGCGCCGGCGTACCGCAGGATGGCGGAGTTGGTTCCGTCGATGAAGCCCGTGAATAGGTTGTTGTTGCCAGAGTTGGGCAGAGCACGAATCCAGTAGTTGCCAATGGGCTGGTCGGCGGTGAGGATGGCAGAGTACCGTTGACCTAGAGTGCATCCCACTTTGTGTCACTGCCCGTTCAAATCCCGAACAACGAAGGGGTGCTCACCAGCGAAAATCTGAATACTATCCACTACCAAAGGCTGCGTCGATTGCGCATCCGCTTCGATGACCGTCAATTGGTGACCGTCAATCGAGAAGATATAGTTAGGATCGCATGATATGGCCATGATTCGAAGCCGATAGCGCTTTCCGGGAACGACGTTGATGATGGCTAGGTCAACTAGCGGACCACCGACGTAGCGGCCCTTTCCGTTGATGACTGTTGCATCGTTGGAAGCAACGCCAGTGATGGAAGGTGACTGGAGGTGGTACCAGTCTCCGATGGTGATGACAGTGTTTTCGTCGTCAACTGAGGACAAAGTCAGATCGTGTGCGGGGAGAGAGAAAGGGAGATGGGACAGCTTACCATCGTACAAGTCTCTGTAAGGATCCTCAGGGTCGTAGATAACAAGCGGGCCGCGCAGTCCATCGCAGTATTGGGTGCCTGCGGAAAGTAGTCAGATGCGTCTATTCACCGAAGGAGAAGGTAAGGGAACTCACGGAAATGCGAATGGTACCAGAACGTTCCAGCTTGGTTCGGAACATCGAATTGGTAGAGGAAGGAGTCGCCTGGACCGATAGGACATTGGTTGACACCAGCAACACCGTCAGCCCAGTTTGTATGCTTCTGATAGATACCATGCCAGTGCTAGCAAAAGGTGTGAGGCCAAGCGGAAGTGAGTAGAGGATGAGGATGGCGTACGATGGAGGTGGCGCGGAATTGGGTATCGTCCGTCATATCATTGACAACGTTGAGACTGAAGTGGTCTCCCTGTAATCGTTTAGTACAGTGCATACGTTACCAAGGATGTTCTTTACCTTGTTGGCCTTGATGAGAGGAGCAGGGAAAACACCGTTGACGACGGAAGATCTAGGTTCTCGAGGTATTAAGGGACGAATAGGACCAGCAGACATCGAGAGAACTCACGGTCTTTCAAAGCCATCCGGCGACAAGTTTGCGTTACCGATGTTGAGCGTTGCCACGGAGCCGACGAACGGGAAAGAAGTTGACCCAGCGGCGATGACAGCACTGGGCTGGGGCGCGGGAGCAGCACCGTCGACGTCTTCAGGAGCTGCAGCCTCGTCGCCGGTGGAAGATACGGCGACATCGTCTCCAACTGAGCCAACTGAGGCGCTATCGTCGTCTCCGCCTGAGATGCTATTGCCATCGCCAACATTGCCAGCATTGTCAACACTGTTGTCGTCACTGTCGTCGGAGGCGATGGAGGTGGTCGCCACAGCCTCAGCTACCGAAGACGAACTGGCTGCTGTCGAAGCGGAAAAGGTCCTGGCAGCCGAAAAGAGAGTAGCAGGGCTCGTCGTGACCGCAGGGGAAGCCGCAGCCGCAGGAGAAGGGGAGGTCCTCGCACTGGCAACGGAAGCAAGCCTATCGCTATACGATGAACTACCAAAAAGGTTGTCGACATAGTCGTTTTTGGAGTATACAGCCGCAGACCGAACCGTGCTCGACGCAGCAAGCAGGGAAAGAGTCGCGGAAAGCACTGAGCGTTTGGTGATCATGTTGGAAGCAGCAGCCTAGATGGAACCGAGGCCACCAAAGAGGGATGATCAGGTCGTTTCGGTCGTGAACCCCGTTCGTAGAGAGACGTCAAAGAGGTCGTGTTAGATGTCCGTGAGCAGGGTCGTGCCAAGCGTCAAGGTCGTTACTGCTTTTTGGTTTTTTGTGTCGTCGAGTGAGGTAGATGGGGAGGGAAGCAATACCCAGTACTGCTGAAGGGTGGCGAAGAAGGGATGGATCGAATGCGACGATGGGCTCATTGGGACGAGCAAGGCTTGTTTTTATAGAGAACGTTGCCAATCGAGAGAGGGGCAATCGAGCCTTCTATGATGCATAGCTGAATAAACGTCGTGAACCTGAAGCTGGCCGTCCGCCCTGTCGCAGTCGCAATCGACATTCCCGCCTCTTCTGCAGCGATCCAGATCGTCGCCATTGAGGCTGGCGGGCAGAAAGTGCCCAGTGAAGAGGCTTGTACTGATGCAAGAGATTCATTCACGAAGGTATAGTATTCAGAGTCCATAGCTATTCTCATGTTGAAGGATATCTTGAGCCTATTCCACTACATACATAGTCTGTTTCGTAAAATTAGAACTCGACACCGGAATTTAAAGGCAAAACGAATACCCACAACAATCTCAACATGCAGGAACATACAGTGGCCAGTCAAATGCAACGTTTTCATCGCCATCGCGGAGGTCAAGGTCAGTGACACTCTTCACCCTCTTCACCATGCACGCCGTCGTCGAAGCACAACCAGCGGCGCCAGGCACCTGGGAACGCGCTGACCCAACCCGCATTACGTCCGACCCTCCACGCCGTCGGGGCTCCATCAAACCCTCAATCAGTCCTGACCCGACCTGACCTGACCTCCGCCCGCCGCGTGCGGGGAATTCGGGGATCAAAGCCGCCCCATCAATTTCGCGCGCCTCCGCAGCACCAGTTGACAACACCCGACCCGCCCGATCAGATCTATCTCCATCTCTACATTCGCCTCCTCTCCTGAGTCACACACACAACACCCAGTCAGTCATGATCTTGGATGTGCGACCCGTGCACCCTTGTACACCCGACGAGAGACCGTTCGATCAGTATTATTCGATCTGCACCGCCACGACTGGGCATGGGAACAGCGGCGGGCGCAAGCACCGCGCATCGCTCCGTCCCCGCTCCTCACCGTCGCTTACGGTGACGCTTGAGATGGGTGCTGAGTGAGACCATCAGAGTCCAGATATCGCTCTCCCTCGGGCTCTAAGTACTAGTTTCGTGTGTGTGTGTGTGTGTGTGTGTGTGTGATATAAGCACAGTCGGTGACGAAGGCAACCAGGATAAATAAGTGTATATCTCGAATATCTATGATTATCCAAGCATCCCCCCTAAGTGCGGAATCCAAGCAGTGCAGGCTTTGGTTGTACGTGCCTGCCCTAACGTGCCGTAGTTAAGCGCCCATCGTGCGAGAAAGCCAGAGGCTGCCCCGTGCTCTGGCATGCTGATGCGATGCTACTCATCTGAACCAATCTAGAACTTATCAGCGCACCGTGGATGGTAGCGGATGGTATATTCGGTACACTACGCAAGTAATTGACATTATTTTGGACTCAAAGCGAAGCGACGGCGATTTGCATCAGTAGTCGGTCGTTGCTCTGGATCATCCGATCAAACGGCGGGCTAGGCGTCCTTGCCCTCTCCCGCGCCCAGCCGTTCCTAAATCGAATAATACTGATCGTAGTATGACTCTACACCCGACTCCTCCTTTCCTTCCCGCTCTTCCTTGAAATGAATGAACCCTCGTTGTCTGTGGATTCTCCCGTCGATTGTGGCGGTGGAGTAAACTTCCGTGTATCCAGGCTGGTTGGAATAGAGTGGAGAAGAGGCTGTTGGCGTGGCGATAATCGATTTCGCGGAGGAGCGATAAAAAAAAAAAGTGCTGAAGGTATGGAGGAGTAGTATTGAAGCTCTCCGAGTCGACCTGATCCTGCGTTCTATATGCAATTCCTTAGCACGCTCGTCGATCCCCTGAACGTTGCCGTTTGACCTCTGTGTCTCACCTGCCAGTGGAAGGATCTGCTTCGATCCGCAAGACGGCATGCTTCGCCTTCGAAAAGGCTCGTCCGCAGCAACCTGCGTTGCTTCTAGCCTGAAAGAAGGCATGCTCCACTGGTCCTTTCAACAGCACGTTACATAGTCAACGGTCAGCTTTTCATATTTCACTTTCGCCTACGTAAATCTGGATGAAGCTATTACTCAACGAGATGAGCGTCAACGATCGCGCTTGAGGACCTCGTTCAAGCTGCTAATCCAATAAACAACCTTGACGGTACCGATAGCTTTGTTGACGGGCGCTTAACCAAATCAAACTGGAGCACTCAGCAACGCATAATCACCCGTTCGTACTTAGGATCGGCATACATTCTGTCAGTCAGGCAGTCTCTGCCTGACCAAACGTTACTTTGGTATTCATTCTCTATGTCCATCGGTCGACATCTCGACTCTGAAGAACTTGATGATTGTCATCGGAACGGAACCAACGGATAGGGGCTATTTCGATTGAGGATTGAAGTGACAACAATTTCGAAGGAGAAAGGACGTTAAAGAAAGACTTTAAGAAATGTTTTCCCTGTTCAAGACTTACATAGAGACTTCAAGACGCGTACGGTCTTTGAGTTCGAGGGGATACCTTTTGCCATTCGTTGGCCCAAGTCTAGCCTGATCTCGAGCGCTCGCGATCTGCGATCCTCCAAGTTTCCCTCCTGAAGCCTCGATGCACTACTTAGTATTCTCAACACATCTTCAAATCGCTGAGGTACATCGTTTGTCCTTGGGCCTTTGGACTTTTCGAGACATAATAGCGGTTATTTAGGCAGTACCTTTCTTCCTACATAAATCGATGAAGCGTCCTTGGATGGAACCGAAGATTGTCGAGACTTCCTGTGATGCCGCTGTGGCTTGCATAGACGACTGGCAAGGACATCGCTTAAACAATGCCTCTCAGGACAGCTCGACATATCTGTCCAGGACGCAAATGTTGTCAATTTCGAATCAATCAATTGAATCAAGCGCCCGTGAACGCTGCGCTCCGAAACGACCATGAGTCCACTCCATGATAAGCCATGTCCATCTAAATCAGAGAATCCATCTCCACATCCATCTATCTACCTATCCATCCATGTACGACGTGCCAGCGCTCCGGGAAGCGCTGCACTGCAGCATAACTTCCAAGTTCATCTTCAGACTAGCGTTCTAATGATCCATCTTCATCCTTGATTGATCCTTACACCTCCTCCACTTTCGATTCGGAACTGTTACTTCGTTTGTTCTCCTCATTATAATGTCGTTGTCACGTACACCGTATGGACATTGGTCGACCGCTGTGGTGTCAATAGCTATCTTCTTGGGCTTCCTTATCTTCGTCGATGTAGTGGACGTTGACTGGTTCGTGATTTCGTATGTGTATGCACGTTTTGTTATCATCAGACGTTACGATACTGAGCCCTGGCCTTGCCCTGAGAATATCCGATCATAGTAAGTACAGTAAACGTTATATGTACGTCCAGCGGGTTCCTTGATCATCAAGGGCGACAGCGCGCTCGCCCCTCGAGCGCTCAGCACGTTCGGCCTTCGAGGAGAACAAAGAACCAGTTCCACTGCCATCCAACTCGAGCTCCGAACTTGTTCGTTCTCGCGAACTCCAGCTTCTGAACTTCTGGCTCTCACGGCGACCTCCCGAAGGAAGGGAAGAACGGGCGTCTCGAAGGAAGTGAAGAACAGGTGTCTCGAAGGAGTGAGAACAAAACCCAAAACCCACCTCGGTCAAAACTCGGCCAACAAAACGATGAGGCATTTTCAGGAATTCACATTGAATTGGGGTCTTCGAAAAAGGATAAGTGTGCGTCGACCACTTATACACTGAGACTACACAAGTGAGTAAGTATGCAAGTGTATCAGGAATCGAATTGATTGATGATGTCTAACGAGATTGTATTGATTTGATTTAGGTTTTATTGATGCTGCGCATCGTGAGTAAAGTGGCAGGGGCTTCCTTTTAGAAGAACAGGGAGGGCTTCAATCTGTCATGGTTTGATTTCAGTTTGGCTGACCCGACGAGGGGCCAACCAAGTGGCGAGTAATGTGACATGCCCTCGTAGTAGGGTTGTAAGGGTTGTATGGTGCATTGAGATGCACGTTCGTTCAGGAGGCTTCACAGGTGCATCCACAAGCGTTCACTTTGGGGTTTCCGCGATTGAACGAGCTGTAGCTGCGATGGGGCGAACACTGTCCGTTAGCGAGCGCTTAGTTGAATGAATTGAATGAACGCCCGAATGAAGTCCGAAAGGGTTTCCTCGGCTCTAGCGTGCCCATGTTGTACACACTCAAGTGACCCTTGGGAAGGGGAAGCAGGGATCCACAACCACACCGTCCAATGGCCCTTCTGATGTCGTTTAGACGGATTGCAACACCCAAACCCTGATGCTCCTCGGCGCGCGGTCAGTAACAAGACAGGTTCAGACGATTCCGATTCAGAGCGTTCATTCCAGCACGTTGGGAATTTGAGCTGGTGACCCTTTCTAGCCCTTTCTGAGGATTTCATGTGGTAAACGAATGCGGGGGTGTGAGATGCATTCTTCGTTCGGCGTCCAGAGCACCCGCGACCCTGTTCACGCGGCTCGCTTCCCCAGGTCTCATCTGAAACTCTTGGCGCCCTCCACCGCCGAGCGCGCCCTCTCCTGAGACCCGACTTGGTCAATTCATTTCACTTTGAGACATCCCTTGCTGCCTGGCGTTTCTCATAATCCCCAGGCGAGGCGAGGGGACAAGCGAGGGCGTGAAAAAAAACTCGAACGAGATGGGCGCCATTTTTTTTTTCGAGCTGTCAAATCCCATGTCCGAGATTGGAATGGACCCCACAGGGGGGCGTAACTCCGTGACAACAAGTGATCAATCGGACAGTGAGGCAAAACGGTTCATCAATCTTCCCACGGAGTTTAAGCTTCCGAGGCCGACCTGGAGGGATCAGCACAACAAAATCAAATACGAGCTCAAATTCATAAAGTCTGTCGAGTTTGCGGTTTCTTCTTCCTTCCTCAGCCCACTTCAGTGTCGCAGCTTCTCCTCTCAAACACAGGCCTCCTCTTCTTTCTTTCACGAACCCTACTCTTATATTCATAATGCGTTTCGCCACCGTCATCGCCGCTGTTGCCTGCGCTGCCTTCGTCGCTGCCCAGACCCCCAGCGAATGTGTTATGACCTGTGTTCAGACCGCCATGGAGGCCAACGGATGCGAGGGCCTGTGAGTACATTCCTTCTCTAACCGTCTAGTCCAATATCCTGACCCACATATCAGCTCCGACACCGCCTGCCTCTGCGGTAACGAGGCCTTCCAGACCGCCACCCAGGAGTGCCTTGCCGCTGATTGCACCCCCGAGGACCTCACTGCTGCCCTCGCTCTCCAGGAGACCCTTTGTAAGCACCCTCCACATCAACATCTCTCTACCACGCTAACTCGGTCCCCCAGGCGCTGCCGCTCCCTCTGACGGTGCTGAGCCCTCCGCCCCTGCTCCCTCCGACGGTGCTGAGCCCTCTGGCGGCGCTGAGCCTTCTGCCTCAGACGCCTCTGGCTCTTCTTCCGGCTCTCCCCGCCCCACCGCCTCTGGCACCGACGATGCTGATGATGCTGAGGAGACCGACGAGCCCGACTCTGCTTCCATGATCAAGGCTGCCTGGGCCCCCGTTGCCGTTGCCGCCGTCGCTGCCCTCGCTCTCTGAGCACCTTAACCCACCTACCCACCGTCCACGATATATTCCACACTCAAAAGAGTCGATGCTCATGAACTCTTTAACATTATACCACGATTGGAATACCTTAACGTCTGCACTTAGTACCCGTATTTGAATGATCATGATACCTTAATCCTCCAACTTTCTGTGTGTTTCCGCTCATTTCTGAAATCCATGGTTCGCCCTTCTGCAAGTTGTTCGTTCGAAAGTACCCATGCCTTCTCGTTCTTTCCGCTCCCCATCTTGCTCGCGAATTCGCGTTCGGAAGCCTTCTAGCGCTCCGTGGGTATCGTATGGAAGACCCTTTCCGCAGCACGTTCAACGCCAAGGCCCCCAAGAGTCTGAAACACCTCGATACCAGCCCACCTTAACTGCAACTGTCAATCTAAACCCTTTTCGTAGGTGATCTATCAATGACGGTATAGTAACGTAAGTCGTTCCGCGGCATGTGTTGTATAACTTGTGTGGGTGAACGGAATCCGTGGGATCGCTGTACATATGTAGGTGTGAGTGCACTGTGTTTGCTCTGCCACTGTGTCGGTGGAAAGAAGGTCGGGTTACGAAAGTATGTGGATGTTCCACGTTGGGTTTGATGGGTCAGCATGAGATTTTGGAGGTGAAATGAGGTGCGGGCGCGGGCGTATGGCCTTACTGGATGCGAGGTGGAGTGTCGCGGCGTGCCTTTGAGCGCTCAGTGGGATCAGGAATCAAGGATGTGATATGTTCGCTGACATCTGATGCGGGTCACTGATAGCGAGCTCCATCTTTTGTTCTCACAATGTTTATCTGCCTAGGTGTAGACAGTCCTCAAATCTTCGTTTACATATCTTACACCTCCGCTATGAACGCAGTCTATAGGGTCAAACTGATCGCCATCTTCAAGTTCACCTCGTAAGCTCTCGGCATCGTAAAGCATTGTAAAGCAAGGCATAAGTAGGGTGGTCATGTAAGAGACTCAGATAGTGCAGTAATCGGTTAGAACCGCTCGGCGCGCATTCTTTCACTTCACTTCTCAAGTTCTGGAGGCGGGGTTCTGATGTATCCTGACAGAGGAAGCCCGTCTCCTGTCCACTTGAGCGTTATCCGTATCTATTTCAACGTGATATCGTATACTTGCAATGTAAGTGTGTAATGTAAGTGGGTTAGTCAGTTATCACGGTGAAAGTTGAACTTGGGAGCTGTTATCAAGGTTCTTCGGTAAAGCGGGGTTCGAGTTTGTACGGTTGCTGTATGCAACACTTATCGTGTATGTACATACGATCGCTGGCAGCAAAAACGAGAATGGGTTAGGTCGCTCGGGTACGCCTGAGTCTTGCGGGCGTCGCTGTAAGACTAGTCTCGTTTAGACTAGTCCACACACGATCCATTAGACACTAACCCATCCGTCAGCCTTCACATACGTAGTTAGCCTCCCTTCTCTTCCTATAAATACGACTCCCCTCTTTGTAAGAACCTCCTATCTCTCTCTCTCTCCTCTCTCTCTCTTTGTAGTCGACTACAGCGCGCTCTTTCTCAATACACTCGAATCCACCTCACCTTGTGTGTCTTGAGTGAAGACTACGGTCTTACAGTCGCTCGCTCCTTCTGATGATGTCTTGCTTTGCATATCTACTGTACATGCCTAAGGAACGTGAAGGAAGAGGCCAGACAACATTTGAAATTCCCTGGACTAACCTGTTGTACACGCACGAGGCACCGTTGTTGGACTTAGACTTAAGACTTAGACATCAAGGTAAGTCGAGCTGGCAGATGATATCTCGACACCACCAAAACACGGTGCCGCGCCCTTGTCGCACTCAGACACACGGGACGACCCTTACAAATGCCCACAATTGATACCCGTGGCAGCAAACGCACTACACGCCCACTGTAGACCCTGAAAATACCCCTCAACCGTATCCCATTACCCCATGTATCTGGACGGTGGACCAAGCTTCAGTTCCAACGACGCGCTCACCTGCAGGAGACTCGGAGTTCTCGTTATGTAGGGCTTAATTAAGCGCCCGTCAAAGTGCGTGTCACGTTCGATCTCACGTGAGGAACGCGTCATTTCTAGCCAATTAGAGGACGCCATCGCTGAACCTGAAGGCTCTGAGTGACAGTCTTTCTTTGGTCTTTCTCGCGGGTTGCTCTTGACCACCACGACTACGACCACGATATGATATTCACTTTCTTCACCTGATTCGCTTGAATTTCACTTCTAGGAATCATAAACGGCCGAGTTAGAAGGCTTTACTGAGGTACTTACAGAATTTTACGCTGGGCGAGGTTTCGTTTTGCGATGTTATTGGCCGTATTCTGAGGTGAGTCGCAAGTTGATTCTATGTTACGCTTTGTGGAAGTAGCTGACTAGCTCAAAAGAATTAAGAAGGACTGCGATTTTCGTTTTGTCTTTTTCGAGGCCCGAAATGCCCGAGTGCAGCGCTGGTGATTATCTGAGCTCAATTTGAGCATCGAACGCTGGGGCGCGCGTATCCTTCCCTGACTCTCTGCGTTCAACAACAATCAACTTCGTTAGAGATTCAGCATACCCAGAATGAGCTCAGAAAGGTATGTCTTGCTCTTCGTTCTTTCGTGATGAAGCGCAGAACGCTGACACGGATACGTTTTCTTTCACTGATGCCACTGATTTGAGTACCCCAAGTTATGCGAAGCGGTATGTCCTAATACAAATCGTTCTTTACTGATAACTAAACACCATCTTCTACAGGCGCTTCATGCTTTCGAGTCCGTATAGTCATCGACGCAAGGGCGCCACGATCTAACATCGCCCATAGACTACACTATCGAGTCGACAGGGAGCGAAGTCGACCTTCAGGGCGCCCAGCTGGTTATGACAGTCGTAGGCGCTGGAGGTGGCGAAGTTTGGCTATTGAAATCGGTCGAGAATAGTCGTGATAAGTGGGAACTCGATCCTCCTGCCGTTTTCATCATGTAAGTCATTTATCGTTCTAGCGGAATCGTTGACTGATCGATGGATAAATAGTCCTGGGACATCACTTACAGCGTTGGAGATTGTTTTTGTGCTGAGGAATGGAGAAGGGCAGGATATAGGACATGCACGTATCGAGTCGGGTGAGTTGGACTCGCTCGTCTTTGATGTTCGAAGGAAGGGAAAGCAAGGTAGGATTCTCCTTTGTCTTTAACGATGATTTTACTCATGAAGTAAATAGACGTCGCCCGCGATTTCTCGATTCCGAACGCCGTCGAAGGAACCTTTCTCCGAGTATCGATGGAGTTCGACATCATGATTGACCCCGCCATCCACCCCTTCGACATGTGTCAGTGTTTCTCCTTATACAGCTCGCGAGTGGCCACTCACAAACTTCTCTAGCTGATCCAGATGCCCTCGAAGCTCGTTATGTCACCTGGATCAGAACTATCTATGGGATTACTGGGCAATTCAGGGTCCCAGGAAAGGTCCAGGAGGCGAACGACTGTATCTCCTTCCTGCGCTCGGCGATGCACTCTGTGTCCAAGCTCAACCCTTTCACCACTCACCTCACTGCTCTGCTTGCTATGACGCTGAACTATCGATTCAAAAGCACTGGGAATACCGACGACCTTAATGATGCCATCGACAATCAGGAGCGTCTCCTGGAGGCAATGGGAAGGGCCAACCAGGATACCAGAATTCAATGTCTGACGGATCTTGTCGCGATGCTCCGGATGCGACATAGTCTTTTCAAAACCTCGGAGGACTTGGATAGGGCAGTAGCCGAGGCCAAATCTGCGACGGTGGAAGCTGGGGAGAACGTCAGCAATCTGTTAAAGTCGACGGAGAGTCTTGTGGCAGCGCTCGTCACTCGTCAAACCCTTGAAGATCTGGAAGAGGCGTCGAATGCACTTGAACGACTCGTCGAGTTTATTCCAGAAGACTCACCGGTGTATCGACAGAAGCTGGTACAACTCGGCGCGATACTCGATTTGCGACATCAACCTTCGCGCGACGATGAGATCTTTGCGAAGATGTACCACTGGCAGTCACGGCTTGTACAGCTTACTCCAGACGACGACCCAGGAGTGGTACCGAATCTTCGGGCGCTACAAGAGATTTGTTTGCATCGTGGGCTCGTCAAGGAACCCGACGACGCTCAGAGCCTCGACCACGCAATTGAGCTCGCCAGGACTATTCTCCACCTACCTTTCGAGTCCATGGTCCACCACCCACCAATCACCTTCACACGACAGAGTATCCAGATCGACCTTGCGCACTGTCTACATCAGAGGTTTCGGCGAGCGAAGTCTGGCGATCGGTCTGATGTTGACGAGGCCATCGAGATTTATACGGAGGTGGTGGATAATTTCGAAGGGGAGGAAGGTCAATATCCGATGGAGCTTCTATCGTTGGCGAACTGCTACGAGTCGCGGTATGAACGGTTGTTTCTCCTGGAGGATATCGTCGAGGCGATTAGCTACGGGAAGAAAGCCATCAATCTCATGACGGACGCCAACCACCCTCGTTTCACGGATGCGCTGGGTTCGCTTGTTCAGTATCTTCACAAGGCGACTGACCGTACGGAGAGAGCGGAGTATGTTGACGAGGCAGTCGCGGTTGCGAGGAGGGCTCTTGATCTTGCTCCGGAAGGCCATCCCAAGCATGATTTCTACTCCTACAGCTATGCCATGGCCTTAGCCTCCCGGTTCGAGCGATATGGGGATCTACATGACATCGAAGAGGCGCTTCCGATCCTACGCCGCCTGGTGCAGCACGTCCCGGAGACTGAGAGGGTCCACGCACTGTACGTCGGTGGACTTTCGACATGCCTTCTCCATCGTTTCAGCCAATCGCAGGACCTGGCAGACCTCAACCAGTGTATATCGTATCAGCAAAAAGCCATCTCGTTCATCCCTGAAGACGACGAAAACAGGTTGATCTCTCTCAGCACCTTGGCTAGCGCCTACCAGCTGCGATACAACATTACGAAGGAGAACTTGGATATTCTCGAGGCTGTTTCCGTTTCGCGTCAAATCGTCGAGGGAACGCCGAGCGGTAATCCATTGTTGCCGAGCCGACTGCACAACTTTGCAGCGGTCCTCTATACCTATTACAACGGGGAGAAGCACACTGCGGACTTGCAGGCGGCTATCAACGCTGTTGTGCGTGCGATGGGGTTGTGCTCGCAGGAGGATCCTGCTTATCCCAAGCTTTTGGTGTTCGGGTCGTCGTTGATGATGGTGTGGATTACAGATACCAAGCCGGAGGGGGATCTCTTGAAGTTTATGGATGAGCCGATTTCGTTCCTCAAGAACGCCCTTGATCACCTTCCTGCTGGGCACCCTGAGCGCGTGGTCACCCTCAAGAACCTTGGGAATGCATACCGTCGTCGGTTCAATGCGGGACATGATGTCGAGGATGTCAAGACTACTATATCTTACCTCAAGGAGGCTGCCGATAACACCTCGGTGGAGGACGCGGATATTGCCTCGATATGGTTGACCCTTGGTCACGACCACGTCAGGGTGTACGAGGCGGAGAAGAAGAAAGAGGATCTCGACATTGCTATCTCGTTTTATCGGAAAGCGGCTACTTCGACTGTTGGTTCTCCAGAGACTCGCATGCATGCGGCACGGTGGTGGGCAGTGTTCTCTATCGAGGCTGGTCATCCTTCCGACGACACGCTCGAGGCTTTCGGCATCGCCATCAACCTCCTCTCGCGTGTGGCAGATCTGGAGCTCACGGTTGAGAACAGGCATAGCCGACTTTCGAACGCATCTCATCTTTCGCTCGAGGCTGCTGCCACGGCGCTCACGTTTAGTCGGCCGGACAAGGCGCTGGAATGGTTGGAGCAGGGCAGGTGTTTGGTTTGGAGCCAGATTAACAACCTTCGGAAACCGGTTGACGAGCTGCGAGATCGGGATCCTGGGCTTGCGGCGAGGGTGGTGCGGGTGTCGAGGGATTTGGAGCGTGCGGCGGCGAGGAGGAATAAGATGGAGCTGCAGCTTAATCCGAAGCTGTACGAGAAGGTGTCGTTGCAGAACGAGATTACGCGGCATGTACAGCTTGCGAGGGAGTGGACGGAGCTGTTGAAGACGGTCAGGGGGATGCCTGGGTTCGAAGAGTTTCTCTTGCCGGAACCGTGCTCGAGGTTGCTCAAACACCTCCCTTCGTCCGGTGTCGTCGTGGTCATCAATGTCTTCCGATCTCGATGTGATGCTCTCGTGCTTTCCTCTGGCTCCGATACACCACTTCATATACCCCTCCTGGAGTTCTCGCTTTCAAAGGCGGAGAAGCTACGAGATTCTTTGAAGAGGAGGCTGTCGTCGAGTGGTCTGCGCATGCGCGAGGCGTTTGACCAAGCGGGGGATGAACGCGCCTTTGGCCCCAAGTCGAAGCTCAACGGCAGGTTGGCCCGCGAGAACGTTTTGGCCGATGCTTTGCGGCAACTCTGGATTTGCGTGGCCAAGCCTGTTCTTGATGTGTTGGAATTACCTGTACGTAGACTAATTCCAATGGTGGTTGGCTCGATGCTTATCCCGTTCTTGTATAGCGAGCTATCTTTCCTACGAAGCGAATCTGGTGGTGCACTACGGGTCCCCTCGCATTTCTTCCTCTCCATGCAGCTGGTATCTACGGAGCCGGAAAGGAGAACATCTGTGTCGCTGACTTTGCCGTTTCTTCGTACGCACCTACGGTATCTTCGATTACCGAAAGAGTCAGGAAGGGCGCTGTACCACCCGTAGAGAGCCAGGGGCTCTTTTTGGTCAGTCAGCCGTCGGTACAGGGCCTGCCCCCTATCCCTGGTACTACGAAGGAAGTCAAGAAGATTTCCGACCTGGCCAGTACACACGCTATTCGAAATCTCTCTCTGGAAGGGAAAGATTCTCCAGTCGACGTTGCGTTGAAGAAGATGGCAGAGTATAGTTGCATCCACTTTGCATGTCACGCTGTCCAAGACATGGAAGACGCGCTGGAAAGCGGTTTCTTCATGTACGACCGCCGACTTAACCTCTCCACCATCATCGAGAGTAACCTGGAGAATTCGGATTTGGCGTTCTTGTCGGCGTGCCAGACGAGTGCGGGGAATGAATCATTTGCGGAGGAGGCAGTGCATCTGGCGGCAGGGATGTTGGCTGCTGGGTATAGAGGCGTTGTGGCTACGATGTGGTCTATTGCGGATGGGCATGCGCCGATGGTTGCGGAGGAGTTTTATCGGAGGCTTTTCGAGGGAGAGGCTGGAGGGGAAGATGGAGGTGGGGCCTGTGGTTCAGGAATTACCGGGTCTGCCGCTGCTTTTGCTCTGCATTATGCTGTCGGGAGGTTGAGGGACTCGCTTGATGAGTCGGAGGCGTCACTTCTTGCTTGGATGCCGTACGTTCACTTCGGGTTGTAAAGGAGGGCTTCATTGACAAAGTGTTTGACTCTCGCCTAATTTCCGTTATACCTCATTTCTGCACTTGTGAACATTGTTTATGCGAATGATGCATAATATTCAATATGATCCGGTTAGAATACGCAAGGTAGTATACAGGCGTTAGGTTATGAAAGCATTGTACAGGGGAATAAGTGGCATAATCTGAAAGGAGATGCATATAGCTGTACGGTACAGAAGGGCATGGGCGAAATAGGTGAGACTCGGACATAGTTTTGAAATGGGGGTGGTCATGAAAAGTGGATATTTATTTAACGCAACTCGACGGGACCCGTCCGACAACGCGCTGCGACGAATAGGGTAACGATGGTCAGGACGAGGATGGACACTACGAGCGTGGTACGTTTAAGGTACGTAGCCACTTTTCCGTTTATCGAGTTGTAGCCACCTGTGGCCAGAGGAGCGGGTTTGATGGTGCCTTGGTCCTTTAGCTCGACGACAGCCAGAGATCCTTTGCGTTCGGTACCAGAGAGCGAAGATACCTGAGTGTTTCGGATGACAGGTCGAGTATGAGAGAACTTCGACGGCGCGAAGGGAGGAGGGGCAGTAGGGCTCTTGGGGATGTAGATCTTGAAAGCCGCGAGTGCTTCTTCGTATCTTTGATTCTGCTCCTCCTCTTGGGCCAGATTCTCTACCTTGGACAACCTGCGTGGACCAATGGGCTTGGGAGACATCTTCCCAATGTCTGAGTCTTCGATGGGACCCTTGATCTTTAGACCAGACTGTGCACCGGTGACCCCGTGTTCAGAAGGCGACCTGGGTTTGGTAATGGTCCTGGTGAGAGTCGTGGCGTTGTGGCTTCGCCTTCTTGGAACCACCGCTCGGGATCGAGGCGAAGCAGGCGTTGTGTAGGCACGGACGGGCTTGGCTGGAGTCGTAGATAATTTCGGAGCCCGAGTTGCAGAGTCGGTAGTCTTCCTTCGCTTCGGCAAGGCGAAGCTTTTGAAGAGATTGCTTGACTTAGCTTTCGATGGAGTTGAAGTCGACTTTGACACCTCTGAGGTAGTTGAGGCGCTAGTTTTGGCAGGCAATTCTTGAACAGCCCGTCTCAGCTTGAAAGGGTTAATAATTAGGCTCCCTCTGGGTTTCTGCAATACGACCTGATCGAATTCAGTCTTCGTCTCCCGAGATCCTTTTGAAAAGGTACATACCTTTGGACTAGGTGTCTTAATCCTTGGCCTGAGGAACCCCACTTCGATAAGGAAATCTTCGACTTCACGTTCGACACGAGGAGGCGCTGTGGCATACGTCTTCAAGAGCAACTCGTGCAACGCGGACTTGTCGCGCGGATCGACGCCGAACTTGTTCCTCGTTGGAGTCGTCGGGGTATTCACCATCTTCGCAAAATGTATGACTGTCCGGGAGGGGTCGTTGAGTGGTGAAAAGTGAAAAGGCCTTATCCAGCCAGAGGATGGTGGTGCAAAGCGTCCGGGAGGTATTTAAGGGATCAACAAAGTTGTGGTTAAAGTTCCCGATTTGGTAAGAGGGCATCACGCGATTGAGACCGTCCATTGTCCGTCGCACAGTATGCCATCGTTGTCATGAAATATCGTTCTTGTAAACAACCGCTGTAGTATGTCTGTATAGGTAAGCTTCAGAAATCCCTTGGCCGCAACTACGAGTCGAAGAAGAGATGTTGCCAGCGCTAAATTGGCCTGTCACGGTGGCGCCTCCTGAAAGACTCTCAAATTTGAGAGAGAGCAGTATATACGATATAATGCGGGCTTGATGTACTAATCTTGACTCCTCTCCTCAGATGAGTAGAAGATGTAGCTCGCGGGTAGCAGTGAGCGCCACTGAGCCACTCGAAAGCGCCGAAGAAATGATGCTCAGCGTTTTCTAGCCTGCGGTTGTTGTCTGTTCTGGAGCCCTGGTGTTGAGAGTAGCACGACGGGTTAAGTTAATACCTCTCTTGGCAAATGAACTACTGGAAGATAGGCGCTGTCAGACTCGAAACTTGCAGTTGAATGGTTTTCAAACGACGACGGTGGCAGTGCTTATCTGACTTGCCGCGCTTGTTCTGAGTTGCTGTCATCAGTCTTTGTCCGCGACCATAGCTGTCAGGGGATTTTTTTCGACCTTTCACTCCTCCGAGCCTCGTCACCAAGCAGAACTCCTTCCTAGAGGGAAAGGAACACGGATAGCGAAGAAACAGCAAGGAAGCAACGACTAGCAATTAACAAAGGACTGGAAGAGGCCAATTGCAACGTCGTAATCACCATGTGGAAGTTGCGGCTGAAATCAGGAAGAGGCGGAATATTAAATCCTCCCGCTTTCAGGCTGCTTAAAACGTACGATTGCATTAGGCGGAAACCTGGAAACAACAGGTAGCTTTGTATCTCCAACTCTGAACTCCAATTCAGCTCTGAATCCACTCTACAGGATTCTTAAGCAGATATGAGGGTATCGTCGACACTCTAGCCCCTCAGTGTGGCTCTTGGGTGAAGGTCAAAAAAGAGGTGGTCGTGCCCGAGAGGGCACGCTCTGCTTTTACGGACCAGCCCAAACCGACTGAAGCGGTATGGGTGGCGGACGCACGCCACCTGGCAGTCTGGATTGGATCTCACAGGACTCGTGGATGCATCAAATGAGCGATGTAGGGGGCGAAGAGTGTGATTTTGAGTTCAGGAAGCGCCTTTACTGACAATCTACCGATATCCATCTCCTCTCCTCCAACGCGTCGCGTATTCAGGGGTGTTGATCTCGGCGGGGATAAGGAGGAAAACTATCGGCAACAATAGATGACGAGATTCCGTTTTCGTGAAGGTCATCAAACTGCTGTGAAGCAACGGCAAGCATTGCCCTGTGCCGACGTTCAATGCCTCTTTCGACGACGACTGCGGATTCCAGCATGGCCTTTTCTTCGCTTCTTGCCCTCCGACTCCTCCCACTAACTTCCTCCAAAACACTTTCCGCTCGATAATTGACCTCCAGTCCGCTCTTTTCAGTCTGTAAGCCGTCGTATCTCGTCTATGGGCCAGAGTTCCGCATGAGACTAACCTATTTCTTTTTTCAAGGTTGGAAGCCTTCTACCCGCCTCGCTCCCCCTACACCCTGCAACAATGATCGTCGACGGCGTCAAAGTCAGATACGACGACCCTCCCCCGTCGTTCCATGCCGCGACAGGCATGCCCATATCGTCCAGGGCTTCGACCTCCAGTTCGACCACTGCCCACGACAACAATCTGCTCCTCCCATCCAATCGCACGTCGCCGACTCTCCCTCCAATGGCCAACGAAGAGAACCCATTCCTTAATCCATCCGAATCGACGCTATATTCAGGCTCAGCGCCCAGTACGCCGCCCACCGCCCACACGCCTACCGCGAAATCCAAGCAACGTGCCCCGCCAGACGTTCCATACCGCAATAGAGAGGCGTCCTCGAGCACGGCAGGCCTGATTCGTGGCTCGATTTCGTCCAGGGAGTATCCAAACGGCCCCAGCAATCCCAGCAATCGTGACCTGGAGGCGCAACACCAGCCTTCGGAAAAAGCGACGGCGGGAGTAAAAAAGAACGCCAGTAACAGCCCATTCAGAGCGATGACCCTAGGTCTCCTCATGCTCTGCACTGTCAGCTTTTGGATAGCGGGTTATTTCGTTCTCGCTATGGCGATGGTGGTGAATGCGATGGGGATGTTTTTGACGGGTCTGGGCAATGCGATCAAGTCGCCGCATGACTGGGTTCTACGGAAGTACCAGGTGGAGGAGTGAACCGGGGCAATCACGCTTTGGAATGAGTCCTCGGCAAGATATTGAATAGATCCAGGACTGTTGTATCATAACGCTCCGATTTCGATCTGCGACCACTCTCTTTTCTCTTCCACCGGCTGTTCTGTAACTTAACATCTTCCCTTAGTTCGGACACAAAACTTCTACGTTCTTTATGGACTATACCTAGGCCATTTGACCACTGTACACTAGCGACGGACACCAAAAACAAATAATCACTTTCGCTTTACTCGGATACCTCTCTCCCTTCCAGACCCTCCGCCCTCCTTCAAGGCCGCACTATTCAGCTTCGATTCCAAACGTGCAATCTGTCGATTTGACTCTTCAAGCGCATCGAACGCTAGAATGTTCTGCGCCTTGAGCTTCTGCAGCTCCTTCTCGAGACGACTTCGGTCTTCTGAATCTTCATCCCCCTCTTCCTCTTCCTCCTGGACCATCTCAAGACTCGACGAGCTGTCCCTAGCGATCGACCTAGGCCTTGACCTAGAGACACGGAGTGTTCTCGCCGGTGGAGAAGCCTTCGGGACAAGCGGCGTAACCGTGATCACAGGAATGTTGGGAGACGAGGCCTTCGATTCCTGAACTGCCTTGGGCGTGCGCGGGCCACTGGGTACACGAGTCGGATTCGGCATATTTTTCTTCGTTCGGCTGGAGCTCGGCGAGGAGGAAGAAACAGAGCCTTGGACGAGGGCGTCGTACAGCTCTTCTGAGACTGAAACGACCTTTGTCTCCCTAGAACGCGGGTGCTGCATAGGCGGTGCGGGGGCGTGAGCAAGTTGAGGGGAAGCTTTGGCTGCATCGACTATGGCTGCAGATTCGGTTTTGAACAAGGCAGACAGTGGGTCGGATGCTGCGAAAGAGGATGAGGACATGGACATAGCCATCAGGCGCTCGTTCACTATGCGCTGGAGGTCAGTTCGTGTTCATCTGATATGACTGTACAACACTTACGGTCCATCGAGGACGATGTGCTCATCATGGTTGCGACCGAAGTCTGGGATATAGGCGGGACAGGAAGGGGCCGAGAAGGAGGACGCGAAGACGAGTTGGCAAGAGTGACGGTCGACGCGGTTTCGGGGGTGTTCGCCACAGCGGTAGTCGATGCAGTACCAGACATCGACCCCGACCGAACAGCCGACTGGTCATCCTCCACCACAGGTCCAATATCCTGGAGACTACGAGCGAGCTGGGACAGGCCCAGCTTCACAGTTTCTCGTGTCTCTGGTCGTTGACCTGGGTCAGAAGTTAGCATACCAGGCGGGACTGTAATACGACAAAATACTTACCTCCTGGCGCTGTTTGATCGCCACCGTCCCTGTTTACCTCCACCTTCTCCTCCGCTTTGGTGATCTCTACTTGCAGGTCCTTCACACCATCGACCAGGTTGCGCATGATTGACACCACAGCATCGGCGTGTGCGGCCACCCCGCTGTCCTGAGATGGAAGAGCGATCGAAGGGGCCGTGTCTACGGTCGAGAGAGGGACGGAAGTCTGTGGGCCAGTAGTGTCGACGCTCGCATCCCTGATGGGTCGATGGTCAGCCTCAATGGCCCGACCTCGATGTGGTGATGTGGAATCGGGCATGGGTCGACGATGTCCACTGACGGGAGTTGCGTCGCGGACCTGAACCGTATCCCCACTGGCGGTCGAATACACCGACGACGCGATAGACGCAATGCTCGGACGTGAATGCAGACCCCGGATATCCCTCCTCTGGTCGACAATGTCGCCACTGTGAGGACTGGGGCGTCGAAGAGGGGAGCGGAAACGCGGGGGCGAAGGCTGAGGAGGGAAATAAGACTTGTCCAACTCTCTCCTCTTTCCCGCACCAAAACTACCGTGACCTCCAGGAATCCCGTCTCCAAAGGACTTTTGGAGGTAATCGCTGACCTCTAGGAGGCCCGCTGAGATGCTGTTGCCGTGGACGAGGATCCAGAGGAAGAGCTCCCTGTTCCGAGCATCGAGCTCTCGTGCCTTCTTCCAGCGCCCGCCGTCCTGGTTTCTACCCGCGCTTCCGAATATCCACTCGTAGGACATCTCAGCTATAGCCTCGACAGACATGGAGCCTCCCGCCTTGGCCTTCCCGCGAATGGCTTTCTGAACATTCACCAACTGGTTCAGGAACGACAGTAAATACACGAACAGGAAATAGTTGGGAGTCGGAAGCAGGTGGAGGACGAGCTGGGCGATTCGGACTTGTCGTGCACGGTCTACCTGGGGATTGGAGCTTGAACCTTTGGCATGATGCGAGGGGTAGAGGTGATGCGAAAAGGATTGATGGTGGAGGTTGTGGTGAGACTTGCCGCTCTCGTGATCGACACACCATTTCCACAGAACGTCGGCAATGGGGAGAGGAATAAGGGGCTCGGGGAGGGACATCATGTAAGTCGAGAGTAAGGCGCAAATATCGGCAACAGAATCGCATGCCAGGGAGGTGTTGGCTCCGAAATGCGCGGGGCGAGCGTCGTCCGAGGAGTGAGGATCGTTGAAGATGTCCACCAGTTCACGAAGGCGGATGGGGTCTGGAAGGGATTTGAAGAGGTTGGGATCGTAGAGCGCTAGTAGTTGGACGATTATGAGCGATGTTAGAACCGAACAGAAAAGTCTGTCGTACTTACCATCGGTAGACAATGCCTCGATGCATGCCACAACGACAATGGGAAGTTCGAACTCGCAGCCTCCTACACGTAGGGGCTCCCATGCATGGAAAGAGGATTGATCCAGAGCAACGCCAAAAACTCCTGTTCCAAAGCCTGAATTCGCGTAAGGCAGGAAAAAATGAAGCGCCACGTACGGTTCTCGTCAGAGTCTGCTCGTTGTAACGGGGGACGCTTCAGGCCCCGTCTTTCTTCGATGCGGAATGACTGGCGAAGTCTCATATTATGCTGGTCAAGTTCATGCAAGATGCCCAGATCGCGGATGTCCAAGCGTGTCTGCACCTTGAGAGAGGATGCTGATGTCGAAAGGACCTCCAGGCCTTCCACGACCAACCGAGGGTGAGGCTTCACGTAGGTAGGGTAGCCGCCAGGTGGTCGTGGCGGCGGGCGCGGTTTCGGTACCACCCTTCCCCTTGGCCTGGCCTCGATTTCCGGTCGATGTCGCAAGGGCACTGGCGATATCTGCGAAGTACTTTGAAATGCGTCGGGTGCGCCGGAGTCCCTAGAAGGGTAGTGCAATTCGAATGGTTCGGGACTTCGCGCGTAATGGCCGCTGGGTTCTGCAGTGGGATGGGTTGCGGAGGGTTCGGAGGGAATGTGAGGGCTTGGGAACGATGGTTGGCGATTGCCCTTAGCGGGGAAGGGCTCGTGAGGTATGCTTGGAGCTCCTGCTACGTCTGAAGAGTCGGATGGGGTGCCTTGTGGGGATCCAGCTACATCGTCGAGGTTCTCGCCGGGCGAGGAACCATCGGAATACGAGTACGACGCGCGTGATTGGGACCTGGCAAGGTAGTTGGATTCCATGGAACGGCTCGCCTTGAGCATCGGCTCGTCGGCAAACCCGTCGGAATCGTCGTCGAGGTCGTCGGCAAGGCCCCAGGGATGTGAGCGGCGGCTGCGCAGTCGAAGACGGGGTAGCGAGATCGAGGCCGAAAGTCGGTTTCGCGCATTGTGTCCTGCTTCCTTGGTACCTTTGTTGAAGTGGATAGACTTGGAGGGCGGGTTATGAGGCCCATCTTTGCGAGACAAGCCAGAACCTTTGGAAGTGTCGGACTGGTTACTCCTCTCGCCATCCTTTGCCTTCCCTATCCCGAGTTTCGTGAACGATCCTTTTAAGCCTTGGAGAACAGATGAAGATGCTGAAGATGATACCGCTTCTCTAGTGACCATCTTGAGTCATAGGACTTGAGCGACAGAAAGCACGGCGAACCCACCTGAACCACCTGGTCGCTCGTCTCAGGGCAATTTCGAAATGTCCCGTTGTCTCAGTTAGGCCAAGGTTTTAAGCAGAACTTTGCCCTTTCATTACGCTTGATTGAAAGTTGACCCTCTTCAGCGTCTAATCCGAAGGGAGAAAAGAAGCATGTCGATCGTTAGGAGAAGCGTCGACGCATTCTGTCGCTGGGAGATCTGGATGCATGATACGTCGCTGTCAATGGTATTTCAATTGCAAATGAAGCATTTGGAGATGTTACTGTTATTTGTCAATACCTTGGATAAGCATTCAGTACTGAGCAAGTTGAAGAACAGGCTGTATGATGCGAGCGCGAGTCTCTCGCGTGTTGCGTGTTGACACAAATCAATCAATCAATGATGTCCTTTGATGGCCGCGATGCCGATTGCTTCACCGCGGGCGTTAAGATTTGGGAGTGGGCGTTTCCACTTCCACACCTTGCTTGTGCGGTTTGAATGGACAAGGAATGCGACCAAAACCAGCCATTTATAGAGATCTACAACTCGGAAACTTAGCCAGTAACTTGGTTAGCGCTGCCTCGCCGCACTTCGCGCCCTTTTCCAAGGTTTTCCTGTCATCAGACATCATACGACGGAGGCCGAGAGTCGGAAATTCAGAGATGTGGATGTGACGTCTCGCAGAACAGTGAAGTATTTGTCTACTGCATAAAGAGAGTAATACATGCCCGCCCATTACTTGACCTTATCCAACGCGACGTGTAACCCTTGACGCTTGAATCACAGACACTTTATCAAGGTCGCTCGCAGGTACAGTCCAAAAACTCTGGGAACGCGACTTGACATGGAGTTTACAGAGTTTGATTAGGTTCTTTGTACAATTCAGTCGCTTCCACATAGTTACGGCAGAGACTGAAAGTACAGTCGCGGACAATCAAACCCAACCAATTTTTACGAAGCATTTGATAGTCTCCGAAAACCGTCGGAAACGACATGTTTGCCTGAGCCGAAACCCCAGTCAAAAAATGGTACCAATTGGTCCATCGGATTGGCCAGAAAAGGTAACTTGATATCTTGGGCGCCAAAAGTTTGGCCGCCCGGTCATTTTTTATCCCAGTAACCTCAAACTATGTTCAATCGATAGCTTTCAAAAATCACTGTCTGTTCACAAAATTTGAGCCCAATTGACCCATGATTTCTCTGGGAAAATGGTGATTAAGTTTGGGTATCCGCGGAACCCTGACCAACCTTTAGATTACCGAGTGCCATTGGATTTGGCTATGGTTGAGTTTTAGAAGGCTCTGTCCCTTCTAGAACACGAACTGCTGCATGGCGCGCCTACTCAGCAAGCAGGATGATTTTGCAAACCAGATCTCGGTGTGCTCATGCACCTCGAGGCGCTTTTCTCCTAGTTTACAGGTCAATAGATCTCGCTCCCGCACCCCTGAAATTTGGCCACCGGGAAAATGGCGTGGGAAAAACTTCGGAGATGCGTTTTTCGAACGCTTTCGCAAATCCACGTCTCCTGGCAAGAAATCAGACCAAACCACCCATGATTTCCTGAGAAATCTGCGATTTACTATATTTGTTGGGTTTGACTGTCCGCGACTGTATCTACGTGTACAGTCTACTTTACGATGTTGATTTGTCAACTTGCCGACAGACAACGCCACCCGTCTTCCGATCGATTGATGGTGGCTTTGCTATCGTAGTACAGACTGCAACCATCCGAGCACCTCATCTTCGCGTACGTAGGTCGATGGAAGCCCATGGTTGCGGTGGTTTGCACACATTAGTCACTCAGTCGCCACTATACCCAATGGAAAGACTATTCTTTCTTTCCGCAGAAAGGAATACTTACCTGGAACTTCCCATAGGCACAACCGCAACTCCATTTACCATGCCAGACGAAGCGCCTTTTTTCCCACCGCGGCTTTCCTACGGTTATGTCACCCACCCATGGTCATGGTCGATTAAGGAACGCGGGTGCCACAGTCTCGCTACGTTCGACATCTCGCTTCTCACATCGAGGCGTACGTACAATCGTAGACAAAAGACCTTCGTCGCTTGTTTCTTTCCTTCATGCTCCACCTAGAATCGCCACCTTTGCACTGCACCTTCGACCTCGCCCCCAACTGACAGCCCCTATTCCAATTGTGAATCGTGCATGGGTGACGTGGAGAGGTGTTTGGAGGAAGATTCGGCTCTTCAAGTGCGGTTTTGACGGTTAGGGGAGATGCCAGAGTTCGCTTTCCATGGCTGCTTAGCTGTGTCATGCACTTGTCTTTTGGTGCGGCTCTGCCATTTTCTTGATCTCCCGTCTTCGCGGTTGACTCCCAGTGAGAATCGGGGTGCGCCAAATCTTGCTCAGATGTGCCGAAAACCGTGAGAGCTTGTCAAAGCATGCCCAAACACACCCCAGACACGCCCAAAGCCGGCGACACCCTCTTTGGTCATTCCGTCGACATTTCGTCACTCGATCCAATTTCTTTTCTCGCTCTGCTATATGCCCAAACCACTCTCAAATGTACCGATGTAACGAAATCAATCACAAAGGTCCCGCATTATTTTCTGTCGTTTCGCCAAATCCCTAGATCCAGGAATCGTGAAGTCCTCGCTCTGGTCACGCGCAGGCCTGGGCGCCAGGTGACTTTCGATTTGGCTAGACTCTGTGTCGGCCGCATACCCGTCTTGGACTTCTACCACCACCACCACCACCACCACTTTACGTGCAGCACGCCCTGCTACCCACCCCTCCGTTTGACCATCGACCGAGATGAAGGACAACAGCGCGCATTCAGCTCACAGGCGGGCCCGCGGCGGGTGCCAGCAGTGTTGGCAATGGACGTCGTAAATTGCAGATAGGGCTAGGGGAGTAGAACAAGAAGGCGAGCCTTTCGTGTTTCAAACTCCATCCCGCCAGTCCTTTCTGTGACCGCCTTTCCAGCTCCTCAGCTTCTACGCGACCCGCTATAGTCTGTACCAGCTCTCGACAACAGATGTACTCCTAGTTTTGAGCCTCGTGGTATGTTCACTTCACCCCCGACGCTTTCGTCATGCTAACATCCGTCCCGCAGGCCTCTACTATCTTGAAAAGTGTCTCGTAAGTGTCCTACGTTCCCCATGTACCTTTCTGACGTGTTTTCGCTGTCTCTAGACTCGCCTTCCGACCGCCGACCTCGATATCGCAACGGCACGACTTACGGACTTGTAGTGGCTAGGAGGAGACTGGGCAGTATTTGAATTTGGAGTGGATTTGGGATGGTCTGGTGTACCGGTGGATTGGGCATATTTGGGGTGTACTGGGGCAGTGTATGGATGTTCCTAAATATATCCCAGAAATGCTATAAAAGTGGATGATAACAAATTTTTCGTATGGGGCTTTTTGAGCTATGTGAGGACTAGCAGTTTTGTCAAATTTATTTTCCCAAACCACCCCGAGGCATTCCGAAAAAGCCCAGAAATTTGGGAATGTTTGGGCTAGATTTGGCGCACCCCGATTCTCACTGGGGTTGACTTGGATTTCATGCCATTCCACAGATATACGACTATCTAATAACCCTTCCATATGAAGTGGGTGTTCCTACAGGAAACTGAGGACTATTTCTGAAGCCACTCGCCCCATTCAGGTTGCGTTCGTACGGCCCTCTGTGTATCCATCCTTTGGCGTGCCACTTTTCTATATCAATCGCTATGGATCTTTCATCTTGCACGCCTTGATGACTACATGTACGCGCTGTAAACCACCTTTCCGAGTCCATGGAACTGACAAAAGAGGTATAGTCACCTTGGCTCCAAACTCTCCTGAAGTACGGTCGCCTCGTCATACGAATGACATTGATTCTGACACCGACAATAGGTCTGTGAAAGGCTCTACAGAGGGTGGTTGTGTACGTTGCTCCAAGTTCTCTTTTGGCCTAGTCATCCCAAATCGCTGATCCCGCTTCTCTACTCTAGGGCTGGCGGCCATTAGTGGCAACGTTGCGCATAGTAAGGGGCCCATCATCCTCCGACGAAATTTCAGAGAAACTTACGACGCTTAGCCATCATTTTCCTTCAAACCTGCGCCATCTGGTACAACCGCAAAATGATCGTTTATCCTCTGTTCCTCATACTGCTGGTACGCGAGTCCTAAGTCTTGTCCGTTTGTGTCATGTCGCATTGAATGCAAATACAGGGCAAAGCTGTCGTTTCCGTTGTACTATTGCAGATACAACTCGATAGCACGATATGTCAGTCTCTTCAAGCCACGCCGTCCTCCAGGTTGACTCACAGTCCATCCAGTCTTCGATCCCTTCTCTTTCGAACCAATAGCATACGGATGTCGAATGGCTGCCACCCAGTTTGTCTCCCGATGGGTCTTCATGATCGTTTTTATCTCGGAGTTTCGTGAGTTCTGTCACGCTTCTTATCCACCATTGTTTCCCCTGACATCCCCTTTCACACAGTTACAGTCGCTGCCACTATGGTGAAAGCAGTTCAACATCGTGAGTCTCCAGTGCCTTGCTCGTGCAGTGGGTTTAATTTGTCCCTATTGGATAGTTCGTCAATCCAACTCGTCCTGGGTATCCGAGCTGTACAAAAACGGTAGGTCTATGTCTCTACTTCTGAATTTATTGCTGAGCGAGCTGACCTCAATTCTCATCGCAGGGATTATGTTTAGTGTTTCCATCCTCCGTACGTCCGGGTTCCGCATCACCGCGCAGACAGGGTGCAGTAGTAACAGGCTTCCGTCGCCATAGTTCTCAGCTTCTTTAATATGCTCATGCCTGAGCTGGTAGTGGGGCTCCATTTGGTGAGTTGTTCACCAACGTTTCGCTTTCTCCCAACGTATTTCTCACCATTCTGTCATTTCCGTGTCGCTACGACCCTTGCTGCCAATTAAATGGCAACAGCCTCCGCCCTATATCGCGATTTTGGCTCCGTGAGTATCTCATCACCATATCTAGTCAATCCGAACTAGAGGCCGCACACTCGTTCACCCCATCTCAAGGACCTCTTGACTAACCATCGTCCTCGCAGGTTTCAGTCGACAATGGAGTCGGTGCTGTGCAATAGGGTCATGTTTATTATCCTCAAGCAACGCCGTTTAAACGCGGGACACGAAGAGTTTTGGTTATCGGAAGAACCGAGAGCACCTTCGGACAACCTTTCCAGCGAGGGGATCTTCACCAGTGTGTACGAGAGCACCGGACAGCAGAAGTCCGACGAAGTCGAATTAGGGGTTCTGTCAGGGAGCAGGTCTATACAGCAGTGAGTAGATCCGGCAGTAGAGGTGTATACCGTTTAGTTTGTATAATATAATAAGAGACTCCTGGAGACGCTGGTGATGATCTTTCGTGATACCTGTCTTCCGATGATCGCGATATCGTACTCGTGGCTGCAGTTATCCCTCCGACAGGGAGTCCAACTTGTGAAAGAGGAAGGGGGAGGGGGTTGGCAGGAGCCCAGTTCACGTAGCCAAAGGAAAGTCTTAACTGAGGCTCGAATCCTCGAAAGGGTGGTACTATAGACCGAGTTAGCGCCCAAGTAATGATCCGGGAGTTTGGACGACTCTGATTCGAGTTGGGACGCACTTAATGCGTTTCGACTCTGCGGAAGCCACGGACTGCCAAGGCAATCGACCGGTACGCGGTTGGTGGGTCCCTGGATAACCGCGAGGCAGCGTGCGATGAGGCTCGAACAGATCCGCCATGTGTTTGAAATCATGTTTCATTAGCTTTGAGCAGGTAAAGGGTGAGGCAAAACTCCAAGCAATGATAATCGATGCCCTTACTAGCCACTAAGGGAATAGCCTCGAGACCCGCACCAAGTTGGCAGTGCAGGGTTTTGGATCATACCTTCGGACACGTCGGTAGTCTGGAGAACAAGGTAGGAGTCTGTGGGCGCTTGGTGGACATCAGCTCTGAATCACTGCCCTTGGTGCCCGCGTCGTCAATATTATTCGCAGTCCCAAGGCATTTTGGGGGTCCACAAGAGGCATCGGGAGCCGAATTGGAGACCAATTCGTTTTTTTCGGACGGTTTGTCAGTTTTTCTGTGGGCGTGGGCGCTTGCTTTTCCCTCCATATTGATAGATTGAGACTAAGTATATAATTGTGTAGAGTGGCGTTGAGGACTCGTATTTCATCCCGACATCGTCGCCTTTCCACCGGCCACCTGTTGGTAGAACGCCTGCACAGGAGGTATGAAGATCACTTCAGATTCTCAAAGAAGCCTCCAGCCTTAATATCATCCATAGTACCCACTCGACGATAGGATTCTCTGCCGCTTTAACGATCGGTCGAAGTATAAAGGCAATCCTCAAAAAGGAACGTTTAGGGGTGGAGAGCTTGTTCACCTTTCTTCCTTCCACGTCCTTCGAAACCGTTGCCTCCTTCTTCACACTGACAGAAGACCGCGACTGCCCATATCATGCGAGATAGCGCGTTACCGGTCCTCTTCCTTCTCTTCGGCCTCTTCCCTGGAATCCAAGGGAAAGTCTTGAGTTCGGCATCTACGTTAGTTGTGCACAACCAATTCGTCGCACCAGACGGCTTCAATCGCTCGTACGTGGCACGTTTCCCGTGGCTTCAATTGCTCATATCCTCTTCTGGATTAGTGCGGTCCTTGTGAACGGCGTTCATCCCTCTCCACTGATCAAAGCGAATAAGGTGCGTTGCATCAATAAACGTGTTTTTATCTGATGTTGATTAACTGCCTCTTCATCTAGGGTGAAACGTATTATCTGAACGTCGTCAACAAGCTCCATGACTCCACTATGCTTAGGAGTACCAGTGTCGTACGTTTAGTCCTTTCTCGCTTTCTCGAAGGTGTAGTCGACTGACTCGTGGTTGATCGTGATCGCATGATCGTTCGACTTTATTCAGCACTGGCACGGTCTCCTCCAACATGGGACGGCCTGGGCAGATGGATCACAAAGCGTGAGCCAGTGTCCGATATCCCCTGGACACTCATTCGAGTATCGCTTTCCAGGCGGTGACCAAGCTGGGACCTTCTGGTACCATTCTCATTTTGGTAGGCCCATTTCCATTTTCGACGACGCGACCGCGTGCGCGCGGCCTGACATATCACCCGATTCAGGTACTCAGTATTGCGACGGATTACGAGGTCCCTTTGTCATATATGACGAAAATGATCCTTATAAGCACCTTTATGATGGTACGAGTCATGTTGGCTTCCCTCAATTTAAGAAATTAAACATTACATCTACCAGTGGACGACGGTTCGTACCAGTCTTCATGAACGATCCCACGGCTCTAAAGCACCGATTTAGAGAACACCATTATCACGGTCGCAGACTGGTACCATACCCCTGCACCGTCACTTCCCATTCCCGCCTTCGCAGATTCCACCCTGATCAACGGCAAGGGTCGCTACCCCGGGGGACCCAAAGTCGATCTAGCCATCGTCAACGTCGTGAAAGGAAAGAGGTACAGGTTCCGGCTCCTGTCTCTTGCATGCGAGCCCAACTACCAATTCTCCATTGATGGACATCGAATGACGATCATTGAAGCGGACGGGTACTTGACAGAACCTGTCGTGGTGGACAGGATCCAGATCTTCACAGGTGCGCACAGTCCGAATCGACTAGACTGGAAGCTTGGACCCCCCAACCGTGCTAATATCAGCTGTACAGGCCAACGATACTCTTTTATCCTTGAAGCCAATCGACCGGTGGCTAACTACTGGATTAGAGCGCTTCCAAATTACGGTAATAACGGACTTACCCTGGGCTTCGAAGGCGGAATCAACTCCGCGATCTTGCGCTATGCTGGTGCACCAAAATCCGAGCCGATATACAGTAATTGGCCTCTTGACCGTGGCGTTCAGCTGCTAGAGAGCATGCTACATCCTATTTACAGCCCTCCTGCGCCTGGTCCACCCGTCCCAGGAGCCGCCGACGTGAACATCTACCTCGACATGGGCTTCCAACCTGAAAGTCTCACGTATACTGTCAACGGTAGTGTGTTCGAGCCCCCATCTGTCCCCGTCCTTCTGCAGATCATGAGCGGGGCCAAAAACGCTGCCGAGCTACTACCGAAAGGCACCCTTTATCCTCTGAAGAGAAATCAAGTCGTCGAACTCACTGTTCCAGGAGGGCTGATTGGTGGACCGGTATGTCCTTTGGGAACTCTTCTAAAGGAGCTTCTTGACATTTGAGTTCGATAGCACCCTTTCCATCTTCATGGAGTACGTTGTTCTCTCCAATCCGCCGGCCCAATGGCAAAGCTAACTTGGTTACTAGCACTCCTTCTCTGTCGTCAAAAGCGCGGGAAGCCAAACCTACAATTTCGACAATCCTGTTCGACGGGACGTCACAAATGCTGGAGAGGAAGGGGAGGAGGTCGTCATCAGGTTTGAGACCGACAACTCTGGGCCCTGGCTCTTCCACTGGTAAGTCCAAGTTCGCAATTTGCTTGGGGATATTGATGAAGTGTGCGCCCCGTAGCCACGTTGAGTTCCACCTCCAAATGGGCCTGGCCATCGTATTCGCAGAAGACATTGAGGGCATGGTGGATAGAAACCCGGTGCCTGGAGCATGGAAAGAGCTGTGCCCTATTTACGATGCACTTCCCGAGGACGAGAAGACTGTGACCATCTTGGAGCCCACAAATAACACGGAAGTTTCCTCCGATGCTCCCACCACAAACTAGATTCTTCGTTTTGATTCTTCGTTATTGGACATTGCTTTCTCGATTGGACAACTACCTCATGGGATTTTCTAGTGACACTGAAAATATGTTACATCTCCCTTCCTTTAATAAATTAATGCTTTCCGAGCGCACCGATTGCCAAGCGCTGAAATCGGACTTCTTCGAGTGTTAGAGGAGATCCATTCGCCTCAGGACGCATTTTCGAATGTGGGAGATGAACTGAGCTGCCATTCACTTGGCTGCAGGACTCCAAGATCATTTTACAGCAGGGTTGTTCTCTGTGACCCGCGCTGCATTTCGAGCTTCGACTAGGTAGGCGATCGCTTGGCACTAGGCGGTGCGGCAGGCCGGCACCTATGACCTTGCCCCAAGCCCTTGTTCTGGTCTCTGTTCAATAGAGAGTGCTTTTTCATACATATTCCATATCATATACATGTTCCGATGTACATAATTACTATTCCAGGGGAACCATACTGTCGATAGACTATAGTGTTGGGCATTTTGGGGAACAAGCGAGGTGGACAAAGAGGAGAAGAGAATCCTCGCATTGTAAGGGCGGGATACAAGTATGGAGGCGGTGTTGGGACCGTTAACCATGACGGTAAAGCAGCGGCGGGTTCCCAGCGGGCGTTTACCGTGAACGTTGAATGGGGATGAAGCAAAAAGCAAAAAGATGGGTATGAATTAGAGCGGAGTGAAGAAATTGAAGCGGAGATGTAGGAAAACGCGGTATTACTTGAAAAGGAAGGTAAGCGGATGGGATAAAGCCTTGCTTGGGGCAAGGAATTGTTTCGTTCGACTGACATGTCACCGTCTTCACTTTCCTCGCCGCCGTCATGTTGTCCCCTTCTTACCTTTTGAAACTGCCTTTGGAAATTAAACTCCATATTTATCTTCAGTTAGACGCAGAAGAAATTGTCTCTACTCGTCAGGTACGGCAATAAAAAGAAGAATGTCCCAAACGCGTCGTACTGATGTATTCCAGACTTGCAAAGAGCTTTACAACGTTGAGAAAGCGTTTTACGACGCCATATGGAATAGTTGCCTTTCCAGAATTTGCCGCTCAAACGAGATGTTTGCATCTACGTATAAATGGCGTCCGAGATCTCCTAAAACCAGGGAATTCGTGGCCAGGAGGGTCAATATGGTGGAGCCAATCCTCGAAAATGCTCGAAAAGCCAAATCCGACGACCCACCGAAAAGCGACGCTTTCGAGCTCATCTATCCGCACGATACACCGGAATACGATCCCGATACAGGCGAGGAATATGGGTTCCAATTCATCGAACTCCTTCCTGGTGGGCGCTTTCTTCTCCTGGTCACCAGGCAAAGCCTTTATGTATGGGATTTTGCACCTTACCTTGAAGGACTTGCGGCTCCTGTCGAGAGAAAGTTGGCCCTACCATTGCATTACGCACATGACACACAGGTCCTCCCCTCCCTGGGCCCCGATTCCACCTCTGTACGGTTATTGATTTGCATTAAATCCCACTTTGGCGAATTCGCACAACTTTAGTACGCCCTGTTCCCTATCCAGAGTGTGCCCCGCTAAAATTTACCATTCAGTGGAGACTGGGACTCGGAGAGGTTGAGAGTTTATTGGGTCATGGAACTTTCCTTTGGAGACGACGACCTTCGACTCCGGAAGATTGGTGAATTTCCAATACTCTACCCTCCTTCGGACGCTGGCGATGAGTACAAGGAGTTATGCCAAGAAGACCTTGAATTCAGCGAAGAAATCATTATATTCCGGATACTGCACACCGTCGTTCTCTGGAACGTTGTCAAGAATGGGTACACAGTCTGGGAGCTCGACAAACGCGACCCGCCGGCGATCAGATATCAGGTCAGAACCAAGCCCTGTTTCGCGATAAAACACAAAGATTCACCGATATCCTAGATGGTGGCAGTGGGCGGTAACGTCTTGATTTTCGAGGACAACTCATTGATTGTGTACGAAGTTCCGCCGCTGGTCCCACTCCCAGCTCCAGGCAGCGCCCTCGATCTTGCCCACCCGCCGACGACTCCGATTCCTCGCCAAACGGCAACAGTGCTGCCGGGGTATGCTCTTGTCTGCGACAGCAAATGTGAGCCCTGGAAAGCCTCTGCTGGCTACTTCCGGCCCCCACTTTTCTACGTGCGCCACGTGAACCCTACGGATGCAACCACAAGGACTGCTTGGTACAACATTGCTGTGGACATGGATTCGCCCATGCCCGTCCAAGTCACCGAGCTGGGATGGGATACGGTGCGAGACCCAGCCGGCTACGAGAAGGTTTGCGCCTTCGAGCGACCCTGCAATGGGAAGGTCATTGGAACCTCCATATGGCGTCGACCATTGCCGCATATCCCTGAATCAATGGTCCCTCAAGCTGCATTTCTGCGTGTATCCCTCTCCAAGCCATCTCCTCGCTCGTTAGCTCGGCCCAAGTCACAACCGCACGAGTCAATGCTCTATCTCCTTACAAGGATAGAGGGCATCGATTGGAGCTGGGATGACGAGGTCAGCTGTGACTTTTGTCCGCTGTCGGGGATATTGGTGGTTGTCAGTCGTCGTTTTCGGGGGGAACACCTTCTACCTGCAAAGCGAGTGCAGGTATTCGACTTGATCCGGCCACTGCTGCGATAGGTGGCCATTGTCTGACAATCTTAGACTATGATACTTCCATACCTTGTGTTAATGGGAGCAATCCTCGACAATAGAATAGCCATGGACTGATTACTCGATTGAGATGCACGAGAAGGCTGCACGAGAAGGGAAGACGTTGAGAAGGGCGCTATACTACAATTCAAGTATGGTTAGCGTAACAGCCTGACCCTTGCAGGTGCGGGAAACCTGCTGGAATGGCACTCCATCGGCCTGAGCGCTGACTTCTTGACTCCGTCGAGGATTATCATCAATCTGGCGCAAGTCGCAAGGCCTCTGTTCACAAGTCGGACCGCCTCGACAGGCCCATTCGACGATTGAGATACATACAAGATACACCTCTGCTAGCGGAACCGTGTTGCTATAATACAATTGAAACGTGATCAGCGTACATGCTCGCCAAGTTCATCAAGAAAAATCTGCGCATTTATCCCTCAGGATCGTAAATTATATTGGCCGGAGACCTGTTAATTGGGGGATCAGGATGCGCCCTCCGAGTCACTTGTGGTTGGACAGGGGCGACTCACCGTTTCTCAACACCCTATTAACGCGTTTACAAGGTCGAAAGAGGACGTCAGTAACCACGGAACGTGTACTAAAAACGATACACCCACATTCTCCTTCCACGAGAAGACTGCCTTCAACTCAGACAAGCCGAACAGGAGGATAAGCTTGTAATGCAGTCGGTAGTAGGTACCTTGAGGCCCTTCCTTCTTGAACTGGTCGGCACATTGCGCTAGATGGGAGAGGTCGACTTCAATGGTGCATAACCGCGAGTAGTTGTCTTTGATGGAAGGTCAGTCGGACGTCACGTAGACCTGATGAGGGCACGCGACTCACCCCGGTCAACATCCTTCCACTGAGGAACAGCAATCTTTCCACGATAGGCCCATACATGGACGGTCGCTTTCGTCAGCTTTTCTATTGACGTGCGCGATATATGGAAGTCCTTTGAGAATTCTTTCGTTTCCGAAACTTGGGTATTCTATATCCCAGCTGGTCAGCCACATTGACGCAACAGCAAATCCAGAGACTCGTACCTTGGGTAAGATGATGCTGAAGTTGTTTTTGATATTCCTATGCCCCGACAGCGAGATGTACACGTCCTTAATCCGCTTGGCATGCTCCGGGTCAGACTCGATGAATCGGGTGTTGGAGAATTGGCCGTAGGTAAACTTGGACACCCGTGTTCGAACGCAGTGGTCAATGTAGAACGACATGGCGCCGTCCGCTACAGCTTTGTTCAAATGATTCTCAGGACGGATGACGTTAAATCCTTCTGGGGCCAGCGCTTCGGCGACCCTTTCGTACAGCCAGTCGCTGCTGGCGAAGCCTCCGACTAGGACGACATGCTGGAGGACAGGTTATTGGAGGTACGACGAAAAACGATGTCAACTACTTACGGTAAACGGCTTGTGCGCGAGCCGTCGTTGTTCTCTCACAGCTTCGATGACACACGCCACAGAGGGTTCAAAAAACCGGGCAACGTCAGCTCTACGTATCTCGTCAGCACTCCAGCCAAACCGACAACCACTCCACGCACCCTGATAGCTTTAGTTGGCCGTATCGAATGTTGAATTCAGGCTCGTTATCGCGAGTTGAGCCAAACTTGATAAACTGGGGATCATTGATGCTCCTAAACCGTAGCTTTGTCGTCTTATCGAAAGCGCGAACGATGGTTTCCATGTCGTCATAGAATTCGGATTCCTTGAGAAGACCTTCCAGGAAGAAGCGTGCGTGTAGACTGACGAATACCGAGCCGTTGAAGTGACCTGAAGGACGTCAGGCATGTTCGCAACTATACGTCACAACCACGTACATTGAGGGGGCGCAATCTCCTCGAAGATACTCCCTGTCGCGCTTCCTGATTCAAGGGTCTGTGCATACGCACTGATATCCACGGTACCACCTCCAGCGTCAACAATCGCGACTCCATCCCCTTTCTGCAGACAATAAGCATCGAATCAGGGAGAATGAGCACCGAACATACCCGTAGTGAATTCGCCGGGAGTCCATTCTCGATGGAGTAATGTAGACTGGCTTCCCCCTCGGTGACGAACTGGATTCGTTCATTCCCAGCAGCAGCGTCCGGCACCAAGCCAGCCTCGATCGCGGCCGTTCGAAGCTGACTTTGTTGCGATCCTTCCCACCCATTCGGGTGCGACAGCACGAATTCAGCTTCTGGCGCCAGGGTAGCCCACAGATCCGGTCCATTGGGGTGCGTCTCTCGAATATATCTGCTTGCACATTCGAGTAGATACCGTAAGAAGTCGCTGTATACTTGTATAATCGTCTTCCCCGGTGGTAGTGGAGGCAACTGACTGAGATTCGAGATGTTGGCCGAGTGATCATGGGTTGGTCGTAGATGCAGCTTGAACCTGCAACCATCAATCAATGGTCCACCGTTTCGAAGATCTGTAGGCGTACCATTCGACCTTAAACCATCTCTCGTCCTCCGCCTGTTCGTAGACAGCTTCGCTCATTGCTTCTGCGCCTACTGCGCGAACTTTGCCTTCCGTATCGTAGTACATCACGGTGGGGATCTTGGACGAACCACTGACTTGTTCTTGCGCAGGGTACCTGTTCCAACATCAGAAAGCCCGGCTTTCAACGAAGCGATGCTGGTGTATACCTCGTCACACCCTGAATCTTTGGGACCTCTCCTGGATCCAGGATGCTATACAAAGGCCATGATTAGCACGCTGTGCGAATTCAAACGGATATAGGCACCCACCTGTAAGATATTCCACTGTAGGTAGTTCCTACATCGAAGGCAAGTACCAGTTTGCGCTTGAAGCCGCCATACGCGATCCTGGAGGTGACCATGATGGTGATGGAAAAGAAGCAAGCTTAGAAGGTGCCTGTTAAGCGCGCTCGCTACAGGGTGGCACAGCAATTTGGAACACGTGTGTGGCCCGTCCCCGCAAAAGACGGCTATCGCTATGAGTGATATCCACACATCCTTTGGGGTGCAAAAGCTGTCGACAAAGGCGATGAAGGGATTGGAGTGGTGATGAAAGGAGAAGGAAAAGGAAAAGGGAAAAGAGCAAAATTGATCGCAGTCTGACGCGACGGATATTCCCGAAAATGGATGGAAAATAACCCAGAAATTCGTGTTGATTGGATGACTGGAAGACTATACAGGAAGGTAGGTACAAGGTTGTGAGAATATGGACTATAGTCCTCTCAGGATGATGTCCGCAGCCTTCGAGGACGTGATGATAAGCTCAGGTGGGATCTGGGCAGACGACCTGGTAAGACATACCATTTCACCGATCATGTACACAGTCGACATCTAGAAAAAGGAAAAGATTTGGTCAATTAACATGTACACAACACAGCAAGAAACCTACTGTATGAGCGCTAATGGGCATCGGAATAACGCTCGCGTCCACGACCCTCACATTCCCGATTCCATAGACCTTGAAATCATTATCCACCACGCCCCCCAATTCCATGGGCATCATCGACATCGACCCAACCTCGTGATTATCACTCGCAACCACACCTCGAGCCCACTGTTCAACACCAGTGTCGTCGTCAATCCAATATCCATCCCAGGTTCGAACTCTGCCTGGAAGATCGATCCCAGAGGTTTGGACCGGAGCTGACGTCGGCTAAGCTGCATCCCGGCTACATGCCCCGCAACATCGAGAGGGTGCGCCCAATAGTTGGGGTCAGGCAGTGGAGGTGTCCCTGGGTGGTTTGACACGATGTGGGTCCTACCTCGGGAGAAGGGGTAGTAGAGCACGGCGTTGATAGTCGTAAAGTTTCGATCTGGCCGAGAGGCTAGGGGAGTAGGACCCGAGTATCCAGGCTCTGGGCAAAGTAATCAGTTTCTGGAAGTTGACTTGCGAAACGTTACGACCTACCAACGTTGAGCTCCAGAACCCCCGTCTTGTCTCGTTCATACAAGTCCAGCATCAATCGATATTGGGCTTCGATTCCCTTCTTAAGAGAATTGTTCCCGTAGAGAAAAACGCTGCATAATGGGATATGCTGTCCTTAGCTTGTGCTAGGAGGACTTCCAATCGGGAGGCAGTAAAGACATCAGGGGGCGAGACTATGGATAGCGAACGAGGGGCAGCTGAGAAGAGGCCTGAAACGCAAGGTTAGTGGGTATCGCGAAAGCTGGGCTGGATCTCTCACCTGTTCTGCTCTGGAGTCACTCGGCTAGTTGCTGGTTCACAAAGTCGAAATTGGCCAACAGAATGTCCCTCGTGATCCTACAAGATTGGTGACAGAAACCAGCCTCCACAGACGTTGATGGTCACACACGTCGCGTTGGTGAAAACGTTGACCCAACTGTGAACGTTGTCTGATTAATCGGTAAATCAGCTTCATATCGCGTTAGTGGACACTGGAGAAGTACGCCTACCGCTAAGATTCTCGCATACTGTGGGCAGCTCGAACAGGGGCTCAATACCTGCCGCTTTTAGGATCCTATCGATGCTTCTTCAGTGAACACGTCGCAGCTCCAAGGACCAGCATAAACGTTGCATTGCCCACACCGGATAACTCCATGACCTTCGGACTTCCAATCGTCCCAGCTGAAAGTATGACCTCCCGGTTCACGCGAACCGTCTTCTTCTCCCCTGACGCAGTCACATACTCCACATGGCTTGCCGACAGCAGCTGACCCTGTCTCCTTGGTGCCCACAATATTCTTGAGACTGTCGAATTGACCAGTACACGGAGATTACTTCTATCCTGAAAAGAAGCATAGAAAGCGCAAGCTGCCGAGCACCTGCAATGCACACACGTCCGGAAAACAGCGAATAATAATGACAGCACGCTAGTACATACCGCGTGTTGTTCACCGCGTCAAGTGAGTTCGGTGATACCCCAACGTGACCAACCACGCTAGCCGCTGGAGGATGGCCAACGATACGCGCGAATACCCTTGAAGAGGCTCACCCATTTCCTCCACCGACGACGACAAAATCGTACGCTGGCGCATGAGCCAGAGAAACGCAGCAAAGAGAAAGAGTTTGCAGTAGAGCCATCCACATCTGTATCCGTTGAATGCTGGGACGCTTCAAGCGAAGTCCGTATGTAATGAATTCGTGACCGTCAAAAATGAATTTCATTCCAATGACTTGACAAGATGTACCACGAGTTTCTCGCCTCACCTACTGAATTGAATTACCAAAAATGCAGCGAAAAAACGAAGAAACACATACGCGTGCGCACTGTGGCGCCTTGTGGGTCCCGTTATCGGCGCCGGAAACTGAGTTATGTTGAACGTCATATTTCCGAGGAAGTATGGGTTCGGGACTACCTTCACATGGCTCGCTGAATGCAAAATCTACATCGGCCGTTAATTCCCTGGTTCTAGCATGCTTTCTGATTCACATACCTTTATGTTTCCATTTCATCGTCCTCCGACTCACCGCCCAAACTGGTCTTGATGGCCTTGTATATCCGTTGAGCAGCCGTCCTAGCCATCGCTTTCCCCGACTCGAGATGCTCCTGCTTGACACCTCCACTTGTCGATCTCCAATTAGTCCACACACATGTCGAGGCTGACGATCCCGCAAACATGAATGAAAAGCACCCTCCTTCCGTGATATCCTTCGCCTCTTCCGCTGTAGGATCCACCAAGAACTCCCCGTTCGATGTCCTGCCAACAGCGACGGCGCAAACCACCCCACGCATCGGTAATGATCCAGCGTTTAATAGAGCCAAAGTGCTGGCGTTAATCATGGCAGCAGTTAGGCCATCTCGTTCTGTGTTTGTCGAGGCGGAGCTGAGGTTTTGAACGACCAATTGGACCAACGTCCTCGGATTTTTGGTGAGAATCAAGGAGGGCGTCAGTGCAGATCGAATGACAGTTGCCTGAGACTTCGAATCTGTCGCTGGTACGTTCGAAAATGGCCTCACGTGGACCTCAAATGTCGCCTGAGACGATTGTTCTGCAGCCAGGCGCACTTCTATCGGGCCAGAGACTGACGCAAGCGCTGCAGAATTTCCTGTCGACTTCAATCATTAGTCGGTCGATTCGGTGTCGTTATTCATTGTTTCTCACCAAATCCAAAGCGAGCTGAGCCGTCTACACGGTTAAGACCATCATATACGATGTGTAAGGGCCTGAATTGTTCGTTGGAACTTCGGTGGAAATCTGAGCTCGTCATGGTCGTAGGAAAAGTGGAAATTAACCAGCGGCTCGCGCGACGTGATGCGATATGTATGGCTTTCGAAACTAACAAATGCAAACAATATCGCTGGGCGCTTATGGAGAATGCCCTTAAGCTTCTTCTTCAGCCTGCAGTTATTCAATTCAAGCGTGCAGCTTCCAAAGGAAAATCCTTAATACCTTTATGTACGAGGTGCAAGATTCAACTATTTAGCACTATCGCGGTGTTCCTTATCCATCTACTAGTACAAAATCAGTGATATCAAATCAGGGGCCATTGATTTCTACGTCAGGATGTACCCACTGGCGCTAGGTCCGTCGTAGGCAAGATCAGAAGTATCGCATCTCGGGCATCTCTGAACGTCGCACACAAATTGGAGCATTGGCCTGGGCTGGAGCTTGGGCCCTATTCAATGAAATGAGATAATGTCGGATCAAGGGCAGGTGGCTTTGTCGAAGCGAACATGCAAACAGGGGGGCGGTATGATCTTTTGTATCTGTACTTACACGTTTTAATCTCGCGTAGGTTGCGCTATAAAGTGCCGCAGACTAATTGTTTCAGCGACCCATCTCAATCTTTCGCTTTCCCCCTCCACTCGCCGCCAGTATTTTCCTAATGACGCTGGTTAGTGCTTCCTCTACCTGTTATGTGACTGCTGGGCTTAATCCTGTGTTAGACTAGCTCAGAGCTTGAGCTCATCGAGCGAGAGATCGTTCACCTTGAAAATCGCCTCCACTTGCTGAAAGCCCGTCGAAGGTCACTCCTGAGAACAGCGAAGCCGATACCACGACAGCCGACAAGTACTCCCATCGACCACCTCCCCGACGACATTCTTCGAGAGATATTTGAGCTATGCCTTCCTGACCAACGCCAGCCGACATTGGATAACCTCGAAGCCCCGCTGCTTTTCACTCGTGTTTGCCGCAGGTGGCGATTTACGGCATGTAACACCTCGAGGCTGTGGGCGCAACTTTACATCGTTCCACCAGTCATCCAAGCTAAGACATCACGAGCACTCCCTAGTGGCGAACAATCACACACCAAGATCCGATTCCAACGCATCGCAAAGTCGTTTGTGAAGGCCGTCGAAGACTGGACGTCTCGCATTGGAGGACGCCCTCTGTGCTTTACGCTCTCCCAGAAGGATCACCAGTTCCAGGAGGAGGATGATCTGGTTCAGTCTCTGATTCAAGTGCTCCTCCAATCATCGCGGTCGTGGAAGCGAGTCGAGATCAGTATCCCCCTCAGGAGCGCCGAAGCGCTCATTAAGCGCCCATCCAGTCACTTTCCCATGCTCGACTCTCTTGTCCTCTGCTGCACTTCCCGCTCCAGGCTCGACCCATTGGGAAAGCCGTTCTCCCTCTTTGCACCACCGGCTCCTCAAAACCAACAGCAGCTCATGTGTTGGAAAAACGCCCCGATCATTCATTCTCCAAACCTTCGTTCACTCCGCTTGGTTCGCGTGGACGAGCCGGTCCTCGAGGTGGCAACGAACTGGTCGGCGCTGCGCTCACTCGTAATCGAGCAGCAGGGCAACCTTGGTGGCCTCATGTCGTCTGAACAGTCGATCACGATTGACGTTCCGACCGCCATCGTCCTTCTGCGACGGTGCGAGCAACTGGAGCATCTCAGGTTATCCTTGACCCCAGGAGCTAGGCCAGCCTCATCGGACAATGAGAGCTTATCCTCGCCGCTCTGCCTCCCTCAACTTAAGAGTCTTACCTTTCACGAGGACCGCTGCCCCTCCCGATCATTCTTCGAGCTCCTCGAAGCACCCGCTCTCCGTAGCCTCGAGTTCCATACCCTTCGCAGACCCAACCCCACCGGTGAACCCTATTCCGTCACTCCATTTATACGCAAGTATGGAAACCAGCTTGAAGAATTCACCTTCGACACCCGGTTCATCAGTAAAGACGTATTCACACTCTTCGAGCATCTTGCAGGACTCAAGCACCTGTCACTATGCCCATCAGACTTTGTGTCTATCACTTACGCAGGCGAAGAGCAAAGCCATTACACATTCACCGACGATGATCTCCTCTCCTTCGCTTCTTCGACTGCAAGACTCTGCCCTCGACTCGAATCGTTCGAGTGCAGCACTCTTTCCAAACTATCCCATACCGCGATTCTCCGGTTTATCGAAACACGGCAGCCGTTGGGGCTTCGAAACGTCGCCGCCACCTGCATCACCACCAGGGAAGACAGAGCGTCTTTGACTAATCTCCTGAAGGAGTTCACTCGGCAGGGAATGCAATTGGATATCGCTTGGGAGTACAAAGCCAAGTTTGTTCCCTCATGGCAGGAAGAGAAAGGCCAACATGCGGGACGGCGTTGGACAGAGTGCTTCTAAGTATTATTTTCCACGTAAGATAATAGAAGCCTATGGTTTATGCCTACCATGTTCTACGAATTTATGCAGCGATTTACCTTCCTCTCTGGCGGTGGATGGGCTTGGATAGGAACCAGACTCGTTTGTACTATTCGCCCAATTGATGGCCGGCGATTCTATACCCCCGGTTAGGGCCGTCCGGTAGGCTCGCGACCAGCCGGTTCACACGTGACCACATGGCAAGGGTCACTCCGTGAACCGGCTGGGACGATCCAACCAGGTTTTGGCGTGTCACGCCTGTCACACTTGGACTTAGAGAAATTCCGCGCGCGCGCGCCTGTAATTAACGCGGTACATACGACTTCAATTACATGTTACAAACTACCCTCCTCTCCTGTCGCCTCCATAAATAAGATATCATCGGGAACTTCATCTACGCTATCTGTATCATCAGAATCTGAGGATTCTGAATCCATATCGCCACCAATATTGTCCATGTCATACGCGACATCGTCATCAGCAACCCGGGGTAAAGCAGCCTCATCCAACCCTTCTCGCACCTCCCTCATGATCCTGACCAATTCTGGTTCGAGGACCCGTTCGAGCTCTTCATACGTGGGTATATCTTCATCTTCATCATCCAAGTTGCCATTTGTATCCGGAGATTGGCTGCCTGGAGTAGGGAGTGCAGCCTCGGGATCTGTGGCAGCTAGTACGGGGGTAGCGATTGAGACTCCATGATCATCAGGGTCTTCGAGATCTGGGACAGGCTGCATTTGGCGGTGTCGTTTAAGCATACGGAATGCTGCGTTGAATTCAGTGAGTGGTGAATTTGATTGGGAAACCAGTTCTTCAGACCCAACAGATACGACATCAGGCACAGGTGGATCATCCTCATCCAAGACCCGTCCAGGTTGCATACGGTAAACCGAGTGCTCGTCAAGACTGTCCATCAATGCTCTGATGTCTGCGTCAAGTTTGGCATCGGAATGTTTAGTACCTTGGTCGTGCCCAAGAGCTGAATGCATATTATTTGCGAGTTCCCGAAGGGCTTCGGTGCACGGCGCGATGAGTGCCAACCAATCCCAAGAGGCATTTGAACCTCTTGCTTTATATCCACCCTGTAGTGTTGTAGCCGCTTAGTTAGAATTTCTGAACATATATTGCATTCCAAGCATACCTTTATCTTCAAGTTCGAGTGCTCTTGTACAAGATCACCTTCAACCCACGAATTCGGATTACCGGAAGGGTTGAGAACCCAATTATTCATAACGCAGCGACTAGAGAAGCGCCCACGTCAGAGATAGCCAGGCTCAAAATCATTGGTCACTCACCGCATCGACTCCGGCAAAACCGAAGAGAGGTTATGAATGATGTACAACATCTCATATGCATATTTGAGGCGACCGTTTCCCCGAAAACTGAACGCAAAGTGCTTCAGTACAAGAAAGATCCTGCCGGAGTCCCCTGCCTTTATCGCATCGGTAAACTCCCGAGAGACGAGGGCATCAGCAAGAAAGAGAATTGCATTTTCGAACACCATATCCCCTTCATTCGGATCACCTGTTACTTTCCGTTTCCAGCGCATGCTCTGCACAACGTCCCTCGAGGCAAACTGGTCAAGAATCTCGGATGCGTGCTTCGAAAGATCTTCGTAAGTGGTGAACTTTGCCAGATAGTCGTCTAGACTTCCTGCGCCCGAAACACAAAGCAAGCAGTGGAGTACCCGGGCATAGAGGGAGGTGAATATCAAGTCTCGAGCAATCCGGAATTTGGGAGGGGCTGACTTCGAGTTGAGTGTGATGGGAAGGCGATCGAGAACAGTGTTGTGAAAGGAAAGGGAGCCAGGATTGCGGGATCCGGAGCTGGGCTTGCCAAAGTGTGTCAAGAGAACACCATGGGCGTCGGCTATCTTGGTATGGAACAGCCCAGGGACCCAAACCCCCCAGAAGAAGCCTTCGTAATCCGTCTCGTGGCCTGCCCGGATCGTCTCAAGGGAGCGGAATCGCGCAACCGTGAGCTGGTCCCCTATGATAACTCGAGCCCTTTTGAGGAAATCTGGATGTTGATCGAGGCGAAGCTCCTTCACAATTGCTTCATCCACATCAGCGTTCCCGGTAATGGACGATTGGTCTATGTTCATGGCTGGAAGGGGGTAGAGCTCCGTTTTGTGAAGATCAATCTTATGGGCGCTTGTAGGCTGGTTATTCTCGACTTCATTCTCAAAATGTTTGAAGCCAGGCCCGCCATAGCGAATGATAATCCGGAGAATGGTGTGGATGAGAGCGTCTCGGAAAAGCTGGTGTTCGTCTGGGTTGAATAAGAGGTCGGAAAATTGAAGGTCGCGTGCATTAAGAAAAGAGGTGCGAAGCTTCTCTACATCGAGATCCTCTACTGTAGTTTGATAGAGGGGAAACAAGGTTGCGCACGTCCCATTCTCCTGCGAGTCTGTCGACAAGCACTTTAATTAGAATCACAGTGTCTATGCAATTAACTTTACACACCGTGTCGACCAAGAACCTGCTCCCCAACCATGAACGCCATATTGATGTTGTCTAAAATAAGGCCTGCGGTGCCCGTGGCAGCTAGCTCCCTCGAGCATGTCCGTATACTGTGCGAAAGCTGAGGCAGAGTCCCCTCATACAAAACTTCGGGGTCTGGGTTGGTCGAAACTGGATTAGGCAAGGGGTTACTCGAAGTTGCGGCACTTCCATCGTTGTCGGTCTGTGGACTGTTAGAGTCTGCCTTCTTGGAGTTTCGTTTCTTGCGGGCTCTGGATGAGATCAGATTGGTGTAGCTTCCGCAAACCCCGACTCGTGACAAAACAGAGATCGTTTGCCGTTGTGCCCCAGTCGAGTATAGATACAAGGTGAACTGTCGCTTAACAAGGTTGTTTGCACGACTGTATTCCCCAAGGCATGCCAATGCAACCGAGGTAACAACCTGGCAACTGTCCGTTAGCCTTGTCTCAAAAGCATCAGGATATGGTAGGTGAATCTTACTTACCATCCGGGTACGGGCTCTGCGAGATTCACTGTGCGTGGAGACGTGCCGTGACGTCGCAAAGGCTTTGAACATGGCCATAGCAGTTGGCGCAGTCTCATAAGCAAGATCCTCATACCAAGCACCGAAGTCGAATGATGCTACGGATTGCGCAGTAACTGGATGGCGAGTCGAGTTGAGTACACCGCTCTCGGTGATTTGGCGAGCTTCTTTGGCGATGAGGCTTGAAATGTATGTGACTGCCCACTGGTGAACTTCTTGGCGTACAGAGTCTGGGTATTCGGAAGAAGCAAACCATCCTAGAAGCTGGGACGCTGTGCCAGGGACGGCGAAATACTCCTTCCAACGTAGAGCCCGTTGTCCTTGAGCTGGATCAAAGATATAGCCCAAGATGTCCTTCAATCCAACACCCTTTCCCTTCAGAAACCCCATGGCCTGGACAATCAAAGTATGCACAGTTTCCTCCCGTGCTCGTTGGCGTGCTTGTTTTTGCTCTCGTTGCTGTTGCGCCTTCCGCCTCTGGTTCTTTTGAAAGCGCTTTTCCCTCCTCTGTTCTCTATTCCCAGTGATTGGGGAGCTCCATACGGGACCAGAGCTGGATTCGATAGGTTGTGGCTCCTTTGGCTTAACAGGGGTTGCAGGTTGAGAAGGAATGTTCCCTCTTGGTGCATGTCGAGTGAGAAGGGTGAGGAAGTCCACCTTGGGGGTAGGGTCATCTTCAAAGTCGTCAGAATCGATCGTGTAAAGGTCTTCCCATTCGCCCTCGTCGCCACGGACAGTCGACGATGTGGCGGGTTGGTGCATTTGCGGTGAGGACAGTTGGGTGCTGTATGGATACGGAGGAAAAGATTGTGATCGAGCCGCCATGGTCGATCACTTCTCCTTTTTTCCCCTTTCCCGATCGTTCTCGTTTCACTCGCGATGGCACCCGATGCCGTACCACGTCACTTGCAAAGCAAAGCTCAAGCTCAAAAGTCAAGGCGCAATATATTGAGGCTAACAGAACAGCAACAAAGCGAGAACACACCACAAACTGTACGGAATCGCCTGACTGAACCCCTGAGCGACGACGCCCTACAAAACCTGTCGACACAAATCCAGCACCACTTCAACTGGCCCCATTCACCCCGAGACTTTCAGCTCGCTGCAGCCAAAGCGCAATTACAGCGGAAGGATGTTCTCGTACATGTAGGGACAGGCATGGGCAAAACCGCGATAGCAGCAGCACCACATGCACACCCAAAGGCGAAGGAGATGGTTACATTCCTCATCTCTCCTTTAATAGCACTACAGGAGGAGCAGGTAAGTACGAGCACGAACTGGAAAGTACAAAGAACTCACTTGAAGGTGTAGGCTCAGACTTTCGAGACCGAATTCAAATTGAAGGCGACCGCAATCAATAGTGCGCGGGGAGGGCTGAGCAAGGAAAACATGACGGTGTGTGAGGGTGCTATATTTGACTGAACTATTGCTGATCATTGGCCAAAAGGAAATACGAAGAGGGAAATGGCAGATAGTAGTCATCTCACCTGAGTTGATTCTATCCAAGGTTTTCATCAAACACGTCCTTCGTCACCACGAGATGAGAGGAAGGGTCATGTCGATCGTCGTTGACGAAGCTCATGTTGTATCACATTGGGGAACCGACTTCCGAAAGAAGTATGGCACCCTTGGTATACTGCGAGCACTGTTGCCAAAAGGAACTCCCTTTGTTGCAATGTCAGCGACACTCCCAAATCGAGTTCGAAGTGACTTGCTGTACAAACTCCATTTCCACAAGAATGATTACATCGACCTCAATCTTGGAAACGACCGACCCAACGTCTCGATAGTCGTTCGACCTATGCACCACCCAATGAATACGTTCCGTGACCTGCGCTTTCTGATACCGGAGAACATGACCTCACCTTCCGATATCAAGAGCGGCTACATCTACGCGGACCAGTTGACGACAGCTACCGGCATGATGGACTACCTCTATAGCCTCTGTCCAAAAGACCAGAGGTACAAGGGATTCATCCGGCCATACAGCGCTGCGTTCTCTGTAGGGTACCGGCGGAGAGTGATGGAGCTGTTCAGACGAGGGAAGATTCGCATTCTGATCTGTACTGATGCAGCCGGGATGGTGAGTAATAGCTATTGTTCAAACAAAGAAATGTTAACTTACGCATCGCTCAAGGGTTGCAACATCCCTGACATCGACATCGTTGTGCAATGGAAGCTGCCGGCCACTGTGTCTTCTTTTGTCCAGCGGGCGGGACGCGCCGCTCGTGCACCAAACCGAACGGGGCTTGCAGTGCTTCTGGTTGAAAAATCGGTGTACGAAGCTGATCTTGAAGCTTACTTGAAGGACGGTACACCGACCCAGGTGCAGGAAAGCTCTAAGAAACGGAAGAAAACGGTCAGGCAATCAACGGATTATCCGAAAGCAACAAAGGAATACGCAAACGAGCACGGCGCGCTGCGTGGACGCCACGATCCGTCCGACGACAATAAGTTTGCAAAGAAGGACGTACCGTTGGACCGAGATTCCATTGACGAAGGTCTGTACACGCTGGTGCAGACGGGCACATGTCGGCGAGCAGTCTTGACAAAGATCTTTGGGAATCAACCAGGTGAGTGTTTGCCTGGGCACGATCGGGGCTGTCGCTCACCTTTCAGGATCGCAGCACGTCCAACTGTGCCTTGCTGCGATATCTGCTGCCCTCAACTACTAGATCGCACTCGCCCAGCCCCTCCAGCCACCTCCGAGCGTGCAAAGGCGATCAAAGGCGGTGTTCCCAACGTTGACGTGATGTGCAAGTTGAACGACTGGCGCGTTTCGGTTTTCCGTCGAGACTTCGCGGGCAAAGCGATGTTCACGGCGTCGGGTGTCCTCAGTGATTCTCTGGTCGAAACGCTCGCCTCCGTTGGACCTATCACAACCGAAAAAAGGCTCAAGGAGGTTGTTGGTCGGTCGTGGTTGTTGTATCCCAAATACCACGCCGAGTTGTTGATGACCCTGCTGGCCATGGACATGCCACCCATGGTACCCAAGCCACCGAAGGAGAAGTCGAAGGGGAAGAAACGGAATCGAGAGGAGACCACTATTAGCAGTCAGAACAACGAGACCGCCAACATCGATGGTGATGGTGGAAGAGAGAGAAGCAAACGACCTAAATCCGGAAATTCCCAAGCTGTCATCGAAGAAGCGCCCATGCCGTCATCTTCTGCTGCGACCGTCACGCCAGAACCATCAACGAGCTCTCTTCCTCCACAGGACCCTGCGTCCACAACTTACCAAAATCCGTTGATTCAGCACACCCAACGCCCTACCGCACCGTCCGGAAATCCTTACTCGACATTGATGGCAGTCCCACAGGCCCAGACTTACCCTCGGCTACCTCACCCGATCCCAGTACAGCAATATGTCCCTTATCCATTCTATTACGTTCCTCCCCCACAACCTCAGATCGTGTATCACCACCCTTATCCATTCCCTTATCCTCCTCCACCTCATAATATCCATGGACCTACCTCCTCCTCCTCTTCCCCTCTCCCAGATACACCCCGCTCGAACACAAGTTAAAATGTTCAAAAAAAATGTATTTTTAGAGTCGTCTTTAATCGCATTATCGATTCGAAATAACGTTATAGAGGGTGACATGTGAGATACGTTGTTTTTGAGTCGGGTCGGCGGCCGCTATAGAGAGGGCGGAGCGTCGACACGCGAAATTTCGCTAAGTCGTTGTCACGCTTTGGGGGTTCCTATGAAACCTGGTTAGAGCGTCCCAGTCTTTACGCATGGGACCTTTTGTTTGCGCGCGCCTTCCTTCCAAGGTAAGATTTTGATGTTTGTTCTGATGAGGCTGACGACAAACATACAGCAAACAAAGGTCCCAGCGTAAAGTACTGGTTGCGAGTCTAGCCGTCCGGTAACAATATCAGATGGAATCAAACATCACACCATCGCAACAAGGAGATCTGCCCACTTGCTGCCATTCGCGCACAGGGCCGAGGAAACCGTCGCAATGGGCGCGAACACACGCTGTCCTTTTCCTTTCACCCTCATATCGCGGTGTGGTTGGTAGCCACTGCCCCTCCCCAGTGCCACCTCCTTCTCACAACGCCTGCTAGTCCCTCTTCTGTAGCCTAGGCGTATCCTCGATGTCGCACAGACCGAGCAAAAGGTCATCGACGGGAAACCATGTTTTACAGCCTGCCTCGCGTCCAGGATCGACCTTTGAGCATATTCCGCGTGTGCCTACCTACAGTTTGATTACCTGGACATTTGGTAGAGGCTCAGTGGTGCGTTTCCTTTCATCTTTAGCCCCTATGACCACATTTACCTTTGGTCATGTAGATATGGAGGATTTGGCCTGCCGTTCTTTTGCATACGGTCTTCGCGGCTGGTACGTACGCTACGGCCTCCAGAGCGCGTTATATCACTCAAAGTCTGATTTTAGCTGTCGTAACGCTCTCCATGCGAGAGATCCTCGTCCTCGAAATTCCCAATGTCATGTTAACGGTGCTTGGTGAGCACCGACTTTAATTTTCGTTGGAACGGCGCTCAGAATCACTCCACCCCACTAGGTGTGGTAATCGGTTTCGTTATCTCCTATCGCGCTATGAGTGGGTGCGTCTCCATTTACAACACTCGTCCCCGCAGATCTAGGCCTAACGGAATGTCCACAGGTATGAGCGCTACTGGCTTGGTCGCGGTTACTGGTCGGACATCATGCGTAACTCGCGCACTCTCGGTCGTTTGATTTGGTATCATGTCCCCCCGCGCCTTTCACCCAAGACCCCTGAAGAAGCGAAGTCAGGACAACTTCAGCGCTCTGTCCAGGAGATGAACAAGGTTATGGCCGAGAAGCGAATGGCGCTTGACATGATCCATGGGTACGTTTCCGTTGTACCGTGACACAACCATCACGCTCTAACGCCAATGCCCGCTTAGCTTCTCTGTTGCCGTCAAGCACCATCTTCGCGGCGAGCTGGGGATCTATTTTGAGGACCTGTATCATCTGATTCGTCCACTGCATGATGTATGTCCCCTCTTCTACCATTGAAATAGTATCTCGAACTTTGAGCAGCATGTTCACACCGCAGACGATGAAATGGACAATCAAGCGACGACGACCGCCTTACCACCTCGCAAGGGCATGCGCATCACCACGAAGACCAACCTTCCCCAACAGCAAGACGGTACCATCTCCATCTCGGCCATCTCAGCTTCACCCCGCTCGGTCCACTCGTACTCGTCCCAGATCGCCTACGCAGCTTCCGCTCAAGTCGAACGCGAAACATCCGGGCTTCCGCCGCCTTCTGGCCAGTATGGGACCTTTGGAATTCTTGATGATCAAACCACCGTCATCCATCGTCACGCCTCTGCCTCCTCTTCGCGAAGCAACGTCTCGGACGAGAACGCTCGTCAGCCACTGCTGCCCTCCTCCCAGCCTCCCGCGGATGAAGTAATGAACAAGGTCTCGCGAGAGCTAATACCAGGTGCGCGTTCCTGGGCTATCTTTAAGCGATGGCTCGGTTTTGGTCCTAAGCCGGAGCAACTCCCTACTTCTGTTCAAGGCGTGAGTGGTTCCCATTCTCTCTCCATATTCGTCGTGTCCGCTAAACCGTCACTTCCTAGGCACACGCCGAAATCGAGCAAGGCACCGACAACAACCCGTACCGGACTCGAAGACAATGGAAAGGCCCTGTTGCGTCCTCTGTTCATACGAAGCATCGTCCCAAGGTTGCTGGTGGAGGGGAGAACCTTCCTTTGGAGATTATCCGATGTTTGAGTGAATGGTTCAGCGTCCTTGAGGATCGCGGGACTGTGAATGGAGCGAGTATTGGTGGCATGATTGGTACCCTGGTTGCGTTTGAGGACACTTTGACGGGCAAGTTGAACTTCCTGGCTCTGTTCCAGCGTGTCTCTAGCTCACAAGGAACACATTAGGCCTCGAAAGGATTCTGACGACACCGCTGCCATTGTGAGTACTAGACGCTAATTCACGTCTCCCTGTCCTCGCTCACCATTCTCTTCAGCGTCTATGCCGTTCACATCCGGTTAGTTGATATCAATATCAGTCGTGGTCGCTACTGATGCCCTTAATTCCTTGGTATACGACCACAGGCAGTAAGTTTGTTTCCTTTCTGCATCGCATGGCGTTGACAAAACCACCTTTTTAGTACCGTTTGGATGTACCTCTTCTTCCTTCCGTTCCAGCTTGTCAGCCAATTCGGTTACTACACCATTCCAGGTGTCGCCATCGCTGCTTTCATTTACCTTGGCTTTGTGGCTGCCGGTGAAGAGATTGAACAACCCTTCGGTATGTTTCGTCCCCTTGAATCCACTTCACTTCTCACATGCCATCCCCCTTCCACCAGGCTATGACGACGTAAGTCCACTTCCTAAATCGATATCACGCTGGATGACAGCCCTAACACTTCTGTTCTCAGAACGACTTGGACTTGGACCTCTTCTGCTCTGAGGTCGTAGGATCTGACATCAAGCACCTGAAGCAATCCCCGGCTCTCAACGTGTACCTCGGCCCGCTACAGGAAGACCCACAAATCATCCATCGCCGCTCGATGACCCTCGACTCTATCACCAATAATACCGAGGACGAGGACCTCATCAGCACAGTCCACATTTCGACATAGGCTTTGAGCCTCCCTCGGACATGCCCCTCAGTCCCCCTTTTTAATCAGTATCATCGTCGACCATCTGATTGCGACTAATATCTAACATCTTATCCTAAATTATCACCCCCGGATATTTTGTTCGGTGTTTTGGGATTTGTGATATATTCTATTCTACATTCGGGTACTAGTACTACCGTCTTTACAACCTCGACTGATGAGTCTACTGCTTGGGCTTGATGGGGAACTCTTTCCCGGTGACGCTCTTGAACTGAGAACGGATGGTGTCAGCGATCATCTTGTCCTTCGCCTGCTCAATGGCGCTCTCGTTGTTCTGTGGGCCCTCCTTGAGAACATGCTCTTGGAAGAGATCGATGGCTGCAGATCACATTAGTCGTAGTCGCGGATCGGTTGAGGGGCCGTGCTAACCTTTGTCGAGCATATCTGCATACGAACGGTTAGCGAGGTTCTGACAAGAAAGTCGGAAACAGATCACGTACCCTCTTTCTTCTCAGCCTCGGGTCCACCACCCAAAGCGCCATTCAGTTTTCCAAGAAGCCCATCGGCGAGGGGGTTTCCAGTCTGGAGACCGCTTCCACTCGGCTTCTGCTCATCCTTCTTGTTGTTCTTGGACGCGGTGTCGAGAGCGGTCTTGAGGAAATCCATTGTTGTGACAGGTGGGTGCTGCTGGTGGGTGGTGGTGGTGGAATGAATTAACGATTCATTATCGACGCCGTCCAGCCTTTATGTGCATCTGAGATGATCATGTGCGATCCAAGATGTCACAACAACACGTTGAGTGCACAAGGCTTTGCTCGAATATCGCTATCGATCCGAGATACTGCCTCCACCAAATGAAGTGGTTGAGGGCTAGACTACCTTGGCTGCGATGTTATTTCACCTATCCTGGTATATCTCTGCCCTCGAGGGAGCGTCCTTCTGAATACAGCTGGGGAAGATCCGTGCCCAACTCGACTTCGGGCTCGAGCATGATACAAACTTAGAACGGATTGATTGATTAGGTAGTGACCGTTAGATGGCTGATAGATAGAAGGTTCACTCTCAGCTCTGCATTGTAACTGCTATGTTGACTCAGTGCCTGAAACTGTCCAGATGAATGCCAGCGGAATGCGAAGATGTGTCGTCGTTTACGGAAATAAAATAAGCGCCCAACGCGGATTGATCATGAGGTTAGGGTTTGCACTTTCCTGTAAACACAGCGTCTGGCTCTCCAGTTCTTTCCTCTGGCCAACTTAGACCTCTGTTTGTATCGTAGCTGGTCATTATGTATCTATTTCGAGCCACCGAATCCCTAATGTACATTGGCATCCAAGTTTGATGAGTAATGCAACGACGTCAAAAGAATACGAAAAAAGAGTCCAAAGTGGCGATGGTTACGCCCTCAAGGACTTGCAGATGGCCTTGTGCGCCGGCCAATCCGCCTTCTGGCAGGTAGAGCCGCAATCTGCAAAATCCGTCAGACCGTCCGACAATTCCGAAGAAAGCCTCGCTAGACTTACAGTTGACCGACTTGCAGGCACCGCACTTCATCAACTTTGCATCTCGTTTCCCGCAAGCCTTGCACTTGTCGCTCGCAACCTGTACCTGCCTGACAAACGAAATCCTCCCATCTCCTTCAACCCTAATCGCGCCTATTCCCAGCACTTCCTTCCTGTTGTCTCCAGCTCCAGTAAGACCATACTCCTCAGCCACGACACGGGAGACGTTCTCGTCGTTCATGAGGAGCATGGTGAGGTTATCGCGCGTAGTCTGGACCTCGTTCGCGATATACCGCTCCCAAGGCGTAGTCGCCTTGGTCTTGTCGTTGTACTGGGGGAATTGGGAAGCAATATCGATGGCCTCGCGGTAGCGTTTCACAGCAGTCGGGCGCTCGCCAGCATCCCAGTGCATGAGACCTAGCGTCAATCCGGCAGTTATCCTCATCCCCGCCAGGTACGCCTTCTCTTTTTCAGACTTGAATCGTTCAAACTCATGAGAAGAATTCGGACGATATGAAGCGAGGAGTTTGTACGCGTCAGGCGAGTTTTCTAGCATGAATGATCGTGCAAATCAGCACGCCTGAATCGTTGGTATGAGAATCATGGAACGCACCTTTGGTTCTCCTCATCTGGGGGTCCTTGAAGAACCCAACAAAGTTCCTCCACACGGCTCCCAGCGTCTCTTTGGGAAACGTGGGGTCCGGGACGAGAGCTGGCAAAGGCGCCAAAAGGTTCTCGTTTCTGACAATCTTTTGAATCGCCTTCGCGTAGTACTCCAGCGTTTCATCAACACGATTTTGAGCATAGAGCTGCTCTGCTTTCATGAACAATTGGACGCCGCTGGACATTGTGGTGGTTCGAGAAAAAGACCGTTTGGCGTTTAGGCAAGCTAAATGGAAGGCTTCGAGTAGGGGAAAGCTGGGGAAGGCCCTAGATTTTGATGGCATCAAATGGCATTGCGGCACGAAATAGTCGCCCGTTCCCTCGATCTGCTCGAAAAATTGGGAAGCTGAGCCAAAGCTGAGCCACTTTTCAGAAAGGTGTTATAGACACGAAACAACTGCCCATCGATATTCCCCAAACCATAAATATGCCATATATAATACATTAACTTCGTCCGAATATTCCCATCCGCCTCAGGTCGAAAACCTGGCTTGATTTACTTCTTCTCCGCGATGGGGAACTCCTTGCCAGTGACCTTCTGGTACCCGTCGCGAATAGCGTCGGCGATCATCCTGTCCTTGGCCTGCTCAACTGCGCTCTCGTTATTTTGAGGGCCGGCCTTGAAGACATGCTCCTGGACGAGGTCGATGGCTAACGCGAAAAGGAAACCCATCAGTCAGGATGATTACGTGCTGGTACCGATCGTCAAATACTAACCCTTGTCGAGGGCATCTAGAAGGGAGAGAGGTGTTAGAACACCCTATGGAATGAATAAGACAATCGAATATACTCACCCTCCTTCTTCTCTCCCTGCGCACCGCCTCCCAATGCACCGTTCAAAGATCCCAGGAGACCGTCAGCGATGGCATTGCCAGTCTTGATACCACTGCCGTTGTTGTTGTTGTCCTTGTTCTCGTTCTTCTGCTCCTTCTGCTCCTTGTTATCGCTCTTAGTGGCAGATTCGAGAGCAGACTCGGCGGCCTTCTGGAGGAAATCCATCGGTGCGAAGGGGTATTAAAACGAGGAAGAGAGGAAAGAACGGAGGGCGTAGTAGAATTGACGATGCAGCTGCCTGTTGTTCGCACCTTTCATTCTTATACGCTCCAAGGCTGATCGCGTCGTCCCTGGCTCTAGACAGATCAAGTGAAAAACATTTATCCTTCCACAGCATCGCAATTTAATTATTGTGCGCCTCCGACCCGACGATCATCGCACTTGGCTTGAGCGCCAGGGGCAATGCCGACGATCCGAAGACGCTGATTGGCTCGTCCTTCCTTGGCCGTGTTTCAACGGCTCATTCTGGCTCATTTTTGCATCCTCTGGTTCCATCCCCGCGCGATACAACGACGGGTCCTGAATCAACTTGATCAATTCGATGTCATTCTTCATCGCCTCGCACTGCATCGCCCCGACCTAATTTCAATTCCAAAGGCAAATGGGAAACATTCGTCGAATCGAAGTTCTAAAACACTACGCTACTACATACATACATACAACAAAGAAAGTCTACAACACGTACAATTTCGGCCATGACTACAATTCTACAACACCTAGCCTTCGAGGGCAATACATACAATCTAAATATTCAAACCGCGGTCATCCTCTCAGCGCAACTTGAACCCCATCAGTTCTCTGCTTCGGTCCACCAACTTTCAGAGGGGCAGTGCGAGGGGGGTAAGGCTTCACGCGAGAAAGGTCATATTCGGAGGAAGGTGTCTCTGGGGAGCGTACTGGCGGCGATTTCGATAAACCGAACGCCCCGGTCAAGGGGTACAAAGAGTGGGAAGTGGGAATCGGAGGCAGCATCGGCGACACGCCTGATGATGCACGGCCTTGATTCCAACCGTCCGCCCCACCTCTAGCCCCTAAGCCATCTCCCTCTCCCTTCACCTCGTCTTTACTCGCCGGCGGCGACGCGGGACGGACGAATCGTAGTGGCTTCAGATGAGGATCAAGGGTTTGCACTCGAGTCTTGATGCGAATGTTGCTGGTGCCGTTGGAGGAGATGATGCTTGAGCTGGACACAGCGCGAGGCCGCAGAGACACGCGAGGGCCGAGAGGCTGACGACCACCGCGAGGTGCTTCACGGGGGACGACGATCTTGCGGACACCTGGACCTCCAACGATGGGGCTTCGAACAATGTTCCCGTAACCTCCCTCGTCTTGCTTCCCACCCTCCTGCTTCTTATCTTCCTCGACCTTCCGCTCCCCATCAGCAATCCCGCTATTCGACACACTGCCCTCCCTGGCCATGGCGGAGATGCGGCTGGAGGAGGCTGACGAGATGGTTCGGCCGTCGTCGCTGGATGTGGCGTGGAGAGCGACGTAGGGTGCATCGCTGTGTCTTCGAGCGCGGAGGATGTTGCCGATGACGACAGTGTCCATTCGCTTCACCGTGGGGCCCTTGGAACTGGACGGGTCGCAGATGAAAGACGATCCGTTGGTCGCGTCGGCCGACGAGGCACCGGAGGACGAAGGTTCGCGCGTTGGTGGCAGGGGTCGAGGAGTGATCGCTGGAGGCGGGGTGGGTAGTTTACGAAGGCTGGGTCGATCCTGGGGCATGTCTTCCTCGTCTTCTGGTCTCGCCTTCTCCTTCCCTTTGACCGACTTGCTGTACCTGCTGTGAGAAGACGAGGACTGATCCTCCACGCTCTCCGCCGCCAACCTCTCAGCTATCGCAGACAGGGAAGGAATGGGTGGGGCGACATGGTCCTTCACAGCGAGATGTCCATCTCGATGGATTGTGTTACTCCGGGACATAGACATTTGCGAGTAGATGGACAGCGAATCATCGGAGATAGTCGAGACGGACTGGAAACGCTCCAGGAGGACCGGGAAGGTTGATACGGAAGGCGGAGGTGGCGGGATGGCGCTCTTCGAATCGCTGGCTGGAAGTTCCTCGGGTCCTCGACTTTGCTCTGGGTCCGATGACGCAGGAGCGACTGAGAAAATTACGGAATTTTAGTCTCTGGCTATCTCGGTGATCTTTGCGTCTCACCTTCATTAGTGACTTTCGCAGGAACGGGCGACGGTTTCACCTGGCCATTGTTTGCGCACGGAAGGGGGAGAGGTCGTACGCCAGGGGATCTGACCTTCTTGGTGGGCGTGAGCGGCTCTGGAGGGAGCGCTCTCGATAGCTTGCGCACAGGGCGAGGTGACTGTTGTGTGTGTTCTGTCCATGATGGCCGTGCGTGTACATCCTGGGGAGGACGAGGGGGCATAGGATAGGATACTGGAGTCCGATTGGCCTGGTGGTCGCTCTGGTACTCGGCGTAGGGGTTAAACGACTCCTCACTGTACTTGGAGATGTGGGCGATGGGCAAGGTTGAGGTGGAGATGGTGCCGTTATAGTTCGCCGCAGATAAATAATGCAACGTCTTCTGAGAATCGTTGCGGCTAGTGTCGAATGGTGTAGCGCTGAGCAAGGGCATCATCCCAACAAGATCAGAATCTGTTGGATGATGGGACTTGGTATATCCCTGCTTCGCCATCAAGATGACTTTGCTTTCCGAGAAATGATAGGGCGGGTCGAGGTTGGCCATTTGACGTGCTGCTACATCCTTTTTCTGTTTGCGGCGTCTCTGCATCGGAACAACGATTAGAACCAGCAGGATTACCAATATCAGGAGTGCAGCAGTTGCTCCTCCAACAATAGCGCCCGTATTGGTCTGTCCATGAACCCCGGGTTGAGAAGGTGCAGTCACAGATGGACTGGGTGTTTCTGCGCTTTCCGAAGGAGCCATCTTCAACCTAACGTCGAAGAGGGTGGGATGATGGAGGTAGAGAGAAGAGATGGGCGGTACGACTCGATATTGGCGCGCAACATGATTGAATGAGTCTCAGTTTTACAAGCGTTACTTGGAGTGTACGAGAGCAGCGGTGTTGACGGCGACGAAAACAGAAATCGCGAGCACAGAGGCGCTGCCTTTGATTCTGAAACCAATCATCCCACGATACACAACATCACTGCACCGCCAAGCCCACTCATGTCTTGGCGCTGCGCGACGCACAAGGGCCCCTTCTCTGTGGTGAGCTACTACAAAAAAGGAGGGTATGGAAGTGACACACAAGGGGAACGAGAAGCTTCCCAGTCACCCAGTGGAGTTCGCTGAAAAGTCGTCGCCGAGAGCAGTTATCCATACGAGCGATGATACCGGGTCTCCGACACGCACTTCTGTGCCAGCCTTGCATTGGGCGGTGATCTAGGAAGTAAGAAATAAATTGAGTACATACTGATAGAAAACACACCCACTTACCGTATTCTAAGTTAGTGCGCTTGTGTCGAGCACTAATGGGCCATAGTGGGCTGTCCGACATGGCAACCAAGACTACAGAATGCCAGGAAGGGCTGGAATTTGATTCGTGGTAGGGTTGGATCACCACGTTGAGTTTATGAATACCCACAGACTGCGAACATATGTATAGGCGATAATCACGATCCGCCACTCTGAACCTGATCAGACCTTTGATGAATCACAAGCGCCCATGTAACCGCTAGACGCTCCGTAATCAATCTTATCATATCAGAAGCAAGATGATCATGACGTAGCCTTGGAAATCGTTCCCGATGAATGGACGCTGGTTGAACTCTTTCCACAACAGTAGAGTCCGAACTAAAACAAATGGCGAAGGTGAGCGAATGAATATCTGCCTCTGCGAATGTAGTGACTCACTATAGCTACTCTCAGCAACAAGAGAACGCTTGTCAGACCGAAGGTGGGACTTCGACATGCTTTGGAGGCTTTGTCAACCAAACTGAAAGACCCGGTTTTGCCCCTAGCCTGTCAGTTACACGCATGCCTCAACAAGCACACCTACAGTCCAGAAAAATGCGATCAACAACTCAGGAGGCTGTACGAGTGTTGCCAGCAGTTTTACGACAAAACGTCAAATCAGGGCGAATCCACAGCTTGTCCCATGCCTTCGGTGGTTAAACGATGGCTCAAAGACCACCCTCGGAAATGAGATGTGAAATATCAATGAAAAATGCTCACTGTCGGACACGGTGTGTGTAGAAATAAATTTTATTGCACTTTGAAATGCTTTGAATCTCTGACGGAGATTGTTTTGAAGTTTCGAAGTAGAAGCCCACCACTGGCTCGATACATCATGGCAGAGTCACCCCTGAACGAAAACGGTTGGCGCCCTTCACGCCAGGGAAAGGATTGGCTGCGCTGTATAGACTCGCGCAAAAATTGACCCTGAGCTTGCTTGCAGCATGCCGATTACCTAAACCCCCGACGATCCAAACAATACAGCGCGTACTTTCCCTTATCCGACATTCCTTACTTTGGGGACTCTTTTGTCTCAGGCCACCACATTCACCATGTCCAGCGGTCTACGTCTCTTCCTGCAAGCTGAGAGATCCTATGCTGGAGGCCGTGTCGATGATACACTTTCCTACTACACGAAAGCCATCACGAAGATCCTGAAGTCAGAAACCCTCCTGGCGCCTTTACCGCCCACCTTCTCGCATCCCGCAGTTCCACAAGAAGTTTTAGGAGTGGTGTGGCATAATTTCGCGGGTTTCTTTCGGGACCCTATTCTTAAAAGGACCAGAGGTATGGTTTCAAATTCCTGCCTTCCGTCTCCTGGTATTCTTATGCTCCATTCCAGAGAACTCGCCAGAAGCCTACAAACTTCTGTCCTCGTTCCGCCCCAACTCGCATCACGAGTTCCAACGATTCTCAACGGAACAAGAGAAGACCTATCTCGCGGGAATGAGGATTTCCGCTGGGTTGACACTGGCGCTTATGGCGTGGGATGAACGAGACCGGGCCACCGCTGCAAAGCGATATCGCGATGCAATCGAACCAGTACCCTACCTATCACAGCCAGGACAATGCTACGACAGCTTGGGAGCGCTATATTTCCCGCGATGTCCAGGACGCGCGAAAGAACCTCACGGCGCTCCTCAAGAGCGACGAACGCTTGGCACGTTGCCTGGCGGAAGTGTTTGGCATGACTGGAGCTGGAGAACATAGACGAGAGGTGCTGGGGATTGGTATCATTCGTATTGAAGGCGACGGACGTATCACGTTTTCCGACAACCCACAGGTAGCAAGTGACCGTTGTAAAGCCTGTGGGAAGCGAGATGCGAAGCTTATGAAGTGTTCCGCCTGCAAATCGGTGACTTGTGAGTGGTCCTTCCCATTGTGTCGTCCAGCTTGTGCCTGATAGTCTTCGCCGTAGATTGCAGTGCGGATTGTCAGAAAGCGAATTGGCGGTACGTCCACGATGTTCTTCACGCAAGGTCTCACATACTCATTTCACCCTTAGTGACCACAAGGCCAGGTGCAAGGAACTGAGAGCCTCATCAACTTAAATTTAGCTAAAGATTCTCGTTTTCTGAAATGGCACATACCAACAGTACTCTTCCTGTCGAAGCGGTATCTTGATTTCCCTACTTCACCACAATGGCGAATCTCTTTACAAATTTAGACCTCAGTGTTCTGCCCAACCCATCCCAATGCCTTGTCAGCACCACCCCGTGCCGGGCGCTTATCCCTGGATTCGCGAGGGACGTAAAAGAAGTCCTGATTCGAATCCGAAGCTCCGTGTCAACCTCACGGCTTCGTATAAAACGAAGCTCTGGGCCTGACTGCTCCTCATCTTTAGCTCTTTCCACGACCACCATGGTCACCACGTCTACTGTTGCTTTGGTTGTCGCTTCTACCCTCTTTTTAGCTTTGGTTCGGTCCAGAGCTAATTGGCGAAAGAGAACCAAAGGGTTCCCTTTACCTCCCAGTCGAAAAGGCTGGCCGGTCATTGGCAATGTCCTCGACCTCCCCGGCATTATCGGTACAGAATGGGAAGCGTACGAGCAGTGGGGGAAGGAATTAGGTCAGTGCGTCACCAAACGCAGGGGATTTGGGGCTGACCAGTGCTTGTGGTCTAAGGAAGCGACATGATATATATCAATGGAGTAGCCAAATCCATTGTTGTTCTGAACTCCAGAGAGTTGGCTGTCGACCTGTTCGAAAAGCAGTCATCGATCTTCTCCAGTCGGTAAGTGGCTTCTGTCCCGCGGTGAAGCCCAGGCCGCTTATTGGAAATCAGAGAAACCCTTCGTATGCTGGACCTGTGAGCACATTGAATTGTAGCTAAGTATTTTGCTCACCGTCAGACGGAAAGGATGGGCTGGGATTGGGCCCTCCCGTTCCTTCCCTACGGCGAACCATGGAGGAGTCGACGGCGTCTCTTCCACCAATACCTCCGCCCTAGTGATAAGAAAATGCACGCTGAACGAGCGATCGATTTCCTGAAGCCAATGTTAAACTCACTTCTCTCTGAACCAACCCAAATTCAGCACCGAGCTAAGCAGTAAAATGTCAAACCTTCCTGTCTTTGCGCGTTGACCTAAAGGCACTTGTTTCCAGGGCTATTTCGGGAATCATGTTCTCCCTTGCCTATGGCATCGACATCACCAAGGAGACGAAATACGAGGATATTTGTGAAGCAGCCATACGGCCAGTCGTTTATGCGAGCTTTCCAGGTCGGTACCTGGTCGAGTTTATCCCCCAACTGAATCGTGTCCCTGCCTGGATGCCAGGTGCTGGGTTCCAGAAGGATGCTGCGAAGTGGAGAGCGCTGCAGGACGTCTTCAAGATTGCCCCCTTCCAAGAGACAGTGAAGCGTTCGGTGAGTTTTGCACCCAATGTGTCGAAAGCATTACTGACGACGTCGTGGCAGAAGGAAGATGATCATGTGTCCTCGTTCGTCTCATTGGCACTCAGCGACTTGCCGAATGACCAGACCCGCGCCACCGAACACAGGATCAGAGTGCGCGACGCAGCGGCTATGGTCTACGCTGGTATGAATTATGCTCGCGAAGTTGGTGTGTACTGACATCGGTGTCCGCAGCTGGGAGCGAGACAACCAACTCTGTCCTCGAGTTCCTATTCTACGCGCTTCTGTCTAGGCCAGAAGTGCAAAAGAAGGCGCAGAGGGAACTCGACGACGTTCTGATGGAGACGACTCAAGATGGAGGTGTTCGAATTCGACTTCCTGATATTGAAGACTTCGGGGATATGCCTTACATTAACGCCATCGTCAAAGAAGCGTTGAGGTGGGTTAAGGGAAACTCCGCACCATCCTACAGGTGTTCTATGTACTTACGATGAAGCCTTTTTAGGTGGCAACCGGTGATGCCAGTCGGTTCGTAGTTGAACTCGTGGCGATCATCAAGCGAATTTATCCTCGTCTTATTACCCAGGTGTACCTCACTTATCGACCGCCGACCACATTTACAAAGGCTATTTCATTCCGAAGAGCACTATCGTCATTGGCAATGCATGGTTCGTGCTGCGCTATATCATGTACTTCCCGTCCTCACTGAGATCTTGGTCCAGGGCCATGCTTCGGGACCCCAGGGTGTACGATGATCCCGAGACGTTCAAACCAGAAAGGTTTCTCAAAGCAGACGGATCATTGAACCCAGACGTTCCCGATCCTCACAACGTCGCTTTCGGTTTCGGAAGACGGTGAGCGTCCCCAATTGAGATCAGCATGCATTCTCAATCCTCATTGTCGATCCCAGTCTTTGCCCTGGAAAGCACATCGGGTCCAACTCCATCACATTTGTGGTGTCCTCGGTTCTGCTTCTGTTCGACGTATACAAAGAAGTGGACGACTCGGGCAAGGAAATCATGCCTGAGATGGAAGTCATCAGTGGGCTTGCCAGGTATGGTTCTTCCTTTCTGATCGCCATTTACTCGTCGACGTGATGCTCAACTTGCTTCGAAGAGGTCTAAAGCCTTTCAAATGCGTGTTGAAACCGCGATCCGGAGTTACGAAGTCGTTCCTCGAGTCTCTGTGATCTGGCCGATGATGATGAGAGAGACCTTCCTCTCGACAGCTCTATCCTGAATGCATAGAAACACCTCCTACGTCGCATCACCGCGCTGCTGGGGTTGTCCCCCGAGTACTGCCTGGGACTCATACCTGCGGTGTATGGCCAGGGCGTACTTTGCCAATACAAGTATTCTTTGGGTGTAACTGAGAGGGCAGTTGAACGTCCCGTACTTGAGTTCAGAATCTACGGTCGGAGTTCGAACAGCGCTTCCACCTTGCATTCTACCACCACCCACAGTCAAATTCGCAAACCCAATGTTCCTGAAAACGTTTACTCCTGTCTAGCAGATTCCGCGCGACCTTATCTGCAATTCCTTGGCTCTGTCTTTGAGACTTTCATGCAACACTGCATGCCTCACGATCAGGTGAAATGCGACTCCAACCGATGGAAAGATAAGCGAGGAATCTTCGATAAGGTGCCAACCAAAGCCCCGATTCAGTTCGCAAGACTTGGAAAATCGAGTGCGAGGGCAAAGATAACGGAAGTAATGGCCAGGCTGAGGATGTAGCTCGCGAGGAAAAGAAGGGCGCAGATGAGGCCACCTTCCGACGGAAGATTTCCTTCCTCCCGTGGTGGGAGAAGAGCAGCTCATGTATGTCCCATTTGTAAGTGTCTCCCTTTCCATGCTATCTCTTTCAGCTGATCTTGGGTCTACCACAGGTACAGACCTTGAACGAACCCCTAATCTCAGTGGGCCATCCGTCAAAGTTCTTCTCTGGGGACCTTTCCGGCAAACCGGATCCCTGGTAGGACGAAGCACTCGAGCGTTATTCGAATGGGACACGCCCAGAACGCGGGCCTGTGTCCTCAAAGATACCTGGCGCTTCGTAGAGGGTGACGCGATGGCTCAAAAATCAGAGGTCGTTGAAACTCTTCATCGCAGGCAGGTCCCCGACATCCCCGGACTCATTTCCAAGGATGACGTTGAAGGAGAGGATGCTTTGACACATTTTTCACCTGATTGGGTCGCCGTGACGAAAAGCAAGGGCTGGGGTAGCGGCATGCACTTCAGGAGACATCGTTGCCTTCTTTTGGACTTCATTCCGAGATTCCTCGAGCAGTTCAGGCCAAGAGGCGCTCACCACGTGGATTCAGGAAATACGGGAGGCTTTCGAAGGGCGCTATGGTAGAGGAGGGAAGGATTTCGACGAGCACGAACCTGACTACATGCTCGCAGCATTCCAAAAGGCACTGGATCCCGCTGCCAAATGGGGAGACAATTCGACGCGTCTCCCCACCGTTCATTCGGATCCTTGAACTTCGAGAGCCAACGGTACGCCTCAGGCCAAGGGCGACAACACTTCCAAATGTCCTGAACAGTCGTAAATTCAAGAACATGCGATTGGAAGTTTATTGGCCTTTTCTTGATTCCTTTGCCATCTAAACCATATATTCCTCATCCACTGTCATTTCTCCCTTTGTAGTTCTTACCGCGAGTAATACGGCTGATACTTGTTATGCCGTGCGTCATCTTCGAGTATCGCCAATTCACGACGTGATTCCTGCCCTCCTCCGAATAGATAAATTTACCTCCGTTTCCGTCTGCTTCTTCCATAGTGACTGTTAACATTGAAACTCACGAGGGAGCCAACCGGTCGATCGAACAATTAAAAAGCGAGCTGAATTTCTGAGTTGACAGACACTCCGAAGGAGCTGATTCAGCACCAAAGTGTTGATATCCATGTCCGGAAGAGTGTACTTACCCGTTAGCAAGGCGCAACATGACGATACTTTAGCCTCACAATCGATCCCAGCCTCTGTCCTAGAAGCACATCGGAGCCAACTCGTAGTCGCGATTCGGGCGAAGACAGTCCATATTCGGCTAGGACCTGATGGCAAATTGATGGGACTTCCCAAAGCGGCGGTGCCATCAGGTCCCACCATCAATCGGGCAGGGACCCCGATGCAGGCGTGCTGGAGTCGCCTCATTAGTGGACTTGACAGGTAAGTCTCCCCCAATCTTTATTTACCTCTCATGCTGACGCTCATCTCGGTTGGAAGGGGGCTATCAATCTTTTCGATCAGTCTTGAAGCCATGTTCCGAAGCTAGCAGGTCATTCGTCGAGCCTCTGTGATCTGTCCGAGACGGTTGTCACCTTTCATGTAGACGGGGGATTACCGAATTGCTCTATACTTCGTAACCGCCCGTCCTCAGAGGAATGAGCCTCTTGTTGCGAATAAGGATCCTTAAGTGGCTATATTCAACACCTCGCTCATCTAAATAGGTAGGCCTGGCTGTCTTTTTGACTATCGCACGACCATCTGGTGGGCCGGTCGAAGGTGGGGGGTTGGAGGAATACACGCTTCGATTCATGTATCAGAGATGGGTGGGGTGGCCTTAAACCCTCACTAGAGCATAACGAGAGAGAGCTGGGTACAGGGCAATCCGCTACCGAAAGTTCTTCCGTGACGAGGACCACATAAAAGGGCTGTAGGGGAAGATCACCGCGCTCTGTCCATTGGACTCCACTAAGCATGCCCACCTCATTCTCTTTCAAATTTGACACCCCTGCTTACAAGGGCGTCACGTCCTTTGAAACGGGTTTGTTCATTGACGGAAAGTTCGTCGATGGCTCGGAGGGAACAACAATCGAGTACGTCGTTCACAATTTACTGCGCGCTTCCCCATTGACAACATGATTCCGAATCGCTTTCCAGGGTCATAAACCCAAGTTCGTCATTCTTCAATCCTGCGATGTCATCAAAACTGAGGCGTTACACCTGCAGCACCGTCTCGGAGGGTACTCCGAAGGATGTCGATCGCGCCGTCGAGGCCGCCCAGAAAGCCTTTGACACCTGGGGTCTGAATGCTCCTGGGAGTCAGCGTGCCAATATTCTCTGGAAACTTGCCCAGGTCATGGAGGACGCCGCCGATGAGTTGGCGGCGCTGGAGTCACTCGATAACGGTACAACCAGGCAGAATTTTAGCTTGACAGTACACTCATATCCACCGAACTACAGGAAAAACGTACAGCTGGTCCCACGGAACGGATGTTCCTTGTACTATGCGGGTTGGGCCGACAAACACGGTGGCAAAACCCTTGAGGTGCAGTTTCTCAAACCTCTCCCCTGCGGGAGTCCGACTGACTGGAATCTTTGTCAGACGAACGAAGATACCTTTGCGTATACTCGCCATGAGCCCATTGGAGTTGTTGGACAAATCATTCCTTGTCAGCTCCCCATCCTTAGCTGAAAGCAATCCAACTGATCATTCGTCTCGTCCAGGGAACTTCCCTCGTAAGACAACGCTGGACTTTAAACAGAGACGATATTGACAAGTTACTCTAGTCCTCATGTTCATCTGGAAGATTGCACCAGGTAAATCCGAGGGCCTACTACATACGAGTCGTTTTATCGCTGCTCACAGCGCTCGACCTAGCTCTCGCCACAGGGAACAATCTTCGTCCAGTCAGGGGTCTATGATGAGTTCCTCCAGAAGTTCACCGAGAAGGCAAAGAGTATCAAAATCGGCGACCCATTCGACGAGGGAATAGACCAAGGTCCTCAGATCTCGAAAATCCAGTACGATCGTATTATGGGGTACATCGACTCGGGGAAGGCAGATGGTGCCCATGTCCATCTCGGGGGCGGGCGTGTCGGAGAGGAAGGCTACTTTATCGAACCTACCATCTTCACTAATGTATCCGCTGAGATGAAGATCGTCAAAGAGGAGATATTCGGACCGGTTGGCGTGATCATCAAGTTCGAAGACGAGGAGGGTGAGCTTTCAAAAGCCTATTGGGAGCGGAATTCTAATTAGTCTTCATAGATATCGTCCGACAAGCTAACGACACCAGTAAGTTGATCCTCCACTCTCTCTCGCAGCGGTAAAGCCTCGAACTATGATTTTTGCTATCAGCGTACGGTTTGGCGGCTGCTGTTTTCAGCCGTGATATCAACCAAGCCATTCGAACTACTCATAAACTAAAGGCTGGAACCGTGTGGGTTAACTGCTACAACACTTTCTACCCTTCCGTTCCTTTCGGAGGGTACAAGCAATCAGGTATTGGGAGGGAACTTGGAGAATACGCCCTGAGCAAGTGAGTGGTCCACATAGAAATTCTCTCTCGTCATCATCTGACCAGATCACAGCTACACCAACGTCAAAGCAGTGCAGATCAACTTGGGTAACGCATAATTGTAATCAGACCAACATCTCGGATATTCGTATGTACGCAGCCCTTGCCTCCTTCTACCGTAGCAGTGATCGAACAAAGTCGAATACTTGGATTCGTTTCGCAGGAGGAACTTCCGGTCCGCGATATCGACGAGTGGTAACGACAAGTATCCCTGACAGAGGACAAAAGTCACAGTTGATCTCGTGATCCCAGTCTTCGTCGATGTCCTTGATGTGCGCCATGGGAAGGAGTATCGATTCGCGCGGTTGGATTGGCTGAGTCGACGACCTTGATGGATCCGAGACTGATACGTACACAGAAGCGGACTGAGGGTTTCGCATGGGGGGAGTCGCATCTGAGTCGTCATCGTCCGGAGACGGTGGTACCCAGATAGATGTAGCGATGAGCTTCCCCTTGTACGGCCGGTGGAATGACGAAAACCGTCCCAGACCATCCAAATCCCGCGCCACGTCCCACCCCAGGTCGGTTACTTGAACTGGTGTCTGCGAAGCAAGGTCTATGGATATACGGTACCAAGCTCTCTTCGTGGCTGCTTCTGAGACGCCGACATGGTGCACATAGTAGTATGAAGGTTTGAGGGAGCCTGCAAAGCCTCGCCAAGCCTCGCACTCGCCGTCGCAGATCAGGGCGTGTCCTGGGAGTGACACCGATATCTGACTAGGGTCTGGAGTCGGTCCTAGCTGGGTAACATCGATGACGGAGCCTGCCTCTGGCAGTGGCATCAATGGTGGAATTTCGTATACTGTGAGTTTGTCATCCTCGAAGACCAATAACTTGTCCCCCGCTAGCGAGATCTGGAACATAGGGGCAGCTGAGTGTTCGTTGGAATCAGACCGCGATTGAAACGCACCTGAAATCTGAACATCTCCGAATCACCTCCAATGAGGTCCCAGGCGACATAGGCATTTTCTTGGAAATTCCAAGCAATAATTGTGCGCCTGATTCGAAATAAGACATAATTCTCTGTGATGTCGAGGTCCTCTTCATAAGCATCGATGTCGGTCTCCGTTTCAGAGAACGGATAGAAAAGTGGGAGCGGGTCCCCAATCTTCCGGAGTTGAAGGTCTCCATCCGTGAAATTGAGTTCCATGATCTGAAAAATCTTCAGCTTCTCTGGATCCCAGCCAGCACTGATGGTTAAAGAATTTAGTCGCGGATGCGGTTATAAAGTGGAGTCTGGGACGTACTAAAGTTCGTCATAGTCGAAGGGTTCCAGCGAAAGCATGAACCGTACAGACGTCGTGTCAGCACCCAAGGCAGGCAGAACGACAGCATCTTGGGCAAAGTTCCAGGGTAAATCTAGTCTTCGCTCAATGGGAGTGGCGAGATTCTGGAGGTAGGGCGCAAGATCCCACACGTGAAGGAAACCGGCGCTGAAGAGCAAAATAAACCTTCCTCCAGGGAGGAGTTCGATCGACTCGAAGCCAAAATCCTCGTCGGAGTTGTCAACGAAAGATTCGAGGAGATCCAGGGAAACGCTTGGCAGGGGCTTGTCGGACCGGCTCTGCGAATCCTTTTCGAGAATGGGCCCCATCATCTCAATCCTCCTGGCCACGGATTCTTGACCTTTGGGTGACATTGGACCCCATTTGAATGTAGGAGAGAACAGTTCACTCGAGTGGCAGATTCTGTCCAGACAAGCATTCCAGATTGTATCGTAAAAAGATTTTTCGAACGCGTAAAGCTCTTTGCAGGTCTGTCGAGGTGCCCCAGTATGATGAGTTACCAGATAAAAAAGCAGAATTTACTAGTAGGACTTCACCTGGCGAAGGGCGACAATGTCTTCCGCTCCCAGATAAAGACATAGGCGTATTATGAGTTCCGAGGGCAGATCCAGGAGGTAGGATATCGACGACATGATGGTGGTCGATAGGCAAATTATCTCCCGCTAAATGGCCGCAGTGCGCACGGCGTTAGACTGGCTGAGGAGATTTGATGGCTGTCTGGTCGGAGCTCGAAATCAATTGCTTGTAAGTGCTTCTAAGGGCGTGTACTTTGCACGCCGCCTACTTACTTACCGAGGATCCGCTGTGATAGCGTCTACCTAGACGATATTATTACTGCAGAGTTCTCTCTGTCATTGCCTGGTTGTTATAAAAATGTTCTAGTGCCCCAGATAGTGACCTGGTGCTGCAATCAGCCTACCAGGTTCCACACTGTGTCATCCGGCCCATCCTGGATACTAGCTCATACAGCTGCTATAACTCATAGATCTCCCTGATGGTACTACTTTACATACTAGCTCGCCGTTTATCCGGCACTGAAAGACGCGTTTTTAACTTTGAACTTCGCTTTCCTCGGTCAAACTTAGGGGCTATTATGGGTTCGGCTTGTCGAAGCGTACGGATTACGAGCTTATCATTGAAGTGGTTGCACTACTATGCCGAAGTACGAGGGAGTACTCCGCCAGAAATTCTTCCGAGTCACCTCCTCGCATCAACGTTTTCTTAACTGTAACTTTCTCTGAGAGACGCGACGCGTCGCGTCGCGTCGTGTTTTGGAACCGCGATCACGGGGTCCGATAAAACGGAAAAGTTCAGAGGTGCCTCGACTCGGCGCCAGCCCTTTCTTCCAACCCTTCAACATCTCCTGGATCACTTCGACAGTAAATGCACGTATCGTCGACGTTGAACGCCGCCAACACAGCGGACAAACTACCAGTTGCTATCTTCGTCTACGAAAATCGAAGAAAGTTTCTTCTGAAGGAAAAGAAATATGAGGTGTGGTCTTTGGTTGGTACTTGTATGATTAAAACTGAGAAGACACCCGTAGGAAGCGTTGAAGTCCGTAAAGCAGGCCTTTGGCTTGGGCTTGAACCAAGAAATTGTGCTGAAAACGAGCACGCTTGACGTGTGTCGAGACCGGCTGGTTGATATCGATCCCAGCGCGTACCCACATTTGTGGTCCGTTCTGGACGAGATCGTCGTCTTCACACCAGACCAAACCACAAGTACGTGCTACTATGTCAATAACAACCTTTTTCTCAACCTTCCGTAGAGGATGAACCCATGACTCCAGTCCGTGTCCCCCGAGTGAGCACTGTGCAAGAGACAACTCGGACGAGCACTCGAACCTCGATTTCAGGTTCGAGAGTATCACTAGCGCGCCAGTCTGCCAGACCGTCCACCAGCTCTCGCCCAAGGCCGTCCCACACCCCCGCTCCGCAACCCCCGATCCATGAAGAGCACATGGAGGAAAGCGCAGATTCCCAAGATCACCACGGAGAGAACTTTACGGAGGAGGCTGCTATCGCTGACGAGCTCGACGCCGAACTTCTCGAGGAAGAAGGGGCTGCCACTGGCGCTATGGAGGAGGAAGAAGAGGAAGAAGAAGCACCGCCTCCTGCTCCCAGCCGGGCAGCTACAGAACCCCGCACGCCACGTGCCACCAACCAGGAGCAGTCTACCGCCAAACGCCAACTGGCTGAAGAACTCTTCCCTGAATCACCACCGCCCCCACCTTCGAAGAAGCTGCACGCTGCCAGCTCGGAATCGCCTGTCAAGCAGGAACGCGCCTCAAGGGCCGAACCGTCGGCTTCGATTCGCCCAACATCCAGTGTTGCAAGTACGATCGACGAGAACAGCCGGATTGGCGTCATGATCAGTGGCCCGGATGGTGAAAACCAATCTGCTCAGTTCAAGATGCGGGGAAGGCACACGATTCAAAAGATACTCAAGGCTGTCTGCCTGAGCTTCGAAATGGATTTGGCAAGGTTCGTCGTGGTGCCTGTTGTCACAGCGCAAATCTGATGCATTTTGACAGCTCACAACTTTATCTGGTCCGCGAAGTGTTCGACGAGGACGATACCTTGGTCAACACTGAACTCGTGCTTTGCCCCAAGAACCAGACAGCTGCCCAATGTGGTCTCTACAACGGGGCCAAGATGGTGGTTCGCTCAGAGGACGACGATGAAGACGATTACGAGGATGGGTACTAATCGCATTGCTGTCATGGTAGTACAAATTACAGTGTTATTCTTTCCATCAAGGCAAGCTGAGGACGGTGTGCATAAAGGTATCGTAGTTGATCTGGATCCACCCATCACGGTCGGTGTCGAGCTTTTGGAAGGACTCGCTGAGGGTCTTGACGACGACGCAAGCACGGACGAAGCGGTCGAACGAGATGCCAGGCGCGGGGGCACCGGGAGCGGCAGTTTGGTTGGCTTTAGCGTCTACCCCAGACGTGGGGTAGTAGGATAAGCGTTCGGCGAATTACCCATGGAGATTCAAATAGACGGTGCTCACCATATTTCTTCTGCAGGAGATCGAGGAGTTGAGGGGAGAGATGGTATCCGAATTGACCGAGCGCCTCGCGGAGTTCGTTGCCATCGATAGAGCCGGAGCGGTCGCGATCGAAGTGCTTGAAGACGTTTTGCCAGTCCTGGAGAAGGCATAAGGTGAATTCCAAAACGAGGCACTTGGTAACACACCTTGATATACTTCCAAAGACCAGCAAACTAATACCTTCGGTTAGAAACTGCGTCGAGGAACAAGGCTCGTGCGCGCACCTCATTGAATCCAATGGTACCGCTGCGGTCGACGTCCTGGGAGCCAAGTCAGCCAAATGCGACGAGCACGGGTGCGAGACGGTGCTCACGAAAATCGACATCAACATCTTGACAGTATCCAAGTCAAAGGCTGTGCGAGGGCGATCCGATAAGCACATTCACTGTCGTCGCCAGAAGTGGGTGCTTACGAGTCCAGTCGCCGTTGATGAGCGCCCGCTCTGGAAGAAATGCTGTCAGCCATCGGTACCACCATGGACTAGGCTCCCCACGTACCCAATTCTGTGGCGTTGATATGACCTGATCTGTCGGTATCAACAGCAGTGAACCAGCCCCACAGCCTTCAAGTTCCAAGTTCGACGAGCGCCACAGGAGATTCGACGACGATGAGCACGATCAGCTTTCGTATGCCGGTTTGAGAGTGCGAAATGAAGACGCACTGAGGGTCAGCACCAGGGGGCGGAGGACGATGGCCTCCTTGAGGGGCAAATCCACCGCCGTATCCCTAAACAAAAGCCGTGCAGTAAGCCACAGCCGTCGTTTTTCGCCAATAATTTAGGGTACTCACCGGCGGTCCAGCCGGGGGTGCACCGTAGCCTCCAGGCGGTGGGGGTGCACCATATCCTCCTGGAGGAGGGGCGCCGTACCCTCCATATCCTCCTCCAGGGGGCGGTGGGGGTCCTCCGTATCCTCCTGGAGGGCCTCCGTACTAAATCGTCAAAAACGTCAGCGCTTTTTTAGATTACAGCTAGTAAAGCATTCCGTTTCGTACCGGTGGGTAAGACATTTAAGAGATTAGAGGAGAAACGATTGAAATGTGGACGTTGGGAGTAAGAAACAGCCTGGTTTCACTGCCTCCTGGGTTGGATCTTATCTCGGTGATTGCCGCTCGGTAGTAGTAGCAGGAATGCCAATTGTTTCTTGAAGTTGGACGTTGAAGTCAAGTTGCAGTTGGAATTGACCAAGTTCCAACTTCAGCTCGCCGCTTTTTACGAAAGTTCAGATTGACTTTGTATCGCGAAGCAGGCACGCGTGGTTTCCATGGAAGCCTTTGGAGTTACGTTCGCATGAAAGGCTGCAGCTGCGCAATCGCCACTACTCATAATCACTGTGACGACGCAATCCTGCCACCACAATGGTCCATGGCCACCGTGTTCCCCTTATAAAAGGGAGAAGGAGAAATCGAGGGTGGAAGCCCTGGGACTTACGACGCCACGAATTGGTTTATTCCCATTTCTTGTTCGAACTTGGCGCAGCAATTCGCCCAGCGCGATGACAATCCGGGATTCTCGCAACGGTACGTTCTTTGGAATATCAACCTGTATCTGAAGCTAAAAATCCTGTCTGTTTACCACCGCAAGTAGAGAAAAGTCCCCTCCCATTTTCGATACTCCCGCTCAAGTGGCAAATTGCCCGCGAGGACGCGCACGGAGGCCACCGTGCCACCCAAGCAGCAATGGCAACACTACCTGCTTTCAGCGGGGTGAACCGCTTGCCGGAAGAGATTTTGGGGAAGGTGTTCAAAGAGCTCTTTCCTGAAGAAGCCACCGAGTATCACCGAATGGAGCTTACTTCGCTTATGGCTGTCTGCCATGATTGGAGAAGCATAATTCTGTCTACGCCGCAGCTCTGGAACAACCTCTCTGTTTCTCTGGATTTGTGTTGGGTCGATGGTCAAGTAAATCCTTGCATCGACCCGCAGTTTGCGACCCGCATCCGAAACTGGTTCAATCGCGCCCAGGCACTGCCTTTGACCCTCTCCTTGACTAGAGAAAGCATGGACACTTTTCCATCTGATGCACTGTCCACTCTAAACGGCATTCTCGCTCTTCTTCTCGAAGATCGCCACTGGACGTCGTTTCGACTTCGACTGAAGAATGCACGCGATACACTCATTCAAGAGGCCCTCAAGAGCTTTTTTGCTCGCCTTAAGGACACCCGTCATCGCCCATGGAAAAGCCTCCGCTGCCTAGAACTGCCTCTTTCTTACACCTGGATGTCGTCGCCGAGTCTGTGGCCAGTTCTCAACGAGCCACTCCAAACGCACACCCCTTTACTGCGATGCATGGAGATACATCTTTCCTTACCCCAGTCTCTCCAAACGGCGCCCACTATTTCCCATGAATCTCTTAAACATCTACGGTTAACCATTCCAAGCCCCTCCGTCCTTTCAATTCTCACTGGATTCCCCAAATTGACGAGCCTCGAGGTCCGGCTCACCTCAACTCGACTTTGCCATTTCTCCGGCTCTTCGTCTGTCCTTCGAGTCAAGCACCCGGGGATCACCAACCTGACAGTCCTTGATGCAACCCTGACCTCTTTTAACTGCCTCACGCTGCCTAACCTCAATCACCTGCGGATTGGCAGTCACGACCTCTTCACAAGTTCGCTAACCAAGGTAGAGCACGGATCGGCCTTGGACGCATTCCTCCGACGCTCTGAATGCCAGCTTCAATCCCTTCGGTTCGATAAAACTATCACGCTGCCCCCAGACCAGCTTCGTATTCTACTAGAAAGACTGTCACGGATGCCAACCCTGGAAGAGCTGGCTTTCTCGTCCGAGGATGCATTTCCCGACCAACTGGCATACGGGGTGAGCAATCTGAACGCGTCCCAGGTCCCCGGTCCATATCGACCCCTGGTTCTCCCAGCACTTCGAAAACTCACCTTGCATCGACAAAGCGCCAACTTCAACCTCTCGGCATTCATTTCCTACCTGGAGGACAGGCAATGTCTGTTCCATTCGATGGATCCGAAAGAGCGTCGGAAGCCGCATCTCCCACCTCTTACCGTCGAATTATCTCGCCCTTTCTGCGCTTTCGAAATGAACTGCTGGTGCCGTACGCGCGACAGAGAAAAGTTCGCGAAATTGAAGGAGTTAGGTGTTCAGATAGTCGTCGGTGGGGATTTGTGGATTTGAAGGGGCATCTCCGTGTACGTCAGTTAGGGACTCGTAATAGCTGTAAGTAGACTATGAAATTTACCTCTTAATTATCGTCGCTCGTACTGTGGACTTGAGGAAGCGTTTGGTACCTGAAGTTCAAGGTACGACGCTCTGAACGGAATACGGCATGGTTCGGCATCTTGGGCTGAGCGCTGGTTTTTGAATCTCCGCACGAAATGAGGTTTCAGCGAGATCAGCCCAACTTGGTCTCGTCCTCATCGTTCTTGTTGCTGTCGTCGTCGTCGATCTCGCCATCGACAAATTCACAATTTGGTGTCTCCTGCTGCTATTGGCAACAGATCCTGACGTCGTCGCTGTCGAGCTCGACAGTGGACGCTGATCCAACACATTTCCCCGCCGCCGTCCTCGACCAGCTCGCCACGAAATCAACGCGGTGTTGATTCTGCTCTGAGGGCTCGGAAGGGCGTCTATAACTGTTTCTCTCCATCTCGGGTTGCGCCGTTGGTGACATGGACCACGAGGCAGTCATCCAGAGCCTCCGCGACGAGCGGGACAGAATCCGTCAGCAACTCAGAACGGCTGAAGGGCAACTCGCTGAGGCCAACAGGACTGTTCTTCGCTTGACCGACGAAAATGAGAACCTACAGAAGCTCGCCAAAAACTGGGAGAAGGATAGCGACCGCGCTAGGCAAGACAATGACCGCCTCCGGGACGACATGAGGTTACAACGAGAAGAAATCCTTGAACTCAGGGAACAGCTCAAGGAGGCGAAAGTTGAACTACAGAGGAACGGGCACACAGTGAGTCCTTATTACTGAACATGATTTGATCTGTTACTGACATGACGTGTTAGACGCCGGGCCTCCGTCCAAAATCGGTGGGGAATTTGCCACCATCTCGTTGAATAGTTCTGAATTATGACGGACTATTCGACAGGTGCCTGATAGATCCCCCTCTCTGCAACTCTTGGACGGTCCACCAGCTCAAGTGACTCCCAAGGTCGAAACTTTGGAGCCTCAAGCGTGCATCCAGGCTGCCCCAGCTGCTCAAGCTGGCCGCGCTCTCAAAAGGGCTCCAGAATCAGAGGATCCTCGACCTCTATCGTCGTCGAAGCGGATCAAGACGGAGCAACCTCAGCCTTCACTCAGTCTACCTCCTTCACCTCTCACTCCGCTTTCGTCCCTTTCTCCTATCCCCGAGTCCACCCTTTCGACGGCTCCACAAGGGCCTACCGCCCAAACTGCCACTCCACCTGTCACGCCGAAAGGTGAAGACGATGCGGGCGACACTGTTGATACTTCCGATGCAACGAATGGCGTGCAAGGCCAACCTGATGTGAGTTCGTTTCTCTACAGCTAGGGAGGCCAATTGGATTGACGTCCTCCAGGTCAAGGTCAAAGAAGAAGCGATTAGACTCTCGTCCAGCGCCATTCAAGCCTACCTCGCAGGCGGGAGGCGTCTAGAAATCTCGCCAAGACCAGATAAAATTTCCGTCTCTCGCAAATTTGTTCGACTGGCGTACGGTGGAAGTGATCAGCAGTTCGTCCAGAAGATCCCTGCTGAGAAGAATCCTTCAGCCGCAAAGATTCGACGGCTGGTTTGGCCCAAGATAGAGATGAACCCATCCATGCCTCGACAACCTGGGGACCTTGGTCTCCTATTCGCGTCTCGACACGACGTGTTACACGACGGGCCTTGGACTGTCTTCTGTCGCGACACGGCGAGCAAGGAAACCTTATGGTGCTATCTGGGAGAATACGAGAGTGTCTTGGTCGGTAAAATGACTGCCGAACAGTTTCGGGAACAGAAGGCTCCCGTACGTCACTATACGCCACACATTCGTCCATCCGCTGACTGCCCATGATCATAGGTGAAAGCGCAATGGGGCTCGCTGCTGCTGTCACAGCGCCAACAGGAGGTGTATGTCGCCATGAGGGCGCGCATTGCGCTTCGTAGGGCTGGCCTAATACCGACCGACAGCAAGAACGAAGACAAGAAACTCATCGCCACCGAGATTCAGAACGTGAGAGAGAACAGAGGACACCCGGTCGAAGCAGAAGATATTATCCAAGCATTTGAACGTGGCGATGAGGTGAGTGAGTTTGAGTTGTAATCGTCGCGCATTGTGATAACAAAAACGCGACACCAGGGAATTGACATCATCCGCATGGATTGCGTTGCGTATGACCGTGTCTTTGCAAATGACCTCCGAACCAAGTTTCGCAATTACCCGCAAATGCTGGCGACGGGCGCGCAGAAGAAAGGAGGGAGTTCCAAGGCTATCAGGGGGAGGGGTAAGCCAAACAGGGGCCGTGGAAGTCCTATTCGACAAAGGCCATCCCCTTCGAATCCTTCGATCGTGCGTGGACGTAGTGCTCTACCGGAGATGACGGCAGTGCAGTCTGCCCCGGAAACACGGTCACCACGACCTCCACGAGTACAATCACCCGGCTCCACTTCTTCACGGCGTTCGAACCTTCCCTCGGCACACAGCTCATCGACTTCGTCGAGGCCACGACGGAACCGCAGTGTTTGGGACCACGAACGAGGGGAGAGAGTGAGGGTAGCTTCGGCGGCCCCACCGGACACCCGAGAAAACGAAGACCTCGACCCACCCTCGGAATCGGAATCAATGGCATCCTTCTACATGGATAGCGATACTGGGTAACGACCGACAATCCTGGTGCATCGTTAACCCTCGTTGCATGGCTATGAATAGCCACAACGTTGTCCACGCATTCACTGAACATGCGTCTTCCTCATTTCATCTCCATCCTGCCTCGTTTCATCACCCACGCCGATATAAATAATATTCTTCGCGATCCTCCCGCTCGTCGAACTCCCAGGAACGCTGCTCTCCCCATTAAACCCTCGATATGTCAGCATCACGCTGTGCCACCGCCAACCCGGATATTTCTGGAATTGGGGTCCGTCTAGCTATTTATATCCAAGCCAGCCTAAGTCTCCTCGTTGGATTTGCTCTCACTCGCCTCGACGACAGAAGCGACATCAAAAAACTCTATTATGGGCGCAAGTTGGTTGCTGGTTGGTCCGGAAACCTGTCTTTCTTAGGATGTGCCCTTCTCCTGGCTGGGCTCATTGAAGAAGCGACCGCCACACTCGGCATCTACCACGCCATCGTCATTCTCTATTTAAGCTGGATAATCCACATCAGCTCCATGTCCTACATCGTTTTTTCCTGCACAACCGAGAACACAAGCGACTCGTCGGATATTCCGGGGTGGAAGGGGTGGTTGCGCCGCAGGGATGATCTGCCACTGGGTCTGCTCACGGGATGGGTGGTTCATGGCGCCTGCTTGGGCGCGTTTGGCATTTATGTTTGGAAGGGAATGGTGATGTCCGCACCGCGGACGTGCACATCTTGCATTATTGTCGTGGTCCTTGGAAAGGAACTTCGCGCCTCGGACCCCAGTCTTCGGGTCGGATCGCTCATTATTTATTCACTGGCCATCGTGCCCTTCGTCATCGCCATCATCCCCGCCCTTCTGTGTGTCGTAGTCTACGGGGTCCTCGACCTGTCTAGGCGTGCGGTATGGGCCGCCCTCCTACCCTTCGATCCCGCTGGACTCAAACTCATGTGGGCGGTGTCCAGCACGGTCGGGGTTGGATCTCTCCTGGCGGTTCTCATTGCCAATGCGGAGATGACCATCGTCCGAAACTCTCATCTAAACCCTGCTGGACGAGATGAGGAGTCGAGATGGACATTCGGCCAGACGCTGGCCATGATTATGGTCCTGTCTCCCTTGGTGGAAGTTGCAAAGGCTTGGACGAAGGGAATTAAACGCCTGAAGACCGCGGAAGTAGGCAGTCGCATAGTTGGCGATGTGGAATGAAGGTATCCGATCCTACTGTTCATATAATTACAATAATTTGAAACATAAGTCATAGTTAAGAATGTCGTAAGGCTGGGCTGGGTCTCCTGGATAGCTAAGTAAGAACGCCGTTTTTCTGCAATAATTTCTCAATTTTCTTCACTTGACCCTTGCTCATGCCACACTCTATTCTCAACGTGGCCAAAGCCCCATGCACCTCTTCGACCGCGACCCTTCGCTTTCCAATCGTCCACCACAAAAATCTCAACTTGACGGTCCTGTACGTCACGGCATTGAGCCACTTGACCCTGTCCTTGACGATCCACGGTTTTGACCGGATACAGACAGCGGGGATGATTTCGTGCACCTTCTCCCTCGTTGGCTCGTATTCGGAATCGAGTAGGCGCTTGTTTTCTCCTGGAAGTCTTTTCCCTCGCGTTGTCGCCCCGCAGATCTGGTCGCAGAAGGTGATTTTTGCCTTGTCAAAGGACCGTTTATTCTCCATCCACCACTGATTCAAATCTTCCTCGTTCTCAAGCCCATTGATGACCGCCACTATCGGCACGGATTGCTGACAGAATATATTGTGGTACAGGGTCCAGTTCTTTGATAAACCGCTTGTGATCCTCCCGCGTATGCAGAAGAGAAGGAGATGGACCCCACCCCCGTCATGGGATGCTTTCCTTCCAAAGCAGCGTCACCTGGTTCCTCGACCAGCAAAAATCCCCCACCAAGCAAAAAGAATACCAAGGCAACAACCGCAAAGCCGTCAACTAACACACCGGAGTAAGTCATCCTCTCCACCGATTGGGCCCGGGCTGACAGCTTTAGACGCCCAACGCCACGAGTGTCCCAGCCCGCTGTCGTCCCAAACCTCGTGGTGTTTGGGGAGACTGGCGCAGGCAAGAGCTCTTTCATCAATATGCTCGCCGGTCGTGATGTCACCAAAGCCTCCAGTTCGGCCAAAGGTGTCACCTCCAAGAACTTGGAATTCAGCCTCAAGATCGAGAACCAGGATTACCGGATATGGGATACCGCTGGGCTGAACGAGACTGACAAGGGAACGGTTTCGTCGCAGAAGGCGCTCGAGAACTTGCGAACCCTTATTCAAAACCTTGCCCAGACATCCAGCGGCGTCAACCTGCTCATCTATTGCATAGCAGGACAGGGATTCAGCGAGATTCTCCGAATCAATTTCGATTTGGTTTGGGGAATCATGTGCCAAGCTCGTGTTCCCATCTTGATAGTGATAACGAAGCAGGAGCTCGCCGAGGGTGACAGCTGGTGGAAAACGCACTCATCACGGCTGTTGCTTCCAGGGATTGCCGCACAGCACCTTCAGCACTTACCGATTGTCGCGACCAAAGGGAAGGATAACCGATACGCTTCCCAGTACGAGAAGTCGTGTGTCGAGGTGAAGAAACTTATTCGACAAATGGTGAACGGTCCGGGATGGAAGCCGCCACCCTCCACATGGCCGGTAGTACGGAAACAGATGGCGGCCTATGGTAACCAGAGGAAGGCCTCGAAGAAGGGGGAGGATCGGAAACTAGTAGTAAATAATTACAAAACGTCCAGTACTACTAAGGTCAATAAAACGAAGCGGTAGCTGTAGCTCGAAGTTTGTACTTGGAGCACTTTTACGCCTCTGACCTACACTTCGCTATTTCGTCTTCCATTCGATTAGAAGGGAATGAGTTGACGCGAATCCAGTCATTGGACGGGAGCGTTGAACCAAAACGGTAAGCTCTCTTCCAGAAGAAGCAGATCACCTTCCGGATTGAGAATTTAAAAGTAATGGGCTGGTGAACAACGTGAATCATAATGAAAGTGTGGATACTACATGTTATAACGATAGGTAGAATAGTGGAAAAATAAAAAGAGATCCATGATAGTCGTGTAATTACTCCACCGAGAGAACATCTAGTCCCCGATGTTTATTAGAGTACAACGTCACAGGGACGTGTTCGAGTCGTGATGCCTACAGTCCTCCAGCAACGGAGACCTCTTCTTCTCTTGGGTTTCGCATATACTGGGGCGGCAAATCATCAACAGTATTTCCAGCGATCAATGAAGCATCGTCAGTGATCAGCTCTGAAACAGACATGTGGGTCGGAGGTGGACGTCGAACGTATGTCGGCGCTCGCGTGAGCCGTGAGCTTCGTGATGTTCGACGCGACTGGAGTAACGGCGCACTCGAGTTTGATGATGACACAGTCGTTAACTGCGAACTGGAGGCCTGTGTTGTTATGGATCCTGCGCGGTGATGGGAACTTTGGCGATCCATGGTGTATCTCCGCTTATTGTCAAGAGGGAAATTTGAAGACGCTGTCGACGATACCGAAATATCAAACGGGTCTATCGAGTGAGTCCGAGAGCTAGTCGATCGGAAGCCAAACTCGGACTGATCTGGAGTCTGCGGCGGAGAATTTGGTAGAGACGGAGGTGGGGGATATGAAATTGGTTGGGGGGTTCCCTGTCGCGATGGTGGGTCTTGAATAGGTAGAGGGGGCGAAATGACATGTTCTGGAGGCGGAATTTCCCGGTGTTTGGAGATTATCGGAGGTAGTTTCGATCTAGAGCTCTTTCTGTAACGGAAGAAAAGGAAGCTTGACAAACCACCAAGCAGAATGCCCACAATGAAGCTCCCGATGCTCGACCCAACCGCCGTAGTAGTGAATGTCGTCTTCGGTCTGCAAACATGTCAACAATGGAAGATTCTTAGAAGGCTGGGTACCCACATTGAGCTCGGAGAAAGGCAGTCTGGTCGTCCAGAACGGGCGTGAAGGGGACCTCTCGACCATACCAACCCATCAGCGCTGGCCAAAGATAGGAAGAAGGGAAATCCTTCCGGCTAGAACGGGGCGGGCGCTCCATCAACTGATTTCCTGGAGGAATGTTTGTAAACCTTACCAGTGCAACAGTCCAGTTGATAGCATTCATATTGTCGGAGGTGATGTTGACGGGTGGGTGGAAACTAGGCGATACCTAGCCGGGCTAGGGGTCAGTGTCCAGTGAGGCCTGGTAGGTGACATCCCTGCGTACCGTTAACGTAAATGGTGGCGACCCATTTCTGGGTTTCACGCTCAGGTCTGAGCACTGGAACAGATTTCAATGTCAATGGAGTGATTGAGTTCCAGAGAAATGAAGCAGGCACACCTGATCAATCAGAGGAACTGGAGGGTCGATCTCGGGACCGCTCATTGGACTGACAGTGGCATTGAGGGGGGAAGGCGGTGCAGTTAACTGCTCACAGGTGGTCGTGTTTGATGACGGAGGTACCACTGTGTACAGCGCTCTACATCCTCCTGACACACCGAATGTGTCGTACTGGGCGATAACCATCAATCGAAGTTCTTCTGAGTAACGAGATTGCCAACTTACGATGCAAATCTGGTACTGTTCCGAGGTGAGCAGATGACGATGGAGTGAGCACTGTACTTGAATCTACCTGTGTTCCAGGGGAGAAAGGCACTCGCCACTCCTAAACGAGGGAAAATTGTCAGCGGCTGCACATCGAGAGACTGCGCGCCCACATACGAATTTGGGACCAGCTCCAGCAGGAATAATGAAGGGATGGGGCGATTCCCTGTAGCGCCCGTTAGTTCATCTGCGAGGGGCGGAGAAGCGCAAAAGCACTGACGATGAAAGGACCTGAAGGAAATAGGGAGCGGTTGGCGGAGTACTAGAGGCGCGTCGACTCGATCAGTAGTGGAGAGTGAACGACACCCTAATCGTTACTTACCCTTTCGCCCCATTTCGACCCCACTTCAGCTCAATCGCTTCACATTGGGCTGATCCGAAATGCTCAGCGAGCTCCCCGAGGGAAGTGGAGTGGTACTCACGCGTTATCGGGACTGGGGCTGTTCGACCACCTGAGTAATCCGGATCGAATGAAAAACCCTATAAGCAGTCTTTAGCATACGGTAGAAAGTGTTACTGGAGACAATATTGGCCTACCGCGTCAAGAAAAGGAACGACCTTTGCCAAGGCAGACCCGAACTCGGTGGCAAGGGTCAGAAATAAGACAGCCGCCCAAGGGCGTCCATGCATACTGACGGTGGGCAGAGACGGGGGGTGAGAAAGCAGAGCCGGAACGAAAACGCCAGTGTTTATATAGCAGTGTGCCCCTTGCGGCATTCTGTAACGAGCTAGATCTCGCCACGAGGAACAGCCCGTCCTCATCGTGACAAGTGCGCCCACGGTGATCCCCAATTACATTCCCCGCCGCCCTCCGTTATCCCGGTTAGGTAGCTTTAGATATGGATCTTGTCACCTCGGTGATATACAAGAATATGGATACAATGTGGTATAATCCCTCTGAGAAGTAGCCTTTCTCAGTCGCTAGTATAGTCAGGAGCGCATGCATATTCAAAACCAATCCCAATCGGTTTTGACGTGTTGATGTTGACATTGATCCTCATCATAAAGCGAGCTAAGACACAGCCTGGCTATAACCTCCTTTCGGGGGCGGTACAGTCCATGGAGGTTGTCTAGCAGCATTCCTGTGGTAATGATACACTTTGGTCGATACCCTTGCCCCAGACGCCGTTCTGCTTTTCGATTTCTTCCATCCCGAGCGCTGATTTTCATACCGAGGGATACACCTTCGGGGGGGTGGGACGAAGTAAGTCCATGTCACGATAATAATTCGCTTTTAGTCGGCCATAAATCCCTATCCAATGTTGGTCTGAGCATTGGATGAAGTGGGCTCGAGCCATCGCCGCCCGCAAGGAAGGACTCCTCAACATCAATCCATGTTGGGTATGACTTCAGGAAGGAAGTTGCCCCACAAATAAGTGATATTTCCGTTCGCAGAACCTGATAGCCATTATCGAGGTACGAAGCTTATTGGCTGAAAACACCTATGTGTATGGTATATACTTGATGATCTTGGGTGCTGCAGTTGTGGGTCCTCGGGCGATCCAGGGATGGGCGCTTCTTGAATCCAAGCGGAGATATATAAAGCAGACGGCCCGAATGCCTCATCGGGCGCCTAAACGAGGACGCGGGCAGACGCTGACTTCAGAATCAGACGGCTTGGAATTCTTCGAAGCTACATTTCTTTCTCACTTGTGACACCCTTCCAAGCCTTAGCTAATGCAGAAGATCGAAGGGCCAATACGAGCTTCTGCAGGTCCGACATCTAACCGACAATAAAATCCAGAATACCTGCCAGTGCCCCAACGCCTCATTCATTCCCTCCTACCCCGAAATGATCTTTCGCAAAGTAGCGCTTAATAGTGCTTTGGCTCTCTTTGCCATCTCAGTTCATGCTCAAGATGGAGAAAACTCGCCGCCGTCAACGTCATCATCGACCTCATCACTGCTCGTGAGGACCACCTCCGGTTCGGTTGAAGGTTACCTCGACTCCGCCACTACCTCAGTGCCTTTGCACAAATGGCTGGGAATTCCGTTCGCCCAAACTACGGCTGGTCGAAATCGATGGAAGCCACCAGTCGCCCTCAATCCCAAGCCAAGATCTGTGTTCAATGCTTCGGAATATGGTCCAGCATGCTTGCAGGGAAGGTGGGCCTAACCTAACGCCGGTTTGTCAAAAGGAGAATTTCCGACGCATTATAGGGAGTACGGTGGAAACGGGACCGAGGTTCAAAGCGAAGACTGTCTACGGATTAATATAATCGCCCCAGTCAACGCCTCCGGTTTGGCTGTGTACCTCTATTCGCAGTAAGTGCCGTAAACTGGATCTCTGCGAGGCTGACCATGAAGTGGCACAGCGGCGGAGGTTTCGACAGTGGTGCATCTTCCGACCCCAAAATTGACGGATCGTATTTAGCGGCTAGGGTAAGGACTCGCATGACTTCTGGTTGTCGAGAAGCATGATCTGGAATTGCAAACAGGGTATCATTTTCGCCAGCTATAATTACCGACTGTCTCTGTTTGGCTATCCTCACGCTTCGGAGATTGCTAGAGAAGGCAAAACTCAGAATCTCGGATTGTTGGATACCAGAGTCGCGGTGGAATGGCTCTACGCGAACGTACGTCGCTTTGGAGGGGATCCAAATAAGATCACACTAGGCGGTACGCACTGAACGTTAGAACTCTGACTGGAAGGCATAACTAAACGCTGTCTTTTCTCATAGGCGAGTCTGTCGGTGGAGGTGAGACTTCCGAACAGTGCCTCCAACTCGGTTCTAATCCTTCGGTAGAAATGACCAATCTGTATATGACTGCCTATCCGCGCAACTCGCTCATCCGTGCGGCTATTATGCAAAGTGGGGACAGTAAGTAATACTTTCTGCCCGTCCCCGTATCACCCTCGCGCTGACTGCTTCTGAACAAAAGCTGCTCAGCCGATGTGGCCAGAAAACCAAGAGCTTTCCAAAGTTTCCACTGCTCTGAATTGCCCCTCCGGTCGTGGCCAGCTTGACTGTTTAAGGAGGAAGTCGGGAGACGAACTTCGAAGGGCTCTCTTAGACACGAAGGCACAGTTCCAGCCCGTCACGGACAATGTCACTATTTGGAAAGAGTGCGTTGCTCTCAAAGACGTTCGCCCCAGTCGTCACTGACCTTCTAGCAGTTTTGTGCACCAAACCAGAAGAGGTCGCACAGCTCGCATCCCCCTTCTGGTCGGGACAAACAAGGTACGGAAAGTCCAGTAATGAATGATATGGGATGAAATATGACGACGACCATCAGGACGAAGGTACTTTGATTGTAGAAGGAGAGCCTACAGCATATTTAGACGATATTGTTGCCTACAGGTAGGTTCTCAAAAATCATCGGATAAGACAAAAAGGCTGAATATACCTCAGCAAAAGTAACAACCTCAATTTCCCGTTCACCGACATCGACGTTCTTCAAAAGCTCTATCCAGTTCCTTCGGAAGAATATCCTTCGGCTTACAATGCTTCGGCAGGCATGTGGCGAGATGCACATATGCTCTGTCTAGCCAGTAATCTAGCCAAGCATCGAACTGAAGACCTCAGACTTCCAGTCTGGCGCTATAGGTGGGACCACGTTGCGCCAAACCTCAACTCTCGCGGGGTACGGATTGGCGCCTTCCACGGTGGTATCATTCGGTTCGTCATGGGTCAATGGAGGACGATCGTTCTATCACCACCTTTTGTCGGAGCTACCCCAGAGCAGATTGCCATCTCAGATTTGATGGTCGCTGCTTGGACGAACTTTATCAAAGGTAGAAAGATTTCTATCTCGGTATGAATATCGGATCGATTCAAATGTTATATGACAGATCCGTATAGGGGGCCACAGATCCCGGGTTGGAAGAAATACGACACAAGAGATCCAACGACCCTGGCCATCCTTGGTCTTTCCACGACCCGAGCGTTACCTGGGGATCATCATCAAGTTGATTCAGTCTGTGATTATTGGAACAAGGTTCTCCCCCAGTTCCCGCAAGTAAGCACCTTCACCTTCCGCCTCCGTGTCACTCCCGTTCTCATTTATGATCAGGTATTTCCACCTTGTGGTAGCTGGACGTGTTAGAGCGACTGTGCGGGAAAGGCTGTTTAACTTGCGTACATCCAACCAAAATCTGAACCTCCAAGTCCCATATACGTAGCCTGTCGAGTTGGTGGCGTCTCTGTTCCTTTCCCCAAGGGTTCTGCGTTGTCCAGCCTATACCATGCACAATTTCCACCTTGATTTGAGTTGTCGTTCATCAGAGCTTCGCAGGTTTCACCATGGGCACAGTGCCGGTGTTGCCGAGTGTCGGAGAAAGAATAGTCATTACATCAGGGTGATAGCCGCGCGCTGGCACACGGCTGCATTCTTTGGCCTGCCACGGCTTGACTTGAACGTCCACGATCTAGGACCGCGAAGATGTCTTTGACAGGACTTCCCCTCGAACTTCAGGTTCAAATCTTCGCCTATTTGGACCCTGAGGGTATCGTCGCCTTCAGGCAGGTAATGGCGTTTGTTTTCATGCGACATTCCATTGAAACTGACAGCGATGCCGAAAGACTTGCAGACACTTTCATACGTTAGAGAGATCTTTCCATCTTTCTATCTGGCAGCAATGCGTCGAAATACTGTGCTCTGGGAGCCCTCTGTTTCTGCCCACATTCCAATTCCCGACGCTGTCCTCTAAGGCTTTGGAATCGATGGCAAGGCGAGCCTCGTTGATGGAGCCCATATTGGAAGCCAAGCAAAGAGATCCTGGTGCAGAACCACTCGCCTTCAAGACCCTTGATCTAGAGTCTCGTGAAAATTCGGCAGCTGGATTTAACGGCGTCTTTTTACTTCCCGGTGGTCGTTTCATTCTAGCCCTTGGTGACAAAGACCTCCAGGTCTGGGATTTAGCGCCTTACCATGAACGATTTGCCATGCCTATCATCGTCAAGTCGTTCTCTATCCCCGCCTCTTTATCCTCTCGCGCCTTTACGGCGATGGGCAGCAAGGACAGGGTTTTCATCCTTCTGGAAGACAATTTCGATGAATTGGAGGCCGACAGTGGCCGTTTTGAAGCATAGTGAGTCACCGACTCACATTCAAGCTCTATCCCGCTTGCCCCTTTCTTATTATTCACAACCAGTGGAGTGAATGCCAATGAAGAATTTGACATCAACACCGCGTACGAATTGCGAATCGCAGGAGATGAACCCACATTCGTCAAACTCGGCGAGGTTGCTTTCGTCAGGGAGTACGCCGCAGGGTCCAAGGACCTCTTCACATTCGCGGAGAACATGGCGATAATGTATATCGACGATGCTCTCCTCGTCTGGGACTTTGTCAATGGCACATACGCTGCCTGGTTGGTCCACGGCGCATCGCCTTTCAGACCAGTACTCGAGGTAGGTTCCAGTGTCTGAATAATGTCCTAGCTCACGCGTCATACCATCAGATCTTCTCGTCGAACGGACATGTCTACGTCCTGAGAGGTATCGAGTTCTTGGTGTATCCCATCCCACCACTTACACCTCTTGGTGATCGACCCCGCGCCTTACGAAAATCGGCGCTGTTAGCCTCCCCTGTTCCCCACCCTCAGCGAATACGTCTTCCGGAGCTTCATGACTTTGGTCAATATTCCATCTTTTTCGACGACGTCGGCACTTGGGGCTTGGACAGTGCTAGGAAAGGTCCTTATGCAGTGCGGGACTACCACGAGAACTGGCTCGAGACGATCTGGTACAACCTCCCCGACCCCCCGGCGTCAAGCGCAGCCACCGTCTCAGTAGCTGCATCCGAGAAGCATACCTATCCACCCAATATGTTTGGAATTGGTGAAGTCGTCAGGCCTTACCGCGGACGGCTCGTCACAGCATCCTTGTGGGAGGATTTGGAGTTGGATGATGACACTCGGGGGCATGTGGACGTCAAGGCATACGCCTCCATTTCTTCGCGGTACGATGGTTCATCCACTGCACAGTCAGCGCAGGAAACGGAAGGAAAGCCGCTCATCACCCTGGCGCCCGTTCACTCGAACGCGACGGTTTGCGACTTTGACCCTTTCTCTGGCATCCTGGTTGTAGCTGGCCCTCGGGCTCTTGGCTGCCCGATTCGAATTTACGACTTCATTCGCCCACTTCTCCCAACGACATCGCCATAGCCATACTATTTACTGTGGAATCAATTCTGTGAAAGTTGCGATACACCTTTAACACCGGTACCATTAACCATCTTGAATCCCTGGTAGGTTTCACCGTAGCACTGCTCACCTTGGAGTTGTATGGGCTTTGATCTATTCTCCATCCTGAGGTCAAATTTGCTAATCGCGAATTCATCTTTCTCGACAGGGAGAAGGCTGTGTCAGATCAGACATTAGTGGGATAGACTGAGAGCGGATACAACACAACTCACTGAGCCGTGAAGCTATTGAGTTGAACATTCTGTGCAGGACCGACGCGAACCCTGAATTTCATCGTGCGTGTAACCTCGAAACTTCCCTCGATGACAATCTGTCGCAGTCTCAGCCACAGTGTCGTCTCAATCTGACATCCAATACTAGAGACACACCTTATCTCCTTCCCACCTTCCTGCCAGATCCTGCCAAACAATCTTGACGTTCGTAGTGGCAACCTGCGAAGCCTGGAGTTGTTCCTTGAAATCGTCCAAGGTCATCGCTTCACCATTCAATGTGACTTTGGCAGTAGGTTGGAAGCTTTTCTCGAAGTGTTTTGAGTAACCCTCTACATCTGCCTGCCCAGGTTGGGTGTACAGAAACTCGAGGCGTTCCTTGACCCAGGCTTTGCTCTCTGGTGGAGGTCTCGACATGGGTTCTAAGAGCGTAAACGGTGTGAGGGATCGCACGAGTCTCAGAAGATTGGAGTACTTGAGGCAAGAGATGCTAAGAAAAAAGACGAGAAGGAAGGTGAGAGTGGCGAATCTAGCCATCGTCGTCCAACCCCGTCAGGCGGGGGAGGGGAGGAGACTTTCATGGAGAGTGACGTCATACAGCCCCTATTTCGAATGTGGATTGCGATTCAGGTTGGATTCAGGGGTCGATGGTAGAAATACGCGATTAGGGCTAAGGAGAGGATGAGTTCAAGTTATCGTGATTATTAAAGTGTGTACGGCGTAGGTCTCCTGACATTGGTCGTGACAAGAATTATTTACAGGAATCAAGATCAGTCAAGAGACGAAGAAGGTAAGGACGGTCGTGCGATATCAATAACTCGAACAGAGCCATATCCCGCTGCAACTAAAATTCCGGAAAACGGGTCGAAGTCGAAGGTACAGGTTTCCGATGGAACATCCGCCAGTCGAATTGGATACAATGGTTTAATTTCCAGAGATGAATCTTCCTGAGTGACGCTGTAGCGAGAGGAGAGGCAAGCGAAAACGGAAACATCCCAAACATGCTTGCTCCCCAGCCGAGGGTGTTGACACAAAGAGGCCACAAGTTCCCGGCTGTCATAGTCCCGCTTGATAGTCCTTATGTATGCGCTCTCGTCGTGATAACCGACCTTTTCTCGCCCTAAAGCCTTGACCGTGCTTGTGCGAGGGTGGGCGGCATCCAGAAGACCATACCAAGTCGTGATGGTGTCGTTACGGTCGAAATCGTGAACTGAGAAAACGATATTGTCGCTGTCCTTGAGGCCCCATGTAGCTTTCGACTCCGAGTAAGGCTCCATGCTCGAGTCGAAGGTGAGGCGATCGTGCCTGAGGGGTAAACGGATGATATGAGAGGAGTATGGCGAAAAAGGAATGGAGGAAATCCGCAGTATCTGGGGCTTGCGATTTGCATCCTGAATGGGAGTAAGCGGGGGTATCTCAAACATAACAAGCTCGCCTTTCTGGCGGTAAAAGACGATGCCCTGCGAAGTGAATACCTGGATCGAAAGAAAGGGATCAACTTTTAACGAGCGGAAACTGAGCAACGTGCGACTGACTGTAATGTCCTGAGGGTCATATTCTCGTTCCGTCACTCGCCAGGCATGGTAGGAATGGTTTTTGAAGTCCCACACAACCATGGAGCCATCCACAAATAACAGAGCTCGATTGTCAGTGAGGATGTTCAGGTCGTCCAGTTCAGCTTGGGAGTCCAGATCTCGAATAAGCCCGATATCCCCCAGCTTGGTCAACTGAGGCTCCTTTCCCGAGAAACGGAGTTCGTACATCACGAATACCGACCACCATTCCTCGTCCGAATCTTCCAGGTGACTGGCGGACTGCATTAATGTTGGGTACGCAAGGAGAGCCAGAAGGTGGCACGTACCACTGGAAACGCCTTCGCAGTTCGACAGTAGGCGCATTGGTTGGATACCCATCGTCATCCTCAAGTTCAAAGTCCTCAAAAGCCAATAAGATTTGAACCGTTGCAGCATCGCCATCGCTTGTGGCCATTACCGTGGATGTAGGGGAAAGGGGAACGGGGAACCTTTTGATAAAGGCCGGAGCTTCATGGCTCTCGAGGAATGGCGCTAGGTCCCAGACTTGAAGCCACAATTCTGTGACAATCAGAAGGAATCGGCCGCCCGGGAGGAGGTAGACTTCGTCAATCTCCACATCGACCAGATGGTCGTGCCAAATGTCCCATTGGAAACTGGGAACCGGCTGGAGCTCGCTCCGTGACTGGTGGCCATTACGGTATTGAAGGAACGTGGGCTCCAAACATGATACCCTTCGGGCTATGGACTCGAGGCATTTCGAAGAGATCGGGGTCTGGAAAGTGGGAGGAAACAAGGGATGCTTGAGGGTCATTTGCGTCAGACAGCCCTTCCAAATCGCATCATGAAAAGTCTTCTCGACATCGCGGAGGTGTTTGCAAGTCTGCGAAATGTCAAAGGAGTCAGCCCTTGGACATGGGGAACAGGTTTTAATTTTTCCGAAGCTTTACCTGCCGTACAGAGACGATGCCTTCTGGATCTAAAGAGCTCAGTATTTTAACCTGGAGCTCTGATGGTAAGTCTAGGAAATGAGAGTAAGTGGCCATTGCCAAGTTGGTGGTGGTTGAAAGGAAGGCACGAGTAAGAGTCGAACTCCGCACGGATGAGTCCTCCGTTAATCCCGAAGCCTTTCCGCATTTGGACAGAGAGCCCCTGTCTTTTCAAACTTGAAGCTTCCCAGAATCCCAGGGGGGGGGGGGGGGGTCATTGGGGAAAACGCTATTAATTGCTTTCGGTATATGTACAAACGAGCCCGAAAGCTACGACAAGGAATTAAGTGTCAATCATTTAATAATAAATATCACTTGGCGCCGATATTGTGGGCAACTGGATGAAGGGAACTAGCTGATCCCAGATGCGTAACGGGTGTCGGTATGGCTATGTGCTATGACTTTAAGGAGTGGGGACAATTTGGATAGAGGTGGCTGAGGCCGGGAGGCTTTCAAATTTGGGGCAGAGCTCACTCCAGGAAGCTGAAGATATTATTAGAATCAGATTTAGACATGAGTGGAAGGAACTCACGGGGAGGTGGGCTGGTTGAAGGAATGTCACTGGGAGCTTCCATGAAGACCATAGCGAGGCCACTATATCCGAAAGGTAAGAGACTGAAAGAAACGTTCAGAAGAGCTGGATTCTTACAGGACGAGGTGGAACTCAATGTGGCTGAAGTATTGATAGAAGACAGTTGGATCAGTGTCGGCCAGCAAGAAGAGATGGTGAACACATACCAATGGAAGAACCAAGGTCCTGGGTTATCCGTGGTGAAGCGAATGGTGACGTTGTCGCTTGCACCTCCAACGTCGACAACGTCGCGGCGGACGGGATTCTCATAGTTGTAAGTGCTGCTGCCCGCACTTCTCACAACGCTGAAGGCATGCTAATAAACGGCAGTTACAATGAGCTTTTATGCGATGTCAGCCATCAAAGACCTAGACTCACGCCGTGCAGGTGGAAAGGATGCTATCGGGAAATTTCAGTTAGACCCCGATACCCGAAGAAGCCGAAGACAACTCACAGGTCCAGCGAGCTCGAATCCAGGGATGGATACTTCGACAACACGGTTTCGAGGCAAAGTATGGATCGCACCACTGGGAACAATATCAGCAGGTGGGACGCCGTTCATGATTTGAACCATGACAGGGCTGTCGGGATTGGCCCAGGTAACACCGTTGATCTCGAAGCCGGCAGGTCCAAGGCCCATCTGAAGCACAATGTTCTCGTCGGCCGGACCACTTCCTCCTGGGGCACCAGGGTTCAAGAGGGCATGGAGGTTGGATTCGTGAAGCGCAACGGGGTTAGTGACAGGAGTGCTGGTGGGATTGGCATTGGGAGCGCCAGCATAGCGCAGAATCGCCGAGTTGATACCTCCAGAAGAGAAATTTGGGAGATTGTTGCTTCCAACGTTGGGGATCGCACGGATCCAGTAATTTCCGACAGGCCTATTCGCACTGAGGACAAATGAGTAGCGCTGACCTGTGACGGGTACGGAACAGTCAGAATTATCGCCTCTTCGATGACAAGAAAACCTGGATGGGTAGTTCTCACCTGCGAAGATCTGGATTTCGTCGACCATGAGAGGCTCGGTCAACTGTCCGTCAGCTTCGATGACAGTCAACTTGTGTCCGTCAATGGAGAACTTGTAGTTGGGATCGCACGACATTGACACAAGTCGGAATCTGTAGCGCCGGTTCCGTTGGACGTTGACGATTGCGATGTCAGTCTCTGGTCCTCCCGGGCGTCGACCTTTGCCGTTGATCAAGGTCGCGTCGGAAAGCGCAGGCCCCTCAATAGAGGGTGCCTGTAGGTGGTACCTAGACTCGTGGTTAACGAAAGAACACCGGTTGTACTGGATACTAATCTTACCAGTCTACCAAGGTAATGACAGTGTCGGCTACACGATCGATGTCATAAGTTGGCGAACGGCATCACTTTCTCTATATTTAGGCTCACCATTGTCAACTGAAGGTCCGCGATAGGATAATTGTCAGAATGTCTTCCCTAGGAATGAAATGAAATAACGCTTACCATCGTAAAGGTTCCTGTGCGGGTCATTCGGATCGTAGATCACGAGCGGGCCTCTCAATCCGTCGCAATATTGAGTTCCTAGTCGGGTATGAGACACTGCAACGAACAGCTTGCACTTTGGCAACTTACCGAAATGAGAGTGGTACCAGAATGTGCCAGCTTCATTTCCAGCATTGAACCTGTACTCAAACGACTCTCCGTTCTGAGCGATCGGGCACTGAGTGACTCCGTCGGGGCCATCTGCCCAGGCTGTGCCGTGCTGGAACACTCCGTGCCAATGCTGTTTTGTAGAGCCGTCACCATGAAGCACTCCAATCTTCGTTGTAGACCAGATGTTTGACGTACCACACTCGTCTGCCGAAGCATAGTGGGATCATTAAGGTCGTTGACAACGTTGATTCGGAAGTTGTCACCCTGAAGGTTTTCTGTTTAGGATCATCGATGTTAGCAAGAGATGGATAACATCGCTCACCTTGTTCGCCCGTACAAGGGGCCCAGGATGTTGGCCATTTACAGCAACGACGCTATCGTCAGGATAGGTGAGTTAAACGCCATGAAGGAAGCAGAGGGGTGGTTGGACGTACGGGCGATTGAAACCGTCAGGGCTCGCGTCAATGTTCGAGACCGTCATGGTACTGGTCGGGCCAAGGATTTGACCTGCGACACTGACCAGTACAACAGCCAAGTAGGCGAGAGAGAAAAGTTTCCTGGACATGGCGACGCGGTAAAATATGATAAGTCCCAAGAAGAAGGGAGAAAAGAGGATGGATGAACCCAGTATGAGAGAGACTTCAGTGGGTCGAGTCTTTATAGCTCCTATACTCTCCTCTTATCAAGGGACAATTCCATCTGGACAAAAGTGACTGATGAAAAACATACACAGACCCATTCTAGACAGAATGAATCACCAGTTAATCGTCCAAATGGCAGTATCTGTGAACGTAAATCAACTCTTCTCCTCTCTGGATGAGAATCTGCTGCGACGGTACCGTATTGCCCTCTCCGTGTGCCTCGTAACATACCCCTTCTGTCAGGCTCAGTGGCAGAGTTTGATCATACCACAATTTTCGGGGGCGGTACACCTTCAACACAGTCCCAAAGCTGCGACATTTCCGACGACAGAACGTGGGTCAGTTACGGAATTGACATCCCACTACGCCCATTTGGTACCAACGGCGAAAAATCCTGCCTTCAGAAACAGGAAGTCGTTGCTCTATATATAGATGCAAACATCTTGCCGTCGATTCAGCCTTGGAGTTCGCGAAGCCAGCATCGCTACGAAGTACTTCGTGAAGAGAACGTGCAAGCAGTGAGTGCTTCTTTTCCACATTCCAGCGCCAACTGTTCGATGCATCATTCGGGCAGGGATGAAACCTGATAATCGAAGATGAGTATCATCATGGAACAGCACAACCGAATGACCTCACCAGGGTTCCTCCCGCGTGCTGTTACCGTTTTCGATTCAAATATTGAAAGGCGCCCATCAAGGATCGCTAAAATTGACGGGCAGCTCTGGGAATAGCTCTGTATTTCGGATTCGGCGAGTGATAAAGATAGAGGCATTTGTCGACCCACCGAACTTCCGAATACACAGGATACCGGTGGACATTCGAGTTATTAGACGCAACCGCCATCTAGCGCAAAGACGTTGACAGTTTTGGAAAGACGATCGCGAAGGAAGCGCCCCTGTGGAAACACTGGAAGGACGGATCAACCCTCGACACCATGAAGAAGAGCGAAATTAGTTCCAATTGGCAATTCCAGACGGTAATTTGGCTTACGAAGAAATTGGTTCTATGACAAAGGTAGTCGCAGTGGTTGAATGTCGTTGAGAATGATAGCGATCGTTGACAGTCGTTACCTCGGTCTGGCGCCTGACTCACCCGACTGTGACACTCGAAAACGACGGAGTCATGAAAGAGGCGAGAACTGCACGCTTTGTTTTCAATTCGGGGTTCTTCGCATCCGGACGTGTCGAGACGCAAACAGTCCACGGAACTATCGCGGGAAGGCGGCTAAGTTCTCGCCCACTTACCCTTTGCATTCGTCCAACAGGACCCCCTCTGAGCATGGCAGGGCTTACCAAAGGAGAAAACGACGACCAGGCACCAAAAGTGAGACCAGGGTTTAGAGTACCCTTTGATTGAGATCTAGGGACGTGAATGGACGGACTGGTAACTGAAATTAGAGGCTGTAGCAGTTGTCTCTAGTCGCGCCAAAAATACTTTACCTCGGCCAGAGTGTCGGCAGTATCCACCTCTTCTATTTCTAGCGACATATGAGGGGGAGCGGGCTTGAAGAAACTGTTAGTTAGGACGAGGTTATTGGGCAACGGCTCATCACAATCCATTTTTGCGGGTGCAGTCACCCGCCGACTCCGAAACCTAGATTGGCATTTAAACAAGGACGATGAGGTATATTAGAGCACGGCCAAATTAAGTACACATTACCCCCGACGCGCGAGGCGACTATCTCGAAACGCAATTCGTCTCGTTCGCCACTGTTGCCTCCGCTGCCAACTCGGCGTCACCCATCCTCGACGCGAGACGACGCGCGTGCCAAATTCAAGTTCCTGGCAGTTTGGTGACAAGTGGCGAACGAAAACGGTGTAAAGCCCATTCCATCGCACATACCGTCGGTCCATCAGGCCCCAAACTTGAAGCTGAATGCTGGACCAGGCGTCGCTGATATCGGTGGTCCTGGAGTGACGGGTGCGGCGATGATAGGCGCTGGTATGTGTGGGTTGCTCACGGGTGTCGAGGGTACGATTGGGGCAGGTGCGGGTTGGTTAAAGAACTGTCGAATCTCTGCGCTGTTCAGTTCTTTGCCCGCGAGCATAAAGAATACCCGAAGTTCCTGGAGAGAAGATATCATCAGTCGCGTCCCATTCGTGTGATATATGTCATTAGTTACCTCAAAACTGTGGTCTGCAAATAACGGTTGGCAGACTATACTTTCCATCTTCTCGCGAGAGTCGGTCGGTGGTAATGTTGAGGCCGTCGAAGTGGACGTAGGGGTGACAGTAGACATGACGAAGGGGTCCATTTTGACTGACAGGGGTGGAAGTTTATTGCCCTTCAGATAGGCATAATATCGTAGCTCCTAAATCGAGGATCAACAACTGGTTTAGCCTTTTGGTTGAATGAAAACACTCACCTCTGGGCTAAAGAACGCGTATTCAGCCGCGGCTACTATCGAATGAAAAGTCTCAGAATCCACTTTCGCTGGCTTAAACTCTTGACCGATAGGAAGTTGAGAAGGGTCGCGACATGTTGGGACCGGTGCCAACGTTGTCGTGGCGGTCGTTGAGCTCAATAAACTGGATGTTCCTGGTGGTGAAGCCGAGTACGGCTTGAATAGCGGCGGCAAGCCCAATGCTGAGCGCGCAACATCCGATGCTGGTTCTTGAGGGCACGGTTGTGGTGGCCTTCCTGTAGTCATATACGCTTTAAGATAATCATCAATTCTTACTTCCTACATTCATTTAATTGGTCAGGAATCGTTATACGATTTGCGCAAGATCTACAAGGTTAGAACTTACCTCGAAGCTCTTGTTTAGGCCCTCCATGGCCCCTATTGTCATGAATTTCTGCGTATCATCAATCACAGCCATCTTTCGGTCTTGATTTCGAGCTTTAGATCCTAAATCTCAGTCCTATCGAGATAAATTGGAGAAAAACGAGGAAGAAGATATGGTCCGCGGTTAACCTGCGAACCCGAATTCGGCGCAGCCTTGGGTGTGGCTTTGTTTGCCTAAACGGGCATCACCAAACAGAGGCAAGCATCCCTGTCCGACTCGCATCTCCGAGTCAGTGAAAGTTTGGGTGCAAGACAGATGTTCCCCTGGTACTTCGCGTTGGACGAGATTCCAAGAAGTATCGGTAGTAGGTCCTATTCATAGAGACGCGTATCTAGGTGCGTGGCTACCTGTAGAACTTCTTGTACACACGAAATGCACGTTTGGTTTCGTCCAAAAGACTATGTGGAATTTACCGCCAGACAGGGGGCTTTGTCCTAATGCGGAGATGGCTTCGGCTTAACGGAATTGAGGACCGCTCGCAGTTCGACCAGTATTCGTGTTCTCTTCAACCACCACCAACTTGGAGAATGTCGACCGGTTCCAGCTTCTTGAGTTTACCGCCTGAGCTGCACATAAAGATTTTGAACTATTCCGATTCGGAAGATATTGTTGCAACACGACAGGTAAGAGGAGTGGCATAAAGCATACACTGCTCAGCCTGACTTGCTTTCGCAGACTTGCAAACACCTCTACGACGTGGAGAAGACGTTTCATGAACAGATTTGGAAGGCCTGTCTGACTCAAATCAATCTCAGAGTGCCTTTGTTCCTTCCTACCTTCCAGGCCCCAGTTTCCTCACAATGCCTCGAGTCCATAGCTCGACGCACAACGCGAAGCTTAGAGCCCGTGTTTAATATGCAACATAATCACAGCCTATCGCCGCACGACCTCCAGCCGGTTCCAAGTTTCGAGAGGAGAATATTGCACAACCACTTGGCTAACGTGCACCCGTTGGCTCTGTACCTCACTCCGGGCGGCCGATTCCTTCTGGTTCTCACAATACTTTGGCTTCAGGTGTGGGACCTCGCGCCATTCCTCGAGAGCCATGAACCTCCGATCTTTATCAAAAAATTTCCGGTTCCCCCTTCCTCGAAATCGACTTTAATGACTGCAGGGGGCGGCGACACTAAAGCCATTCAAATCGTGTTGAAACTGCAGAGAATTAAGTACCCAACTAATCCGCCTACCATCGAGCTTCGCGAGCGTTTCCAGCAGTGAGCATCCCGATTTCATATTCCCTTCAAACCCAAATACTAACCCAGTCCGCTAGCCCCCTGGACCAGCATGACCAATGGCTGTCAATATTCGTGGCGTACGAACTCAGTTTCTCGGGAACTGAGCCTCAGCTGACGAAACTGGGGGATCTTGGTTTTATCCGCGACGAAGGCTCCCGACCCGACCGCGACCACCTGAAGATCTTAACTGAGAGTCGAGCGTTATTTTTTGTGGATGGGGTCATGGTGGTGTGGGACTTCAGGAACCACGCTTACTGTGCCTGGAAAGTGTCTGAAGGAGAGTACGACCCTCTAGACATCACAGTCAGTGCTTTGATCATCTATCTATTCCTCCCATCGGTCCTCATTACTTTGACCCAGATATTTGCCTCGCAAGGGAACGCCTTTTATCGACACCAAGATAAACTGGTTGCGTTCGAGATACCCCCACTTAATCCTATTCAGGAACCCAGTCGCAGGCCCGAGATATTGCAATTGTCTTCCGTTCCCCCCTCTCCATGTCCCTCCCACCTCATCCGCCTACCCATCAAGCACCAAACCCCCGATAGTGATCTAAGCCTGCGTGCGTTCGATTGGATGCCACACTGGGGTTTCAAAGAAAGCAATGACATTGTTTTCTTAATCCACGAGCAAGATCGCACCATCCATATCACGACTTGGTATGGTCTCCAGGACACCCGAAATCCTCGCAACAGCATTCTCAAACCTTTGGGCCGGGAAAGGGTCGATTATCCCGGCGAATACATATGCATGAAAACTGTCGCCCGGGAGGCGTACGGCAGTCGAGAAGTACTGGCCTCCTTATATCTCCACCCTGCGCTCGGAGAAGCGCATTCTACAGATTCTTCCATTTTCGCTTGCCTCTCATCGCGCCACGACATCACGCAGGAAGCCCACTCACCGCTTCAAACCAGACAATCGTATCCAGTCCGGCTTCTTGCCATTCCGCCTGAGGCAAGTTTTTTCGACTTCGACCCGCTCTCGGGGATTTTGGTTGCGGCCGCGTTCAACAGCTTTCGAATCTTTGACATAGCGCGCCCGTCCTTACCTTGCTGAACTGAAGACGGTTCCCTTTCATATGCCTTTTGTTCAATAAACGATAGATATGTGCAGCTCCTGTATTGTCCGAGAGTCTGATGTTTGTCTGGGAATCGAGTTAACAATTAAAGTCTACTATAACACCATGATTGATCCATTTCGACCAAATCCTATCCGACAAAATATCAATTCAATAATACTGAAACGATCACTAGAGAGCCAGTAAAGTTCCACATAAACGGCACACAGGAGTCATCGGGAACCCGTGCTCTCTTTTTATCTTGAAGGGGAAAACACTTGTGGAATGGGGAAGGAATGCCTCGCTTCACAACCCTGAGAGAAAGAGCTACGAAATTCAAGGAACGAGGCCGATACGACGGTCAAGCCCTGGTGTAATTGAAACCCTCTTTTTTCATTCATTGTTGCGTTTGTGAAGATGAGAAGGAAGTCTGGACTGGGACCATTGGTATGTATTCCGAACGGTATCAGAACCTGTCAGATGGAAACCGACGATCATGCGGCCTCAGATGACGTCGAAAGGGAACGCGGTCGAACATGGTAGAACGCCGTAAAGGTGACAAAAAGCACCCAGAGCTTGTTATCTGTGATGATCTTTATGGCGAAGGGCGCCTCTGTGTTCATGAAAGGAAGGACCCCGTAGTAAAGGGGCATGTGATCCCCCTGGTCAGGGCTGTGACCGAGTACCTTTGCAATCACAAGAGCGTGCGTCCTTGGTGGCGGAGGTTGCTCAAAAGGGATACTCTTGTGTACGGGCAGAAAACGTGTTCGCTTTTCGTTCACCCATAATATAGTTCGGACCGTTGTGGGACAACATGAGGCACCATGCTGTGAGGGATCTCGCTATAGTGGTTTCGTCTTCGTTCTCGCGGTATCGCGGAAGGCTGTATACCTTACGAGACTCTACAGCATTCGTATTCTTCTATTAATTGAAAGGATATCGTGGCACCATTTAAACGAGCGTCGAGATAGCACATAAGACTAAGCACGTTACGTTCTTCACGCGTTCTCTGATTTCTATACCTCTTTACCTTTATTGTTAGACCCCAAAGAAGGTTGACAAGAGTGATCTTCCATCACGGAGTTTGCCCGGAGTCCATTATCTCTGACGTTGATCTAGTTTCGTTCTGGAGACGAACTCACCCTTTTGATTCGATGTATGGAGCGCCCCTTGCAAAAAGGTGCACCAACCATGTACCTCTAATAGCCAAAAGCGAACCTGATCATTCTGGAGGACCCCAGCGGCACAGAATACATGGTCGCGACAGCTAAAGCTACAACTAAGGTTTGACTTTCTATCATGATTCTACTATCTAATCGGACGCGATGTGTGCGGCCCTAATGTCAAGCAACGGCGCGAAGGAAGTTCGAACGCTTAGAACGCGGCAATTCTGTGAAGGAGGAATGTGATAGTTTTCACAAACATTGCCCAACTTGAATTCATTGACCCCAAGGGTCTGGATTTCGCATTAGACCTAGCCTTTTCACATTATTATCTGACAGCTTCCAACAGGTACAATTTAATACCCTTGCCTCGTCAGTGTCGCCACGACGGACATCGACGTGGATTTCGGTCGCTGTTTCGACGGTAAATCAAAGATCTCATTCAGTTCTCTGAAGAGAAGCGAACATTTGAACCCTCGAACACGATGCAAAGGTTGCATCCTTCTAGAGTTTCAGCCGTCTCTTCTCCCAGTGGTGGGTAAATTAAAACTGATTCGAAGAAAGGGATCACTTTGTCGTCGCAAGCATTTGTCCATCTTTCGGTTCGAGAGAAACACGCGTCGCTGATGAACAGGAAATGCACGGCAGTTGGGCCTCGCCTCCTGCCTGTTCCAATGCTCCGAGTTCGGGTATACCGCCTCATGGTGCCCGCAGCCCTTTTTCCTCATTCAAATTACCCCTTTTGACCAAGACCTTGGATGTCTTGGTACTGGGCAATGAACACGGGTTCGTCGATTTTCTTCAGGGTTTTGACTGGATTTTATTTTGTCACTGCTATGTCGCTCGTCTTCAGCTCACCCAAGGCCTTCGTGGTGAACAGCTCGATGCCTGTTGACTACCCATCATATCTCCAAATCTTATCTTTATCCATATTGGTTTTCGCACAGAATGGAAACCCTCATTCTGGCGCCATATGGGCGATTTCGGCCGGACTTCTAAAATGATTTGATGGTGACATAAATTTGTCCTCGTACTGATCGTTCTGGCCATCGCTCTTGCTTTCTGCACCCTTGCGTCTCCAAACAACAGCAACCCCAGCAATCTATATAAACCCCCGTTCACGGCTGTAGTCATCCCCCAGGTCCTACAGCCTTTTCTTTCTTCCACTGCTCCATCGCTTGCGTTCGCCCTACAGGCCAAACCATCTTCCTTGAGTTACTTGCAAATTTTGCATGTACTCAAACCAGCTCTGCTCCTCCCACAACACTCATAGAGGCTCGAAACACTCGTGCGCCGACCACGTCCTAAGATATTGATTTTACCCACCACCACCTCGTTCAACTCTCCACTCTCATCCGACATGTCTGCTCCCGCTGTCGCCAACAACACCTCTGGGTACAACACCCCTGACTCTCAACTCGAGGGCGTGGTCCCGGTGCACCCCACTTCGGCTCGTCGTGAACATGCCATTGCTGTTCAGTCCGAGAACACCTCGTTCACCGACGAGCACATCACCGCGAAGTTCGTCAACCGCGGCACCGAAGTGAAAGTTTCGAACGGCCAATATGTCGTTACCCCCACCACTCAAACCGTCGAATTCCAAACTCAACGCAAGGTCAACAAGACTGGGTAAGCAATTCTCCACGTTCATCACTCTTGGCCAATGTCTAATCGATCGCGTCTATAGTCTCATGATGATCGGTATTGGCGGCAACAACGGAACCACGTTGTGCGCGACCATCCTCGCCAACCGTCACCAGATCACCTGGAACACCAAGGAAGGTCTCCAAACCCCGAACTACATTGGTTCCCTCCTTCGTGCTTCCACCTTCCGTCTTGGTGTCGACTCTACCACCGGCAAGGACATCTATGTCCCCGTCTCCGACCTCCTCCCCATGGTCCACCCCAATGACCTCGTCTTGGGCGGCTGGGACATCTCCGGCACCCCCATGGACAAGGCCATGTACCGCGCCAAGGTCCTCGACTACGACCTCCAGCGCCAGGTCGCTCCCCACATGGCCCTCCTCGGCAAGCCACTCCCCTCCATCTACTACCCCGACTTCATCGCCGCCAACCAGGAGGCCCGTGCCGACAACCTCATCCCCGGCAACGACAAGCAGGCCCACCTCGAGCAGATCCGTGCGGACATCCGCAAGTTCAAGCAGGACAACGACTTGGACCGCGTTATCGTCTTCTGGACTGCCAACACCGAGCGATACAGCGACATCATCCCCGGCGTTAACGACACGGCCGACAATCTCTTGAACGCCATCAAGACCTCCCACTCCGAGGTTTCCCCGTCCACTCTCTTCGCTGTCGCCTCCATCCTCGAGGGTGAGCCCTTCATCAACGGTGCTCCTCAGAACACCTTCGTCCCTGGTGCCATCGAGCTCGCCGAGCGCGAGAAGTCCTTCATCGGTGGTGATGACCTCAAGTCCGGCCAGACCAAGCTCAAGTCCGTTCTCGCCGAGTTCCTCGTCAACGCTGGCATCAAGCCCCTCTCCATCGCCTCCTACAACCATCTCGGCAACAACGACGGCGAGAATCTCTCCGCCGAGCGCCAGTTCAAGAGCAAGGAGATCAGCAAGAGCAGCGTCGTCGACGACATGGTCAACGCCAACCGCCTCCTGTTCAAGGCTCCCGAGGTCGGCGAGAAAGGCGTCCCCATCGGCAAGGGCGAGCATCCCGACCACATCGTCGTCATCAAGTACGTCCCCGCCGTCGGCGACTCCAAGCGCGCCATCGACGAGTACTTCTCCGAGATTTTCTGCGGTGGTCGCTCTGTCATCAACATCTTCAACGAGTGCGAGGACTCCTTGCTTGCCACCCCCCTCATCCTCGACCTCGCCATCTTGGCTGAGCTCCTCACCCGTGTCAAGTACCGCAAGGAGGGCCAGGCTGACTTCCAGCCCCTCTACTCGGTTCTATCGTTGCTCTCATACATGCTCAAGGCTCCTCTCGTCAAGCCTGGTACGTCGTCGTTTACCCTTTCGTTTCATTACGTCGATGCTTACTCAATTCCTTTAGGCACTGAGGTCATCAACAGCTTGAACAGGCAGCGCAACGCTCTCGAGAGTTTCTTGAAGGCTTGCCTCGGCTTGGAGGGCAGCAGCGACCTTCTCCTCGAGACCAGGCTCTGGTAAAGGGTCGCCGTCCACGTCATAGAATCTTCCGTCCGTTCCTTCGTTCCTTCACCGCGGCGATCTGAATGCTGCCTTCTCGTTCTCGCTCTCGTATTACTTGTGCTTCGATGATGTAACATGATGTGTGCTTGTGTATACCGAATGCAATGGTTCTTCTGTTGCGAACTTGGCTTGCAGGCTCAGCGGATGTAAACCATCCTTCGTGGAGAGAAAACACATTGTCCATTGTTTGGATCATGAAAGCCGTGAGTGAAGTAATTAAAGAGCGCTGCTCGACAAGTAATTATGTATGTCTAATGTTCAGAATGATAGATACACTATCGTGGCCATTAAGTTAATAACCACGCCGGTGAAATGACCCCCGCTTCGTAGCGTTTACCCTGCTAGTCAGCGCTCAGCGCTCGTCGGGACTCGTGCCCAAGGCATGCCGCGCACAGCACACTGGCAGATCTCTTGGCAGTAGGAGAGGGGCACCCGGGCATGGCATGGTGGTCTCGTTGGCAGACTGCTGCGAGCTCTGGCCGTGGCTCTCGGTCTCTCCGTCAGACAAGAACCTCGCTGACAGAGGCGTAAGTCCCTGCCCATGGGTATCGCTACTGACAAGGACAGTCTGGCCTTGGTCGGCGGCGCTTCCTAGCGTGAGGTCTGGATTGGGATTTCCGTCTGTGGGCAATGCAGAACTGGACGTCGACGGAAGGTCGGGGGCTTGGCTGGTGCTAGAGCTGGCACTGGCACTCGGCTCGGGGGCGTGGTCGCTGCTTGAGTCCCCATTTCTTCCATTGAGCTGTTCACGAGGTCAAGAGTTGAGTACGGGTACAGTGGACTGAGACTTTGGTATACTCGAAACACTTACCACTAGATCTAGGCCTAGCGCCTTGCCCTTGCCTTTGCCTTTGCCAGAACCACCAGCCTGACCGGGGGATTTGTTCAAACCGGGCATTATATGGTTAGTGGTTAGTGTAGTAGTGAATGAAAGAGGTTTAAAAGGAGTCGTAAGGATCGTGTTAAGTCGTCAAGAAAATGGGGAAAGGCCTTCACAGAAGGCGGTAAAGAATCTGAAAAGAGTAGGAAAGAAAGGAAAGGAAGGGAATGTTGCTGGTTTCCTTCCACTCTCGAGGCGCCTGTATTTATACCCAAATTCCACCCGACTTTCCACTGTGGCTCCTTGCACAACAATACGCCGTCACCAACGGGCGGCTGACAACGTTCACCTCCACCAAACAGGTCTGGAGCGTAGGCAATCATGATGCACGACCAGCAAAGCCGCGACGGAGCTGTGGCACAATACAACCCAAGTGTTGTTCCTCCAGGAAAGCACCCTTGCCCATCGTCACCCCGGAGCCTACATCGCTTGAAAAACAAAGACCTGAGGCGAAGATGATCACGGTACGAAAAGGAGAGTGAATGCTAGACCTGTTCATTCATGAGTGCAATAAGCAACAACGAAACGGGGTGCTGGCGGGAGTGGCTCTGGTCCTTCTCCCCGCCTCCACAAAGCCGACGTGACGGTTGTAGGCCTTGTTCTCCGACGCGTTGTCCTACACCTGCATTCACTGCCACCGCCCCAGAGGAGTGGCAGTTCCAAAATCCTGCCCTCGAACATTCATCTCTTCATATCCAGCATTAGCCCAATGTCCAGCGTCCCAATCACACCCAAACCAAGTTCAGAAAAGACGACATTTGAATTCCACCCTTGAAAGAAAACAACACGAAAAAAGGGAAACACCGACCAAAAAAATCAAATTACTGAATAATGAATTAGTAAAAGGAAGCGGGAAGGAAAACGACAGCGATCCTTGCACGGGATGATGGAAAACAGCGATAACGGATGGACGGTACTAACAGCGACAGAATTGAATCATGAATGGCATTCGAATTATCCCGCGGGAAAGATGGGTTCGACCTGGGGAGAGAGAAAAGTCGAGGACTGGACGCTCCAGGGGAGAAAAGTCGAATTGCCGATATGCGGGGACGATGAGATGACCAGTTGAGACGGACGATGATGACCAGACGTTGAAATGACGACGATTGATGGATGGATGAATACGTGAGTGCTAGTATGTGCGACATGCAGGATCTAAAATACTGTAAAACGAGCCATAAAGAAGTGAAAATGTCAGAAAGAAGTTCGTACTATGAGAAAGAAAAAAAGAAAAAGCGGAAGAGAAAGAAACGAGGCATCCCCGTGCGTGACTTGAGGTACGAAGGAATACATAGAAAGAAAACAGAAACGGGAACAGAGGAAATGGCGCCAACGCCCCCAAGTCACGCACTCGCAATAACAACAGAAGGAAACGACGAGGACGAACCATTGCCATTACCCTGTCTACCTCCCTGACCCTGCCCCTGCCCATTCCCATGTCCCTGCCCCCAACTCCCATTCGAAGAAGCATGACTAGACACAGCCGACACAGGCAACACAAAACTCCCCGTCCCATCCTTCATCTCCTTATCCTTATCCTTCTTCTTCCTCCCAGGCCCACTCCCACTCCCAGCACCCGCCCCAGCCGCCGCCTTCTTCTTCTTCCCCGACCCGTCCATGCTGACAGAGATGAACCCGTTCGGGCCAACGACAGTCGGTATGAACGTCGTACCGGCTGTTATAGGACCGTTGGACGGTCCTGCACCCGCGGTGGTTCCTGCGCTTGGTAAACCTCCTCCTCCGGTACTCGTAGAAGGTCCAATCACAATGGGACCCCCACCTGAGCCTCCTCCCTCCTCCATAACCTGCTTCGCCTTCTTCTTGGGCAGCCCCGCGGTGGGATTCGGCTTCGAAATCTGACCAATGGGCCCCATCTTCGTTTGGAACGCGTGCACGGGGTCGTCGGGGAGAGCCAAATCTGGCGGGATGGGTGGGGGCGCTGGAGGTTGGTTCGGAGCGGTTTGAGGTGGTGATTGTGGTTGGGTTCCAGGCGGTTGAGGTGGCTGAGGTGGTTGAGAGGGTTGAGCGGGTTGAGGAGGTTGAGGTGTTTGAGAAGGTTGAGAGGGTGAAGGCTGTGGCTGGGGTGTCGACGGTGGTTTGACGGGACTCGCCGGTGTCGGGGTCGCAGAGGGATAAGGAACAGGAGGATACGGTGCAGGACCAGACAACGAAGGTCCGGGTAACGGCGGAGGGGCAAGAAGGGAAGGACCAGGTAACGGAGGGAGCGATGGTCCTGCGAGCGGTGGTAGGGATAACGAGGGACCGGGAAGCGAGGGAGGAGCAAGTATTGAAGGTGGCGGTGGAGGTGGTACTTGCGCAGCAGCGAGTTGCTGAAATCGGGCGTGGTAATACGGTTGGAGGAGGCCGATTTGATCTTCTGCACGGGAGAGCGTAAAAGGAGGAAAGGGCGGAGGTAACGGGTAGTCGAGGGGCTTCTCCACTGGTTTGGCGCTGTAAACACTTGGGGTCAATCGACATCTGTGTTCGCATGTTCGAGATACGTACGCAGCAAGCTTCTGTAGTCTCTTCCGCCGTAAGAGAGCTTTGGGTATAGAAAGATTTGTGAGGTTGAATTCGTCCGCAATTCCAAGCTCGCGGAGGCCAAGGTAGTCTTCTCCCAGTGTGTCCGCAAAGTCGCCACTAGTCCATCTGTTAGCTTTCGGGTAAACGAATCAGACGAGTTGAATACTCACATGGCCAGTGCACCAGCCTCTTCATCGTCTTCTTCGAACAGTCCTTCATCCTCAAGCGCTTCATGACCAGATGTCTGCGTGTATGGTTAATAGAGCGTGAGGCGCTCGGGGAGCGATGACGTACCACGTCGCGGTAGGCGCCTGCGAGCTTCTTCTCCAATTCGCCCAGCCGCATCCCGTAGCGCTCGATGTCGTCCGAGATAAATCGTTCGAGCTCTTGAATCTTGAAGATGCCGCTCTCGAAGAGTGTGTGGAGGATGATTTCCTGCAAAGGGTCAGCATCAACCTCCACAGCAAACTGACGAACCCACCTCCGGAGTCATGGTCTTGCCATACTTGTCAGAAAGAAAACGGATGGTGCGCCCCACGTTGAGCAGATAATCCGAGGCAACAGTCGACAACACCTCCAGCGCCATCTTGGACGTCCCCTGGAACCCGACATGCTCCAGCACCTTCTCCCCCATCCAATTGATGCAATCATGGGCACTCGCATCCCCAATCTCAATCGGCCCCTTGAGCCTGTCTATCCACGGACGCTCGTCGATCTTGTCGTCTGTCGGGTCGTCCTCTGCTGTAGGCACCGGACCTGGTACGCCCCCTGCCATGCTCGTGCTCGGCCCCAGACCAAACACGCCGCCGTCTCCGTCGGGATCTTCTGTGGCGGTCAGAGTCGCAACCACGGCCGACAGCTTCGAGTGTGTCTGTCGCATCCTGCGCATCGTCTTGATGTTGCTGTTCATCAAATTGAGCAGGGACTTCGGGTTGTCCCGCTGCGGTGTCGCCGTCGCCGTCGTCGACGATTTCTTCTGTTTCCGGCGTTTCTTCTCGTATGCTTGTGACGACGATGCGTATGGTATTTCCGGTATCCCGTTGGCGATCATGGATTCGTTGTGCACGGCATGCCACCACAGTTGCGACAGGTCGTCCGGGAGTGCTGCAAACCGTGCCCGTTTCCTCGGTCTCTCTGCTGCGCCATTCAATTTCCGCTTGTCGCCCGTGGCACCGTCGAGCGTATCCGAATCCTCGTCCACCTCGCCCACATTCCCCACCAACGCATTTACCCGTTCCCCCGCCCTCGCATCACCCTTATCCAACCCTCTATCCAACTCCCGAAACAGCGCCATTCCCGCCGGTGTCCGCACGAGAGCCGGAGACTCTGCAAACGTCGGGTTCCGCGACGACTTGCTCGGTGTCCGGCTGTGTCCGTTGACCATCCCCCCACCATTGACCTTTGGGCGAGCGATTCCCGGTTGTTGCGGGGCGAATTGGAACGGTATCGAGGGGTCTGTTCTGTCCTTGCGGTCGGTGATGTGCTTGAGCAGTCGTTCAGCTTTGGCCTTTAGTCGATCGACGCATTGCCGGAGTGGATGGTCCTACGCTTCAAGTCAGAATCAACTGTTAAGGATAGTGAACATCTACGCACCTCCGCCGCATTATATTTGTAACAATTGGACCAAATCAAGTCCAAGTCGTCCTTGAATTCCCGCTTCGACTTGTACTGTTTATTCTTGACCTTTTTGGCCATTGTCCCGAGGTCCATGGGATTGGTGATGTCTGTCCAAACGAGTTAGCACGGCATATTCCTCTTGAGTTCCACACGCACAGTCATAGTAATCAGGGACCTCCACCCTCGAAACAGGCTTGAGAAATGCCTCTGCATCACGGTTGTCCTAGTCGAGCTGTTTAGACGCGTGACGCGAGTTGGCCGGGGTAAACTCACAATAGTGATGGTCCTCAAATCAGCCAGGAGATTGTCCAAAGACTCGTAAAACGGGTCAGACAGCTTGGTATCATAGCTTTGGCGCTAAAAGAACCTTGAGAAACGCCGGACAACAGGGAATATTAGGCTGCTTACACGGGCCTCCTTCACCGCCGTCAGCAGGAGCTTGAGGTCGCTCCCTGGCCTGACCTGACTCTCGGTCAGGGTCCTAAGGAGGTTCTTCATCGTCGTCAGCGCCCAAATCTATAGCTGGTCGTCGGGAATACTCACATTCATCGTCGAGCGCGACGCCCGTCGTGGTGGCGAAACGGAAAGGGGAAGATGCGGCTTTCGGACTCCGACGACCTCCAAAACAAGCAGTGCCAAACATATCCGAGTCGGGGCCAGTAGACTGGAGGTGACTGGTAGATGGAGGATATTCAAAAGAAATTCGAGATAGGAAAGACGTACCAAGCTCATTGCTAAGTCTGTATGGTGGACAAATGTAACATTCAACAAATGGCACCTAACCGCCATATTTTGCGAGAAATTGGATTTGAAGCCGCTTTCGTTGTCTCCGTAAATGTGGACATTATGCAACTGAAGGGACAGAGAAATCAGTAAGGATACAACACAGAAATTGAAACTCGGAACACCGAAATTGTGAGTGTCCAGAGCGCACATCCAAATCACTTAGGATTTTCGAGCACGTCGGTCTAATTGACAACATCGTCTTAGAAGATAGACCTGGATTGAAGGCATCTATTTGAGTTCCCATTCCATTCCATTGCCTTCGCTGACTCGGAGCCCTGAAAGCCAGTTCTATGAACAGGACCAGTGGCCTTTGAACCTGATACAAATTCGGTGTTCTGAGATTTTGAAATTTCGGTGCGCCCGGATTTCGGTGAAGGGGTCTCGTAACCGACTTGACGTTTCCGTGTCCGCACATTCCGCCAACTCTGACTTGAATATTATAATACTTCAACCCCGAAACTTCTCGATACCCCGAAGTGGGACAAAAAGTAAGTGATTTCTCTACTGAGAGTCAATGTTTAGGAGCGACTTACTAAATGTTACATTGGACCGCCTCAAGTTTGCCGTTTCGACGCGAATAACAAATGTGTATTCAACGCTCAGAGAGGGGATGTAATTAGGAGAGTGTACAAATAACATTAATCCACGACGATCTCTAACACTACGCCTTCGCCTGCTCGGAACCAGGGGCGCTAGGAGGCTGCTGGCCAGGCACTGGAGGAGCTGGAGGGGGCTTGCCCATCTGCCCAAACGCCTCGAACAAATTCGAAGGGACCTGCTGCGCCATAGCCTGCTGCTCCTGCTCAATAAGCTTATCCAACATCTCCTTGTTCTCCGCGAGGTACTTTTGCTCTTCCCGGTACTGGATCTGCGCTTCCTTGCGCTTCTGCTCGAGGTAGGTAGGAGGGGGGCCGCTGGTGGATGCATGAGGCTGAAATTCGACAGGGTTAGTTGGATAGAACCAACAGAGATACGAGGAACGTACATTCTGAGAAAGACCGAAGAGTGAGGCCATGAAGCCGCTCGAGACACCGGGCTGCTTGGCTTTCCAGGCTTCGATGTGGCGTGCCTTGGCTTCTGCCTCGGTTTTGGCGTACTCGATTGGAATGTTTTTGCCTTCATAGGCCTTGAGGATGGGTCGGATGTCGGGGGGTTTGTAAATTCCGATGGCTGAGAGGGAGGAGTTAGGCACGAATACAAGAGGTCAATTTACGGCACATACATTCGAGGAAGGGAATCATGGCAATGAGACCCTTGTCCTTGGGGTCACCCTTCCACTTGGGGAGGATGACAGCATTTTCGGGTTGGAGGCAGACATGGTCAGGGTTGGTGTCGAGGACGAGAACTTTGGAAGGGTCACGGTTGAGGTACGACAGATCCTGCAGACCTAATTTAGCGGCTGACTTTCGTCGAAAACAGCTCACGCACCTTGACGATCTTGCCATTCAGATAGCGGGTACCTTCACGGAACAGTCTGTGGGTGATGAAGAAATTGTAGCGGTCCAATTTTTCAAGGATCGGGGCAGCAGTCTATGGACACGTTCAGCGAGCGTGGAATGGGCACTGGAGCCGTGAACACGTACGTAAGAGGGTTGTGACGTGAACACCACGACCTCGTAGAATTGGGAGATGTAAGCGAGGAAGTAGTCGACACCGGGGCGTTTGGCTGTTCTCCATCCGTGTTGGCGCTATGAAACCATCAGTAAATTGGGAGAGATGAAATGGAAATGAGAAACCTACATCCCAAGTAGAAGTGATTAACAGGTCGTCCAGCGAGATGACGAGAGTGTAAGGTTTGCCTTGTGGAGGAGGCATGGGTGGTGGAAGGAGTTCAGGCCAGGCAGGTTTGTTGAAATACTGCAAAGGGGTTAGTTTGTGAAGCTTGAGCCTGGAGAAGTCGACATACATCGAAAATGTCACCAAACCGCTCGGACGTGCGTCCCCACCACGTCGACGGTGCGGTCGCCAGGTTCTAGTAAAGGTCAGTCTTAATTCAGCATCAGAGAACGCGATACACACCAGTTTCTTCGCCTTCAACTCCTCTTCATCCCATTCCCGACCCATATAAACCGCATAACCTGCAAATCCAGCACCCATGAGCGCCAGCATGGCCCGTCCAACGGCCTTTCTCCGCTTCTCCGTCGACAGAGTCGTGTCATCCTTCGCCGACCTGGCACCCGTCCTCTTGGGTTCCTCCTCCGCAGCTTCAGCAGCAGGCGAGAAGTCAAGACTGGGCACCTTCCCCGCCGCGAACCCCTCTGACGCGACAGAATCCTGTTCCGGCTTCACATCAGCATTTGCATTGGCGCTGGCATTCGTGTCGGGTTCCTTGGATTCATTCGCGCTCTCGCCTGGGGGCTTTGGTGGTGAAGCTTGCGATGCCCATCGCGCGCCTCGCGCGACAGACGTGCGGTAGACAGTCCGGGACCTGGCGAGAGCGGTCAACATCGGGGTAGCTTGACGATGTCATCATCCAGCGAACCAAAGTTTTCGGTCTCGGGTCTGTTTGGGCTTATTGATTGATGAGGGTGTCGGGGTTTCGAACACGGGCGGCTGCGCGAGGTGGATGCGAGTCGGATATCCCTCAGTCTGACGGAGGAATAAACTAAAGAAAGGGCACAACAGACCTCTGCTTAACTGGAAGGGTAGGAAACATGATGTATGACTTGGAGTACCACAGCCACATCACCGGACGGGTCCAGGAATAGAGGATACATTTCGAATTTAGCAGACAACCGGGAGTTGGGCGTCCTCAGCGACTAGATGTCTAAAGAAAATAAGTGAGCGTCATTGGGCAGAAGCTTTGACTACTATGGCACCAAGTTGCTGTAACACACTCTGTCGAGGTCCACAAATTCACAAATTCAAAGACTCCAGTATGCCTAGTATGCACAAGGCATGCTGTCGGTAACGCTAAGTAAAGTCAACGAATGCACGTCAAATTCACAGGAATAAAACTGGGATGTCTGACCTCATTTGATAGACACAACGGTGTAGGTCAGAGTCGCGGCGCATATAGCCAGGGGGCAACGTTGTTGGCCACAATGACCGCGATGGACACGGTTCTCTCCAGGTGGACTGAGCCCCAGGCTAGAGCTTGAAAGCCACTAAGCAATACAATGATTGAGCTAGCGCGAGGCATATAGCGCACCATCCAAACCTCTACCTATCTGAGTCGTCTGACTGATATGCCGTGTTATGCCCTCCATTCGGTAGCTGACCTGGGTGCAGGCTGTGAGCATCGTCTGAGTGGTGCGTAGACTGGTATCAGCTATATCCAAAGGCGTCAGGCTCTGCAAAACATTCCTGCTACTACCTGGAGTAGCAGGTTTTCAATACGCTCCAGCTGTCATGTCGACTCTATATTCTCCCACGACACACCTTCCATATATGCACCTCCTTGGTCTGCTTCTGTTGCCAGCTCTGTTTCAGAATCAATGGTTGCTTGTCCTTTCCAGTCGTAAAGCCGCGTCTTCACTTGTGATTTCTTACCTTGACTGCTCTGCAGCAGTTTCTTTAGCTTTTGGCCGACCTGTCAGTCTTCGAGCAGCTTACTCATACCTGCTGCTTCCTTGCGTGCAGACAGAGTAATAAAATGCTACCTGTGTAATGTGTTCCAATAATCCAAAATCAGAAGAGTGCGCTATGAGGAGGTGGGTATGGGCGTAGCTCAGATTAGTTATGAAGAGGTTTGTGTGTAGGAGGGAGTGTAAGTATAAGCGGAGTTCGGTAGTAGCAGGCTCTGCGGCGAAGCGCGCTCTTTTAGTTTTGGAGGGAGGAAAGAAAGAAGGCAAGGAGGGGGTATCCGGGTTGACAGGGGTTATATAGACATTTCGGAATGTACCGCCCTTTCTTTCCCGCGCACGGGCGTCGGCTTTCTCTAACAGGAAATACCGTCGGCGTGTTCCCACATTCCTTGACCCCGCTTATCGCCGCCAAGCGCGTTCCCCGCTTTTCACTCTAACCACCACCACCACCACCTTGATCGCCGCCGCCGTCGACGACGACGACGACGACCGCCGGCACGCTGGTCAGTGTCTACGTAGATATATCCCACCGCTGCTCACTGATTATTCAGGAATTATTCAGGAAAATGCTCAGCTGCCTGGAAATCGTGACGCCAGTCTCGCGATTCCTTTGTTGGAGAAGTCGAAGCCTCGCCCAACGTGAATCTCGGGGTATCGCCGTCTTGAGCACCTAGCAAATCACAGAAAATCACAGAAGGCCACGGGTGCTGATCTTTCCCCGGAATTTACGCGAAATCTGGGGTCGATCCCAATCCCATTGAGTTTGGTCTGTTACCCTGCACAAAACGTAGGTCAGTCGCGTCCAAGTCGTAGAGGCTAACGCTACACTGTCGCTTACTTACCTCAACAGCTTTGGAGATGCCTATGCACCCCCCAGAAATGTGAACGGTCAGAACATCCCTCGGATGATCTCCGGAGAAGGAGAAGACATCCTTCGAACTGCAACCTTCGCATGAGCATTCGACGGGCTTTTTGCGAGGTCACCATTGGCGCTTGCTATTACGACGCCAAACGTTTAAAGTGCGGGGTCCAATGGCTTAAAATTCCCCAGCTTTCTCGAAAGCCTCGTCAAGATGGTCAACTTCAAAGCTTTGGCTTCAGTCCTCCTCGCTTCTGCTACCCTCGCAAGCGCCCGTCCACCTCGCGTACCACCCAAAGGTTAATGCTTTGCAATGGCTCACTCGTCCGCATGCTCATCGTTTGTCGTTCAGGACGCTCTGGACCCAACTACTGGTTCAGCTTGTAAGCATTGCGACCAAGCGTGTTATCAATTTGCCTGACATCCATCTTCAGTGGTGACTCCTACACCCAGACTTGGTTCAACCATACCGACACTCCACCGGCTCCCGGAAACCCCCTCGGAAACCCGCCCTACCCTGGCTGGACTGCGACTGGAGGTCCCAACTGGGTTGGCTACTTGACCACCGAGTACAACAACTCGCTCGTCCTCACCTGGAATTACGCCTACGGTGGAGCTGTCATTGATGACAAGCTGGTCACGCCTTGGCAGCCTGGCCTCATTCATTTGACCGGCCAGGTTGATCAGTTCCTCGAGTACGCTGCGAAGAAACCCGCCGTCGTCCCTTGGACCAGCAAGAACGCTTTGTTCTCCATCTTCATTGGAATCAACGATATTGGCAACAGCTGGTGGCTGCCTGGATCTCGTGACGAGTATGGACTAACCTTGCTGTCGCCTTCTCCTTGTGACTGACTGTCTCGCAGATTCAATGATGTATTGTTGGATGCCTATTTCGGTTTGGTCCAGAAGCTCGTAAGGTTCCCCATTTTGCGTTCCTGGGCGCTTTACTTACACACTCTATCAGTATGATGCCGGAGGACGCAACTTCCTCTTCGTGAATGTCCCACCTATTGATCGATCGCCTTTGGTACGCCTTGTCACACCCTGCCGATGATGTCGGATTGATAACCCCTGTGTAGATGCTGGAGCAAACGGACGATGCTGGCAGGGCTATCGAAAAGGAGGTTATTGCCAGCTACAACCGCAAACTGCTGGAGAGGATCGAGGCTCTCAAGGCCACTGACAGGAAGGTTTGCCACGTTTCTTACCTATTCAGTAGCCACGGTCCTGACCTCGACACAGATCAAGACCTTCTTCTGGGACTCGAATGCGTTCTACACCAAGGTCCTTGATTCTCCTCAAGAGTATGGGTTCAAGGATGCCACCTCTTGGGGCAAAGAAGACCCTGAGATCTTCTGGGGGTATGCTTTTAGGGTTCACCTTATCAACGGGGAACTGACAGACCTATTTTCAGTGACAACTACCACCCAAGCAGTAAGTGCAGCTATAGTATCCCCGTTAACTCTGATACTCACACAACGCTGCAGCCTATGCCGACAAACTGTTCGCCGAGGACATTGCCCGGAACGTTCTCGCAGATACTGTCTGGTGACCGCCCAATGTACATTCTTCTGAATACTGAAGCCGCAATACGACCTCCTTTGACATCGCGAGTAGTTTGCAATCTGAACAAGTTCCCAGCACGGTTGCCTAAACCTCACTCCATTTCTTTCACAGACATCGAACCATCTCGGACTATCCATGATTCCTCATCCTCTTTTCTCAATGAAAAGACGCGCTATGTCCGACTCCGGAACTTCATCGGTCGCGCCGAGCAGGCGGTTTATTCATTCCTCCCATTGTCTTTGGACTTTACACGCGCACTGTTGGCCTCTCTGTCCGTTGCCAGTCTTGGAATGTTCAATTCTGGCTCTTCGACGACCTTATCTGTCAAACACCGCTGGCAGAAACAGTCTCACGCTCGAGCTTGCCAGGTAACCTCATGTTTCGGTCCATGACATCTCCAGGGAAAATGGCGTCAATTTTAAGCTCGATTTCGGGTGAATACCGGAAAACCCATTTGCTTTCAAGCCCCTTTTCATAGCCCCGCTCATGGATTCCGCACAATCGACTACCTTCGTTCGGTTTTGGTTGGGGAAATGGAAGCAACCCTTCGTGGCCATAGACCGTCGTACGGTAACCACCTATCCCACATGACCTAGTCAAAATTGGCATTAGCCTTTGGTTTAAAAGCCGCGTTCTAATCTCTCTACTTCTTTGTCCCTGATCGACCCCAGAGAACCATGGTCAAGCTTCAGATTTCCGTCGCGCTTGTTTCTGCCAGCTTGGCTCTGGCCGCTGTTCCTGTTAGACAGCAATGTACGTTTCATGTGTGGATGTCGGGTGCCTCTTTCTAACGTCCTTGCACAGGTGGAGGAGCCAATTGGAAAGGCTCGACCGAATGTATCGATGGGTAAGAGCATGTCGTTCCTGGTTAATTATACCACTAACGTCACCATAGAGAGGTCTGCGTTAAATTGAACGAAGGTACGCTTAATTGCTTCTGACGTCCATACCTGCTCTCACCTATGCTCTCTAGAATACTCCCAATGTCAACGTGCGGTTGAACCCCCGATCTGGCTCACGAGCCTCACTCGCATCGAGCCCGAGCCCACTTGGACTCCTCGCGCTCGAGAGGCCGAAGCTGATGGCATTATCCTCACCAGCTTGACCCGCATCGACGTCAAGCCAACCTGGACTCCTCGCCCACGCGAAGCTGAGGCTGACACCATCATCATCACTAGCCTCACCCGCACTGAGGTTAAGCCCACCGCGACCCCTCGTCCGCCCAAGCCTCAACCCCCCAAGCCACCCGTCATTCCTCGCCCACCTCCCCCTGTTGTGATCACCAGTCTCACGAGGATCACGCCCAAGCCTTCGCCCACACCCAGGCCTCCTAAGCCGCATGAGGCCCGCGAAGCTGAGGCCGATGGGATCATCCTCACGAGCTTGACTCGCATTGATGTTAAGCCTACCTGGACTCCCCGCCCTCGAGAGGCCGAGGCCGAGGCTGACACCATCATCCTTACCAGCCTCACGCGTACTGAGGTTAAGCCCTCTTTGACTCTTACTCGCATCGAGCCCAAGCCAACATGGACTCCCCGTCCCCGCGAGGCGGAGCCCGACACTATTATTCTTACCAGCCTGACCCGCAGTGACGTTAAGCCTACCTGGACCCTCACCCGCATCGAACCCAAGCCCAGACCCACACCCAGGCCTCCTGTTAAGCCCCATGAGGCGCGCGATGCTGCAGCCGACGCTGACGGGATCATCCTCACCAGCTTGACCCGCATCGACGTTAAGCCGACTTTCGTTCCACGCCCTCAAGAGGAGGAAGAGGTTGAAGCTGCCAACACCATCATCCTCACCAGCCTCACCCGCATTGAGCCTAAGCCTACTTGGACTCCCCGTGCGCGAGAGGTCCCTCCGATTCCCCCTCTCCCTCCTATTCCCCCCAAGCCCGCACCTCCTGTCATCACCACCGGCTCCCTCACTCGAATCACTGTCAAGCCGACTCTGACTGTTCCCCGCACCACCGTCAAGCCCACTTTGACTGTCCCTCGAACCACCGTCAAGCCGACCTACACTCCTCGTCCTTGATGCATTGATGATGGGGTAGGTTGAGGTGAGGTGATGTTATATGACTTCATGATCGCCATCGAGATGTGATGGATTGTGTCCAACGTTACGATAAACTTCACGAATGTACTGCTAAATACAGAAAAAGAACACGTCTTTGACTTGCTGGCTATCAAGTTGAAACGTCAATGACATAGTACTTACTTGGACTCCAGTTTGCAGATCATCCAGCTCCTTCCAGCAGCCACTGCTCTGGTACCGCGGTAGTCATCACGGGCAGAACTCACAACGCGAGGTCTCTTTCTATCGGGTAACGCTTTTGCATCCGCTTTGCATCCTGGCGCTCGTTGTCGAAGGGCTTTGATCCGTGAAGAGATACGTCCTCTTGTCGGTGTTTTTGCGGAACAAAACTTCAATCGGTCTCTTGAACACCTCCGACTGACCACTTAGACAGGCGTTACAGTGTTCCGTTGCCCACATTGTCGGTGCGTAGTGGCGCGTACGTCCTGTTCAAACATATGTCTGACACGCTGAAGATGACCTGGGTGAACAGGAAGTGAATAATACAGGGTGGCGTTCTGGCCTAGACCGAGGGTCGTGTGTACTTCATTTCCCTCTTGGTGACTATACCTCGGGCGCTCATCCTCAATTACAGCAGGCATCATTATTGGGGCCAAGGATACTCGAGTATGCCAGGGAGACGTATCCTGTCTATGTTGTTGAGTGGAATGATGACGTTAGTCACCGAATGTCCAAAGTCTAAGCACACTGTTGCTTGCCTTTAAGCTGGCTCGACACCCATCCGAAACCGACCTTGCAACAACTGGGAAAACTATTTCCCTCGCTTCTCCATCCCGTCCGCCCCTTCGATGTCTCACATCTGCGAAATACGAACACCCGATGGATATGTCTTGCCCAACCACCTTGCTCGCCGCTCTGGAAACTGGAGATCCATTCAACCAAGTCCGAATCACACGAGCCTCCACGGTGCCCTCGCGCCCGCTCTCACTGTCTCAGGACCCTTTTGACTCCACTATTCTGCGCTGATGCACCCGAACAAATGCTTGGCTCGTCAGCTGTCCGGTCATGTAACGACCAACAGTCCTTAACAAGTTAGGTTGCCAACATTATCAGTGGGATCCGACTCCGTGCTGGCGCCCCAACATCCAAGAATAGACATTTCGTCCACAGCCTCGAGAAAAAGCTGCCTGAAACGATGGGGCTCCGTTCGTCTTCCGGCCCTAATTGCCTCGCTGTTCTGTTCAAAACTCTCTCGGTATTGTAAGCAATGACATCGAAGCGAGTTCAACCTTCCGCTTCTGGGGGTTACTTGCTCATGGCGCCAGATCGACTGTATTGGTAAGTCTTCGATCCACAAGGCTAACAAGGGAGCTCGAGAGCTATAAATTGTAGCGAGGATTGTGCAAGGTTTCCTCGTGCTTTCGACACACAACCCAGTCTTCCCGCCTCTCAACATGAAGTTCCAAAGCCTCTTCGTCCTCCTCGCTGTTTCCCTCACTGCTTCAGCGCTTCCAAGTCCCCAGGTTGTCAAGCTGCCTACCCCGCAATGTGCGTAATGACGTATGGCCATTGACCTTAGCTGACTCCGTACAGGTGGAGGAAAGGGATATACTGGCCCCACGACTTGCAGTAAACCCAAGTAAGTGTCACTGCATCGGTATTCCGAAGTGCCTTTACTCATCGTCTGCGCTGCAGCCATGTGTGCTTCTACTTCAACGAGAGTGAGACCACACCACCTTTCTTTGGGACTTGACGACAGGCAACTGACCCTCGATCTTATCAGATTACAGCGAGTGCATTCACGTAACGCGAGTGCCCATGTGGACACCAAAGGACTCCCCCGGTGTTGAGCAATGAAAGCAACATCAAGACGACCACGGGGTCGATGGCCATGAATGGCCTACCATTTCTGTTTCTATGTAGAACGATTCAGCCGGGCGTTTAGGCGGCGAATCAGCAAGATACCCATTCGCATTCAACTTCAAAACGTGTAATATTTTTCATGTGTAATTCTGTCACGACGTGTAACGACGATTGCTTGAAATGGTTACCACCTACCTATGTCATACCCCCCATACCCGTAGTTCGGCAGCGCGCGAAAAGGTATCTGTTGTTCTACTGTCAATCCTGGGGAATAGGCTTCGACGACGCTTCGAAGAAGCTTGATCGAATATCGATCCAGAGTTAACTGCTTCCTGACGATCCTCAACTCTCCTCAGCTTTCGCATGTTCGTAAACCCAACCGCGTGTGGAGTCCCCACGCTCCCCCACGCAGATATTCTGGTGGGATAGTTCGGATAAATGGAAGTTGCGATTGTAAAGAAAGCGGCCCTCGAGGTCACGCCTGGACAAGGGCGTGGCTCAGTGAGAGGGCGAATAGTCGGCGCCCAATTGGTGGGTGTATCCCGTGACTGAGGCGTTTAAGCGCCCTCAATCCAATTTGTTCCCAGCCCCTCTCCCAACGTGGCTATCTCCGCACTATTAAGCGCCCACCCGTATCGGAGACGTCCAGGACTTCTCTGCCTTCGCGAACTTCGCCAGGCCCTTGATTGTGCGGGAATATGCTTTTTGAATATGTGGTAACGTATATGCAACAGTAGTCCGTCATTCAAGGCTTTTTGTAAGAGAAAAGCTTCCTCTGTATACACTGCCGTCGTTCGGCCAGATTCGAGCTAGCGACTCGTGCTCACACACTCAGATATCTCGGATGATTAACGGAGAGGTAAGCAGGAGGTTGGGAGAGATAGACCTCCTCATAGATGACATACTAGGCAACCTCATCGCAGGTGTTCTTTGATTTCTGTGCCTTGTTGAGTCTATTTTCCCCTAGCACCGATTATTGACACCTAAAACCAGCGGAACGGACGCCGACCTATCGCAATATCCGTGAACATTTAAAAGGCTGGGTTGCTACATTGTAGCTCCTCAGCTGAACGCTTTACTCTCTCGCCATGTTCAAGAAACTCGCCGTCCTCTTCGCATCTGCCTTGCTCGCTGGTAACGTTGCTTTTGCAACGCCCGTCCCTCAAGCGGACCCCGTCCAGATGTGTATGAGCGACTCCTCCGATTATCTTGAGCGTTGTTGACCCACACCTTTTTAGGCGGCGGTATTGGCTGGGAGGGCCCAACTGACTGCCCCGCTGGGTAAGATCCTGAAGCCGTCTTCCACCGTTTTAGCTCACTCGGTTTGTCTAGCTTCTATTGCCGAGAGCTCAATGAATGTAAGCCCTTTCTTCTGTTCTAATCGAGTGTAATATTAATCCCATTCCACAGACGTCAGCCTCTGCGTTCGTGAATCGACCAACACCGAAGGAACCACCCGACCTGGTGCAACTGGATTCCCCACCATCCCCGTTCCTGGACCCACTGGAGTCCCCCCAATCCCTGGAATTCCCGGAATTCCTGGAGTCCCTGGCATCCCCGGATTCCCTTGAGCATTTGATTATACCACACGTATTAATGAAAGGCGGAAATCGCTTCTGTAACATAAATCTCAGAGAACAACTTACATACCCACTACCGTCACTCCCTTTCGACTCGGAGAAAAACACCGTTGTGTGACGACTTGACTACAGCCTGCTTCAACGGACCTGGATAATTAAAAATGGGCCACGGACTTCCTTTATTCCGCTCGTTTTACAGGCGACAATCTCCAGTGGGCTTCGGACGAAGCGCCCTATCCGAGTGTGATATCACCGTCCCGAAAGAACACTGCCAGTTGCCTCTTTCGATAATCAGTAACTGAAGCATATATTAACGGAGGTTGAGCGCTACCGAAAGGGGGATTCTACTCAGATGTACCTGACCTGGGCATACATATGATATCGATAAGGAGGGAAGTCTGAGAATCTCCGGAAGAATCAGTAATTGTTACAACTAACTAGAGCAGTAACGGCAATTGAATTCAACCAGGTGCGTATTTATAGTGGTGCAAGGAGAGAGGATAGGCAGGACCTACGCACCCTGCTTATCCCCTGCTAGGCTTACTCTAATATCTTTTGATCGCAATGGGCTTCAAGACAGTTGCTTCCATGATTTTCGTTGCCGCTTTGTTGGCTGGCAGGATCGTGCATGCTACGCCAGTACCACAGATACAGCTTCCGGGAGGAGGTACCACCATGTGTACGATGGCATCTCCATGACATATCTCGACATTTATAATAAACTCGCCGATGTTTAGGTGGTGGACTTCATTGGACGGGGCCAACCACCTGTGCTGCAGGGTAAGAACTTTCTCAACAGCATCTGACTAGACATCGTGCTAATCTACCCGACTAGGCTCATTTGCGTGAGGTATAATGAATGTGAGTCCGAGTATACCGCCTTCCTCTTCGTCGTCTCCGGACAACAACATGAACTAACTGGCTTCGAACCATGAACAGACGCAAGCTTCTGCCAACCTGCCGACTCGCCGATCACGAGAACGCTTACGGGTGCACCTACTATTCCTGTCCCTGCACCCACAGGAATTCCCCTACCTCCCGGCATCCCCATTCCTCCGGTTATCCCAAGGCCTTAGCCTATTCTCCTCACACAGGACAGGGAGATAGCGGCGACAACTATGACGTCATGAAATAGGAGGCGTATCTCCGGAAAACTAAAGTCCTCTTCAGTTACGAGCATCGAAATGTTATCACGATTTTAAGGATATATAAACGAGATAGTTTCAGCTTCCTAGTTTAAGGTACTTATTGCCGTTTATGCGTGTCTTCGACTGTAGTATAGTGTTTTTTGAATTCGAAGGCATCTCTCCTGATCCCGGTTCCTTGTGACTTCGGTTGTACAGTACCGAATGAAAGGTTGGGAAGCCGTTACCTGGCGCTGACAGGAGCGATAAGGACGCATTTCTGAGGATCTCCGGAATAACTGGTATCATTCAATTGGCAGTTGAATTCAGAATCAGATTTATAGTGGAGGAAGAGGCTATGTCGTCTGCGAGGCCCCGCGCTAACTCCCGCAACGTTCAGACTATGACTTTGCTGAAGACCGTCGTTTCAATTGCCGTCGCTGCCTTTTGGGCAGGCCAAGTGGCCCATGGAGCACCAACCCCACAGGTGCTTCCTGGAGGTGGTTCCGGAACTATGTGTACGTTGCGTTACCTTCTTCTAATGCACCGCCAACCAACTGCTAACCGGGACAAACTTGAAGGTGGTGGATTCGGGTGGTCAGGGCCGTCGACCTGTTCTGAAGGGTAGGCGCCAGCATCTGAGAATACAGTATTGCACTATCCTAACATTGGATTAACCTCATGCATTAGTTACACCTGTGTGTGGCTAAACGACTGTAAGTTTCAATCTTTCATGGCTTTCTATCCACATTGTCTCATTTTAACTGCTCTTCAGATGTTAGCCTGTGCCTTCCCCGAGAAGGAGGACCATAGGCCGTTTGGCGAGCCGCGAGGGTGGGAGGATACTTTGGATGGCTGTCCCGCTTACCGACTCGGACGAACGTGCTGAGATCATAACATGGTTGGCATGTACTTTGAAGGCCTTGGCTCTCAGATTTTGTAGTGTTAGACAGGCAACAAATGGAGCTGAACGACAGCTAGGTTTGAGAGGGCAAGTTTGAGCTTGGATTTTGGATGCGACGTTTAGACAGCTGGAGAAAATGTAGTTATGGGCAGTATTTTGTGCATTTTCTCTGGTCCTTTGGTCGCATCAGCAAGGAAAGTGTCCAGGTAATTGAGCCAGAATTGTACATATCTGCCATGGGTGGTCAGAACGATTGTGGAGAGCGGCCCTGAGCTCGTACAGTCGTGGACAGTCAAACTCAACAAATTTTTTGAAAGGGTTCCTGAATCTCCGAAAGCTATCGGAAACGATATATTTAGTCGAAAGGATCCTACAGTACAAATATGGAAGAAATTGAACGGGCGGATCAGCCCTTACAGGACTTTGTCCGCATTGGCGCCAAAAATTTGGCCGCCGACGCATTTTTGCACCTAGGAATATGAAACTATGTGCAATCGATAGCTTTTGAAAAACGCTACCTGTTCACAAAATTTCAGCCAATTTTATCAACTCGTTGGTCGGTAAAATTGAAAACAAGTTCGGGCACCTGGGAGACCCTGCATAGGTTTAGATTACCGGAAACACCAGACTCGCTTAATCCCTGCATTCAAAAATGTTCGTTAGCACGAGGAGAGCACGAGGCAGTACTCTTCCACCTACCATCGTCATGGGGAAACGAAAGAGAAAGGCCCATCCCAACACCTTAGCCAATTTGAAGAGGGGTGCAAAGAGGATGAAAGAAGCAACCAAATCACCTTCACCGGAGCCGGTTACAGTCAATGTCAGCGGTCAGGACGAGATAGAGTCAAGAAAGGACGCACCTGAGCATGAAGGGGTGGAAAGGGAGGGATGGGGGGAGGAGAGTGACGATGAGGATGACGATATTGAGGTTGTGGATGATCCCAAGTTGTGGAATGCGAAAAGATTGAAGGATTTGGGCGTTTATGAGCGTGTTGTCAGTGCAGCACTTTCGGGTGACAAGTGCCCATACTTGGGCGATGAATGGGACGACTCTGACGACGAAACTTGGCTTCCTCCAAAGAAGAAATGGGAAAGGGAGAAGAGAAAGCGAGAAAAGAAAGGTAAGCTCGAAATTTCCCAATGTAAATGAGAAAGAGCTTACAGTTTTCGTCTTTTAGATCGTCCTTCGACCTACGCCACTGGCCCCGACATTATGGCAAAGTCGGAACGTACCCAGCGCCGTTACAAGCAGCAGATGGCCACGCAAACATTCCTTGATGATCACATCGTCAGAACGAAGCGTCCTCGCCCTCCTCCGAGAGAAGAGAAGTCCCTGGCTGAGGAGACAGCTAGTGTGAAGGTGGAAGTCAAAGAAGAGCCCCTCCCTTCGACGTCTTCATCGATTCCAGATGTCCAGGTCCGAATCGAGTCCCCTGAACCCGTTCAGCTCGAATTTCTCGATGTCGAAATTCGTCAGGAGTCCCTTACCCCCCCACCGCTGTTTTTCGATGAGCATCCACGAGTTCCGCCATCGCCACCCCTTCCTGGTAGTGCAGAATCTGCAGACGCACCCACCGTACTCCCTGAGACTTCAGAGACGGCCATCGACCCGCAAAGTGGCATCGAGTGCTGGGAGGAGGAGCTGAACGATGTTCTTGCTCCAACAGCAAGTGACATTCGTCCTTGGGATGTCCTTCGTGAACGTATCAACAAGGCGATGGAGCCTAAGCAATGGAAGAAGCTCACGCAAACCCACCAGAACCAATACCTCATCCTGAGGGCCTTCGCCACACTTCGACTTCGTGGGATCGGACGACTCGAAGCAAGCCAACAGATCGCTCTCCAATGGTCGCAGGACATCAAGGGATCAGGGGTCAGCTTCGCGCGTCGTGTAAGGGCGCTGGCTCGCCATTACCAGATCTGGGAGCAACTTCCAGTCGAGAAACGAGGTGGATACCGGAACGGTCGTTCTGTATTGAAGGACGAAAGTGTCCAGCAGGCTGCTCGTGGATGGTTGACGGCGCAGAAACTTGGGACGGTCAATCCCAGTCGATTTCGAGATGGTTTGAATTCCGAAATCCTTCCTAGTCTTGGAATTTCTTTGAAGAAACCATTGTGCACGAGGACAGCGACGCGATGGCTGTGGAAGCTTGGTTGGGTGAAGACGAAGATTGGAAAGGGTGTCTATGTTGATGGGCATGAGAGAGAGGATGTGGTACATTACCGAAAGCACTACTACCTGCCAAAGATGAAGGAGTATTCTCGACGCATGACGCACTACGAGCCATCCGATCCGAAGTCCCCGGCATCCGATCTGAAGGCAGTTCCTCCCATTCTTGGAGAAGGCGAGAAGGAGATTGTTGCCGTGTTCCAAGATGAGTCTTGCTGCCATGCGAACGAGTTCGAAGGCCATGCTTGGTATGTTTATTGCCCTCTGTCGCCTAATCTGTTTCCAAGGCTCAATAGTTGTTATCCTAGGCTCAAGCCCGGACAGCAGCCTCTTGTGAAGAAAGGTCGCGGGCGCCTCATCATGATCTCGGAATTCATTTGCTCGACAACTGGGCGCTTAGTCGTCGAGGACGAAAACGGTAATGTCATCAAAGAAGCTCGCAAGATAATCTATCCGGGCAGTAACGGTGACCCCTATTGGGACAAGAAACAGCTGCTCGAACAAGTCCAGAACCATGCGATCCCAGTGTTTGAGGAATCACACCCAGGAAAGCAAGCCTTGTTCATCTTCGATCAGTCCTCGGCCCACGCTGCACTCGCTGACGATGCTCTCAAAGCTTTTGAAATGAATAAATCCAATGGAGGCGCTCAACGGATCCAGCGTGACACAGTCATTCCAGATTCTAATCCGACAGCTCAGCTCCGAGGCAAGTTACAGCCAATGACAGTCCCGGGTCCAGATGGAAAACCGATTCCCAAAGGTCTTGAACAAGTCCTCCAGGAGCGGGGTTTCAACGTTGATGGACTGAGAGCGAAGTGCAAACCGGTCTGCCCCTTCGACAGCGACAAGTGTTGCATGGCCCGACTTCTTAGCAAGCAGGACGACTTTACAAATCAAGTCTCTGAATTGGAGCAAATCATCGTCGATGCCGGTCACCTGTGTTTGTTTCTTCCCAAGTTTCACTGTGAATTGAATCCAATTGAAATGGTGCGTGAACTGCATTTCTTTTGTTTTCATCCTGTACTCAATCAATTAATTTCTCTCCTTCGACAGTATTGGGGTTGGGTGAAGTTTAGGTATCGCCAAATGGCGAAGCCCAACTTCGAAGCAGCAAAAAAGGCTGCCCTTTCCTGCCTGAACGCTTGCCCCAAGGATGTTATTCGACGATTTATCAACCGCTCTTGGCGATTCACGGAGGCTTATCGGGCGGGACTGACTGGGAAGGCAGCTGCATGGGCAGTCCGGAAGTACAAGGGACATCGTACTATTTCCAACGGGGCGCTTATGCACATCGAGGCGCTCGCTGGGTAGTCTAGTCGTCAATAAATTTTCGCTTCCGGGGGGTCAAAATTTGGCCAAGGCCAAAAACGCGTGGGAAAAACTTCGGAGATGTGTTTTTCGACGTCTTTCGCAAATCTACGTCTCCTGACAAAAAATTGGACCGAACCATCAGGTCTTAGTCGAGAAATCAGCGATTTACCATATTTGTCGAGTTTGACTGTCCACGACTGTATAAGTACGGCAGTTCCGATCAAACACGTGAGAACCCCGCTTCCGACAAGGATTGACTCTCGGAAGGACGTCTGCAGATCTCCGGAATAACCTACACTGAGGCCTGGGTTCTAGTCAAGTAATAGAACTGAATAACGAATTAAATTTACTTCCTACTTATACCAGACAGCTACTACTTCTATGCTCCAAGGCTGCAAGGCTCCGCGCGAACTTCCGTCATAATGATTTCATCGAGAACCGTTCTTTCAATCGTCATCGCTGCGCTGTGTGCCGGGAAGGCTGCCCATGGAATTCCGGTTCCACAGGTACTCCCTGGAGGCGGTCTTATGTGTACGTTCTCGTACACCGTCGTCAACGAAGTATATATTGACCAACAGTTGCACAATTGAAGGCGGTGGATTGGGGTGGACAGGCCCGGCGCAATGTACTGAAGGGTGAGCGCCACTGCCACGTCCTATCTCAGAATTTTGCTCAACACTTCCACAAGCTATGAATGTGTATGGCTAAATCAATGTACGTCCCATGCGCTTACAGCCTATGTGAAAGGGATTCTGAGTACTGGGCGATATTTCACTAGATGCTAGTTTGTGCCTTCCCAAAGAATATGCGGCGACAAGGACGACCACGGATGCACCGAATACGCGGAGGGATGTGCCTACAGGCCTTCCTCCTCCTCATATCCCTTATCCGCCCCCTCTTCCAGTACCTACAGGTTTTCCTCCTCCCAGTTTTCCTTATCCCACTCCTCCGACACCGTGATACTAGGAGGCTGAGTGTGGGCCTAGGGCTCAAGGAAGCTATCTCCAGAAGCGTAGAGAGATGATCTGTGATATCGCTTGTTGTGGTACTCCGCCTTTGTCTTATTGTGTAGCTCCAATTAACATTTCACATGGATCGTCACCGATGGTCAGTTAGTCTTCCTTCGTGCCAGTGAGGCCTGTTGGGTGACGATTGCGTGCAAGGTCATCGATACGAAGGATTCGAACCATAAGTGAATCTTGAAGAGACCTTCAGTTGTGAATGTTTGACGCTTGTTCCGTCCGTATTAAAGCTGTGCAAAGGAATTCGAAGACTTGCTACGCTCTGGTGCCGCCTCCCTCCACGTATACCTCAGCGCACATTCAGGGAAAGTATGAAGATGAGAGAAGTTTGGAATATTTAGTTCCAACCGTGTTAACCTTCCAAAGTCAGTATGGTTTGTTCCGAGGTTGAAACATACCATCCAGAATGTTCCAAAAGGTATTCCTTCAAAGATACACTGCAAAAAGCTTGCGCTGTGGGTGATGCTTTGAGCTTGGAGATATGGGTGTCATGGAAGTGGTCGTGGAGAGCAACTCCGGGAGATACGAGACCAGGAGAGATATGGTCAATAAATATTGTCTAATAAGCGCCAAATAGGCACTAGCCTGGCCGGAAGCAAGGTTTTCCGCTCGAAGTCATGCTTCGGAAGAACGTGGGAGGAGTCCAGAGCTCCAAGAATTCTTATCCAATGCAAATCCATACCGTCCCGCACGTCGAAGAGGAACTTTTCGTACATTTCAAGGCTACTCCATCGTGCGCTCCCTTTAAGGTATGTATTCCCCGTCTCTTTTTTGAAAGGTATAAAAGGCGGGTGGGCCTTGGGTGTGTTTCCACAGAGCACCTCGCCTAAGCTTTTTAGCAAAGCACCCTCTCTAAACTACACACTCCTCCTCTTTCTTCGAAATGCGCTTCTCTACTCTCGCTTTCATCTTCGCCTCCCTGGTCAGCACTGTTGCTGCCAGCCCACTCAAGATCGCTCCTCCTGTACTTGGTGTTGACCAATGTAAGCCGGTTTACCACTGAATAGCACACCATTAGCTAACGCGTCGCGTCTACCACTAGGCGGTGGTGACTATTACGATGGTTCACGAACCTGCCCTGAAGGGCTCCGCTGCCAGCGGTTCACTCGACGTAAGTAATATAATCGGGAATAGAGCTTAGGCCTATGTGCTGAGTCTCATGTTCTTAGTCTTCCACGGATGCGTTCCCGTTCAAGAAGAGGATCCCATCATGTCCATACTCCCTCATCCCGCCATTCCGGTGGAGGAGCCGGCTTTCTCTATCCTCCCTCACCCAGCCATTCCTGGACCCGAGGAGCCTACTTTTTCTATCCTCCCCCACCCTTAATTCCCCTCTATTTATACGACTTCCTGTTTCAACGGATTAAAATGATTCTTCAGCCGGTGGCCCTTCGATTGAAAAATGTAGCAGTAAACTTGGGCCGCATCACCAAATCGTACCCGGTATCTAGTAATCTCTGGACTCTGTATCAGTGACCTTATGCCTTTTAATGCGTAGTTAATCAAAATTTGCTTCATGTTTCTATTTGTAACCTGCCGGCCCTCTTCCTGCTGGAAATGGTTCTCGAACCCCTGTCATCGAGTGCATCAGGACCCAGAAAGGGCGTGGGAAACGGCATGCCCGGCTCATGGATCCAGTGTCCCCGCCACAGGTTCAGGCTTGGTCAACGACCGCGACGTCGAGCTCGAAGATCGGGGCAGCGAACTCAGGGGAAACCGTTAAATTGTGGTGTCCTGGTCATAAATCCCAGGTGAGGACATAATTTATCTTTTCTGCATTATTCACTGGCTTATACTTTCTGCAACAGCGGACGAGATTGTCCCAGACGATTCCAGTTTTGCAACATTTTGCACACGACGAGCTCGACTGAACACTATATAACCATCTGGTAAGAGGTCTATAGTATCCATATTATCTGAAATTTAACTTTGTAACTACAGGCCAGCTGGTCCTGATCCAGACGAACGAGTCAGAGAACACATGAAGCATATCGTGGAGCAGAAATCGTCGGGCGAGAAGATGCTGCTGGGGCTGAGCTCGTTGCCGTACGATCTGCTGCTAAACATCGCGATCCACCTGAATTCGGCCGATATACATTCCCTGAATATGGTACGCAGATGACTTGGGTCGCCAATGCAGGGAACTGACCAGAGGCGATAGACCTGCAAATCGCTTCACGGATTCTCCAAAACCAGGCCAGTATACCGAAAACTGGCTGCCGATCTTCTTCGAAGATGTCGCGCGCTACCGCTCAAGGGATTTCAACAATTGACAGACCTCACGACGGAGCAGTTGGTAAAGTCGGTGGACAAGGCTACCCGGTACGAAATGGCCTGGAAGAAGCGCGGTCCCAGGCCTATCGGCACCAACACATATTCCAATTATATGGACGTTTCTGAGGGCGACGCAAGCTCAATATCCCACAAGTGGTACAAGGTCGTCAGTTCGCCACCGGGGGAAGACGTGGATTGGCTGTCTCCCATCACATCAAGCTATACACTTTGTGCGACGAAGAAGGGCCGTGTGGTGTGTTGGGATGTTCAAACAGATCGATGTTTGGCAGAGTGGAATCCAGGGGAGAAATGGGAATTGTGGAAATGTAGGGTCGAGTTTGAGGAACGGACGGTTTATTTCACCATGGCCAAGGTGCTCTCTGGAGGGTGAGTTGCGCATTCCTTACATAGACCTGCGTGTCGTTGACACACTTCTTTTTAGACTGGCCGACGATGACCGCGTCATGGAGTTTATTCTCATGCGGTTGACGTTCTCCGATGGTCCCTCAGGGGAAACGTCCAAGGACCCTCCGGTCTTCTCGCATGTGACCGAATTTCGAACCTCGGGGGTGGTCATGAACGTGTTTCTACTCGATCCATCGTCAAGGTTGCTCTCAGCATTCATTTGGGTGTCAAGTTCAAACACGATAGGTCTGTATGCCTTGCTCGATTGGGACAACGACGAATATGTCTTTATCGATACCGGGATTGAATGCGTGAGTCCCTTAAACAGCCGCTGTTCCTTTCCTTCACTAACCTCGCCCAGGTTACTTCTTCCAATTGGTCTTGCATACTCTACGACGGCCACATCGTGATACACTCGGAAGAAAGCGATATCGCTTACCAATATTTCTATCCCTTGTCGCTCCTGCGGAAGCACACCTCGTATGTGGACAAATCGTCTTCAGCACCAAAACTCTCCCGTCGCGTAACCCCGTGGCGGACGATCTCGAAGCGCTTCATATTCCCCGCCTTAACACACCACCACGCTGAACCACCAGAAGACGTCCCAATAGCCACCACCACCACTTTAAACGGGATCACAGTTAATGGGACTGGGTCGTCATCCATCGTTCCCGTCGGAAACAGCGAAGGCGCCTCGCCTCCGAATCCATTCCCTTTCCTCCCATGGTACCCCGAGAGCGCGCACTTTGTGCGACAATGGTGGCCAACGCTTCCCGGAATCCCCCGCGTTAGTTGTACGGTGGTGCTGCTTGCAACGCACGATCAGGTTACCCATCGGACACGGTTCGTGCTAGCCCAGCACTACTTCCGCGTTCCCATCAACCACGCGCAGTGGTTCCAGATGGAAGAAGAGGCGGCTGCAGCGGCGGCGGCGTCAATGTCATCGGCGTCTTCTGCGTCTTCGTCAACGTCGTCAACGTCTACCAGGACATCGTTCGCAGACGACCCGATGAAGCAGGCCCTTATCGCTCAAGACGAGGCGCTGATGCACATGTGGTACGTCAGTGCGCCTTTCGAGGTGGTTAGGGTGTTCGAGTTCGACGAGGATGACGAGTTTGGGGAGAGGCCGAGACCGCTTGTTGCTGTCGATTTTGGCCACGCTGCGTGGATCGAGTACGTAGATCCGCCACAGGATCCGTTAGAGGGCGATGAAGCAGCTGATTCAGCGAGAGACGGGGAGGATGGCGAGCAGCAGGCGAGGAGTAACAGGGAAGGGGAAGATTCGGACGAGGACATGGATTCGGATGGAGGCGATGGAGAGCCTAAGCGGCTTCGGTTTGTCACGTTCCCTTCGTTCAGGGACGAGCTTGAATATGTTGGATTGGAGAGGGAGCAGTGGTTGCCTAAACCTGAGGAACTGGAAGGCGAGGTTAGGACGTTGGAAGTTCCGGACGAACTTGATTTGGGAACTGTTGAGACGATTAACATTGATCAGAGTCAGGGTGCGGTTATCCTCTCTGATAGGATGGGGAAGATATACATTTTGTGTTATGAGTGATTTGTGTACTATGGTTGGCTAGTAGTACGGCAGAGAGGAGAGGAGAGGGAGGGGGAAGGGCTTCTTTTCTAGTTTTTGTGTTTGTGCATGGGGACACTTTGGATGCTCTCGATCGAGTCGACGTTTGATGGCCTTTTGATTCATAGTTGGTTAGTATACCGGAACTCGGTTACTGTAGTTAGTTGACGACCCTCGCTATGTTTATAGATATTGTCGCTGTATACTTAGTAATTACCTCGGCTTTGAAAAGGACTCTGTGAATTCCACTCACTGCCTGGGTTGTGTCAGGAAGGGCTCGCTTTCCGGAAGGGCGGACGCGTTTGTAAGGCCGATGGCTTACAGCGATTTCTCATAACGCTCATATACCCTCGGACGGTGGCTGAAGAGATAACCTCTTCAGTTATGCTGCCTTTTGGTTGTAGCGGCAAATGCGTCGGCCTGTAAGTTGTCGTCTTACAGCGTTCCATTCCGCACCGTGCCAGTACAAGGCTGATAACTCTGAATCGAGGTAAGCGTTCAACTAGCAGAGTCCAAATTATAGACTAACCTCGGTGACAGTGCAGGGCCACTGAGGTAACTGCTTCATCTAGGATCTAGCGCTCCAGCATTTATAGGGACTCAGAAGTCCTCGCCAGAGAATTGGGAGGTGCCCTGTGTGGCAGAGCATACAGTGGGATCTTTTTCATTAGACTACGCGTTATTTCCTGGAGGACTTCCTCGACATTTTAGACAAAATCCTTGATGTTGGGCTGGTTTATGTCTTCCGAAGCATGTTCACCGCACTGACTGGGAGAAAGGCTTCCATGAACGACGTCCGAAAGGCCAGGCGCGAGTTCTTTGACTTCTGAGGATATCCTCGACGCCAGGGGGTGGACTCGCTCCTCTCAAAGCCCATGCATGGCACAAGCATGGCCAGAACAGAAATGATCCTTCATGGAATAATAGCATGGGAAAGCGGAGGAGGGATTTGTGAGGGGACATGATTGGGGCTCGAAGGCTTAACCCTGTCGATGAGATTGTAGCAAAGCGTGCTGAAGTGATGATTCATGGGATGCTGGTCAACAAATGACATTCCAATTGACGCTGATTTGAGAAAGAGAGCCCGCACGACTCTGGGAGTTGTGGTTCATCAAGGTTACTCCATTAAATAATCAGGTTGCCTTTGCTGTGAAATGGGCGATCTGGTTGTCCGGGATGTCCCAGAATTGGACGTGGTGTGTTGGGGATTGTCGGATAGACGGATCTGTTCCACCATAGAACGACACAAGTACATATCGGCACTTCCAATCCAACTTGGAGTAAAAAACCCACTCGGTCGTGTTTCAGATTAGGCGCCTAGCTAGAATTTCCCGGCGCTTATCATACACCCCAAAGTCCATCCGTCTTTCAAATTTCCTGAATGGGCAATTACGAGAAACGTGTCTATCCCAGGGCTATCCTCGAGGTCTTGGCTTTTTGCCTGGAGGCAATTGGAGGTCAAAAAGGTTAAATTGCAGTTTGCGCATGGAGACTTATTCGCGTCTTGGAAGTTTGGGGGATGTACACGTTTCAGATTACCTTTGAACCTGCAGTACATAGACAAGTACTTATGTACATAAACAACCACATTTGCTTCGTTCCCGGGTACGGTACGGACGTGTGTCTTTTGGGGGTTGAAGGATGACCCGCGAGCTCCACATGAGAGAAAAGTGCGAGGTTGAATGGCGGTTGGTCGGCAAAGAATGAGGGCAAAGTTGTCCAGTGGGAACTGGGTGTGAGTCACTGGACGATCACTGCTTCACCGGGCAGCTTGTGGACGTTTTGAATGGGGTGCATCGGTGCCGCGGGTTAAACGTCAAAAGTCGTCCGACAACGAGAAAGCCAGGTCGAATATGGTCAAAGTGAAGATGGGGCGCGGGACCAGTGTTTGTTCAATACACTTGTTGTACATATGTATAACTTGTGATGGACGTGTTCGATGTTGGACGTGGATGGGAATTTGGGGAGGACGAGCGCTTCTGATTCTTGACAATGATGCCTACGCGAGGACTTTGCCGTGAAGAAGGTTGGCTTGGGTGTCTGTAGTTGAGCTGGGAAGGCGATGCCGCGGCGTGGCATGGGGATGTCGGGGTCGTTTCAAAGTGGTGTAATCAACTGACATGGTGCATAGGCTGGGCAATAGGCTGCAATAGGGACCCTTAGGGCCACCCTTCGAGACGACAAGAATAACCAAAGGCACTTGCTTCTTTCTGACGTGGCTCTAATCTAAGCACCAAGTCGGTTAAGGAGTTATTGTCTCCCTCCAGTTCTAAATCAAGGAAAACGTAAATGGACACATACCGTCGATCTAGAGCACTGGGAAAGCTCGAGGCCCAAAACCACATCTGCAGCTGAAGTCCAAATGAGATGAGCCCAAATTCTCGTCTTCAGGTTGCAGAGGCAAGATGCGAAGGTCGCCATTCCGAACGAGGGTTCAAAACGGATAGCTCAGGGAGCTTTTGCTTGTACCAGAGCATTAGATCTGTCTACAGCGACAAGATCAACATCCTGGGCGCTCGTTAGCAGAGACAAGCCCCTTTGGGTCCACCCTTCCCGGCAGGTACGCTTGTTCGGGTAAGGCTTATCGCCTAGCCGTGCAGCACGCGCAAGAATAGACCTGGCGACAGCCTACACGATTGGGGCATGAGGCAGGTTTCGCCGTAAGCCTCACCTACGGTGGCCGATAGTGGCCAGGTTGAAATCAGTTTTGTCGCGCGCGACCGACCTCCGATCCACGGGCTGTGGGACCAAAGAAGGGCCACCACCAGCAAATATACCTTACCATACTGGCCGTTTGCGAGCCCTAACGCCCTATATATCCGATATATAGCATCCCTTATTCAACTAAATACAAGTTTATGCAGTAAAACCGAGTGCCAGGCTCCTCTGAGATACCTCAAAGACCTCCGAACGAGGTGAAGGGGTATACACCTGCCCTAAAGTGAACCCCAAATGTATTACTATCATGGCACGTCTACTGAGTACCCTCCATACGGTAACAATAGCTATTTATCATGTCTCTAAAAATGTTCCAACCACGAATTCCTTCAAAGGGTGGTGAACCGATGTCAGCGTGCAAATCAGTGCAAAGGTTGATGAAGTCGGCGTCTCCGAACTGAGTTAGGCTAGGGTCATCGTATTCTGCCAGGAGCTGGGCGGTGTCTTCTCGAGGAATATCAATCAAGAGGCCCTTCTCGCCCCCGTACTCCTCTGGATGGTTATAGAGGTCCTCCCGACGTGCATCGCTTGGGAGAAGGATATTCCTCTGACCGCGAATGCGATGGGAAGCATTCTCGATCATCAGAGTTTTGTGTCACCTCCCATAATTCCCAAAGTGTCAGTTCCTCTTAGATAGAGACACGTTGTGGATTTTATATACATCAGACTATAGATTCAAATACCTAAAACCTCTACGGGGCTGACGAACGGTTACAAGGGAGGGTCTCGAGGCCAGTGTGTGGATCTATTTGTCCCACAGCCCGTGGATCGGAGGTCGGTCGCGCGCGACAAAACTGATTTCAACCTGGCCACTATCGGCCACCGTACTCACCCTTCTTTCTCGCTGTCAACAGCAACGCCCCTTATTCGGCTGATTATGGACGACCAGGGGCCATTGACATTGACCTGAGATCAAGGCACTTGGTTAGCTCTAGGTCGTAGCGATGGCCTAGGGAGAGAGACGATCTTTTAGTATACATTACAGTCAATAAAAGCTAGCCAAAAATCTACCGTATCTTGAAAGAAACTCTTCGAAACTGGTCTTGGTGGTCGCGGCTATCAGAGCCTGATTTTGAGCTCCGGCATTTTTATGATGGCGCGTCGTGAACCTCTTGACCCCGAACCTCCATGTTCTCCCCAAATTTCCTTCTTCTCGACGACGATATCAAGATTTTCTGAACGACCAGGGTCGAGGATCTTGACCAGACGACCGTGAGGTCGCCGATTAAACCGCCAGCTTCGCCACGACCACCCAACGACCCCCCTTTACGACCCGAGAATTTATTACAGAATTATCGCTCAAAAAGCGCCTTGGATTGGCGTTTGAGCTGCCTGAAAACAACGATAAATGCCGCCAAAGCGCGTACAGTCGACGTCGAACGCACTTTCGCCGCAGAATACGCTATCACCGAACCCCCCGCCGTCGCCAAATGCCTACCGGTCCACGTCACCTTCGGGGTTTACCCAATTCCTGGCGAAACCCACAAAGTGGTTCACCAGGAGCGTTTCCGCAAGCAAAGTCCCCAGTTCGCCTGTGGAATCACGTCCGAGCTTCAGTTCTTCATCGAGAAAGCCAAAGATATCGAAGCCTACGGATCCCCGGCCAATTTTGGACACTTATTCCAGTAGCCCCAGCAGCAAGTGAGTCTAGCCAGTGAACTCAAAGTCTTCAAGATTCTGACTATACTTGTCTAGATCGGTACTTGACTTGTCTTCGAGGCATCAGGGCTCGATAGACCTTCCCCGGTATCCACAACCACCCAGCACTCCGTCTAGTCCCACTATCCCTTCGAGCATCAACACAAATGGCCTCGGCGACCTTCGCAATATCTCCAAACGCGCCTGGTCAAAGTCGGCAGACGACCTGAACAAGATCTCCGCTCCTATCCCATTTTCACCCATGAAAGCAAGCTTTCAAGACCGGGTCGCAGAGTATCGTGCCAGGACTGACAGCGGCGCCAGTGCCGTGTCCTCCTCGAATGCATGCTCTTCATCACCCGTGCATGGTGGACGTCACCCGTTCCCCAGTCTCGCAGGCTCACCTCCATCGTCCTCTCCCCCGATTGCCCTTCGGAACGGGCCAGCCCCGCGAAGCTCGACCCTGCCACCTCTTTCGGTGTCAGTTTCGACACCAGTCCTTGAGGACAACAATTCGGGAAAGAACCTCACGCCAACACACGTTCACACACGATCGCATTCCTTCACCCCGAAATTGCCATCGAAGCTGGCGGGCACACCTACCTATCCTTCCAGCCCGAGGCTGCCTCCCTCGGCCAGTTCTTCCAACACTCCGATGAATCACCGTTCCACGACGTTGCTTTCACCGCCAGCCATTATCGAACCCCAACCAGAGAAGAAATCCGATCCCGACCCGCGTCGTTCCTCCCAGATCCTTGTTCACAGTGGTTTGATCAACAAGCTCACGGATGTCCCTCCTAACCTCAATTCACCGAACGCCAACCTCCAGCTTTCCAAGGGCTGGAAGCCCTACAAGATGGAGCTGAAGGGATCGAAACTGTACTTTTTCAAGCCACCATCTGACCGAAACAACGCGATCAAGGACCTTTTCCCAACAGGGCTCGTTCCACCATCGGAGGAGGAAGATGACGAACCGATTCTGGAAGTGGAGAAACCCAAGGATGAGCCTCCTCCGAGTGCTGGTGGCGCAGGGAGGCGGAAGAGGGCGTTCTGGGGGAGAAGAACGCACCCTGACCTCGTCTCCGATGACAGAGGGGAGATCGTAAAGGGCACCTTTGAAGCCCTCGTCCACGAAGCTGCCTTCGGAACCACCTTCGACCTCGCAGGTGACCAAACACGATGGAAAGACTTTGCTTCTTCCATCCTCCTCGCGCTGCCGAACGTCATCGACCGCGCGACATTCGAGACGGAGCTTCTGCGGTGTTGCTCTTACCTCATTAGCGGAGCGGAAGATGACACTCGAGAGGCGGAACGGACACGCGTGGGTTGGATCGCGAACGAGTATCTCCGGCACCATGGCAAGCCCGTCGATGGTACGGCCTGGGACGAGTGGAAGAAGGAGACCATCCCTGGTGTGGACATCAGTGCTGAATCCACCAACTCTTCCTCCGGAATGCCAACGTCGGCTTCGACTCAGGCAATCTACCCCTCCTCTCCCCCCAATCCGGCCTCGCCGGAATTTACGACATTCTCACCACGACCTGACAATGCCGCGTCGCGCATGATCCCACTTCTCGATGCTCTCAACCCTGGCCTTCATCGAACTTATGAGCACCCTAGCGTCGTGTCGCCAACTAGCCAAATCCCATGGAACGTGTTGCAAGAAGAAGGCCTCACGCGCGACATCCTCGTTCAGCTCGACCCTCTCTTCCTTGCACGAAGCCTGACCCTGTTCCACCGTTCAGTCCTCGAGCAGTCCCCCGAAAACCTAACCGCCGAATTCCTCCTCCCCGACTCTGACCACGCGAAGCAGTCGCCGTCTATACCCCTCGCCATGTTCTTTGGAACTGAAGACCAGCCGCACTGGTTGACGAAGCTCCTGCTCGTGCAGATATTCTCGACTGATACGCACGGTCCCAACCCCGGCTATACCTCACCCATCATCCCACACCAGACCCCGCAACAACTCCAGTCGCCTGGTCGAAGATCAGAAGATCGGTCACGCCAGCCAGCACCGCCGCCTTCCTCAACATCCCGCACGCACACGCGCTCGGAGATTATCTCGGTGTGGGCTAAAGTAGGAGAGCTGTGCCGAAGGACGGGAGACGAGTGTTCGTGGAGGGCGATCGCGGCTGCCTTGTGTTCGCGGCCTGTTGCGCGGCTGGATAAGGCGTGGCGGAGGGTGGAGCCCCAGGCGTTGGGGATTGTAGAGTCCTGGTCGTACCCTTCGAGCGATGGCAAGGTGTTGACTGTCAATGACCCTCAGGTGACACCGTGGGGTGGCGACCTAAAGACACAACTCGCGGCTGAGCTGGGCAAGGCAAAGGGCGACAGTGGGGCTGACCAGATGATGACGGTGTCAGCATTCCACAGCACCAAGGCGCTGTTCGAGAAGTTCAGAGCTGCTTTCGTTCTGTGTCCGAGGAACATTGTGGTGCCTGAGGAGGAGGTAAACGACGATGTGAGGAGGATGGTGTCATTCTGGAAGGATGTTGCAGAGGGTGGGAGGACGAGTGGGTTGGCGATCAAATTCCAACGGTACGTTTGCTTTATACCATCGCAAGCAGGGGTGCATGTTGATTCATTTCATTTCGTATAGCGTGGAGCAGTTCCTGTCACTATCGCTTGCCGCCGAATCAAGACGGAAAGGGTTGTTTGAGCCATTCTTCTGGCAAAAGCAAGCGCAGCCACAGGGTCCCCACGCAGCCCTTATACCCCTGCTGTTCCCTGAACCCCTTCCAACGCAAAGCCTCATTGATCGAATACACTTGGTGCGGAGCCGAGTCGAGAGTGACGCGATGGAGATGCAGCAGTACCTTCGAAACAGCCCTGGTAATCACCCCCTGCAACGGTTGGACTTCAACCCCGATTTCACGAAGCGGCTCATCTTCGGCCAAGCCGGGCCTGTGATCTCGGTCAACAATGGCGAGCTGCTGCTCATGGTCCAAGGTGGTGGTCCTGAATCTCGTCCCCCTTCGCGTGCACCTTCGCGGCCCACGAGTTCTGCGCATGACAATGCAAGTCCGGAGAAGGCCGTCAGCCGGACCCCATCGATACGCGTCAAGCCAAGTACATCGCACGATCTGAATCGCAAGACGAGCGTTGCTCGACGAAGCTCGCTTCCTTCTGTGTCCCACCGCCAGAACTATGTCATCAGCGAGACGTCGTCTGAACCTCCTCTGCGGGTCATCGTGCAAGCTGGGACGTTGGATAACCTCGTCAATGTTCTTGTCCATGGACTTGGCCACATCTCGGTTTCAGTAGCGGACGACAATGGCGAGATGACCCTTCTTGAAGGCAAATCTCGCGAGCTTGTCGTTGATCGTGCCGAGTTCTCGACGATATGGTGGAACGTCTTCCGGAGCTTCGTTACTCCCTTTGTGTTCTTTGAGGTACGTTTCTTCGTTTGATGGAATGATTGTAGGTTCCTCGATGTTGATTGACGGTTTGCTTCCTCTTTCAGCTCCTGCGAAAGCTTTATATTACGTCTCAACCTGGTGGCGCGTCTCCGGCGGTTGGAGAATACATCCATGTGGCGACACGACGGAACGAGGTCCTGACGACGATAAAGGAGTGGCTGACAGTGGGTGGCGGTGCGCAGGATGTGTTGGACGATGCCCAGCTGTACTCGTCGGTTCAATCGTTCTTGAGCGGTCCTTCTGACCACTCGGTGCACAAAGCCGAGAACTTTGATGATCCTACTGTTCGTCAAGTGTGGAATGGGCTGGAAGAGAACCACAAGATCTTGAAAGCCTGCTTTTCTTCGCAAACGATGAGACCGACCCTGAGCCGGCTGCATAACCAGAAACGGATCCCCGGTGTCAATGCTGGCAGAACGAAGCATACGGCGCCCCGGGAACCACCTGACTTTGATCGAATGGATCCTGAAGATTTCGTCGATAATCTGGATGGGATGGCCTATGCGGCATTCAATAATGTTACCGAAGAGGTACGGGTATCGTTCTTCTATGTTAGCCTTTTCATTCATATCTAATTGTGTGGTTCCGCTTGTGTCTAGGACCTCTACATCACCGCAGACTTATTGGAGGTGCAAACCTCTGATAAGACGGGTTGGTTCACTTCCAGGGAGCCCAGCACGATCGAAGAGATTACCGAGATCCAGTCGATCTATGGACACCTGCAGGAAGTGGAAACGTCGTCGCTCATTTCGGAGCTGTCGCAGGAGGCGTTGTACCGACAACTCCCTCCAGGAATCCGAAGCTGCATCCGGGCCTTTGGCATCATACGTAAATGGCTCATCTCGAAGATTGTGGCCCCGAGACTGGGGCTCCGGGCTCGACAGGCACGAATGGAGCTTCTCGTCCAGGCCGTGGAGGTGGCAAGGCTTCGAAATGCGGAGAGGGCACAGTCTGGGCCTGCGATCATCCAGCCTTGTGTGCGGTCGTTTGTCGAATCTGTGGTCACTTCAGCCATTCTCAGCATCGAGAGTCGCATGCACCACCGGTCATGGCAGAGCGTTGCCCATAATCGAGGAACGCAGTGCGATTCGATAGCGTCTTTATTGCTGAGGCCTTTTGTCCAATCGACGTCTTCGACTGATTGCCTGACGGTGGATATTGGATGGCTGTTGGAGAGGATGCTCGAGGTCATCGCGAGCCCCGACGTTCTCGACTCGTCCTCAGCGGAAGGTCAGACCCTGATCAACTTTGACAAGCGAAGGTAAATAGCTCAGTCTATCGGTCTTTATATGCAATGGATCCGCTGACCGGTGACGTCCTTGTTTCGCCTAGGCATCTCTGCAATCTGATCAACAAGTCGTGGTCGCTACCAGCAGCACGGAAGCATCAGCAATCGGACGAGGCAAACAGGCGCGGCTTCGAAAGGCTGAACAACATCGAAAAGGAGGTTATCCAGCTTCAGTTTGACCACCGGTATATCAGGGACGAGGCTTCGAGAGAGGCGACCCAGGCTGCTGCCAACGGTCCTCCCTCGTCCAAGAAGGCCATCCGCCCGTTCCACAAGACTGTCGCGCAGCAGTTGGAGAAGAACCGCAGGGACAAGACGCTTCGGTCCCGACTTCAGCGAGAGAAGATGATGGAGCAGACGCGCACTGAGCGCCGAGACGATCTCCTCAACCGCGCCATGAAGAGTCCCCGCGGCAAATCTGGTAGCCTGTCGGTTTCTTCGTCAAGTCAGTCTCAGAACAAGCAGCACCGCAACAAGAAGAGCATGTCTGCTTTTCTCAACTTTATGCGCCCTATTTCCAGTGCCTTTGGAGCCGACTTTTCGCCTATTGGTGGTAGCAGTGGTCCGAGTGTGAAGAAGACGCCTGAGGAACTCGACTTTACACCCTCTGGCAAGCCGGCGCTGGTGCTCAGCATCCTTGATGCTCGCGCTGCCCAGTTCATCAACAACGAGCGGTCGTACATGTTCCAGCTGGAAACCGAGGATGGAGGGCATTACTTGCTCCAGTCTTATTCCAAGAAGGAGATGAACAAGTGGCTCGAGACCATCGCGAAGGTTACCCAGAGCGTTGCACAGAGGAGGCTCACGTACATTGGGTCGTCGCCGAAACCCCAGATTGCGGACCACATTCACGACCGTCCTATCACTGCTTCGAGGGATCCTCATGCAGGTGCGTATTTCTGTGGTCTACGTAGGTTATGTTACTTATCTCTTGTCAGTGTTCGGCGTCGAGTTGGAGGCGCTGCTGAGCCGCGAAGCCATGGGCGGGGAGGTCCCTCCCGGAACAATCCCCCGCGTCATTCACGAGTGTCTGTCCGAAGTTGAAAGCCGTGGCCTGACTGAAGTCGGAATCTGTACGTCTCGACCACCGCCACGTCACCTCTACTACCTAATCCTTCTAACCACGGGATGCCTTCTAGACCGTATCGCAGGTGCCGCGCTCGAGATTGGTGCACTCAAGGAAGCGTACAATCGCGGGGAGTCGCCCATCAAGGAATCCACTGATATACACGCTGTCTGCGATATCATCAAGTCGTGGTTCCGAGTTCTCCCTGAGCCCATCTTCCCTGCTGCGTCGTATTACGAGGTTATGCAGGCGATGAGTGCGTAGTTTTCTTGCTTTGGATAGGGTGGTTGAACGATAGAGCTAACGTGGTTGCCTAGGGATTGAGAACCTTGATGAGAGGTTGCTGGCGATTCGAAATGCTGTCCAAGGTCTTCCTCAAGCGAACTTTGATCTCCTTCGAAGAGTAGCAGAGCATCTGGATAGGTAAGGGCGAATTGTGCGTAGATGGAGTTGTGATACTGATGGGTGGTTTTGTAGGGTGACCGACTACGAGGAGCACAACCATATGACAGCCGATGCGCTCGCAATCGTGTTCAGTCCCAACCTCCTGCGTGCACCTCAAAACAACTTTGCGATGATCCTGAACAACATGGGGTTGTCCCACAGACTTGTCAAGGCGTTCATTACCCATGTAAGCTGTTCGCTTTCCCCCCTTGTGTTCACCTTGTTAACAAGCTCTAGTTCCACGCCATCTTCGACGAAACTGACGGGGACGGCGAGGTCCACTCCGATGACGAGTACGATGCTCCTATACCCGAGGAAGATGAAGAGGGCTTGGAGGATGAAGAAGGATACGACCACCGGCAAGGAGGGGACGACGACGGTTATACCGACAACGAAGTTGACGACCAAGGCCGCCAGTTCTACGACACCTCCATGACGTCCTCAGACTACCACGCAGAGTCGAGCCAGCATCATCATCGCCATCAGGCTCCAGCCCTGCACCCACAATTTTCTAGCTCAAGTTCGTTCAACCCCACAGGAAACTATTAAATCCACTAGCCGTATACCCATGGTCAATACCCATCCTGACACTTTTTCTTTCCTTCTTTCGCTGCTCTTTTACTTTTTTTTTCTCTCTCATTCGTAGTCATTCTACTACTAACCACACTAGTACCTACCATCGTTCGAAGCCTCACTTGTTAATATTCCGCTTGTCTACCGTTTTTGGACCCTTCAGCTTTTTTTGTTGCTACTACTCTCCTCGCACAGTCTACTTTGCAGTACTATCGTCGGTCCTGGTCTCTTCTTCTTTGTCCCCACCCTTTTTTGACGACTGTAACACATCCATTGTATGTACATTTACCGACATTGACCACCCACCCCCCACACTGCCACCCCTCTTTTTCTATCGTCTCCTGGGTCGTTTTGTGACCTGGGATAGCATTTGTAGTTGACACACTTTGGACTCTGGATATCATTATCTAACATCCTGTTTATTGCAATCTTGTGAGTAGTGCTATGGTGACATGAGTAGGGAACGACTCGAGGTTCAGAGTGGTATGTGGATCCTGGTAGGTTGACGTCGAAGCAAGGTAGATTTCCCCCTCTGGTTTTCGTTGACCATATCTTGGCTCGGTATTCAGGATAGACGGTGGAGAGAAAGTCCGCGCGTGGTCTCGTAAAATATCACACTTCTGGGAGACAGTAAAAACGGAGGCATGAAGACTGGATTGAGCCTAGAGACGTGGTTCGCCGTGTTCCGCGTGCAGGCCTTGACATACGCAAAAGATTCACTTCGGGAGCGTCGGGTTCGGAGATTCTCCCATAGCTGCAGAGGTTTTGTCCGAGTTCCATGCTTTGGAGATGTTGAAAAGGGTTTGATGATGGATAGAATCGACAGCAATAGATTATATGGGGTGTAGAATAATGTACATAGCTCAACCTGTTAAATCCAGTCAATTTCACGAACTCGCCAGTCACTCGGAGGCGACGTACCTCTCAGCCCGGCCTCTACTGTGTAGACATAAAGTTCCTGTCCTTGATGGCCTGCTGGCGTTCCTTTTTCCGTGCAACACGTTCAGCCTTTCCTCCGGGACCGTCGTCGGGATATTGCTTCGGTGACAAGACAGTCCATAGCCAGTCTGGGTATTGGTCGTCTGGCAAAGCTAGTACTGGTGGTTGGCCCTTGAGGTAATTAAGACCTTTGAGAACAGTTTCTGGTGGACATGATGATTTGGGGGCTGCAAACCGTTTCATGTCAATAACCTATAACCAGGAAACTAGAGAACGAAATACACACCGGCCTGGCCTGGTTTCTTCGCTGCTGCGCTGTCGCCGCTGCCGGGCGTCGTCCCTGAGGACACTGTGCTAGAGTATCGGCGGCATGTGGCCGCTGCCAGCGACGTTCTACGAGCAATTTGGAGGAGCGACATTGGGTTGGGCGACGAGGACGGCGACGACGCGACCGGAAACAGCGAACAGGGCCCTTTGGCGCGGAGCGACCAAACGCTGGCAAATTTTGGTCGGGCCGAGCGGCCAGTGGACACGCTCACGTGGGTACCTTCCACTTTCGGTCCCAGGACCTTCGGATGTTTTAGCACGGCGCGTACCGCGAGCGCGCTCGAACCTGGTGTTGCGCAGATAGAATGGGTGTGGCTGATACACCGACAACGCAAGGGGAGTAGCTAACTTTGCTCTTCAACGCTTCAAGGTACACGAGCTGCTACTAGTTGTACATAATTGTCTACTAATCCACATATTTGAAACACCCGGGGTACGCCTCGGTATCCATTACATCCCCAACAGCTACAGGCTCGCTAACCGTCGCGTATGGCATCATAAAGTCCCGTGTAACATTATCGTTAGAGGGTGGTCGCACCGAAGAAGGTCCTGAGATGGCGTAGAGTCGGTTTTCCGGATCATCCATCTGCCACTTGTACCAGATTCGATCAAGGTTTCCGTGGTGAAGATAGAACAACGGGTCTGAATTGCACAAGTCAGTTGTCGTTGACTCGAAACCGGACTGATAGCCGGATAAATAGTGACATACCGCCTGGCGCTGACCAGCCATCCATCATCATTCCTCCCACAATGGCGTGTCCAGCCCAGTGCAGTCCAGCACCAACAGCCAGTGGGGGTCCTTGAAGCTCAAGGAAGTTTCGGAAATCTTCGAAGTTTGTCTGAGCCATCTGCGCTGCTACACTTGTGCTGTTGACATTGTCCCTAACGTCCTCGTAGATCGCACGAATGATGCAACTTGGGGCCCCTATCGATTGGCCTGGTCCGAAATTGACGAGATGGTCCTTGAAAGGACCTGTTTGAACACAGCCGGCTGGTGCCCTTGGACCTTCAGGGAACCCTGGGAGAGGGGGAAGGCCTGGCGCTGGAATTGGAGGCAGAGGCTCAGAGGTTCCTGGTACGCCATTTCCCCCGAATCCAGTAACGTCGTCGAACACCGGTGAGTCCTTGAATCTGCACCACATCGTCAACCTTCGATCAATATCCCAAATAAATGTACTCACAATCCAGGTCCATCGGCATCTCGTGTCCAGTCCCAGTATCTGTAAAGGCAAAGTTGAGGGCTATGATGCGAAACTCCTAGACAAAAATCCCTACGTTGCCGGCCCCTCGTATCCGCAATCGTCACGCAAGGCCTTGTGATAAAGCGTAACAAAGTGACGGTGCCATGCCAGGAACTGACCCTATTCCAAGCTAAGTTCTGTTGCAGAGTACAGACCCACTCCGAGACTTACAACACCGTGTACTTGGAATGCGAGATCAAAATGGGCCGCCTGGAATTGATCATACCGCGTCTTTATCTCCTTCCTAGATGTTTCGATGTTCGCCGGCGTCTCCTGGAGACACTTCACAGCACGGAGGTAGTCCAGTCGTTGTTCGACTGTCAGGTCACGCCTGCCAGTGAGATCGCATAAACGGATGGTTAATCATTTAAGAAATGTATTGGGACTGGATTGAATACATACCATTCTCTGCGGATTTCGATGGAGTCGCATTCTTGCTTCGCTTGAGAGCCTCCAGGGATTGGAGTTGAAACAATCCCGGCAAAATTGGCGCAGAAGATAGCGAGGAAAGGGAGAAGCTGCGTGAAGAGTACCATGTCTGTTTTACCCCTTGTTCTCCTGAAGTAATGACCCACCATCCTTTTTATAACGTTCACTAAGATGGTGCTACATAATATTCCGAGCTCCACTTCCTTCCCTTGTTCCCTCGGAAAGATTACTCCTAGGCATGACCCCCTTTCAAGGATCTTGATATGCTGCTCTGTTGACACGCTCCAACTTCTATAGAAGCACTGGGGTCTTCTTAACGACATAAAATAGAAGACGCTTCTCGGGACGTCAAACCCGGTTCACTCACGGGGTATCTGCTACCATCCGATGTTCGGTACCGCTAAGATTAGACGAACCTAAGCGCCGGTGCGGCGTACCGTACACGTGAGCGAGCGCGCATTCAAGCATTGACAAAAAATAAAAAGACGGTCCAAAGGCGAAAACGCCGAACATGAAATGGCTTGGTATTGGAGCTCGTACACAAAAGACATGACTAAACATAAAAACAAAAGAACACATCGAAAAGGATATACAGCGGCGGAATGCCGGTCCCGAAAGACGCCCAATACTACTACCTATGTACTACTTGGTACAAAAAATAGTCTAATCGGCGTAGGTGAAGCAGCCGGGGTAGGCTCTCGAGTCCATAACCTCCCTAACGGCGAGCGGCTCCGCAATCGTAGCGAATGGGAGTTGGAAGTCGAGCGTCACGTTCCTCCTGGGTGGGAAGATCGTGGCAGGGCCAGAAATCTGGTAGAGGCGGTTCTCGGGATCCATCATCTGCCACTTCCACCAGACGCGGTCGAGGTTCCCGTGGTGCAGGTAGAATAGAGGGTCTAATAAGTGAAGGAAAAAGTAGACGCGGTTGATTAGTATATTGGAAGTTCGGAGATGAATTTGTGGAATAAAGGAGACTTACCACCAGGAGCAGCGTACCCGTCCATCATCATTCCACCGACGATAGCATGTCCTGCCCAGTGCAGACCAGCACCAACCGCAAGCGGGGGACCCTGGATCTCAATAAAGTTACGGAAATCCTCAAAGTTCTTCTGGGAGAGTTGGACAGCGAGGCTGGTGCTGTTCACATTGTTTCTGACGTCCTCAAAGATACCTCGAATGAGGCATCCAGGGGTCTTGGTCGTCACGCCAGGTCCGAAATTGACGATGTGGTCTTTGAAGGGCCCGGTTTGGACGCAGCCTTCGGGGGCGGTGGGGCCGCCGGGGAGGCCGGGAAGGGATGGCATGCCTGGGTTGGGAGGTGGGGCGACGGGTTTGGCGGTACCTGGTACACCGTTTCCACCGAAACCGGTAACATCGTCGAAAACGGGCGAGTCCTTGAACCTGTACAAGAGGCGAAATCGTCAAATGCGGAGAGAACATATAGGACGGAAATGTCATACAGGTTGGGTCCATCAGCGTCGCGTGTCCAATCCCAGTATCTGTATTACTAGATCAGGACATCGTCCGAAACATCATTCGCGAGGACTCACGTTGCCGGTCCCTTATACCCACAGTCTTCCTTCAAAGCGTTGTGGTACAGGGTGACGAAGTGACGGTGCCATGGCAAGAAGTGGCCCTAGGAAATCAGGTATTCTAAGCCACAACCGGAAATGTTGGGAAGATCGTGGACTCTTACGACAGCGTGCACCTGCATGGCAAGGTCGAAATGGGCCGCTTGGAACTGATCGTATCTCGACACGATGCCTTCACGTGGGGTAGTGTTGGTGGCAGGCGTCGATTGCAAGCACTTCACGGCACGAAGATAGTCCAATCGCTCTTCCACTGTCAAATCACGCCTACAAGCCGAACAGAACTCCTTAGCCAAGCGCTTTCTTCGAGCACAATCACGAAGAAACACACACACCATTCTCTTCGAACTTCGATCGACTCACATTCCTGTGCCCGTTTGGCGGCACCAGGAACTGGCGTGGAGAGAACTCCCGAAAGGCTCTGACAGAGCACGATCGCAATGAGAGGGAGAAGTTTGGTGAAGGCAGCCATGATGCCGATGATAGTTCTCAACTTCCACGATTCCGTCAGCCCAGGTTTATTTATACGTTCCAGGATGTCGACAATACCCCGAACTCCACGTTTCTTTTTGATCTTTTCGGAAAAGCTATTCGTCAATGAAATCCCAAGCCGTTACTTTCGACACCTTTTGATACCTATCGATGGGTCCAATCGTCTTCGTTCGAAGCGAGAAGGACTTCTCCGAGACGGAGATGGGGATGCTTGAGAAGGAGAAGACGGTTCGAAGGACTGAGATGGTCCTATCGGTATTGGTGCTTACCTAGCAGAAAGCCTTCCCTGGCGTGTACACTTTATCCGGGACATCCGTCGTCTTGCCAAGGTCATTGCGTACGGACTTTTGTTCGCGGACATCCGGTTTATCCTGTGGTTTACCCAGAAGTTCTGAAAGGGCCATGATGGAGTGGAGGTAACCGTTGGTTGGATACGGGTTAAGAGGTGGGTTTCGAGCACTTGTGACGAGGTTTTCCCTTCTCTTGTCGGTACCGGGGATTAATTCTTCCGATTGCCCCACACTTTCGTATTTTTGTTGAAACCGATTACCCTAAAAGTACACAGAATTATCGACAACAGAGGTTAACAATGATTGAAGGGAGAGTAGGCATATCGGGCGTTCCATAGGAACTTCAGCCTCTCGTCAGCGCATCACCGTTATCTTGCCACCATTTTTCGACCTCCTCGTCCGCGTCGTAATCGAAAGCCTCTTTATTTCTCTGCCTGTCGGCCCAGAGATTGGCGCTCCCAACGCAATCGCTGATATCCTCGCCCCTCGCTTCACGCAAAGCAGCTTCCATCGCCTCTCGCATGGACGCGTCTCTCTTCGCTTGTGCCGGGCCGTCTGGCAGATGGAATATGTGTTGGTTAAGTCGAGACGCTGTCTGCGTCGCAGTCGCCCGTGAGTGCCGGAGGTCTTGATAGGCTTTGAGGACTGCGGGCAGCGTTTTCTTCGAAGGAGATCGGGAAAGGAGGTTCGCGAGGACGGCGGCATCTTCGATCTGGGAGTGATGGGTTCAGCACACTGTTGCCAATATCAATCAAAGGTGTACTTACAGCCATGGCAGCGCCTTGTGCTCGATATGGCTGGTAATATGGGCGCTCAGAACAAGCGGTTGACGGATTTCTGGAGCGCGACGTACCAGCATGGGGTGACAAGCATCGCCCAAAAGGCATACCTTACCCTCTGGATGCACCCATGATTCAAGCGGCTGACGATCCTTTAACGACCAAACCATGGCTGAAGTCACAAGCTCCAGGAGCTTCCTGACCCTGAGTCCCAAATCTCAGTTAGACACTTCACGGTTTCTGCCACTCGTTCATTCGGCGTACCTTGGTTCAAACTGATCAAAATCGGCCTTCATCCTCTCCAGACCTACTTCGCGAACGTTCTCGTCATCCTCGTGAGCAGGATGTATCAGGACGAGGTTGTAAAGCTCTTTGTTGCGCTGGGGAGCGTGGAGTGAATGACTATAGATAGGATGACCGAGTTGACAACTCACAATGCAGTACCCTACGATATGCCTTCCTGGTCCCATCCACACGTTCACCCCGGCTTCTTTGACGAGGTCCTCCAGATCTGGATCTGCAAGCAACGCTGCAGCAGGAACGACCGCTCGATAGGCGGCATCACCAGTGGCTGTCGGGTTGTCCTTCTTCCCCACAACGATATCTCTGGTTATACTGTGTAGTCCATCTGCTCCTATCACCAAGTCTGCCGCGATTGTCTCTCCAGATTCGAGCGTCACGCTTGGTATGGAAGGATTGATTCCTTTAACGCGGCTGTTCAAGCGGATGGAAGCATGAGGCTCTGCAATCTCAGCGAGTATGCCGTGGATGTCTGCTCTCTAGAGTACGAGTTAGTTGAAATGGATAATAAAACTCGGCATGGACTTACGTGAACGTGATAGTATGGGGCTTTGTGTGCCTTCTCGAGACTTTGGCCTGTCTCCATCCAACCAACGACTTCCCCATTCTCGTCTGCACAGACGGTCAGACTTGAGAGAAGAGATTTGAAAGAGAACAGAAGAACTGACATCGCCTTAACGTCAAATTCTGAGGGACTACAGCAATTTCTGCCAGCTTGTCCCCGACGCCCCAGCGTATCAAAAGACGCGTTACGTTGGGCGACAATTGAATTCCTGCTCCTACCTCGCCCAACTGGGAAGCTGCTTCGACAATAGTCACTTTGTGACCCGCCTTTCCGAGAAGAAATGCTGTAGCGAGCCCCCCAATCCCCGCCCCAATGACGATGATATTTAGGGAGGGGCTCGATGAAGGCTCGAGGACTGTCTGGGTGGGAGGGTGCTCCCTGTTCGTCATGGCCCCCTCAATCTCCTGAGAGGGCCTGGAGTCACCGTTTACGACAGCCTTGCAAAATAGTTATGGCAGACTCCATTCTGGAATTGGCGTTGTATACATACCTGCGTCTGAGGGTCGGTGGGTTGATTGTCTTCCACTCCATTGAGTTGATCGTTCCCAGCATTCGGGGCGGACTGGACATCCGTGATGGGAACCGTCTCGGATGCCTTTGAATTGGATGCAGATGAGGGTCCAACGGCAGCTGGCTTCGAATCAGGTGGTGAAGGTTCTGAGGCCTTCGAGGAAGCCTTGCTCTTCCGCCGTTTGTGTGAACTAGTCCGAGTCAGACCGAGCTTGGCTTTAGCCCAGGAGAACATTGATTCGAATTTTGGGTGACCTTCGACGACGAGGGCCCTTGCCAAGTCAACTTGAGATATACGCACGGAAGCGTCTCCAAATGTGAATATCTTCTGGGCGGGAGGAATCAGGTGGAGTGAAGCTGAAAGGAAGGCGGGCGCGACGTGTCAACGGGATACGTCCTTGGTCTTTATACCCATGTCATCGTGGGTCGGCTACAGTAAAGGTGTGGACATGCCGATAACGTAGAACAGCAAGAATCATGGCGAATATGCTCAGGCACTTACATATCTTTACATATGCGCGATGGTGCATCAGAAACTTTGGAAGGCAGACAGGGGGTCAATATATCAGATCAACCCCTTAACGCCTCATGACCAGTTTCTGTGGACAAATGTCTGGTAAACGCTCTCAGGCTTACCTAGGCTTACATCCCTCGAGTATACAAAGCGGTGAATCGTCGAATTAGGCAATACAAATGAACATCTGAAACCGGTTGGCACGTTTCTGATGGACTCGGAGTTGTCGTCCGTTCGTCGAGGTCAACTCGGAACCTCGGATGGAGGGATACAGGTTGCTCTCTTGTTGCCTTTAAGCTCGGAGCCACTAAGCTCCGTTAAAGGTGAGTCAAAGTGGCAGAAGAATTATACTACGAGCGTAGTGTCCCTTGCCTCTTCCTGATGGTTCCCTCCATCCGTTGCGCCCACCATTCAGACAGGGCATATTTTCGTCTTATTTCCCTCTAATATTGTTAAGACAATGACGCACGCTAGCACATCAACGCGTCACGCTTTCTGAATACGGTACGTTGAGGCAAGTATGTAATTAGCCTGGTACGTCGAAAATGTCCCTACCTTGGTTCGAACCCTCGCCCAACGCGCTCGTGGGAAAAAGGAAAGAACGGGACCCCTATCAATCCTGCGTCGGGTCCAAGTCGCGTCCTCTCTGAGATTCAGAGGGCACAAAGCGACTTAGAGCTCAAGTCCTTCCCTAACTGACATCGATAGATTGCAGAATAAACAGTATATTGAGATATTATAGCTCTATCTGAGCTTTAAAACAAACAAGCACTAGTGCTAGATAAATAGGAGTTCTCTAATGGGGACGCGAGGAATTAATACTGGGTCGCGTGCATTAAGAAGAAAGAAGGTAATTCAAAGGTCGACGAGGAGCAGTTTAAGAATTAAGAAGCGAGAGAGTCAATCAAGAGAGCAACCCAATTATAGGATTTTTAAAGCACAAAAGTTCAAGGAGTTGGGGTCGGAACAATCTGGATGGAGGTGGCGTTGGCTGGCAGGCTCTTGAACTTCGGGCAAAGGGCGTCCCAAGAAGCTGTACGAGCAGGGCGAGTGTAAGGAGACCAGTTGAGCAATGTGTCGTTTTGGTTTACTCACGGGGAGGAGGGCTGTTGCTGGCAATGTCGCCAGGAGCTTCGAGGAAGACCATCGCAAGTCCGCTGAAACGATGAAGAAGTCAGAAAACTGGATACGGATGGAGTAGTCAATTGACGCACGTAATGATATGGAACTCGACGTGGCTGAAGAAGGACTTCTTTTAGTAAAGGAGCTCAGAGAGTGTAGCGAAGAGAACGTACCAGTGGAAGAACCATGGGCCTGGGTTATCAGTGCGGAATCGAATAGTGACATTGTCGCCAGCTCCTCCGATGTCGACGACATCGCGACGGACAGGGTTCACGTAGTTGTAGGTGTCACTACCAGCACTCCTGACAACATCGAAAGCGTGCTGAAATTACTGTCAGTTACGATCAACATGGAGAGGAAAGAAGGTTCAACGTACCCCGTGCAAGTGGAAGGGGTGCTGTATGTCGTTGAAAGAAAGGCTCAATCAGTAACGCGCTCCCCTAGCTTTGTGGAAGGTTCACTTACAGGTCCAGCAATTTCAAATCCGGGGATGGAGACCTCTACGACACTGTTCCTAGGCAGCGTGCGATAGGCGCCCTGGGGGATGATGTCTTCCGCTGGAACACCGTTCATGAGCTGAACCATGACTGGGATATCAGGGTTAGCCCAAGCGACTCCGTTCATTACAAATCCAGTTTCCTCCGCGTTCAAGGCCAAATTGAAGACAATGTTCTCGTCGGCGGGTCCGCTTCCACCGGGTGCTCCGGGGTTCAAAAGAGTACGGAGATTGGCCTCCTTCAGCACGACTGGGTTCCGTGGGGCACGGGTGGTCGGGTTCCTGGGGCGTGCTCCAGCATAGCGGAGAATGGCCGAATTGATTCCACCGGAAGAGAAGTCGGGCAGATTGCGAGCGCCAAGGTTGGGAATAGCTCTGATCCAGTAGTTGCCCACCGGCTGATTAGCTTCCAAGATGAAGGAGTAACGCTGGCCGGTGAAGATTGTGATTTCTTGGACGGTATGGGGCTCGGTCAACTGTCCATCTGCCTCGATGATGGTCATGTTGTGGCCGTCGATGGAGAACTTGTAGGTGGGCTCGCATGCCATCGAGATGAGCCTGAACCTGTATCTAGTACCAGGCTGGACATTGACGATCTCGATGTCCGTCAGGGGACCACCCGGACGACGACCCTTTCCATTGATTAGAGTCGCGTCAGACAACGCAATACCAGCGATGGAGGGAGTCGGGAGGTGGTACCTTGGGTTCAGAGGTTAGCCTGTGAGAAATGCGATTGAGATAAGGATCACGCTTACCAGTCGGCCAGGGTGATGATGGTGCTCTCTATCATGTAGCATCACAATGTCAGTGGGCTGGGAAAGAACATGAAACGTGAAAATCTCACCATCGTCCACTGTAGGGAAGCGTCGTCAGCGATCATAATCATTTCAAGGGAAAGAAATGGAACTGACCATCGTACAGGTTCTTGTATGGGTCGTTGTCGTCGTAAATCACCAGTGGTCCTCTCAGACCATCGCAGTATTGAGTTCCTAGAACGACTAGCGTCAAAGACTTGGAGTTACGCGAATAAAGTAGATTCGGACGTACCGTAATGAGAGTGATACCAGAATGTACCGGCCTCGTTTCCAGCATCAAAGCTGTATGTGAAAGAATCACCGGACTGTGCAATTGGGCATTGTGTAACGCCGTCGGGGCCATCCGCCCAAGCTGCCTTGTGTACGAAGATACCATGCCAATGCTAAAGACATGGATTAGAATCCCGGAACTGAGTGATAGATCAAGCGAAACATACCACACTGGTTTGGCGAAGCATCGTAGGATCGTCGAGATTGTTAACGACCGTGATTTGGAAGTCATCTCCCTGGTCGAACGTCAGTAAAGAAGAATGTCCAGGTGTTGGGGCAACATACCTTGTTGGCTAAAATGGGAGGTGGGGGATGCTGACCGTTGACAGCGACAACTCTGGATGGGAGACCGCTCAGTCAAGACGAATCTTGTGTTGAAAAAGGTAAATGACATACGGGCGAGTGAATCCATCAGGGCTAGCGTTTATGTTTGACACAGTCATAGTAGCAACAGGTGGGATCGCCTGTGCAGTGACTGGAACAATCAGCGGCCTAAGGCTTACAGCCAAAATGGCCAAAGGGAGAAGGTTGCTAAGCATGTCGAGTAAGACGGGTTCGAAAGGAGCGCGCTTATACGGTTTCTAAGCCCAAATGAATGTGGAAGGGGAGGCGGTTGAGGGATGAAGTGAAGGGAAGGATTCGCCACACCTTTTATACGCGCTGGTCTTCAGATAAATGGAGAATTCGCAAGCAAAGTCCACGGACATACAATGTTAGTCTCAGCAGAAAACAGGGAGACGAGTTCATTTGCAAACGACAAAATGTCATCAAGTTCCCTTTCAGTGAGGCATTTTTGTGTTTTTGACGATCTAAAGGATCTAGAGGGTGCAGAATTCAGGGGTTAGACCCATCTGTGGCCTTGTGCATCAACAAAATCACGGAAATCCATGAGTCGAGTTTCAAAAGACTCACCGACAACGGGCTCCGATCACGAAGTCTACCGTGGAGCAGGAACAGCTTTGGCTGATCACAACCAGTTAAACCCGTTAAGCCTGAACCTTTCGGTCTTCTCGTCCTTTGGAACAGGATCGTCGCGACCTCCTTGCTTGAAGAGTTTAAGAAAACCGTGACGTTGAGTTAGTGGCATTTTGCGTCCGAGTGAAAGAGCTATACGGAATGCGTGAGCTGTAAGTCTGAATTAGTGAAGGATTGAGTCAAGTCAGGCAGTCAGTCCATTCGACCGAGCAGCGTTGATAGGCAACTACAGACAAGATTGGTATCAGCGCCGTGGTGGATGAAGAGCAACGCTACGGTCACTCCCGAGTCACTGGAAACATGTGTAGCCGCCCCAACGATTGCAATGTAAGGCACAGCAGAGAGAAGGATCACTCCGTTCAGCTACCCTCGGTTGATATCATTGATCGTTCTCAGAATTTCGTCCGGTGCATTCGGCGTCTAGACATTAGCGCCCGAGGGATATGAGAAGAGGACAGTCCAAGGCCTGGGTCGAAAGCCACCCCGTAAGTTGAGTATGTGCCAGAGTTCAGTCGCGGATGTTAATCAGAAGGGTCTGTGAATTCTAAGGCCGACGTAGAGGTCTGGAGGGGCCTTGCCAGTCGGCGATTTCGATTCTGTTGTGTTTGTAGATGATAATCAGCACAAAGAATAACAAAATATATTTACTTACCACCCGAGCTAACAGGGTCGGTTCACATGTCAATCCCGTAATGGACGCGCAGGGCGAGGTGGATCCAGGGTCACGCTCTCCCGAGTGTAACTTGATGCAACAGGGCTGGAATGCGCCAAAACATCAGAATGGGCCCATTTATTGGAGGGCCAGTGTAGTAAAGCTCCGAAAAAATTCTTGAGCAGAAGTAGACATGGATGTCGCTGCGTTAACCACGACGAAGACGGACGCTGGATGGTAAGAACAAGAGGCTTACTGACGCTTCGTCGATTTGTTTGGCGCATACTTGGTCTTAGTTGCCATCAACCATCAAACCAAACATAGAGATATTCAAATGGCTTATCTTTCAAATTAAGGAAGTCCAGCCAACTTTCACAAAGTACCAGAGGGTGGCCCTCTCGTATATCTGAGAGTTGTAAGGAATTTTCTACAAGGTTGGACCCAGATAACATATGCGGAGGTCGATGTGCGGCATGTTGGTTGCGTGGCTGTGCCGTTCTTTGGTCCTGCAGCCAGACAGCTGCAGACGCGCCCGGTTGTTCCTGTTTCCGACATACTTTTGCTGCGAGCCTATAGCTCATGCGGTTGCTGTCTGGTCTTCGTCAATGATAACGGAATTCCGACCGTATAACTAAATATGTAAGGTTCTCCTCATAAAACACCCCAGTGTGCCATCTAACACGTCGTAATCAGATTACAAGGATACATAGGTGCAATGCATGACGATTCATCGTTTCCCGGCTCCACACATGCCTTGAGCGAATTAAACGCAACAATGTAGCCCGTGGTTTTCTAGGACCACCAGTCACCACGGAACTACTGGTACCCGCAATGAATCCAGCACGTGGAAACGCGCCAGTTTTGCCATGTTCGCCTAATGTTGCCTCGCCAAATCGACGTATCAGAAGGTCTCAATACCCAATAGCTAGACTGTCACAAGTCTAGAAGGTAAGGTTGAAACGTTGTGCCCGTGATCCACGCGGTTCTCGTGCTGGAAAGCGTCGATGGGCACAACCCCACAACGTGTGGCGTGCGTGCCTTTGGAACACCTGGCCACTATGATGCTACTTGGCTTTATCACCTATACGGAATGGGATAAGATGGGCAGCCACTGTGGTTCGCCACTCATTAACTTCCCTCTTCTCTTCCCTTTCAACATACAGGCATTTCATTCTAGCCATGCCTTCCGCCCGCCTACCCTATAGCGGCACTCGACGCAAGCTGGTCCTTGCGTTCGACGTCGGGACGACATACAGCGGTGCTTCATACAGGTAAGATCTTTCGTCTCCATCTGCGAAATTATACTCATACCTTGGTAGTATCCTTGACCCAGGTGTTGTTCCCGAAATTCGAGGGGTAACTCGGTGAGCGATTCTCGCTTCGTTCTCCTTTCGCCCAGTAGTACTGACGACGCTCAGATTCCCCGCTCAAGAGCACGTGGGAGGAGACTGCAAGATCCCATCTTTCCTCTACTACGACAAGAATGGTGTTGTGCAGGCCGTTGGTGCTGAGGCGATGCGCGAGGAGATCGTAGCTATCAAGGACGAGGAGGAATGGATCAAAGCTCCATGGTCCGTCGAACCATTATTCATGTACCGCTGGGCTCTCACCATTTCTCATCAGGTTCAAGCTCCATCTCCGACCCAAATCCGCCGCCAACACTGAGTTCGCAGGCCAAATCCCTCCCCTTCCTCCAAACAAGACTGCCGTCCAAGTTTTCGCCGACTTCCTTCGATATCTCTTCCAATGCTCGAAAACATACATCGAAGAAACGCATGGTATTGGCACCAACTGGTGGTCGACAGTGGAAGGGAACATCGATTTTGTTTTGTCACACCCCAACGGATGGGAGGGTGCACAACAAGAGCAGATGCGCCATGCAGCTGTTCTCGCTGGTCTCGTGAGCTCACACACCGAAGCCGAGAAACACATCTCTTTCGTGACAGAGGGTGAAGCGAGTCTTCACTTTTGCCTTCACAGTGGTCTGCCTGCGGATGCGCTGAAGGTACGTTTCATCTCGATATCATCATTGATTAGATCCTGACCCTCCACGCGTTTGCAGGACGGAAGCGGCGTGCTGATCGTCGATGCGGGAGGAGGCACAGTCGACATCAGTGCATACGCTCGATCCCAATCAGGGGATTGGTTTGAGGAGATCGCTGCTCCTCAATGTCATTTCAAAGGTTCCATCTTTGTCACCTTTGCCGCTCGAGACTTCCTCGAAGGTATGTTCGCCTTTCATTTCCGCCCCTGGTCCCCACTCATTCATCACTCGCTCTACTCAGCTCGATTACGACATTCAAAGTTCGCCGAGGATGTTCCCTACATCACGGAATGTTTCGACAAGACTACCAAGCTGAGATTCCGAAGCAAGAACGATCCGCAATACATTCGATTTGGAGGTGTCCGTGACAAGGATCTCCAATACGGTATCCGATCGGGTCAACTACGACTTGAAGGGTGAGTTGGTCAAGCAGTTAGCACCCTCCTTTAGGCTCATGCAACCTTCAGATCCGAGGTAGCATCATTCTTCGAATCTCCTATCAGCACCATCTTGGCCTCTGTCAAGGAGCAGATCCTGTCCGCTCACCGACCTATCCACGTGTGTTTGTCCATTCCATGAATGTTGCCCCCGGTTAACGATTCCCGCAGTCGATCTTCCTAGTTGGCGGCTTCGCAGCTAGCGACTACCTCTACACTCAACTCAAGGACGACCTGTCTGCTCTCGGCTTGACCGTACTTCGCCCCGACAGCCATGTGTAAGTATTTCTTTCGCCATACACCCTGCCCGAACTCACCCTCATTTCAGGAACAAAGCAGTCGCTGACGGTGCTCTCTCTTTCTACCTCGACCACCGCGTCGTCTCCCGTGTCTCTCGATTCACCTACGGCGTCAACTGCCACGTACCCTACAACCCGCGCGACGAGGAACACCAAATCCGCTCCATCACCAGCTGGTTCTCTCCCTCTGGTAACCGTCGCCTGCCAGGTTTCTTCAGTGTTATCCTCCCCAAGGTACTTTTACATCTCTTTGGATGGAAAGGATGAAGCGGCGACTCGAGGCCAACGGCCCCCTCCGCCGAATGCTCTCCACATGTAGTTTACTTTATGCCTTTCTATCTATGATGATTTCCGGAGCTGATCTCTTCCCTTCTTGCCCGACACGAAAAAAATCATCGACGTTCAGAACACGCAAGTCTCGGAAACGAAAGAGTTTAGGCGATCCTATTTCGAAGAGTCCGACTACTTATCCAACTTTAGCTGCGTCTCTGTTGCTCTGGATTGTTACCGGGGCAAAGTGGAGAATCCTAAATGGACGGACGTTGATGCTGGTGGGTCGTCGATCCCTTCTATCATCGTGTCAGGCATTTGCTGATCGCTTCGCGCCAGAGAACTACTCGACGCTTTGCTCAATCGAGGTTGATCTTTCTCAAATGGGCAAAGCTTTGGGACCCTACAAGGGTGTCGGAGGCCATCTTTACTACAAGGCCGATTTCGACATCATCCTTCTGTTTGGATTGACCGAACTCAAAGCTCAGCTTGCGTGGAAGGAGAAGGGCATTGAAAAGCGGTATGTAACTTCCCCCTTTTGTCGACGCTGATCGGCAGTCTTTGCTGACGTGTATGTAACACAGATCGCCAGCGCGAATCGTATACGACCCGTCTGCCAGGTTTCGATAAGCGTTGAGGCTCGAAGCTCGAAGGGTACTTGAGTATGAATAGCATTCGCAATCTTCATCTAGCATTTGTACAGTAGTATGTCATCCACACACTTATGTATCACCTATGCATCGCTTTCATCGTTCATCGACATCTCCCGCCGCTGCGAGGTCTAGCTCAAGAGTGCACTATATAGGTCAGATCTGTTACCGCTCCTTGACGATATCAAGATCAATGATATTGTAAGTGTATTTTCCACAACCCATGGTATTACAGAGATGATACTATCGAAGCTGTCAATTGTAGAGGACTCCTAGGGTACGTCGTCTCGATGCACGTTACGACAGTCGCTGCAAGGCGCGTCTCTCCAAATCGAGAGACGACAAGTCGCGCTTCACCCGTTTGGGGCCGGGGCCAGGCGAAGGGAGCTTTGAGCCAGGCTTCGACGAGGCGTGCTTAGGGCTCGCAGAATTTGGGGAGGCGGGCTTGGGTGAGCCGGGTTTCGGGGAACCGGCCTTGGGTGGAGGTGTTGATTTCCTATTTCCGCTCCCCGACTTTGAAGATGCAGTCAGTTATCTACTCGCGACCGGGAAAAAATAACGACATACCGGGGAAGGAGTTCTGGACGAGGAGCCACCCTCAGAATTACACTCTGTTCTGTAATCCTTGATACCCCAGCTTTCCCAAGCAACAGGCGTTATCGGAATCTTCTCGTCTCCAGGAGGGTAGCAATAAATGCGGATGTCTAACTTGGGATTCTCACCAACCGCCTTGGGAATAAGCATCTGGACCTTATCCTTCTTAGGGTCTGGTATTGTGTCTTTATGTGTCTCGATGTGCGAGAAAAGGACGGTGTTGTCGGGGGTGGCGCCCCTCCTCTTGAGATACGCCTCCCGAAGGAAGCTATTTTCTTTCCAGAAGAGCCGCGAGCCGCAGATGGACTTGCCATTGTCGATATCGATGGAGAACTGATGGACCCAAGCTTTGGGAACCTTGGCCCACTCGACTCCGTTGGCTTGGATGAAGCATTGCATTGCACCGAACCACTCTCCTGGAGCTGGGGAGGCGTAGACCCCAGGGCCGAGTTGCTCCCCGTTAGCCTTGATCGAATAGTCGAGCTTGTTCTTTTTTTTTGCGTAGGCGGCGGCTGTATCCTAAAAGAAAAGAAAGCGTAAGTGACGGCCCACATGGAAGGACGACACCCTACTGACCTTTGAGACCATCCGGTACCCGATTGTAACGGCAGGGATAGGGTTGCCTTCGACAGAGACGACGATGCTGCTGACGAGGAGAAAAAGGGCGAACGACTTGGAGAGGATGGACATAGCGACGAGGGGTTGACTAATTTGACGAGCAGGAGAAGGATAGTGTGCTGCAGAAAGGAGCCGGCCTTTTCTGCTGGGTGTAGAGGGAAGTGGGAGCACCGGGCTGGAGAGACAACCTCATCGACGCCAGCCCTTTTATCCTCAAACTGTCCCGTTCACGGAGCGCCCAGTGAGGTAAACTGAGGGTTTCCAAATACAAGGAGTGTGACGACTTCTGAGAATTCTTCTGATTAAGTGCAAGGCTCGAGTATACCGTGAAATCGTTGTTTGCACCTGGTCGGGTACAACGGGGATGGCACCCACCAATGTCAGTGAATCCCCTCCAGCAATCAGGATGTGCTTTCTCTGTCATGTGTATGTGTACGATGATGGAGCAAAGAACGTAAAACACTACCCTTTGTCGCCGGTGTGGTCCTCAGAATTGCCGCAGTTCAAGTAGCATAACTCAGATATTGCACCTAATGTAGGATCCGCCGGTCCGGTGCACTCAGCAAAGTTACAAACCAGCAGTGAACCAGGACGAAGGATCAACAGTGCTGATCCCCCGCCCAGTGGGCTTGTCGGAGATCGATATGGGTCTGTGTGTGGGTTGCACCGGCGCTATCAGGCCAGCGGCTACCCGAGAAACAAGTCCTGGTCGCCTTCTCTTCCAAAATTTGGAAGCCCATCCATCAATAGCGCCCACCAGCGCTTGAGCACCCACTGCCCGGCCTAGCGCCGCGTAGGAGAGAACAATACTACACTGCCTCAATGTAACGTCAGTATCCTTATCCCACAGCACACAAGACTATCGGCAGACAGAGATTGTTCCACCTAAGTGAAGTTACCTTCACACGGGGGTCGCCGTATGTCCCCTGAGGTCACCGGTATTAGATGTCCAGGCCGAACACGATAACTACTTCGAAAAGAAGACAAATCCGGCGCTCTTTTGTATATAGATTCAAAGTACCAGGAAAGACTTCTAACGTTGGGTGATATTGGCATGGACTGGGCAAGGGGGTAAATATAACTCACTGCCGGCATGCGATCACACCAGTGATGAAGAAACTATTCTCAGAGGTGGTGTTTGTGGATAAGAAACAAGAGGCTGAGAACAGCTCTACCAGAATCCCGACTCCAAAACCGCCCATACCTTCCTGGATGCCCACAATGAATGTCCACTTGAAACAAGCGCTACTTCGGGCGTCAACTTTTGTCGTTATTTGCGTTTGTTAGGATCTGAGAGCGTCGGCTTCTATGTCGCCTTTTGCCCTATGCGCGTCTGTCTTGTTCCTATGCATCACTTCAGTTGCGGATCTTTCAGCTGTAGGTTACTCAGGTAGGCTCTCAAAACCTTCTGGACGTAACCGCGGCAACATTGATGGTACTGAAAATTTATTTCCCAAAACGGCGCTTTTACTACAGAGATAATACTATCGAAGCTACTTATCAATTGTAGAGCTCGTCTTCTAGAGCACGCCTCAATGCGCGTCGCTGCAGGGCGCGTCTCTCCAAAGCGAGCATAGCCCGGGTTTCCAAATCGAGAGACGACGACAAGTCGCGTTTCTTCTTGCTGGGGCTGGGCGATGGCGACCTGGAGCCAGACTTTGGTGAAGCCGAATGATGGGAACCAGCCTTGGGTGGGGGTGTTGAGCTCCTTCCGCTCCCAGCCTTTGAAGAGAATAGTCAGTTATCGATCAGGCGGGACCGGGAAAATACGACATACCGGAGAAGGACTTCGTGATGAGGAGCCGCCAGATTGAGGACCGCACTCTTGACCGAAATCCTTGATACCCCAGGATTCCCAAGACACACGCTCCTTTGGTATCTTGGGGTCTCCTTGAGGGAAGCAGTAGACGCGGATGTCGTACTTGGGGTCCTGGCCAACTGCCGGGGGGATGACCATCTGCAAGTTAGGCCCAGGTGCCTTCTTTGGATCAAGCTCGATGTGCGAGAACAAGACGGTGCTCCCAGGGGTGGCGCCCTTCTTCTTGACGTACGCCTCCCGGTTGGCGGCGTTCTTCTGCCAAAAGAGTGGGGTGCCGCACATGGCCTTGCCGTTGTTGATCGACTCGATTGCGACCTGCGGGACCCAGACCTTGGGAGCCTTGGTCCACTCGGCTCTGTTGGCCGTGATGAAGCATTGCATCTCGCCGGGCCACTCTCCTGGAGCTGGAGAGACGTAGGCACCAGGACCGATTTGCTCCCCGTTGGCCTTGATCGCAAAGTCGAGTTTGTTGCCGTTCTTCTGGTATGCCGCGGCTACGGTCTGGAAAATGAACGAGCGTAAGTGACGGCCTACGTGGACGGACGATAGCTCTACTGACCTTTGGGACCACACGATACCCGATTGTAATGGTGGGGGTAGGATTGCCTTCGACAGAGACGACGATGGTACTGACGAGCAGGAAAAGGGCGAACGACTTGGAGAGGATGGACATGGTGACGAGCGACGTGAGATTAATTAATTGGACGAGCAGAAGAAGGAGCGTGCGCTGCACAAAGGACCGGCCTTTGCTGTGGGCTGTAGAGGGAAAAGGGAGCACCGGGCTGGAGAGACAACCTCGTCGACGCCAGCCTTTTTATCCTCAAACTTGCTCCTTGACGGAGCACCCAAAACGGGCAGGCCAAGCTGTCAGGAGGTAAGGGACGTGATGGTGTCGTTCGAGCTCTTCCCATGGAGGAATTAAGCGAGCATCATGCGCCTAGGCGGGCACAGCGGGGATGGAGCACAGAAGCCACCTGAATCCGAATGTGTTTTCTTTGTATCACCACTATGCTCGCCATACGCAGACCAAGGATCGTAGAATCCTGGCTCTTTCCTTGCGCCTCAGCTAAAACAAACCTAGCAATCCGGGTCAGCGTACAGGATGATCGACTCTGATCTTTGCCGGTCAGGTGCACTCAACAAAGTTGCGAGCTGTTGCGAGCCTGTCGCAATTTTCGAAACCAGCCTTTGATGGATCAATGGCGCCGCAGATCAGCGCCCAATGGGCTGTACGGAGATCTATGTGGGTGCGTTTCTGCTCGTGTGTGAGATGCTGGGCACACTTGAACGTGAAGACCTGATCGTAAAAAAAAAAAAACTGGCTTCTTTGGCGGTAACGACGACTCACTTCGTCCTCGCAGCAGCATTAGGAGCTTAGAAGCCTCAGGCTGGGTCACCATGAAGTGGAAGCCCCGAATTGGGGAAGACTTGAACTTGAAACGTTGGAGCCTTGGATTGGCAACTGCGCAGATCAGTCCCGCCCAATGGGGTCAGTGGTTCGGGGATCATACATACATACTAGTACTTACGCATTCAGACACCTACCCAGTCAGCCGTAAACTCCAACGCGGTCAGCTGCCCGAGTCGAGGTCTTGGCCACGTTTCCTGACATTTGTGAAACGCGTTCATCAAGAGCGCCCACTTTGAGCCATCAGCTGCATCAACTTTCCGTGATGAGCGCCCAATGTCTGGGTTGCCGGTGAAGCAGTTGCGCGGCGATGCCGTGCAGGGAGAACAATAGCGCACTGCCTCCACGACTGCACTCACGAAGCGTCCGTTGCCTTCACCACCACACTCAAAACCAGCGGCTGATAGAAATTGTCTGGCATTATCTCTTTCCTCTCCACCCAAGTCACTGTCAACCACCCCTTGTTTACCCATCGTCAATTCCACCACCATGTCCAGCGATACAGGAATTACTGCCCTACTCTCCCACCAATGGATCGGCGACGTCGAGGGACAACATACGCTACTCCTGAAAGAAGACGGATCCGGAGAGGTTCGCAATTCTGCTTTTTTGCGATAACGTCGTTCTAAAAGTCTATTTGAATACAGATCGTTTCCCGCTCTGAGCTGACCATTGCGTTGGCCGCGCATCTCACCTGGAAGGTCATCGACTCTGGCCCCGTCAACGACGACGACCCACCCGCGCAGTCGTTCTTGGGCAAGCTCCTCCGGCGAAATCCACCCTCAACCGAAGCCCTCGTCGCGACGATCGAGCTCACCATCTCGAAGGACACGAGCCCCATGACGCTCGTCCCCGAACACCGCAGTTCGGAAATTGGAGGAGATCGGATTTTGAAGGAGAGTGGTTTGGAGCCAAGGCGCGTCCGGGTTGTCGTCCAGAGAGGTGTTTTCCAGCCACCGTTTTGGAGGAAGGACTTTGGGACCAAGTATGCCCTTCGACTTAGCTTTGATCCTTCACCGTATCCCCCTGTGGAGGAATGGTCGCCGGACCGCAGGGATATGGTTGAATCGGTCAAGCCGTTTAACAGGATTTCGTTTGTGGGGCTCGAGATACAGGAGCAATAAGGAGGGAAATGTAATCTACGGTTGATGTTTTGGGCAGTTATGCAGATTACGAGGATTTACGCAGTAAATGTTCGTTCCTATAGCGCAATTTTGCGCCTTTTTGATGCCAAGAAATTGAGCTCCCATGGTCCCGTGATCATTTTATTCAGCTCCTGTCGCGCACTATTCAAGCCTCCTGCAACCTTTTCGATGCCAAGAAATTGAGCTCTCAATAGCGTGCGAATCTGGACCAGAATGCTTGGTTGTGTGCTCAGGTGTTGGTTACAGGTCTCGCGTTGTTTGTCATAGCTTGGTCTTGACGCGTGACGTTTGGCCGCGTTCCGCGTCCTTCGCCTTGGTTCTTATATCTCAAGAGTCTCCTCTATTATCGTGCATTTGATTTTTTTTTTTTTGTCTTTTGCATTCGGTTTCTATCGGTACGTCGTTCTGTGACCTTTTATTAAACGAGATCTTTGCTTGCCGTCTTCCTGTGGATTTCCCCTCGCCTCCCGTCTCCGTCTTTGTCCTTTGTTTAATCACTCAATCCCGTGGATCGTTTATATAAATTAGTATTTCGAAGGCAATCTGTTTACTTGTCTTCCGGTCGCGATTTTATGCTTACGATATTGCTTTAGGGTTTGGTAATGCCTGGACAAGAGGATGTCCGTGCGTACGAGTCTAATTCGGACAGGCACAGCCGCTTCTTTTTTCTCTTTGGGACAGTCGAGAGGTCCTACTTGTTGTGTGTCTTGTCGCAGGCCACCTCGTCTATTTGCTCCGACTCTTGCCTATTTCTTCTGGTTTTTCCTCTGGCACGATGCCTCCGCGTAAACGGGTCAAGGTTTGTGTTTTGTTCGAGCGGCTTGCGTGTATCTGTACATCGTTAACAACTACAACTAGTATGAACATGCTGGGCCAGCTGCTTCTGCTTTGCAGGACACGGAACTTGCATTCATCTGTGCACGCTTCCTAATCCACCAGTTCAAGTCACCTATGGCCATGCCGCGCGACTCGTCTACCTCGAAGAATCTCGTGAAATTCATCTCCACCCTCATCCGACGTGCTGCGCTGGAACCTAGTGTTCCTTATGCAGCTTTGCTTCTTCTTCAGAGGCTCAAAACTCGCTATCCGACTGCCCGTGCGACGGGACATTTTCTTTACTTTGCGGCCTTTTTGGTTGCTTCGAAAGTCCTGTCCGATACAGATTTGACGGTCAGGTCCTGGCTTTACTCGGCCCAGTGGTCTTTCTCGCCTGTTCTTATCGGCAAAATGGAAAGGGAGCTGTGTCAATATCTGGACTGGGATCTCACTTTCGACTATGAGACCCTTTCAAATTTCCAGAAAGTAATTCACGATGTTTACGGCCGATGTCAGGATGTCTACCCCGAATACTCCCTTCTCAGGCTTTCCCGGAGGATGGATCCTCTCGTGCGCCGTCGTGGCACAACGACTCTCTACCTTTCCGGATCCTCACCTTCTCCACACACCATACGAAAAACTGCATCGTCCCCTACCAGCTCTGAACAAGGGTCTCGAATGTCACCTCCGAGCTCGCCCGTTAATTCCGCAGACGACAAGCACTCGGAGAGCGACGAGTGATCGCTTTGGGAGTGGTTGATACGGATTCCTTGCTGCCTGTATGTGCTTTCGCCCTCACGACCCAGTTTGTTGCCTTCTATTTATTTGCTGGCTTTCTATTCCGTGTATGTATTCATTTTTCTGCCCCTCTTTTTTTGTTTTTATTCCTTCGCTTTGTTCCCATTGTCATTCATCTTACTTACTTCGTTCCCTTTTCCTTGTTTTGACTCTCATCGTTGCACTCGTCCTTTCTCGTTCTACTCCGTCGTAGTTTGGTTACGTGTTATCCGACTCGGGGTTAGGCTTTTTGTGGCAACGACCCGTCACTTTTTGGACTCTCTTTTCGTTTGGCCAAGAATATATATTGTATTTATGCTTGTACGTGTTGGTTAACGATGGTTTCGTATTGCGATCGTATGTACGTGTATAGTGCAGCCTTCAAAAATGATATGTACAATTGGATTCTCAGTTTCTTACTTGGTTTCGTAGAGCGATTGTATGTACGTTTGTAGTGCAGCCTTCCAAAATGATATGTACAATTGGATTCTTCAATTTCTTCGTTGGTTGTGAGTTTCTTCTCCTTGACTTTTAGTCTCTGGTCTTCCCTTTTCCCCCCTCCTTCTCCTGTCCTTACGCCTTCGTATTAGTATCCGTGCTTGCGAGATGTTCAGATCGTTTCGTTATTTCGCGGTCCTCAACGTCTGCGGTTAGTCTGCTGATCCCGGGTTTCAGTATAAAGCTGTTGTACCCGAGTCGACCATTGGTAACGACACTTACTTATGATTTTCGAGTTGCACTGGTACAGTGCTTTGTTGGCGTTCAGGTCGTACGGAAAAGGATGGTTGCCACAGATATCGTGACATCGCAGCCTCCATAGAGTGAGAGGTCGTGGCCATCGAGTTGGTTTCATTGCCTTCTCTATTTTGTCAGCTGGGCGTAGTCGAGTGCGCAGGATTTGGTGATCGTGTGAGTTCCTTATTGCGAATAGACAATCTATATTGTATCCGCAAGACGAGTGGGGTGTGACGGGAGAGAAGGTGTCGTGATCCCAGGTAATGAAGCCGTGATTGGCGTAGTGGGTGCATTCATCGATAACTTCGTGACCGAAATAGTCGTAGTTCGACACGCCTTCCAACCTTAGCGTGTACCTCGGATACATCATGATAGCGTCCTTGCCGTCGGTCCCCAGCATGAACATGGTGTTTGGCAGCTCTGCTAACGAGGCCAGGGGATCTGCGAACTTGGACATAATCAGGTAGCACGTCAACCCTCCAGTATTCTTCCAATGCTCGACTCCAAATACCGTCGCGCCGAATTCGGGGTAGATTGCTTTGGCCTGGTACGGGTTGTCGTCCATGAGTCTCTGTTGAATCTCGTCTTTGGTGAATCCGTGATCTTGAAGTATGACCTGAATCTCCTTCTGTGCTCTGTAGCTGCTGGGTACGAAAATATGCAAACCCGTCTTGGATTCTAAGCCCGGAAACCATATACCGAGCATGTCCGGACCGGCTATAATGCACTTGAAGCGGTCGACTGCATGCAACAACCTCGAGGTGTTGGAAATGCCTCTTTCCGTTATAAGACGCACTGTGTTGTTTCTGAGCCAGAGCGCGACCGCTTGCCGAAAGTGCCAGCAAGTTGCTGCTAACTTGAGTAGGTGAGCGGGGTTCATGTTGATCATGATAACCTCCAAGATGTCGTATGGTATTTTTGTCACGAATTTGCTCTCTCTCTCTGTAACTGCAAACATGTTAGTATCAGTTTCGCATGTATCGCTGTCGTGGACTCACCGTGAATCTGGTTACATATGTTACAAATTCCATGAATTGCGATACATTTATGGCATCGAGCACATCGGAAGTGTGTATTAGGATAACGTGGGACTCTGTGTCTGTAGTTGCTTGCAGGATTCGTTGATTGTGACGACAAGTTGGCGCCGAGACTCTGTACTTGAACAGAAATAGGGTTGGCCAGTGTCGTTTCGCTGGTTGATGTGTTTCCATTGTTGGTGTTGTACGAGGTCGTTGTCGGTATTACATGCATGGCGCCCGTACTTTGTCCTGAATAGGCGATGGAAGCTGAACTGGCCCCTTCTTCTGGTCGGTAGTTGCTGTATTCTTCTTCCGTGTCTGGTTCGGGGTCTATAGTGAACCTGACTCGGTTTCTGGTTGAATCTGCGGCAATGCCATTGTCGTTGGTCGGGAGAGATACCACAGGTTGCTCGACCTCGACATGATCTACTGAGCATTGCAGAAGCGCACGATGTAGGTTATAGTCGATCAGCGCGGGTACAGGTACGTCGTTCTCCATCCTGCACTAGCCGTACTACGTTAGTTTACGTAGAGAACTGTCCACTTAAAACACTAACCTTTGAGATTCGATGAGTTGATGCAACTGTTCTCCGTGCTGCCTTAGGTCAAGGCGTTGATGCTGCACACAGGTCAGTAAGCAACTTCGAGTTTACTTCTTGCACGGTGAAATTATACCTTTGAACTCAAAAAAGTGATATGCAAGACGTGGAGGTTGGTGTTCAAACGTGTTTAAAGGGGTGAGTTTCTTGGTGGCGACTTGTACGGTCTTCGTCAGTCTCTCTTTTATCTTTTGTCTGGATTTCCGCGTGCCTGAATGTTTCCCTTATATGTGCTCATAAAACTGTTTATGGTGCACCGATCATTGAATCTTCTTTTTACCTGTTCCTTTTTCATCCTTTTTTTTTTTTAAAAAAAAATTGTCATTGATATATTACCGCCACTCGAATGACTCCAGTCAATCGTGGCTCGGGACTTCAGTCATATTGGATACGGGTGCTTTGCTGCGCAGTTATTCAAATGACTCCTCTCGATCGTGATTCGGAGTATCTGTCCTGTTGCATATGGTTACTGGTAGGTTTGCATACCCCTGTAGTCTACTGCTCCTATTGCTCAATACATCTGTTCTGTGTGCACCGTCCATCTCTGCCTTTTCTTGCTCGATGCCTCTTGTATTGTAGGTTTGTCAAGCGCAGACTTTATTTTCCGATACGTCGCAGATTTCTTGGTTTTGTACCTGTCAACTTGCTCTCGTCCGTAATTAGCTTGTCATATACCTTTACCTGTGTGCGGTCCGATGTTTTAGATCCCCGTTATCCGATTCCCAAGGTCCTCACCGAGGTCTTCCTTTGGGGTGACTACTTTCTTATTGGCCCGAGAGTATTGTTCCCCGCACTTCGTCCGATATTGGAACGATCACTCATCAAGTTGTAGTTTTGCCTTATATAGTATTTATTATACCCTTATCGGCATTGTACGAGCGCTTGAACCCTACTACATGTTATCAAACTTCTTTCCGCTGATATACTTTCTGGAACTTTCAGTCGAGTCTCATTCGGGACATGGCATTCTCGCTCGTGTTTATATCTTCCTCGATATCATATATTGCAGGCCTCTTCAGACTCGTGAACGTTGGCTTTGCTTTGATTCGGTTTCGCATCCTCAAGATGCAAGCTTTCTACAGAAAGTTCAGTTTACAAGCCATAATTTCAATACTAGTGGACTTACTTCGCGAAATTGCTGATCTATGAGTACCAGAGCCTTAAGTATCAACCGCATTTTGACTCTACTGTTTCCGGTAGGGTAACACCTTGCTGTCAATGCGCACTCCACGATATCTCCCACTTTGAAAACGGTGGGCGAAACAATTCTGTACCTTGATTCGAGTCAATTGGAAACATGACCATTATATAGAAACTGCATAGTACACACTGGTAGTCTTTGGAATTTTCTGCGATCACGCGTTCGATGTAATCCACGTGGTTATCTTGAGTGTGGACGTAATTTCCTCCTCCCATCTGCTTGAGTACGTCGAAAGGATCCACAGTTTCATGGAATGGGACTTGAGGTTCTCCTGTAGCGTAATTGGCGTGGGTGAAGTATCGGTTTATGACGTCAAATCCGACACTGTCGCCATCGGTAGGAGGGGACCATTCTTCCAGGTGACCGTCAGATATGAAGTCGCCGTACTTGATATACATCGCCTCCACGGAATCGGCGAAGTTCTGAAACAAAGGAGCTCCAAAACCAAAGATTGTTACTTGCTGCCGCAGGTGTTTCTTGGCCCTGTTGCTCCTGTTTCTATGGTATTTATCACGTTAGTTATGCTGTTCATCGACAGAAGGATATGACGACTTTGAAGACTCACATGTTGCGTCCAACAGGGGGAAGTTCTTTGGACTGTATAATGCCTTGAATTCTAAAGACAATCTCCGTTGGTTCGTCGTTTACTACTTGGTACATTCGCCAGCTCTCGGGTCGTGATATTCTCTTGACGGACGCGGTTTTGATCTACCATGAATTGTTAGAGGACTGCTGTTCATTGAAGCAAGTTGGCAGTCGCACTTTACTGGTAGACAGTTGCATGTCTTTAGTTTTTTCCCCTTTATTGCATTCGTCAATTAAGTCTTGCAGTTTGGCAGAAGCTTCATGCTTGTCGTAAAACTCGTCGATCTCGTAGCCGCTCATGGTCGGTTGTTCTTCTGGTCGAGATCACTCTTCCGCCTCCTTTTTATATCCGTTCGGGAGACCCGATAGGTCGGGTTGGAATGTTTGGGTTGGCTCTAATTTCGTAAATCAGTATCGGTCAATCCCGTGTACTTAATTTCGAGTGTGACTCGGTCGATGTTGTTTGCTGTGCCTTTAATCTACCTGACTCGTCCAGGAGCTCTTTGGAACCTTCCAACTACCGTTCTCTGCGTCATATTCTCGCTCTTGGCGAGATTCTTGCATATTCGGTGGTCTCGTCTGCAGTATTCACTGTTCTTCGAGTCATCGCATCATGACTCAACCGCTGCAGCTGCGGGACTGCTCCGTCTGCTGCGCATTCAGGTTGATCTTTAGAATTGTATTTAAACCCAGGTCTGTTGCTCACTTGCGTTTACATAGAACCCACCTTCCTTTAGGCTCGGTAAAGTGCGACATGTCTTCCAGGACTACCCGGTCTTCAGCCAAAAAGCAGGGTCAGCCAGCATCGGCCACCGTCTCACCGACGTAAGATGTTTTGTTCTCCTTGCACACGGATCTTATACTTATTTCTTCCTTATAGAGAGGAACAGGTGAACATTACCTCTCCTTCTAAGTCCAAAAAACGCGCACTTGATACGTCGGGGAGTCCTGTTTCTAAGAAGAAGGCTAGGAACGCGATCTCACCGTAAGTGCTTCCTATACCTGTTTGTATATTCTATATCTCATATTTCTTTGTTACTTCAGCACTCCCTCCAGCGATAGCAGTGCAGACGATGTCCCTCTTAGTCAGTTAGTGCTGTCCCAAGATAAAGGGAAAGGTAAAGAGGTGGATGAGGACATGGACAAGACAGTTACTGCGGATGTCCCTGAGGAATGCGAAGAAGACTTCGAAGACCCCTTCAAACAATTGGGTGTACCAGAAAAAAACGACGATGTTTATGACAATTTCACCGTCGACAAGAGGTTGGATGAATTTAATTTTCCTCGCAGTCACTACTCTTACGCTCGTCACTCTTATTCGTATCTAATAGCTCGCTCCCTGACCAGTGTCCTATGCTTCTTGACACTGTCCGCGACCCTTACCTTGTTCGTCGCAAATTGTATGAAGGGGTCCTTCCTGTCAAGTGTGTACATTTACTCCCTTATTTTTCGCTCGCCTCTTATTACTCTTTGATCTGCAGAGAAGGATCGCTCAAGACTTGGAAGACGACGGGAGACGACCCTACTCCTGTCATGTCTATCAGTGCATGGCAAAAGATACTTCCCAAGACTTTCGCCTTAGAGTACGTTGGACTTCATTCTCCTATGATGCTCATAATTGTGTTAATTTCTTTTACCAGCCTTCTTGTTCAGTGCCTCACCTTTTTTATCAGTGGAGAGTACTATAATCCCAGTTTTGCGGATGCTACCGAATTCGTAGTCCGGTCGATCGTCATCTATCGATTCAACTTCACTCGCTACGAGCTTCATCGTCCCAAAATCGGCATTGTGGCCGGCGTTTCGGTCATAGGTGTTGTCGAATCTAAACTGCGTGCTGAAGTAGACACACGCTTCATAAGTGGGATAATGAATAGGGGACACTGGGAGCGGTGGAACGGGTTCTATGCGACAGTTTTTAATCACGATAATCTTCAAGCGCAAGTAGTCGGTACCAAGATACAATTCCAGACAAAGTCTCGATTTGAAGGCGGTGGATCAGACAACAGAGCAGGGGGTAAGATCATATACTATGAACCGATTGATGCTGATCTGATTCATTCTGGATATCTAGCGTCGTATCATACAGATAACCCCTTTGGAGATGTTGAAGACAAATCGTACAAAAGCCCTGTGAAACAGAAAAATAGTGTTAGGCGAATGGCGCCTTACAACCATGATGAGGATGGTTCGTCCGTCGTATTATCACTTGCATCTATATTCTAAATCCCCTATCCCTCTCCTCCCTCTCCCTCTCCCTCAGTGCCAGTATACGACGCAAGAAATGTTCCTTTCAATCCCAATACCGACCTTCCTCGACTCTCTTCGATTCTACCGACATGGCATGGAGAAGTGCCTTTGCGCAGCTGTTGCCTTGTTGCGTATACCTCGTCCTGGTTTGAGAGAAATGGGGTTCCCAAAATTGTCTTTCACGTTCTATGGGTTGTTGTTCTTGGTGTTCCCGCAACCTACAATCAAAATACGAGGATTCGGAAGTAGACGGGGGATTCAATCTGCGTTCTACCTGCGGTCTCTCCTTTCTACTCTTGGCGCCTTCTTCCCGTGGTTCTTAGTTAGTCCTTTGTTTCTGTAGTTCTATAGCGTTTCCTTATCGTAGTTATAGTAATTACGTTGATACTTAGTTGTGAATAATACATATAACAGCCGTCTTTGTATTCGTTCATCGTGTATTGCTAGTAATGGTCTGTATATACATACTACCTCGCTAAGGTCTATTCTCGTTATCGCCTGTATTGAGAGCAATCGAGGTCTTATGTTACACAATTAGTCCTATCTTTCTACATGTCACGGAGTTTGTAGGTACGCTGAAACTTGCACAGAATGTGCTCAAGGCAGATCAAGTCATAGCCTGCTTCGTTCAAGTCGTCCTTCCCGAACGACTCCCGAATCAATGCGTCCAACGAGCGAAGGGCCTCCGAAACCACAGCTACTTTATCCTTCTTTGACCTCTCCCTTCCACGGATGAATCCCAGGCGCTTCAATCCGTTCATGGCACCCTTGTTGAGTTCGACTATGGCAGACGCCAATTCATCAACAGTAGGGAATTGACACACATTTGCGTAGGCGAGATCTGCCGTGAGGAGGTAGGAACCAAGATCGCCGAGCTGGGGGAAAAGTCGATCGTGGTCTTTCTGTTTTGCGGGTCTAAACCACTGCCAGCACTCTTGGAAAGTGGGATTACTGGCTGCCATTCGAGGCCAATGACGTTTTGTGATGGTCTTCCAGTATGCGGATGCGTTTTGGATGGATCGGTTGGGATTTCGGGAGCCGTACGCATCGCCTCTGCAGAAATAGGAATCGTCTTCAGTGGTAGGTGTTGTTAGATCGTCGTTGACTACGCTCCGTATGGTGTCGATGAAATCGTTGTAAGACTTGAAAACCTGTCGGTGATTCGTCGCGAATGGAGTTCTATAAGTAATACCCCTCCAAACCACAGCACTGAATATTCCGACGTTGGTGCGAATAGTCGATGAATGAAAAATGGTACTTCGAGTTTGGACACGGGAGGGAGCGTGTTCTCGAAACGCGAGGTAGTAATCGGCATCGTCGATCAGCTTCCCTTGAAAACCTTCGTTGGTGATCGATGGTCTGTCCTGCACGTACACCAGACATCGCTCGAGCATCGTGCATAGTCGTCCCCACGCAGTTGGGTCAACTGAAATAGGCGTCATCGTGTTCGAAGGTGAAAGAGATCCGTCCAGCAAACCCCGGTAAGTCCTGTACAGACGCCCTTCGATGGTGTCCGCCTTGGTTATGGGATGAGAGCGTAGCGCCTGTTCGAAGCCGGATGCATCGCTACGTCGTAGGGTTCTGGCCTTGTAAACCTTGTTGCTTTTCACGAGGTACCATGGACGAAAATCGGTGTACATGCTCCAACCCCAGTCCAAGGTAAGAGCCTCCGGACCGAGTACGTCTGCTACGATCGTTACGAACCACCCTCGCTGGCGGCGTCGCGTTGGAAGACCCATCCACTGCACCACAACGTTCAGGACAGCCTCCTCCACCGCTCCTACAATATCTTGCCCTCCTGGTAGAAACATTTTGGAGGACTCGGAATTACACAACACGACTTCGTCCTCCGTACACTGGCCGAGAAAACCCATCTCGCTTGCCTTGAACAGCACCTCCTTTTTTCGCTGTACAAACATATTCGTCGTAGCTTCCACGGTCCTGTCGATCCACTCTTCGTCCGCGGGGCTACCTTCAACTGTACTCCGAACCTTCTCCCTCAACGTTTTGTCGACCCATTCCCAGACAGCCGACTCCGCTCTGATAAGTGCAAGCTTTCGGGCACGTAGGAGACGTTCGTCTTTGTTGATCGAATGTTCGGCAGCGCGGGCACTCGTCTGGACTTGGTTAACATCGTCCAATGTCTTCGACGAGCAAGATCTTGTCTTCAACCGGTCGAGCACTTCTTCCAGATTCGGGCATGGTGTATATGAGAGTTCCGTGTCGGTTACTTGGGTCACGATGGTTTCCTTGCGAGCGTGGTAAACCTCGACCTCGAGATCCTCTATAGAGCAATGACGTATAAAGGTATACGACGCTAAAACACACTTCAGTATGTGTACGATATGAATCGACGCTTGACCATACCTGCGGGACTCTGCCCTGTCTTGGTACAGCGAGTATTACTTGATGGTGTATGCTCCCTATCAACAGCATTCTCCCGTCCAGGTCCCTTCCCTGAAAACCCATGTGATGAGAATACAGCTTTCGGTTTGGAGAACCAACGCACCGATCGACGACGACTGGTCCTGTTCACCTGCAACCGGACTTTGTCTCCCCCCGGTCGAAATTCCAGCTCGGTCCTCGGTGACGCTTGTTCCCTCCTTTCCCTTTCCCTTTCCCTTTCCCTTTCCCTTTCCGTCACCCTTTCCTCGCCCTTTATCCCTCTGTTTGCTCTTCGATCCGGTGCTTCCATCTCCCTTACCCTTCCCCTGTGCTGCAAACACGGTTAGTGCTACACACCCAACAGCCGACCCGGCACCCTCACCTGTTGCAAGACGTTTACTCTTCGATCTGATATGTTCTTCCCCTTCTACCTCCTCTGTACTGTGCGCTTCTTCATATGTGCTTGACTCGTCACTGTCGTCCGTCCTCTTCCTCTTTCTGGTGCTGGCGCAGGGACTGGAGACGACACCCGGCTCTCTTTCTTCACTAGCTTGGGTAGGGCGTGCAATCGATGTGTCGTCGTCGACTGGTTCGCATCCCGGAGAATCTGTGACGTGTCCGTACATGAGAACATGCTCCATCTGAGTAGAGACGACTCACCGCAAACTCGCGCACTACCCGCCGGAATGTTCGATTCATTGTCTGTATCTTCGTCCATCGGAACCCCCTGATCGTCTTTGTCCAACCCAAGGAAACATTGAGGGATGTGCTTCACCACCTCCCTCTCTCGCTCCTTCATCCTATTTGCCGCTTCTTGTCTACGTCGCGTATAGTCGTTTGCCTCGCTTCCGGGATGTTGCGGCGCCATCGTCCAGTCCTCGATTGGCTCCCATTCCCCCTCGTCGTTCTTGAAAGAGAATGCCTCCAAAAACTTTTTGCTATCTATCTTGATGTCGGGTTTAGAGTCCGTTTGTTTAACCACAAACGAATTGCTGAGATAGAGAGACTGGGCCGTGAACTGCGCGAGAGACTTGGTCGTCATGATGACATGCCCCTCGCGCAAATAAGTGGCATGGTTTCCTCGATGAATCGGATCGCCTCCAGACCTGAACGCAAGCAATCGTTAATGGATCGTTGTGGACCACAGTGATGAGACCTTACGTTTCTCGTCTCATTTCGGGAGAAATTTCGTAAATCGCTCTGGGTAGGAACCCCAGAAAGTGACCGATATCATCGCTGAGCATGCCTCGAGGAGGATAGTGCACAACAATGACTCGATAAGCCCACTTTTCCGGTACACCGCTGTTCAGGGGGTGCGGTGCGTCGCCGACATGGAAATTTCGCCCGTTGAAAACAAAAGACGATCCGCATTCGAGTCGAGTAAAGAATCCGTCCCTTAAAAGGAAAAATCGACCGGGGTGGTAATTGTCGGGGAGCTGCGAGCCTACTACCATGCAGGTGTAATGGGGTGGGCAGTCGTTATTGTCGTAGTGTTCATCTCCGAACGGTCCCATATGTTCGCCCAGCCTCCCTGTTCAATAAGTCAACACTACCCCCGGGGCCCCGATGTTGTTAAAAGGGATGACGCACCGCTATCTGATGACTTTGCAGGTGCTAAGTTTAACTGGATGGCGTGAAACGCGTAGTTGGTGTCTGTCCCCACGCACGGAAGTCCTAGTCTATTAGCATGGTCGCGCAGGCAGGTCTGAATTCGTTCGGGTGCTTCGTCCATACTTCGCATCGCCATTTTGGTCGTTGCCTGCTCCCGTGTCAGAATATTGCCGCAGCAAACACAATATGCCACGTACCCGTGTCAGATCGTGTGCAATTTTGTGCACCTCGCCCTCTTCTTTCCCAATCTTGACGTTTGCACAGGGCGCCATACATTCCCTCTGTTTCTCGTACGAGTTGGCCATAGGATAGCATCGCCCGCCTTTGATACCGTCTACCCGAGGTCGAAGTCGTTCAATATGCACTTCCGTATCGGTCCTGTTTTCTTTTGCTCCCAGTAACAATTCCACCGCGTTGTCGAGCGCTCCCAAATCTTCAGAAGTTTGTAACCCACTAAAATTACTGAGTATCTGCGTTTTCAAGTGACAGTTACAGGCACTTACCGTCCTACCACCCACGCCTTAGTCGTGTCGTCCTCTGGATTACCACTTCCTAAAGTGTTCCTTGAGAAGAGGTAGTCCCCCGGTCCGAGTTCCACCCAACCTACAAAGCCGGCTCAGGTCGAATTATGCTTGACCTCGTACGGATTGATTGAACGTACCATTTGCTATCAACTCCTCGTCACAACCTTCCGGCTTTCGCAATCCCTTCTCGAATGTGTGCTCCTCCTCCATCCGCTCGTACTCTGGGGTCGAAAATATAACGAACGAGCGTCCGGGATTCGTTTTCGGGTGTAGCGGATGGTTGAAGGCTTCAAGGACAGTGCTCCTTCGTCGGTCGCGATTGCGGCAGTCATGGAGCTGTAGATCGACTTCGGAATATGCCATGACTAGCTTCTGGAGGGTGAGTGTTTTTCGTGGTATATCAAACCGGAAAACTCACAAGAGCTTTAAAATTGAATTACGGTGAGGATGAGGGAAGGGAGAGAGTGATGAGTTTGGAGCCCGTCACCCTCCATGACATCATTCCAGACATGTCGAGTTTTGTCTGAAGGAAGGGAGAGGGTGGTGAGCTCGGAGGCCGTCACCCACCATGACGTCATTCCAGACATGTTGAGTTTCGTCTCCACCAATCACTCGATCCTGCCCTAAAAAAATATCGGGAGGCTATATTTGCTAGGCAGACCTGCGTTTTGGCACAACAAATTGAAATAGAATAGGAATTACCGTTGATTTGCGCACATTATGCCTTTGATATCGAATAGTGACTTCAAAATCCGTTGAATTATTGCTGTCGATCGTTTCGTCGGGAGTGGTCAGAAGGAAACCCAGAAACCGAGCTGTGCGCTCGCGGCAAAGTCCGGCATCGTTCAAAGTAAATAATGCACACGTCGGGACTTTCTATTTCAGGTCGGCCTCCCTCGGGCTCCTTATACCACCATATTGTATCGCTTTTGCTGTGTCCAGTATGTGTAGTGGAATGACATGAAATGCAATGAGCGATGTATTGCGAATATTTCGTCAATACAAACAGCGACTAAACATACCTGCAAGCGATAGAGAGAATGGCAATCGTTTGAGTCCCCGACTCTCGGTGTTCACACGACCGATGCCCAACAGCTCAACCACATCACATTGTGGCGCGCGTTGACGCGTTCTGATCCTAATAAACAGACACGACCCCAAACCAGCGTGGTTCTGAACCCGAATTTTTACTCTAACGCGCCACTTCTCTTCCAATTCAGATCGTTATGGCGCCCCTCCTTCTCAATGTAATTCTTGGAACTATGCCGAAGTCAGAGCCCTTGGTATGGAGTACCTTCGAACACGGCTCAGCTTGTCCCAATTCAAGATCGTCACCGCCTTTCGTCTAAAGAACAACATCGTTGCATGCCTTCCGACTGGGGTAGGCAATACTCGCTCCTTTTGGATGTCGACTCGCCTATATATATGACTTTGGCCGATGAACTCAATCCTTTGAGCTTTGTAGTAACACGCCTTTCAATATTCTTTACAGCGATAACGTGAAAACAACTGGAGGGTGTCCTAATTCGTTTGACGCAGCGAAACAATGCATTGAAGGGTGTCTGGCCGCGTCCGGACCGAAACAAGGGGCTTGCTCTGAACCTAGTTCCGTAGCGGGCCGCGGCGCAGCCTTCATTCTGCCGTCTTCATTCTATAGCCTTCACTCCGCAGCCCTCGCACGCCATCATCTTTCCAGTGACCAACCTAACCAGTCGACTGGCATTCTAGTCCCTCGTGCAAACCTATTCTTCTATAATCCACCTGATCCCTCGTACAAATTGGCCTCGAACTTTAATGTGCCATGTACCCGTTACTGTCGACCACAGCTCTTGCTCCTTTATTGTCGGCAGGCGTACCCAGCATTGATCGTTCTTCACAATCTTCAGGTACCGCAGTGAAGCCTGTATACAGTCGCCTGCTCATTGCAGAGGATCTTTTATCACGCCTGCTACCGGCAGAGAATCATGGGCTAAAGTTGCTATCTGGATACGAGCTCATGACAGCTGCGCACAGTAATGGATCTTTACCAGTTCCTTCGATCTCAGGAGTTACGTCTTGCCAAATCAAAGACACAGACAACGAATCGCAAAACGACTTCACTCGCTTTGGCGGGGGGTATACGACCAAACGATTGTTCCTATATTCAGATCTTCAGGAACATCCCGTCGTCACGTCCAGGAACTCGAATGTCCAGGTCGAAGATAAGTACGAGTTCGTTGATCTGGTCCCTCTGGTAGAATGTCTGGAGATCGTATCCAAGGAACCCGACAAACTAGCCGCGAATATACCTTTTTCTTTAATAGCGTCCTGTATGTCTCTGATCTCTTTACAAGACACGATGCGAAGACATAACATCAAGTTCTACGCAAGAGATAGCAAATCCACTCTCGAACATAAGCTGTCGACCCACCAATGCCCCCTTAATCAATGTAAAGTTGAATTAGCTTTGCTTCGTCGCATTCAGCTTGTGTCCTCTCCTATTTCTAGCAGTAAACATGAATCATTTCCTTTTCCCCCTCCTCCCCCTGGTAACCACCTTATTGAAGAGATTGTGCGTGGATTTTGCGACGACTCCCAACCGGTGTTAATCGAGGAAGATGGATGTGCGTGTTGCGGTCAGCTCACTCCTCTTACGAAACTGGTTCCGCTGGATTCTTCTAAACTCAATTTGCAGTGCCTGGAGTCACCTTCCGCTATGCGAAATGAGCGGTTAGCTTCTGACCATCCCTTTGTCCCTGCCACTGGACCGGTCGTCGATGGAAGGTGTAAAAATTTGTGCATAACATGCAATACCACATTGCAACGAGGAAAAAGACCTAAGTACGCATTGGCTAATGGATTCTGGATAGGAGAAGTCCCAGAAGTACTCAAAGTCCTTACGTTTGCAGAACAGATGCTTGTTACTCGCGTTCGCCATAATCGGTGTCTTGTACGTGTGGCATCAGGTCGGGCCAAGCTAATAGCTAATGCAATCATGTTTGCTACTCCTGTGGTAAAGGTATACCACCGTTTACCACCTAGCCTGGAAGAACTCGACGAGATTCTTGCTGTCATTTTTATAGGATCTAACTCACCGACCGATGAAGAATTCAGAAGAACTCCTATGCTAGTGAGAAGAAATGCAGTTGCGAACGCTCTGGAGTGGCTTAAACTAAACCACGTAAATTACGTTGATCTTGAGATATCAAAGGACAATCTAGAACGGTACCCGTTGAACGGGATCCCCGTGGTGGTAGATCATCGAAAAGTAGAGTCAGATAAAGACCCGACCGATCTTCTTCGTTCTCAAATGAGTAAACATGAAACAGAAGTGAACGTTGCTAACAGCGAGGGTGCGTGCCCCTTTATAGTGAACGGTATAACTGGGACAGAGTACATGGAACTTTCTATGAAATCGATAAAAGCGAAAGCACTTGAGCATCTTGTTTCGGGAGGGAAGATGTTGGGAGTAGGAAGAAACGAGGAGCCAATGAGTATGTACAAGAACCCTTCCTTATACCCGCAGATGTTTCCCTGGTTGTTTCCTTATGGTATGGGAGGGGTAGGTGTCGAGACGTTGAAGAAAAAAGTTTCCGAGTTAGATCACAAAAGGTGGTTACTAATGTACTGGGATAAACGATTCCAGACGGATTTCTATTTCCCTATGATAGCTTTCAATCACGAACAAATAAAGTCCAATGCAACGTGTAGCCATCTTATAGCGAAACGAAGTAAGTTCAACGATATTTCTAAAAGAATTAAGTCTGTAAACAAAGAGGTACTGAAATCGATCAGCAGTCGTTTGGCCAATGGCGAACTGTTCAAACCTGAGACTGAAGACGAGAAGGTGTGTTTCAAGTTGATAGATGATCTGGACCATGTAAGTCATACCACAATGGGCTCTATCTCCAGTAAGAAAAAGTTAAGAACAGAACTTTGGTCTCTAATATCGTGGAAGGGGGCTCCCACATGGTTTATAACGCTTTCCCCCGCTGATGGGCGTCACCCTATATGTATCTACTATGCGGGTTCTCGAATCGAATTTGACGGTAAGATTTTATCTTCGACTGTTCGAGATCGATTGATTCTTTCCAACCCGGTTGCTGCAGCCAGGTTCTTTGACTTTATGGTACGGATGTTTGTCAAGCACGTCCTTGGAGTAGGTTCTCAAACCGGATCAGGACTTTACGGGAAAACATCCGCATATTACGGAACTGTAGAGCAGCAGGGTCGACTAACCCTCCATCTGCATATGCTCATATGGATCAGCGGAAGTTTGTCACCTCGTGAAATTCGTGACAGGCTTCTTAACAAAGACGAGGCGTTTCAACAGGCTCTAATATCCTATCTGTCGTGAACAGCCGGTACAGCCCCTATTTTTCACTTTATCTTATCTGATCTGTCTCGCATCTTATCGTTTCGCTTGCCCCTATTCCTTCGCTCCTTTATTCCCTCTATGGACTCTTTCACTCATGGAACACTGCCTCGTATTACCCTTCGCCCCACTTCCATTGTTCTTATTGTTACGCACTGCCTCTTGACTCATTCTGACACTCTCTTGTTCCATTATTGTTTCATCCTTGTTCTTCGCGCAGCCTTCGCGCAGCCTCATGACCTTTCTTATTGTTCTTAGACGTTTCGCCATTTGTTTGTCATTTTGACTCATCGCGGCTATGTAGACTGTAGAATAGGTATATAAGCTAGGTAGTCTGCTCTGTATTTCCTCAGCTTGACCTCTTCGTCAATACATCCGCATAGCTTTCTGGCTTACAAAGTCACTCATCGCTCTCGCCTCTCTCCTCGCTCTCAGCTCTCTGGCACTTCCGCTCTGGTTTCAAGGTTTGGTTTGGTTTAGTGTTCGCTCTTCGCGACATTAGGTCAAGCTACCCCTGTGCACTGGCAACGCCGATCGTTGTCCCTGCATCCCGCCGTTACTCTGGTCCTTCTGGTTGACCTGCCGATCAGGTCTCACTCTGGCAACTACCACCCCGTACCACCGTCAAGATTAGCTGCGTAGGAAGTCCGCACTTCTGCGCTCGAAGCACCGACCCCGCCAACGATTGGATCTTCGACTACCACATCAGGAACGGCAACTTCGAGCAGTGTTCACTTCAACCCTGCCCTGAACGCTACTCTCTTCCGCCCACCCAGTCCCAGTGGCAGAAGATCAACGCGCTCACTAACAAAGGAGTTGCAGCTACTCCGTGTACCGAATCCAACGCCCGTAAACTCCGTGAAGCCCATCCGCCGTCTACGCCCCCGCCTCAGGAACAAGAAGGAAGCAACGTCACCGACTCACCCGAGACCCCGCACAAAGCCTATCAGTCCGCCCCCACATCCCCATCAGGAAGAGTTGGTAACCGAGTTAGGTTCACCGACGCAAACGACGACGACGACGACCAAGTAGAAGAAGAAGAAGTCGCCCAGGCCCTCAATCCGCAGCCCACACTCCAGACTTTCCAAGCCCTTCACTCCGCCTTATCAACCGCCTCTACCGACACTTACGCTCAACGTCTCAAAGGTTACCCCACCCCCGCCCCCGCCTCCGCTTACACCACACGTCCGATCCGTCCACCCCTTCATACCACTCGGGAATCGGAGGGCACAT